TGTCATTACCGAAGTTATATATCTGTAGAGAACGTGATGTTTCTTGCTTTTCTTTTTTTTTTTGTAGCATACATTTTTAAAAAAAATATTTTTCCTGCCTCCTTTTAGCAGGAGGGCTCGTTGTTATTACTACTATCATGACTTATGCAGGTGAAAAATGTGGCGAATTAATGTATATTAAAAAAAAACTCATAATCAATAATTTTAATTTCTCAGTAAACTGCCGCGTGAAATTATATAGTATATGCATCATGTTCTTGGCTGTATTGTGTTCAGAAATAATCTAAACAGATTCTGAAAATATCGGTGGGGATTTAGGACGCTAAGAATAATTTAAATTTACCTTCTTAGGGGAGATTAACGGCTCAGGGTACTTACATTAATTGGTTAGTTTAACTCAGGTAGTAGTTTGCATAATAAATACACTCAAGGCAAAGCGCGCTTCCCGTAATGGTAAGATGTTTAATGGAAATTATTTTCCCCGTGAAATAACAGCGAAAAAGGAAACATTTAATCGATGAAATGTAAAACTAATAAATATTTATTTTATAAAATATATAATAATAATAATAATAATAATAACAATAAAGTTATTTATTTGAATTATATACAATATAACAATAACAAGATAACATTTTGGCAAAAAGACGAGATTCAGTCTGCTAAAGATTAGTATACTGTTCTATCTAACCCAATATCACTAATAGTACTAAACAGTTTCAGTTGCATTTTGGTTTGCAAACTATTGAAATATCTACAACATTGGTAACAAGTTTTCGAGTGATCAAAGGAAAGAAAAACACTAGCAACTAACTGAAACTGCTGCAGCTTTAATATGAAATTTTTAAGCCAAGAAGTACCGTGTATAAAACTCTTGTTATTTTTCCGTGTTCTTTTTTTGAAATTTTGTAATCAATAGTATTAATTGGCATTTAAAACAATTAGACATAAAGAAGAAGATGAAATTGAGTCTTGGCTTTTGATTGAAAGGTTAATTATTTTAATTTTTTGAATATTTGTAATTAGAGTAAAACGTCTTTAAACCAGACCAAAATATTATAGAAATTTAAAATAATATAGCATAAGAGCATGAGTATGAGCCACGAAAGGAAACTAACTAATTAAACTAGAACTAAATTGAAGTAAGGATTGTCAAGAAAGGCTTTCATTTTCCTAAAATGTTAATGTTGAAATTTTTAATAACAATAAGCACCCTTATTTAGGCGTAACTACCAACAATGTTCAATGACGATAAATCAATTGTACTATCAGTAGTTCAAAAAATAAGAACAATTAAGGATAAATATAGGGTTCAACAGCTATCGAAGGTGCATATTAATGATTTACTGTTTGTAAATAGTACGTTATGAATACACTTTGACTTTAATGTCTTCGCAAGACATCAAATAAATTAAAAATTAAATTAATTAAATTAAAACTTAAAAGATTACATAAGTTGAAACTCTTTGGGTTATATATGTTTTAAAAAGAAAAGTTTATACAAACATGTCAGAAAACACTTAAACCTGTTCGATTCTGAAGGCAGGCGATGCGACTTCCACTAAAAACTACAGATCTGTTGCAATTTTGTCCAACTTCGGGAAACTTCTAGAAATTCTTCTTTATAATTAATTGTACTAAGCTTGTCTATAGTACTCAGGATATCTCAGAAGTTTCAGACAAAAGAAAAAGGTCGATGTGGTATAAACTGGTATCCAATAATCATTTGACCAAATTGATCACCAAATATGAAGCAAGCTGCAAATTGCAACTCTTTTTGTTGCTACGTCAAGAGTACCTCAAGGATCGAATTTGGGTCCTTTACTTTTTCCGATTTATCTATTATGTTACATTTACGTAATTTGTAGATTACGGATGACCTAGACATATTTCTGGCAGACGCTTTGATCATGCCAAATCCAGTGGTGCTCTGTGAACTCCTGTTTTTTTATGGAAATAATAGTCCCATATTGTTCAACGATACATTCAACGGTGTGCCTTTAGAGAGGTGTGATACGTTCAAAGTTCTGGATGTTGTGTTTGACACTAATTTTACTTTTATTCACTGCACTTAAATTTGTTTAACCAACCAAGGAGTAAATATTCATCTACAATATGGTCACTTATCTACGAAAATCATACTTCAAGTTTGGAGAGTGTTTGGCGTACATGCTTATATTATTTTCACTTTAAATTGCATAGATCTTATCCATCAAGGGGATTTGATCAACTTTGTTACTCCAACTGTTCGTTGTTTATTTGTGGACACGCTGTATAAACGCGTCTCGTCGTCCTTACCGGAGAAAATCGATTTTTAAATCTTTTAATTATTTTTTTTTTATAATTTTAAAAGTAGGACAATATGATGGTAACTTTAATCATATTGTTGACTTGTGTAGTATTAACATTCACACCCTATATACTGTTGTTTCTAAATGTAAAGAAGAATTTTCATTTTTGGCAGGTACTTTCTATAACTGTTGAAAAAGTAAAGCAATATTGTTATTATTACTATTATTGTTAACTGTGGTTTGTGATTGTATTTTTCCATTTTTCTTTTTACACAATTTTAAAATGTAACTGAATATGGTGATTGTAGGGAGCGTTTTCCCCCCAAAAGAAGCTTTTCCCGTTACTATTAAGTAGTTCAATTTGGTTGAGATATATAACAGGTGCTTCAAAAATTCGTAAAGTCGAATAAGCGTTGTAAAATAGTTAATGACCAATGTCGAGTAAGGGATTGACAGTCAACCCGATCTAAAGTGAAATTGAGGCAAATTTTGCAATTGTAAAAGACGGTTAGTAATAGAGATTGTTGTCTTTATCTAACTCACTTGTATAAACGGGAGAATGGGATGTTCTCGTAGTTTGAATAGTCTATTTACTTACCGAAATTGTTTAGATATGATGATTTGGGGATCCAACAGTATTTTCTTTAAATGTTTGAATATAAATGTTTAAAACTTTGAAAGGCTTTATTTATTGGTCCGAAAATAGTAGCGTGTATTTTTTCAGGAGTATTATTTCAAAAATCATTTAAAATACACATACATATTAAAGGGGAAATTTTCATGTTATATGCACAAATGAGTTTTTATCCACTTCACTGAAACCACACGCAATATAGGAATTTATTATTTTTAAAAATATTTATTAATTATTACAAATCATAAGCAGATAATGTACGAGATTGTCACATATTTAGTAGGCGCTTCAAAAATTGCTACAGTGTTGAGTAAGATGTTGACTGTCAACTAGATCTGAACTAACATTACGCCAGCGTGATAGAAAAGTGAGGCAGATGTTCCAATGAAAATAGACCAAAATTATTTACACATCATTATTTGGTGATGTGACAGTATTTTGTTTAAAAAATTGTATAAAATAATTTCCTTAAAAATCGCGCATATACAAATTGATATGAATTTAGAATATATTTGAGTCTTTCTAACATTTAATTTATTGATTCGAAAATAGTAGCGCGTATTTTTTTAGGAGTATAATTTCGAAAATAACTTAGCGTTCACACATAATGACATAAGTATAAGAAAAGCGGAAATTTCAATCTGTTTATTTCTGAATTATTGGAACAAGTAAGTTAAAATGTTAATCTACATACACAATATAGTCACCATCAAAAATAGTCAAAATATATCAGATTCAATTAGTTCAAAGAAAGACAAATAAAACGGTTTAACAAATTATCCACTAACAAACGACTTACCCCAAAAACCCCGAATGGGTAGAAAAATTGAGAATTAACTACAAACAATCTTTTATAACAGTTTTCTGTAATCGGTACTAACTTGTTTGATAAACCAAAAATTCCCTATTACTACCATCTCGCTTTAAATAAAATTTGCCTCACAAAACTGCTACTGGCACAATTACCGATACCATTCTAGTTTGACAGATGGGGTTCGTTGAGTTTTGTTCTGCATGGACAGGTAGTCACTTGCTAATGCAAAAGTTAGGTGCCTTTAATTTGATATGATGTTTGTCAATGGGAATTTTCGTAGGAACTCAGAAATCAATTCAATTCAATCAATTCAATTTGTCATTGTACTGTTACTTTTTCTTCAAATTTTTCCTTAAAACAATTTTAAAACCTAAATGTCATTTCTGCCATAAAAGTAGAGTTTTCAATTAATATTTAAATAGAAAATTGAGGCAAATTATGCAATAAAAATTGACCGAAATTATTTATACATCCATGCACACAATATTTTCTTTGAAAATTTGTTTAAAATAATTTCGTATAAAACCTTCAAAAAAAAAAAATTATTCGAAAATAGTAACATGTGTTTTTTTGGCAGTATTATTTCGAGAATAACTTAACATACATAACATATTTACCTATGTATATACTAAATCAATTTATTTATTTCTATGATACACAATAAGTTATTAAAATGGTAATTCATTAACAGATAATCTGTATACACAATATTGTCACTGTGAAAAATAGTCAAAATATACCAGATTCAATTAGTTCAAAGAAAGACATTCGATCGAAATGATTTCACAAATTTCCATTAAAATACGATTAACTCCAAGAACGCCAAATAGGTAGAAAAATTGATAACTAAATACAATCTTTTCTGTCATTAGTATTAACTTGCATGTCATGGAAAACCATGCCTAACAAAATCGCTATTGCCGAAATTACCGATAGATGGGGTTCGTTGCGTTGATTTGCATTGACAGATAGTCAACCGTCAATACCCTTAATTTGATACGATAATTGCCCATGGGAAATTTCTTAGAAACTCGGAAACCAAATTAGACGAGACCGTCGCTTGTTCAATGGGCCGAAAAACTCACCCAATTATCGTTTATTACTGAAAAAAATATCTAAGAACGTTCCACTGAACTAATTTACATTTGTCAACAAACGGGTTCGACGAATCGTTCCGTGACATTATAGATTCGCCATTTAACTCGATTCATTTAATAATATTGTCTCGATCTAATTCCATTCGGTGCATATTCTCACCTCGAATAGTTAATCATTCGGCATGCGTGACGACACGCGTCTTAAGGATGTAAAACTTTGTAGAAAACAAAAGAAAATTAGTTTACTTACGGTCCGTGCGCGCTTATGCGCCGCAGGTAGGGGCGTGCATGACCACAAGCCGGAGGGGACGGGAGAGACACAAGGACCACCGCGAGGCCCGCTATATAAGCTTAGTAGTGCAAGTGAATTTTATCAGTTACCCATCACCAAAACGACAATGTTTTTCAAGTGCCTGGTAGTCGTTTTTGGCGCGACATGCGTTTGGGCACGGACCACGGGCACGCCCGAACAAAATTCTATAGTCGATGACACGCCGCGCGCATCCGACAACACCCCTTCGTACTTGAGTGACTTGCGGTTCGTGTACAAAGTGTATCAGGAATGTGCCGCCACCGATCTCTCGTCGTGCCTCAAGCTGAAGCTGCTGGCTGCCCTCGACAGAGCCTCCAGGACGTACAATTTAGAACTCTTCGAAGGATTTAACTTCGTCAAGGATACCAAAGGTACCGACGAGGAAGATAGTCCGAAATCCGAAGAAGAAATCGAAGCGAACCTTCCTCGTTCGTTGAACGAGAGGGAAGCAACTCTGGATGGAATGATTGCGGATAAAGTCGGGTCGTTCCTCGGCAGCCACTCTTTGCAAGTAAGTAGATCGTGGGAACCTGCCGATTTGGGGTATAACCTCCGTCGTCGTTGCAGATAAAGCTGCCTTCTTCTTCCGACCTCGCTCGCAGCTTTAACGGGGAGGAACGCGGGAAAAAGAACAGGAGAGGTGGATACATGATGTTGCTGCCTCTGATACTGGGAGGGACCATGGTGCCTCTAGCTTTAGGCGCGCTTGCGTTGCTAGCCGGCAAAGCTCTAATCGTTTCCAAGCTCGCTTTGGTGTTGGCCGGCATCATAGGCCTGAAAAAATTGCTGTCTTCCGGACATTCCGGTCACCACGACTCCGGGCACGTGGAGGTCGTTTCCGGTCACGGATCCGGCTGGGGTAGGTCGTACAACAAGGAGGACGCTCAGAACTTGGCGTACGAAGCGTACGCGCCCAAGAAGGACAGATAAATGTCCTCGATTAATTTAACTTTATTTAAATTATTTATATAAATTTAGGAATAAACGTTTTTGTACAGTAGTCACTTTCGTGTTCGCTATCGGCCATAACCTTAGATCCTTTAAAGGACCGTCGTGGCGGAGAAAGTAATCTAGCGGCGTTACACGATGATTACGTTGCAGCTGATTTTACTTTCTTCGGTTTGCTGAAATCTCAGACGGTTTCTAATGTAAGGTTTGGTCGTTTATTTCTCGCGGTAATCGCGGAGACTGCGAAAAAAAATAAACCAGTTCGGGTCGGTAAATGGACCGTGACAATGATCGTGCTAACACGTCACGGTCTCGTAGTTAAAGACATTGAAAATAATTTTTATGTCACGGAATATAATTCTAAAGCGATTTCATTCCTTCGCATGGGTGGTTTGCGGGTAACTTGTTGATTTTTTTAGCGTCTGTTTTTACCTACAGATTTAATAAAAAAAAACAAAGAGTTTAAGAGGAGATTAACTCGATCTATAGGGTACTTTGTTCAATGTAACCAGATTAATAGGTCGTCTGTAGACGTAGGTAGGAAATTAACCCATAGAAAAAATTATTGTCATGGAATAAGTGTCCAATATTTCTCAGAATGACTGCTCATTTAGTATTTAAAAAAAAAGCTGCTGCATTTTCGATATACAATATGTCAAAATGTGATTTCAGTTTTTATTCTTTCTGCATAATTTCTTAAGTAATTCCATTTTCTGAACAAAAATTGGCAACAGGATGTTTCTTACAACTCAAAATTGAATTTCTTGTTAACTTTTAATTATTTGAAATCTAAATATTTCGAAGAGGGTTTAGCCTAGTGATTTTTAAGAAGATGACCTGTTTCACATTAGGAATTTATTTTTTGTCAAAAACATAATGGAGGGTCGTACGAGTGGTCAGCCTTAAGCGAGAAAAGGCATCTGCGTAGTGCCACTTACAAGTCGCCAGACCCCCGACTTTCATCCAGAAATCGGCATTATTTAGGAAATTAGGCAGAAGAAACAAAAACAAACATAACAATTTGGCAACTAATATTAAGCATTTTAAACGACGCATTTCTGGTAACATCTTATCTCAAAAAACACTTAAGAAGTCATTTGATCAAATATTAGGCACTTATAAGAAGTGATGCAAATTTTACAACAGAAAAAGACGACTAGCAATAGGGATTGTAGTCGTATTCATGTGCATTTATACAAATGAGGGAACGTGGGTTGTTGATTACTTTATTTACCGATATATTATTGCTAAAATTATTTACACATTACTGTTTGGGGTTCAAACAATATTTTCTTTAAAGATTCGTATAAAATACAACAACTTTTTAAAACAACACATAAATAGAAATTAGAAATATTTTAGCCTTTTTAACGTTTAAAAATAAAATTCCTTTTCAGGAAATAGCAGAATGAATTTTTTTGTATATTATTTCAACACATTTACCTAAATGTACGTTGAAACAATATGCTTTATTTCTTAAAACAGAGAAAAATGCTAAATTATCTTTTTAATTTTTTGTTAGAACCAAATGAATTGGTAACGAATACCAAAATGTTGTTTCATTTTTATTTGTAAACAGTTGACAGAAATATAGATTATCATGTCATACAAATGATCAAATCAAATGAACCAAATTAGTAATCAGATGGAAATACTTCGCTTACGCTTACAAAAAATAAACTTCTTTTGCCAAATTACTTTAATCATATACAACACACGAAGTTACCATTTTAAAAGAATGTTTAATCAAAAGTTTAATAAAGTTCCGAAGAAATGTACGACCATTTATATTCAGTTCGGTCTACTCAACGATTGAAGTTCCCTAATTTACTGTAATTATATTGTGGTTTATATTACATAAATAAATAAATAAAACCGTCTTTATTTTAACCTCGGCGAATGTCAGCTGAGCTGTTAATTTAACCGAGTATGTCAAAAGACAATGCAAACTTAATTTAGTATACCAATTTTACATTACAAAGATGTGAATCAAGCATAAAACAAAAAAGAAAAACGATAAAAATCAATATTAAATGAAGAGAACTGATTAACAATCTAGGTAGTTTCCCGTAAGAGATATTTTTTAAATGAAGTTTAAAAGCGCAATCAAAGATATTCTTTGATTGCTTAATCTGAAGATGTTTATTAAGTAGTCTAACAAATGTATACGAAAAGCAGGTTTAGTCATAGGTAGGTAGCGGGTTCCACGGAAATGAATGCGATCTCCACAAGTCAGTTTTTCCAAGAAATATGAGAGGCATCCAGTTTTAAGTAGTTTGTGAAGAAAACAAGAAAAATGTGAAAAAAGTTTACGACTTACGGATCTCTTCGTTTAAGGCTATGAATATATCGAATACAGGAATTCTGTAATTTTTGGAATTTATATTTTATCAAAGCATGTGAGCAGGTTCCGTAGACAAAATTGCAGTAATTTAGATGACACAAAACCAGTCTTTCACAGAGATTTTTTTTAATCTAAAGTTTAAAGTATCTTTACTTTTATAGATGTTGCGAAGATTAATATAAGCCTTTTGAAGAATTTTGGAAATCTGTATACGAAATCTGAGTTCATTATCAAAGATAATAATCAAGTTTTTACATTCGTGAACAGCTGGGATTTTAATCCCATTTATAATGATATTCAAGTTTTGGACTTTTTCGGATTTAAGTTTAAGCCATGAGTGTTTGAGTATTTAAAGACCGATTCCAAGCATTTATTTAGTCTTTTTGCCCCTTCCACTTGATCAGACCGGAAAAAAGAAATATGTATTTGCGTGTCATCAGCATAGCTGTGACTATTGAACTGTATAAATAATGAAGAAAAGGGATCCTAATAATGAGCCCTAAGGAGCCCCCTGTCAACTTTTAAGGCTTTCCATCTAATGTTGTCAATCAAAACTTTGATCCCGATAATTACGAATCAATTGAATCGTCTTAAATTTAAACCCGTGTTATTTTAACTGGCGCAGAGCATAACATGATTGAGGGTATCGAAAGCTTGACTATAATCTAATAAGACCAAAGCTGTGTTCCCATTATCTGCTGCTGTCCTTTGCGAAATCCTGACCGTAATTTAGGTAAAAAGTTGTTATTAGTGAAATAATCGCAGATCTGCCTATAAATCAGTTTTTCAAATACTTTAGAAAGACATGGCAACAGCTTGCTCAATTTTGGTAACGGTATAATCTCTGCTATCTTCCACTGCGCAGGAAATATACAGCTTTCAATGCAAATATTAAAAAGTTGAGTAAGAACAGGCAGTATTGTTGGGCAGCCAACTTTTAGCATTTCTAGTGTAATTCCATTGGTACCGTGCGACATTTCATTGGCTACAAAATACAGTTACAAGTAATTTTTTTCTGGCAAACTGAAAAACAAAACGTTTTACTGTGTTAATAAATCTCCCTTTTTTCGAATGGAAATCTCTGCAACGACATAAAATATCTCCCAGCTGAGCGAAAGCAACAAACAAGGTGAACCCGTGAACTTGAACGACGGGACGTCGTTTGAAATTTAACGTTTTCCTAAAACCCATGCGACACAAACTACTTAAAACTTTATGGATAGAGACGATAACATAAAAGCTTAGAACGGCTTTCGACGTTGCAAGCTGTTTACTAAAAAGATTGGGATCTAGCTGCCCGATGTACGATATTTATAGTATCCAGAGAATTTCCAAGACGTTGTTCCTATATCTCCATGAAACGGATATTTGGGGATTTAACTCGAGAGACTTTACTGCTAAAACGTTTACATCTGCAACGGACAAAATATGGGGATCGTGATATACATTTTAAAGTTTTTCTGTTACAAACAAACTTTTTCTTATACAATTAAAACAAATATTCTCTTCTATGAAATGGCATGGAGTCTGACGTCTGAGCTTGTATGGTACATCATCCCCTTTTTTTGAAACACTCATACCCAAAAAACAAAAGCTAAAGTTGATGATTTCTGAGAATGGAAACATCAAAATCTATGCATAACATGTTGAGACCAACAGGAATTCCATTTTAAAATTAAAAATTAAAACTTCTACGTTGCCGATATACTGCGAAAGTTCAGTTATATGGACTTTTTTTTTCTGAAGAAGTTTTAACAAATTTTGCAATACCTCTATTTGATATTTGATCCTTTCTCACTGTAACTGCTTTCTGTTTTTCCTCACTTCTGCAAAGCGATTATTGATTTAAAACTATAAAATTTGAACGATAGTAGCTTATCATTAGAATAAAAAAACTTTCTAGAATTGGTATTAGTGTGAGACATTGGAAGAATGTATGAAGATAATGTGAAATCTTTTCAAAGAATTTTGCTAAGGTGATCATTATTTACCAGTAAGATATTTTTTGAGTTAAATTCATTAGGGACAATAGAAAATACGGAATGCTCGGTGTTAATTGAAGGTAGAAAAAGTGAGGTTGGGATTCCGCAGAGGTACATAGTACGGTAGACTCATTGCTCACGTCACTCAAGACAGGTTTCAAAAAAATGTTTGAGTGTGATCCTAAACAGGATATTTAATACAAAAATATTCATTCACTCTGATAAGAATTATTCTTAATACATAGGAAGAGTTACGGTCTTTTAATAAAGTACTTTAGATGCAAATTACGAAGGAAGTACATGGATGCTTAACAGGTTATGGATTTATTGGAACTTTGCAACATGAATTGAACAACGAATGGGAGTGAGAAATGAATATGACGTAAGTAAAATCTAGAGGTTATAACTTTGCAAGAAAAAGTACTCTTCTAAACCAAATAGTTAAAGATACATAATTAAAGATACGTTTTTAAGTTTTCCTTTTGTTTTTTAAACTTTCAAAAAGAAAATCAAATTTTCTTTGTCAAATAGGTTTACAGTTATATATCTGTTCAAGGGAATAGGAAGACAAATATGAAACGCCATAGAATGCGTAAGTTGGATGTTCTCAAATCTCGATCTTCTCAAAAGTTCTTCCAATTCATTGTGCGTTCTAGTGCGGTACTGTTGTGTATTTTTGTTTTCATTGATCCGTATGTGCTTCTTAGGATTCTACTCTCTGCAATTCCTAGTCGATTTTAATTGTGTTTTGTCAGCGTCCACGGCTCACATGCATATACCATATTTAGTCTTACAGGTTTTTTTTTCAAGTTTCGAGATATGTTTTTGGATTTCATTGTACTGTATTGATAGTATTGATTGCATTAGTCATGTTATTTTCTGAGGTGATGGTTGCTAACAGATATTTACATTCCTGGACCCTTTTAATATTATATTATTTGGTGGATTGAGCAGCTTGATGGACGCCTCTGCCGGTGCTACGCGTGGATAAAGGAGGAGGGTTAAGCATAGGGCTAACAACTCAATTTTGTAAAAACACTCTTCTTATGGAAACTAACAAGAATCCAAATACTTAGCTACTTAAAACTAGTTTTACGTGATTTGAGTTTAACTTTGAGTTTTTCAGGTTTTTCGAGGTTAGAGGTTGTTAATCAAATACTTAGATGATTTAATCTACTAACTTGTTATGGATACGTATTTCGAGTTTTTTAAGTTTTTTGAATTTTTCCAATACAATATGTGTAATTTATTAATCAATTATTTGATATAGGATGGTAGTTAAAATATTAAGGTCTAAGTGATTGACAGAATAAAATTGGAACTTGAAAAGCTTTTCTTAGGACTGGGAAGACAAATATAAAACACCGGTAAATATATATATATAGGTTACAAGATTTCCTGAATTTTCCGTTTCTTTTAGATCAAAATCAAAATTTCTTTATCAAATATCTGGTATTTAAAGAACAGATACGAAAACAGAAAAAAACACATTATTATACTTAATAGTTTATGGATTATTACAGCTTTTGAGCTAAAGGATTATTTTTTCTGGAAAATTGTCCAAAATAAGTTTAAGTATGTTTTCAGAAGAGTGGGAAGGTAATTTTGAAACACCACTCCTTTACTCTTACCAATCGATATCCGGTAGTTTTTAATTGATAATAATAATCATGTCCAGGATAAACCGCAAGTAATTGTCCTCATTCGATCTGCATCCACTCATGACTTAAAAATTTTCGCGAAGAAAGTTGTCAACAATACCGTTTCTTCGCCAGCATTACAATAAACAGTGTATTAGTCATAAGGCAATAAAATTTGTAATTATTATTGTGAAAAGTGGGTCGTTTTCAGTACGTATAATGTGTCCTGTTTCGTCGGCTCGGCCGTTCCCAAAATTTCTCGACGCATTTTGCAACTTTTTTAAGGAAATTCAGGGCAAGAATATTTTTGCGTGGTATGAGTATCATGGCCCAGAGAAAAATTACTACCACTAACTTTCAGCAACAACTGTCTTACTTACTCTCTTTATATTACATCTTATGTATTTTCGTTGATTTTATCAGTTTTAGTTGCGATCATCATGAAAATAATCGTTCATTAGGCTGCATTTATCTAATCAAGTTCAGGTGCAGCAAGTGTCTACATTGGCAACCGATTTGTGCAGTATCTTTCGGACGAAAGTTGAACTAAAGAAAAACAGACCATAAGTTGGTCTCTGTATACGTTACCATGACGGACTCTTGGTCACTAACCGGTAGATGTCAGGCACTACTTTTAAAAATTAAAATCTTCATCTAGACCAAAGATTTCAGATATATTTTTCTTCCTCGTTTCATTTGGTAATTTTTATTCGCTGGTCGCTATTTAAAAAATATTGATTTGGTTATTTACCATAACATTAACCTTAAATTCAGACAGACGATGCAATTTGCTGTTGAAAATGTATATATTTTAGAGGATTGGTTTCGTGTAAAATGGGCTTGATTATTTTCGTGGAATTTTGGTTTTAAAGGTTGTTTTTCAAATTTTAATATAATAAAAGATACTTTTTAGCTTTTGTTGGTGTTAAATCGCTAAACTTTTGCTTTTACTACCCATATATAAACTCGTGGGCATATAAGGGATATCCACAATACTAGAAAGAAAGGGCATGAGGATGTTTGTTTGAAGTACTGAATAAGATCCAATATACAACAAATTATATTTTAATTTCTTTGCTTACGTTTGGGGCTAATTAGGTTACATATTGACATACAGTTTCTTAAACAAATTGTTTATTAATTTTTTAAAGAAACTTTCTCACACTACTGTAATACCATTTACAAAGTTTCTGGATTCCTCCTGCTTCGGTTATGTATGAATAAAACTTGCGGACGTTTCGCCAATCATCCTGTTGGCTTCTTCAGAGCTTAACTGAAACTGCTCTCTGAAGAATCCAAAAGATTTGTTAATAATAAATTGTTTATTGACTTGTTTTATAATAGTTTTTAATTGTCGTGGTTATATTTTCCAATACCTAGGTTTTTAAACAAATTGTACCTCGTGAAGTTGTATTTACACTTTTAAGAGTCATCTTTTGTGATTTCAACTGTAAGTTTATTAACACAAACGCTTTGCGGCCAATTTACACTCACAAGTTCGGGAAACAATAGCTGGTAATTTTACCTTGCCTTTTACCTATTTATTTCTTGCAATTTGGTAGTAGACACGTTGCAATATTTACATGAAAAAATACATCAAAAAATGCATGTAGAAATTGTATCCTGTCTACCGGGCTTTAAATTGATTTTTTAGTATTAATAACAGGGAGTATTTATACTTAGATATATCTTTCGTACGTTTTCCAATGTCTGTCAAAGCATACTTTAAAAATTTGAAATTTAGATTTTGGTTTACTTTACCGTTCTACCTAGGGCCAGAATTTATCACTAAATCGACACAAGTTGCTGTATTTTTAGTAAATATACCATGCATTACTTTAAATAACTAAATTCAAAGTGTTAAAATTATGTCCTATCGGATCTTGATGGTTTTGGTTAGTTTCCAATGTCATCATGTATCTGAAAATATATTTAAAAGCTAAAGTAAAAACTGTTATTTTCTAAGCTGTTTTCTATTGCTTTTTTTGCTTAGACTCCTTTAAATCGCATTTTTACATGGAATTAATATCAAATATAACCTATCTTTGACAAAGAGCTATTTGCTTAAATTCATAATAGAAAAATACAAAAAATACAAAAAGATAAATTAAACACAATACGGAACATACCGACTAAAGCATTACTAATGCCGTCCTTCCCATGACGAATTTCATTTCTTTTTAATTACCACAAGGAAGGATTCCCTGCATATGAATGAATTTTCACTAGTAATACCACTAGAGTTCAAATTATTTCCGGAAATTTTTTCGTCTTCTTCGACTCAGCATAATTTTGAAAATATTCATAAGCTAGAAAAAAATTCCGGATTCAATTTGACATCGTGTGGTAATCGGGAAGAAATTTTCACAGCAGTAGTTTTTAACCAATAAAAATTGACTGTGTTGGCAGATTTCCATAGCAACGCATGTTTGGGTACCCACTAAAATTCATCCGTTGCCATCTGTAATAAAAAAAAAAGTTTTGATTGATTAAGTGGAATTTTCCGCAAAATAAATATCACATATGTTTCCATCGATTGTACAAAATAAGCATTCTGAAAGGCATTTTCGTAAGTAATGGCTAAATATCCGGTCCATTTTAGAACACATCTTAACATCTTATCAAGTTTTGCTCAATTACTGACAAAGTTCCACTATAAAAACCAACGATCTTCTTTGGTGAGGTATCGCCTTATTTAAATACCCCGTATATCTAAGTCCAATTAAAATGGAGACAAAGTGCTTGAACAAAGTTCACGCGATCTCACAATAGGATTTACGGCTCATCTAAGGTCGGAGAAATCAGACCATTCGGATTAATAACCACCCTTTAACCGATGAAGCAGTCATTTTCATGCACCCAAATTAGCGTTATCCTTTAGTCAATATGGCCGTCATTTCCTGCACGGAGCGTCTAGAACTAGAAATTAACGAACACACTAATTCGCACAAATGTTCCATTATTCCATATAAACAATTAACCGCAGTAATTTTTGCACGAAGCGTATCGAAAACCTACTTTAGATCTTATTGGTTTCGTTTCAGGTAACCTAAAAGAAGGAAAAATTTTACAAACGCATCTCAAAATGGACATTTAATGCTCTTTTACCGTTGTTAATCGACTTGTTTTTCCCACTTCGGGTTTGTATTTCTCGCCACGTTCTTATTAAGACAGCGTGGCGCGTTTTGAATTTGATGTTGCTAAATTCCACAAGGTGATTTTTTTAAAAAAACATGAAAAAGATTTTGATTTCCATAAAACTGAAAAAGTGGAACCATTTGTGGACAGCGGTCTCTAGAGCCGAAAATAAAATACAATTTTTATTTTTATGTATTTTTATTTATTGCTATACAGGGATCTCCGCTCTTATGATAGCTACAGCAAAGGGTAAAGTTTTAGAGGAACCTTTCAATTGATTTGGGAAATATCGGCGAAAAACCAAAAATGATTAAATTGACATCTGTCAAAATGTTATATTATTCAAACGCATTTAGAAGACGAGTGAGATAGCGTGTATGAGATATCTAGAATATAATATAAGAACATAAAATTTTCAGTTCAGTGATGCCTTGCAAGTCACACTTCGTAAAGTTGGGTTTTAATTATTTTATAAGTAAGCTATATTTCATTTGGCACCTGTTTTCCATCTAAGGAGAGTATATAACAAACAAATTATTGAAGCATGAATGACCTCAGCACTGTATTTGGAGATGTATCCTGAACGACAGCAGCCTCATAAAATTCATTTTAAAAAAATAGTAGTTAATTTAATCGACCATGGAACAACGTAGAATCCGATACACTGAAAATGAAAATCGCGACAGAAAAGTACATCAACGGTACAGAGAGAATTAAATATGAGTAAGTACCATCCATGCAAAGCTACAATAGTTCAAGGATTTAAAGAAACTGATTTTCAAAGACAAATGCGTTATTGTGTGTGGTATACTAGGAAACAAAATGAAAATCCCGGTTATGTAATTTTACGAATTGTAGAGTTTTTAATCATTGGGCTGTGAAAAATCCTCACGAAGTGGCAGACCACAGACTTGATTTGGAATTAACGTTTGGTGTGGGATCATTGGTAATTTAATTTACCTTTTTTAATTGACCCATATAATAAATTATCAATCATTTCAGAAAATCTACTTGTAGGGACATTTTTGTTTGACTATGAAGTGAACGGACTTAGAGCTTTTACGCAACCTTTTATGACCTAATTTAACCAAAGAAGAGTCTAGAAGCACATGGTTTCACAAACAATATTTAAGCCAGGAACTTCTTAAGCGGGCAGTTTGATGAAAGAATTATTTCAATAAATTGTCGAATATCTTGACCTCCTAGATCCCCTGGTCTATGAATTTGATTTTCCCGAGATTATAGAAACCCTGAGACAAAGAGTTTTGGAAACATTTAGAACCATTAACGGAGATACACTTGATAGGGTTTTACAAATTGCCACAAATGCCTCGATGCAAATGGACATCATTTTGCAAATCTGTAATTAAGGATCAGCTATTTCCTTTTTCAATGTTTATGGTACTTGTTCGTCGTTCAAGTGTTTTAATTAAATTAACGAAGAGTTTTCTTTTTAAATAACACGCAGTTCGTAATTTACCCAAGACATCTGACTTGTTGAAAAGTCTGTATTTACGTTGATGTTCTAATAACATTCAATGGGTTTATACGTTTTTCATGTCCTATTAATATTCATAAATTAATAAATCATGACCTACTTAACCTAACTTTAAGAAATATGATAAAATCTATTATGCACTTGTGAGGCATCACTGAACCGAAAATTTGACGGTCTTTTCAAGAATCGAAAAAAAAAGTTAAGGTGGGTTGCGAGATAATATAAGACGATTGAGATATGTATATCATATCATGCACGCTATCTTACTAACCTTAAAAAAGTGTCTGGATAATATCACATTTTGACAGCTGTCAATTTAACCGTTTTGGATTTACTGGGGAAAAAAGCAATCCACCATTTTCAGTTTTTAGTCGATATTTCCCAAACCAATTGATTGATCGTAAATCTGAAGCCGGTTATCAAAACACAGTTTCCTCTAATACTTTCCCCATTCAACCTTTTCTGTAGGTACAATACGAGCTGGAATTTGGGACACATTGTGCAGTGAGCACCATAAAAAAAAAAATTCTGTTATAAGCGAAGCTTTTAAACGAATCCAGTTTATTCTTATGTGATATGAACTGTGAGGAATAAATCCTGGAGAATTAATTATTATCTAGCTTCCACTCCCTTGTGAACAAAGACCCGAAAAAATACATAGAACTGATATGGCCAACAATCGATAGGGATAAGTTTTATAGTTCTTAAAATTGTATCTAAACTGTTAAAATGATTGGTTTTAACTGGGCAGTTGCGCCGCCTAGCGACCATTCGAAGCATTTGAAAATTATTTCCAGCGTTGTCGCTTGTGCGATTTATTAATATTTCTTTTTTAACTGTAGATTTTGGATTTTGGAGTCAATTTTTTACTCATAATTTTTTTATTAAAAAATTTAAAAAAAATTATTAGTCCCTGAAAAAATAATAGAGAAATCAAAATATGTGGAAAAAGAAATTATAAACATTTTTTTTAATGAAAAATGGTCAACTTTATCATCTTTTTCAGTTCAGTTCATTAATTAAATTTACCGAGAGTATATTCAAATTTTTCTCAGGCAAGAAAATCTTTCCAAAACTAAGTTGTTCGATGTTTGAAACAAGGTATAACTGAAGCATTTTTTGAAATGTTCAATTTGTTTGCAAATTATTAGCCAATGATGAAAAAAACAAACAGCCTCCTCCGCAATGTTTGTGGATATATTTTTGTTAACGGGTTGTCTTATAATCTGAGCGGGGAATTCTAAAATCCAAAAACTTTTTCATTTAGTAACAAAATAAAATCCAATAATCAATTAAATATTTATTACGGAAAGATGAAAAGAAAGTAATCGTTTTTATCATCCATTAAAACGCAGCAAAAATTTTAATTTAATTGTTAAAAGCAATTCAGAATTTAATAAAACATTATTTTCAAATACAAAAAAAAAGAAAAAACTGAATTCAACAATTATAAGCAATTTTTAAACCAACAAAGTCCTAATAAGAATAAACCAAACTGGATAATTATTTACCAAAATATTTTGTCACTTCAAATTTTTGTAAATTGTTGACTTATAATTCAAGATAAATTTTGATCTAGTAATTGCCGAACTAACTGATAGATACAATCACCAATTTCATTGGTTGAAGACTATTATTGTGAATTTAAATTTCAATTCTTTGCATCACAATTTTATCAAACAGCAATAAAATTTCAAGGGATATTTTAATTTAATAATAAGATAAAATTCAGTAAACAATAAAATATTAATTATAAAAATAAGAAGTAAACGAAAAAAATTGTATTAAGAGTTATTAGCCATTTATGAATCAATAAACTAATAGTAAGAATAAACAACCAATCCTAACAATCATTTAAAAAAATAATGGCAGCTACTGTCAATTTCTATGATTGAAGGATTTTGGGAATTTGATTTCTTTTTCGTAATATGACTGAATTACCATCATATTCCCTTTTTAAGATGGAAATTTCTCTCTCCAGTGGCCAAACATTGTTTTCTGACCATCTCGCATTTCCGTACGATAATTGCACAGAAAGAAAATAGTAGGTACGTTCTCTGGTAACACACATTTTCAATAACGAACCTACATTAGACCAGTATCCGACGGCACCTCCCTTATGATCATAAAACCGTAACGTCCGATGGAACCAGGCACAGTGTTTAACAGTGTCGCTGGTGGTCATCTTCACAATGGGCAAGGAGAAGTTTTTATTTGTCTTAGTGATCATTGCCCATGGTGTCGCGACTTATACCGATGACGAGGCATACGAAGAAGAGAAGATGATCTACAAATCTGCCCTAGAGTTTGCCAAAGAGTGCGGTGCTAAAGAAATGTCGCTTTGTCTCAAGGTAATTTTATTGTTTTCTTTTTTCCTGCCCATCTGGTTCCAGCCAGAAGAGCTCAAATTGCTGTATTATATTTAAATTACTTTTTAACAGTTTTCAGGAAAATTTGATGAACCTATTTTTAACAAAATACGTACTCGATTAAAAATACTAATATTTTTCACTGCTGCAAAGATATTTTCTTCAATGTGTACTTCTTAAAATATGATAATAACAGATGATATATCCTCTAATGGCAAATATGATTGGCAGTATGTAGGGGGTACATAAATGAGTCCCATAAAAGAATGCAGAGCATGGGCATACCAGGAAATAGGGTGGGTTCAACAAGATAATTTGCGAATTCTAATTATAAATAAATCCTATTAGAAACGAAAATTTTGTCGTTTTCCGAGCCATATTTTCAATTTTAAACCAAATTAAATATTTATCTTGCGAACTTCTCTGATTGTCTTTCGATTGTCATCATTGATTTTTTGGATGGTGCTGATGCTGATATTAAATAACAAATACAATTTACAATCAAAACATTTTATTCGATAAAAAAACGATTATTTTTTGGTATCAATTTATTTTCAAGACGTTTCTTCTTTAAAGAAGTTTTTACATTTTAAAAAGAAGAAAAGAGAAAATTATGTGCCTCTAATAAAGATATGGTTGTGGATTGTATCGGCGGGTTTTTGGACAATATGGACAACTTTATCAGTTTTGGTTAGTTGACCTCACTTGAGTATGTAACAATAAGAATACAAATTATACTGCCTCTAGAAGTATAATTTTATAATTTGTGGACTACTTGTTTTCTATCTTGAACACTATTATATCTATTTATTTTATGATCTTTTTAAAATTTTAAAGTAAATGATTTTTAATTGTTCCATACCTCAAGTTATGAGCATGATGAAACAATAAATACTTCCTGCAACGAGACCAAGTTTGCTAAAATCCCTTTTAGGAGTTAGAGCGATTTCAAAAACCATATATTTCGTTAGCATATCGACTAGAGTAAACTCACGTTAAAACTTGCCAATGTCAGTTACGCCCACTGGCCCTCTTCTTTTGCCCAACAAATTTTTACCCCTCTATGACGAACAGTTTCCCGAAATACATCACTTTACAATTTTATCTGGTGACCATGTACTCATTAAACAATGCACTCCAGCATTTTTTTCCGATAAGCTCCATCGGAGAAAAATAAATATTTCCGTTCGTTAAGCACGCGCCTAGAGGTTTAGGCGTGTCGGATATGCAATATTAAAATAAATGACCGTTTTCAATACCAGTTTTATATTCACGTCAAACGACGATTAATACGTATTAATGAATGATTTTTTTCGGCACTCAAGCGAAACGCTCGTATACACGGACGACTATAATTAAGTATTTTCAACTAGGCTAGTGACGTCCCATTCTAATTATTATCTACGACATTTTTGTTCCGTTTAAACAATCCTTTAATTTCAGCTATATGGTTAAATTTTCATTGGCAATTCACTTTTGGGGAAATGTTATATGGGCATAAGTATTATATGGAAGGGAAATGGGAAGTAAATATAAAAAAGCAAAAAATGTATATATAAATTATAAGAAATACATTTTAACTTAACTCAAATATCCTCAATCTTCTCTGCTAAACCATTACTAATGTAAGCTAGAGAACGTGTTTCGGCTATAAGCCGTCTTCAGTGTGCCACCACGCCTTATTAGGCATTATGACCAAATCCAATCCATTAGTGTCTTTATTTGTCTCTATCTGTCTCTATCGTCGTTTATATTTTGCACCGAAATTTTACTTGATGAACTGCAGAAAACGACTCATAATCAAAATATATTCTGTGAAGACTTACATTAATAAAGGTTAGCTCCTAGATAGTTTCAGAGGTAAAAATAACTAACAAATTTTCCTAGGAAAAAGCATTGCGATACATCGATTCATTGCCCAGTGAAATGGAAATCGGAGGAGTGAAAATTAAGTCAAACGGAGCTCATCCTCGAAGAGAACCTCTAGAGAAACTACCGGAAGAACCAAGAGCCCGCGAGAGCGCACTAGAAAGCATCCTTTGGGAAAGGATCGGAGAATACCTCAGCACGCACTCCTTAGAGATCCAATTACCTAAGGATTCGATGCAGGGCCTTGAAAAGGGAACCGAGGAAGGTATAGTGACGGCTCCAATACGCTTGACAATAGCTCACGTAACATCACTTTTTAGGCCGTGGTAAAGGAGGCGGGGGCGGCGGCAAGAAAGGCGGCGGGGGCGGGGATCGAATGAAAGGTATGATGATGATGTTAATGATGAAAGCGGCGATCTTGGGGGCGATAGCGTTGAAAGTCATCGGATTGATAGCGTTCAAGGCGCTGCTGCTAGCGAAAATCGCTTTCACCATATCAGCAGTTATCACACTCAAGAAACTATTGGAGCACAAGCATCACACCTCGACGTACGAAGTGATAGCGGCTCATCCCCACCACGATTTTGATAGGTCGTTTATTCCCGATCAGTTGGCTTACAAAGGGTACGACGGGGTAGGAAGAAATATTCACTGATATGAAAGGTGACGGTCGGAACTTTTGGGATCTACGTGCGAAGTGAAATTAATAAGATTCGGAATTACTATTCGCGTGAATAGCGGTTCGGGAATCTAGCGAAATGCAAAAAATTTGTGAATTATTTCCAATAATTTCTTGACAAGGATGGAGGATGACAATTCTATCAGTACTGAATTTGGTCGAGTCACATCGCTCTTTTTGTCAGGTCTTATGTACTCATACCTAAACCCTAACGTGTTGCCTAGTATTACTTTTTTCTCAAATAAGTTGCCATATCTGGGATTACATCAATCAAATACAACCTGAAAAAATGTTTTCTAGACAAAAAATTCTCTCACTTGGTAATATTTGATATAAAATGATATTTTCATTCTATAAATCTTTCCTACCTTGCTAAAGCTTGACTGGAAAGTGTGAAGGAAGAATCATGTAATTCTAGGTGCGATGCGAAATGGGTATAAACTCAATATTTAAGTGTTTGATATGTCGCACAAAACTCGTACAATAACGTTTCCTTAATCTGTGTAATTTATTGCTACCTTGAGTTTGTGTATTTCCATTTTCACCAACTAACACCCTTTTTAAAGATTTAGATTCTCTCCATTAGCAGTAGTGTTGAATATTACGGGTAGCTTCAGATTACAGATCTTACTTTCCAAATCCAGGTCAAATTATAGCTTCTAAGAAGGAAACAAAAACTGGCCAAAGCTGCTACCGGATTGAATGTTTGCACTTCAACTTATGTCGCTCATAAATCATTTTTTGAATAGTTTTGGTTAGTTGTTGCTACTGTCGTCAATTCTCAAAAAAGAATTTGACCTGATATAGATTTGTACGGCACAAAATCGAGCTTGTTTCTATAATTAATATCTATAGTATAGGTTTCTTTAAAATTAGCCCATCTGATTTTTATACACAGCCCAGCAGGTTATAGTACTTAATGTCGCAATCAAAATTAATTTTTTGACTACTTATCAAACCCATAGTTTTCTTGACGAAATAGTAGTCTTGGGTTGAAGAATTCAGATGTACATATTTAATCATTAATAGTCTAGTTACTACCATACTACACAAGAACATAATGGTGAAGGGTTAATTTGAGTTCAACCTAACCTATAATACAAAATTAACGTTTAACTTGATTTAACAGTGTAGATGAATCGAAAGATCTTTTTTTGCCATTGGTGTTTATTCTTTTGCATCTTAACTTTAATTTCCCGAATTTTATGCGTGGCAGAAGTATCCCAGTACGTAACCGTAAACCAACGTTAAACCGAACGATTTAATGAAGGAAAACAATTCCAACCAGACAGTTTACGATCCTTTTAAGCGAGTGCCACCGCCTAAGTCGTAATGTCGAATAAATCGAATGCAGATAATCGTTCCGTTTAAACGCCGGTTAATAAACACCATTCATTTTTTGTCGAAGGAGTATCATATGGCGCACCGCACGTTAAACCGGTATTTATTTTATTATCCAGGATATCTACGTAGATCTTTTTACCGTAACTGTATTTCGTAGGTCAGAGGAATGCGCGAACGCGATTTTGTAGATCTTAGTATTTATTTAAGTACTTATTTAATGTATTTTACTGGAACGTTGTTAAATAAACGATGTCGCATTCAGGTTGTTGCTACTTCTTCTTCCCAGTTAATCAACAAAGCACGTGGACTTATAAAAGAAAAATGGTCAGTTGCAAATAAAATTTAATAAATTTTTGTATTCTAGTACTGATGGAACTGAAATTCTTATGGCCGTAGTTTTGCTAAAAAAATCTTTTCTTAAAAAATTATAACATTGAAATTTTACTTTCGAAGATCTTCTGGAAAATGCTGTAACCATTATTGTTTTCTTTCCAGCTTATTTGGAAAGAAGTAGGGAGTTATAGTTTTTGTTGAATAATGTTCTTTAAATTAATTCTTATATCTTCTCACGGATTTCCTTGAAATTTCACAGCGTTGTTGGTTGCTGAGTTTTTCAATACTTCAATGAAATAGAGCAATTAAACCTACTACTTTTTCATCTCATGAATTTTTCTCATATCTATGAAGGTATTCGAATTACCTTAAAAAACTTTGATTATAAAAAAATTTGAACCCATTGAAAACAATGCAGTTCCGGATTCAAATTTATGGGATTTTCTTCCATAAAATATATATAAAAATAAGGACAACAGTTATATAGCATTTATTGTCATAAAATACAAATACAATGTTATAAGACAAGTCCAAGTGGTCCAGGTGGAAAAGAAGACCATAGATACTGACTTCTCCAGGATAGTATTATCTAAATTATAAACAACTTGGATAATTTAAACCTATACCACATTCGAGCCATGAAGGTATTTTTTTAATAATCTCGGTAGAAAATAAATGTTGATACAAAGAATCATAATCAATAATCGATAAATGGATCAAATTAATAAATTTCAAAATATTAGTTGCTTTTCAATTCTATTATGCTATGGATTTCATCTTTAGTTATTTCAGCTTAAATAAATGTTTTGAATGTGATGTTAAATAACGAAAGGGTTCTACTATTAAGGAATCCTCTTTTTTTGTGAAACTCTAGCAGAGAGATAAAGAAAACATAATAATATATAATATGTCCTATTGTTTTAAATATCTTAGGTTTGATAGTGGCTTGGTTCATTCTGTTTCTGGTTGAGTAAGGATGTTCATAATTTCTAATAGGAATTTTATTTAATAAGATGTTATTTTTTGTATCGAACATACCAGATTCATTAAAAATTGGTTCTATTTTTGTGAAATGTTGATTCCCTCTAAATATTTGTTTGGCAACCCACCCCATCCTAAAATTCCTGCTATGCGAGAGCATAGTAGAAGCTTTTAGGTTGGTCTGACTCTAAAACTTTAGTGAAAAATCGGAAAATTGATGTAAGTGGTCTAAGTTTATTTGTGATATATTCGGAGGGGTGGTCCCATCTGAAATGACTATCAAAAATTATTCCAAGATACTTAAATTTATTGCCAGATTTGTGAGAGTTACTTGAAATTTAAATATATCATATAATGTCTAATTAAAACGCATAAAAACAGTTTTTGTGCTTTTTCAGAGCTTAACTGAAACAATTTCAGTTTAAGCTCTGCAAAAACCAACAGGATTATTGGCGAAACATTACCAAGTTGGACTCAATAAAAACCGACTCACGAGGAATCCAGAAGTTTTGTAAAAAGTATAACTTTTAAGTGTGCATTCAAAAGCATAGGTTAGAAATTTAACTCAATATACGTTAACCCAGAGTCTTGATAATATTTCTGAAAACGTTGCCTACAAGAAATCAATAGTATTTATTAAATAGCGATATAGTTTGTATGAAATGTGACGTTACAACGAATAAAGGGTTACGCCCAAGTAGGGAAGTTTATAACTTCTCGTACTTGTTCAGCTTTTGCTTTTTCGTGAGAAAAGTCAATTTTCGAAAGTGAAATAGTATATTATGCGACAAGTGCGGTAAACGGCATTTGACTCACGAGTTTATTTGATATGAGAAAAGGTGTTTTTCTACTCCCGTTTGTAAAATACCTAATTACACCCCGATCTAGCGTGCGGGAAGCGTCAATTTACCACGTCAGTTTCGTTTCAAATGAATGCGAGCTACTTCGGGCATTTCCGGGATTTTACCGCACGGGTTTAGGAGCAATCGGATGTTCTCGGAGATATTTCCCACGCTTTGAATTTTGACTTTTGTCAATTCTGACGGTCATGTCAGTAAATGCATTCTTGTTGTTTTGCAAAAATGTACCCAAAAATTAGTAGAAAAAGTATAGTATGCAACACATTCTGTAAACTTTTTAACTTTAAATGCACGCACTTGTTGCACAATTGTTGAAAATTTTAAAATTGTAACATTATTTATTCCTTGTCTGTCTCGGGAATTATGATCTCCCATCTTTCGTGGTTACCATAACAACCATTCATATTTAGGCAACGCCCCTCGCTCCGCTTGTCCCTTGCCATGATGCCCAAATTTGCATCATTACAATAGCAATGTTGAACGTCTGCGAAAAAATCATCACCCATATCACACACATCGATAAACTAATTCAATATTTTTTTATTTCTGGGTCGAAATATATTAAAATGAAATACTTAATTTACCAATTCCCATAATTGAAATTTGTGCCAAAGGTACTTCCCAAGAAACTCATATAAGGATAAGGTTGACCGGATTTTTCAGCGAATCAGTTGCTGGACAATGTCGTTGACATTTTTCAGACAAAGGCGAACTCCAAAATCCTCGAACCGTGCATCATTAAAAGTACACAAAAGATGTCTATAAATTCGAGAACAAAGGCCGGCAATTAGTAAGCACTTTCACTTAAAAGTTCATATTCACTGGAACATGACTATTGTCGTATATAAATCTCATAAAGGCATTTTCCCAGATTTGTTGTTAAAAAGTTTCGCCAGGTGGTATGATATACGCAACACTTACAATTTTCGCGTCGTTTGGTAATAATCGTTTCATGTGCACTGAAATTTCCGCGTTTCATCGAGCAAGATGTACACCATAGGTTGCAGGATGTTTCTTTTCATACTCTGGATGAATTTTGTAAAAGCGTCTATAGTGAATACGCCAAGTCTGCAGGAAAGTTTCAAGCAGTGTCTCGTTTCCCAACCGCAGAGTACGATCGGATATTGTTTCGGTATGGGAGCCATTAACAGGTTGCAAACTTGGGACTCCAATCCAGAATTCGACGTCATCGACGGAGTTACTTTGACGAAGGACTTGACCCAAGAATTTCGCGATGTTTACAACTACGCTGACCAGGATCCTAGTAATTTCAGGCAAGTAGTTAAGCTAAACAAATCATCGAAAAATAGCAATTTTTCCGGTATGTTGAGTTTTTATTAGACAAAATTTTACCACCTCATACAATCGAAGATATTTTATATTAATTTTACCAAAATTCTTAAAATTAAATACTAAAATTAGCCCATGAATATTTCTATTTCGTTTTTCTTGTTTTTCCAAAAAGCAACATTGTCATTTTCACGGTAGAGCGCAAGAGCATTTCTCTTATACTAAACATGTGCCTTTATTGTTTATACAAAAATAAGAAATAGTACAAATGTTGTATGTAATTGTAAATAAATATAACATTATCCTTTTTTATACTCTGTCACCACTAAAGTCTCCATGATATGGAATGTTTACTAATAAATGTTCCCTTTCAACATTATATTTTAGAAATCGTAATAGAAAAATACACAGGTGCCCCAATTTTTTAAAAAAATGAAAATAAAAGGTTCTTTTTATTCTTTCCTACTAACTTTCCTAACTAATGTCCAAACTTTATTGATGGTGACACTGTCCTTACCGAAGAAACGAAGAAATGTATATGTAAATAGATCAATGATCTTTGATGATTTTGCTGATTTTGACAGGTACTCTAAATCTCTGTAAGATGTGGAGATGTCTGGATTTTAATAAACGCTCCTTACATCACGTTTATTAATTTTTTTATCATTTTTAATTTTAATTATTAATTAATTAATTTTTATTATGTATTATTTATTTTTTATTAAAAATTACACCGAGACAGAGGTTGTTTTGAACTTGTAATTGATATTACATTTCAATGTTTTGCAAAGATTTATTACATGCTAAATTTGACGTTTTTGTAGGAGCATAATGGACACCATTGATCACGTATTTTCAAGACGTTCAATGCGGTGGGATATGAGTTTTATATATCCCGGCCTTATGATGCAGGTGGCGCCATCTCTTAGCCCTACCGGAGTGATTGAATTTGTGCTCGACCCGAACAGCGAAGCACTGAACAGACACAGAGTTAAAGAATTTGGAACCGGTAAAAATTCGAATTAATTACAAACGCGCCGACTACATAGCGGCGCCATCTCGTGGTGAACAATGTTAAAATGAATATAAGGCGACAAGTCTACCAATTGCAGTTTGCTCTACAATTGCTTTGTGTCGCTACGTCGCTACGGATCGCGCTGCTAAGTTAAAATCGAAAAAATTTATAAGTATTTCAAAGAAAACTTCTGTTTTTTTTAATGATTTATTCGGACTCTTTTGAAAAAATGCTTATAATTTAATATTGATTTTCAAGGTTTCTATTATTATTTATTCTTAATCAGGAATCTACAATGTAAAAATTAGAAGTGAATATAGTATTACAACTACATCATAGTTAAATAAAGTTCACAATTTGAATATAGATGCTCCGAATTGTATTATATTGTATTTTTTATATGCAAACAAATCGCATTTTAGAAAAAAATTACTGGTACACTTGATTTTTTTTCTTATTAGATTTGTTTAACTTTTTTAAAAACACGTTCCTCGATTACTTCATACCAAAATATTGCTGCTAGTGACTTCTATAAGGGAATTTTTTCCCTTGAAAATGCAGGATGCATTCACTTTTTTAATAAGAATATCATAGACGTTCGCATAAATAAAATTGTCAAACTCATATTGTACTGCATTATTATGTAATATAAATTTGTAGGAACCATTTTGGCGAGACAATTCCTCGTTCCTCTAATGCTCGGCACGAAATTTAGTATGGCGTCGATTCTACCTATAATATTCGGAATTTTGATTCTCCTCGCCAAAAAGGCACTTGTTGTCAGCAAACTGGCGCTGATTGCTAGCAGCGCTTTTGGATTGGGATCGATGCTTTTTAATTATGGGGGCTGCAACAATAACCACCCTACCTTTTCGGAAAATTATTATCACGGCGGACAATATCATCCCTCAAACTATGGCGGGCATTATGACAACAGGTTCGTTAAAAAATGGTCTAAATCCGTCCATTGTTGTTCAGGCTAAGTTTTTAGGTTCAAAGAATACAACGATGTTGTTTACCGTGGAATGACTAATCTACAAGAGGAACCAGCACTTCACTTTGATGATAACCACGATGCATACGATCGAGATCAAGCTGAAAAAAGGAACGGGAGAAATTTCGCGTGGAACGAAGATGAAAAAATTAAAAAAGCCAGTTGATATCTACTATAAATGACGTCACGATATAAGGACATTAAAATAATGAAAGTGTCAATGAAATACTTTGTGGTTATGTGGTTAGAAAGGAGAATTTTCTGATAAAATCGCTTTTTATTGCTTAAAAACTAAAATTTTCACTTATTTCAATTGCTTCATTATTTCCGAAACTATGTTCAAGAAAATCATCGCGAGATGCTAAACGTTGAGGTTAATTGCTTTGGAAACATTGTATACGAAGCAAAATTTTCGGATATTAATTTAGGAACGAGAGATATCCCGTAAAATCTCTTGTCACAATTGCCATTGCAAATCAATTTTGATCTCTGGTGTGTTGCTTTGGTTAGCCAATCGGAAATAAACAACAACTAATGTCGTACTTTCTATTTTCCTTTTAAAACTAAATTACACGCTTACACATTTGGTAATTTTACAAGAAAAATTAACAAAATAATACCGGCAAAATTAGCGCGTAGCGTATCCCGCTACCATCTGTCACCCCACAGTTACCCATTTCGCCGTTCTCACTCGTCTTCTTCTTAACTTCTGACAATACACTTTACCACAAACACGATTGGGACAAGGTAATGGGCGCACCACACTGCTGTGAAATTTTCAATAAAAATATCCTAAACATCATTTAAATACTCATGGATATAATTCCTTGAATGTTTCCTACCTGATTATGTTCAAGTTATTCATTCCAGTGGCTTCCACTAAGAAAATCTAATTTAATAGGTTTTATATATTTTCTTGAAGAATTAAAAACAAAACTCTTTTTCCCAAAGCTTTTACTGTATATTTTTGCATTTTATTGAAATGTCTCTTAAAATAAAATTAATTACATTTATACTGAGTTGTATTGTATCAAGTAAAAATAAGCCACTGACTGTAACGAACATATCAACAATATCTCATCAAACGTAACAAAAACGTGTTTACGATATGCATGAAAAATTGACTAAAATTCTAATACTTCGCATATTGAAAGGCACGCAATTGAGGACAAGAACATCTAAAACTTCAAATGTAGCAAATTGACTGAATGCTTCTGTGGCTTCACGCAATACAACATTTGCTAATTAAACATAACGACTGTAGTCACAGTATTTATTAGAAATAAACAATAATAAACGTTCCTAGTAAAATGAAAGTTTAAAAACTACGTCGTCGATCGGACGGTGAAATTAAGAGAGATAATTTGGATTTGAGGGTTATTTGGTTGAAGTATTCAAAAGAAACCCATAAAGCTCAATAATACAAAACTATAGTCATCATCAATAATTAATAATAAATATTGGAATACATTACCCGCTATTATGATTGAAATTGAGGAGAAAAAATAATATCTTATTTGCTGTAAGGGTTTACATAATCAGCTGTATCTAACAAACTAATACCCAATATTATAAGCAAAAGGGAGACTGAAATGCACGATATTAATTTAAGAAAACTGTTAATAACATAATTAAATAGAGAGTTAATTTAATAAAAATTGTTTGTATTGTTATTTAAACGCATCCACTGTTGATGTTTTTAAATTGTTTGGGATATTTGTTAAACAAAAAATAAATAATTATAAGTAAAACACCTGTCATAGCCGACTGTAGAATGGGGTGGACATACACCAACGAAATATTAAATTAAGAGAGACAACGATATAGAATTTTAATTGGTACATTGCTATGGACGATCCCTAGTAATTTTATAAAACGAAACGCTTCCTTTAATTTATAAGAGAACCTCTCCTCTTTTACGGCGAATGCCATAAATTAATAGAAGGAAGAATATTATTGGTATATATTAAGGAGGCAGGACAATATACAAAACCCGTAAAGTGATGTTACTAAGAACAACGTCAATTTAATTTTGTCATTCCTAAACAAAAAAGGTGGGAGACATATGTTTAAGATTGGAGCATTGGATTCGGACATATTTGTTTTGTTAATTTAGATTCAAAAATTAACACAAAATTTTAATTTGAATGTTTTGACAAACTCTATCATTATTTGCTCCAAATAGAAAAACTGTCAATTCCGTTGCATGTATTAACATTTATTCAGCACCAAATTTTTAAACTCGACGAGTTAACGATATTTATTTCTTCGCATAAAACTACCCAAATTGTCGTCGGTCTTCATTGGCTTGAAATAAATAAATAAATAATTACAAAATGAAAGAGAGAAACGCAGAATTAAAAAAGAAAAAAATACTAGAAGACAAATAAAATAAAATAATAAAATAAATAAAATAAATAAAAAGGAAAAATTGACCAAGGCCGAAATTTAGCCTCCTTATCAAGGTGTGCTATTCTCACATTTGACCCTAAGAAGCTTATAAAAAATAAATATAATTTTTTTCTATCTAAACTACAACTAAATTTAAATTAAAAAGTTCTCTAGTGAGAAAAAAATTAAGACTAAATTTCAAATAATAGCATGAAAACTATTTAACGAGAACAACCAGTCTTCAAAATTTAACATTGGAAATCAGTGGTCTGGAAAAGTTTCCTTGTGTATATTTTAAACGAACTTATAGAAAAGTTTAAGCTCTCACAGACCAGTAGGACAAACATTTCTGAAAAAGTGCGGATTTCTGTTTGGAAATCCTAATTAGTTTGTTGGATGAACATGTGGGTGTATTTGACGTGATAATTTTGTGACTTAGCTCAGTCGTTTTTGTGTAATCCACAAAGGAATCGGAAGTATGCATTTTGTACTCTCTGGATGCAGGTTTTTTCTATAACATTTGAAAAAATTGCGCACAGTAGCTCGCAGTAAAGAAAATGTGAAAGAATTCAAGATTCACGTACTATTTTTTTCATATTTTTATTTAGAAAACGTAGACTACAACAAAGAAGCTTCAAGGCGTCAAAAGCTCTGAATAATCAGCTATTGATATGTTTATGAAAGTGTAAACTTGTCCAAAGTTTTTAACAAAAATTTGGTTATTGGCATATTATTCATTCTTAAATATAAGTTATTTGTTTCACTCAAATTTTGTTTTTTGTCAAAAATGATGGATTAAGTCGCGGATTATGACAAAGTGGTCTAGGTCAGGATTTAACTGAGTTAGTTGTTGATATGGGTGTAAAGTTGCAGAAAAGGCGATAGAATCGAAGCTTTTTGTCTCTACATACTGAACTCTTTCCAATAAGTAAATCGAATTAGGGTGGTTATCGCTATTAGGAATTTATAGCTTTAAACCAGTATGTGATGGGTTTTGCCTTTCTGTTCTTGGTGGAAACGTCTGGTGTCCCTGAAAGGTCGATTCCTGATCCTTTGCTGATTGTTATTTATATTAACGATACCGCATGGAACCTTGACGTGTAGTATGTTATGTATGTTCTTCGATTATTCAATGGATAATATTGTTTCCGTCAGAGACCTGGGAGTTGCATTTCATGTGAAGTTCAACTTTAATCTGCATGTAAACAGCAGTGTCAAAGCTGCCTATAGACAATTGGTTTTCAACACTTACGCTTTTAAACAATGCCTTTATGAAGTCTAAATTGGAATATGCGTCCCTTATTTGGCAAGCTGGCTACGCTGAAGGTTTAGAGATAATACAGGGAAAATTTTTAAAACTTTTGACTTTCAGGGTTGAGGGAGAGTGCTTTGCAAGAGGTTTTCTCACGAGATTCTTCGTAATACCTTTTTAGAGTGCGGAAAGTGTCATTGTACCACGTCACTTTCGTTTCCCATGGATCCAAGTCACTTCAGATTATTTACGTTTCAAGTTAGCTAAACTTTTTAAGTTACTCGTTTATTAAGCACTCGTTCCACTAGTGCCAAATAAACTCGTGCGTCGGTTTTTGCTGAGTCGAAATTGCTGACGTTTCGCCAATCATCCTGTTGGCTTCTTCAGAGCTTGACTGAAACTACATCGTATTTTATTCTGTACCTGTTATATATTGTTTGAGGGAGGCGCTAATGAAGGGTATAAACACCGTGTCGGATGACTGATTCCCAAATTGGTGACAGGTAGAGACCTGAGTCACGGTTAAGAATGTTAGGTTGTCTATAGATTTCTATAGAATCTCGTTGGTAGAAGAGCTGATTGCATGTAAGAATTTTAGTTTTATCGAATAAAATTTTATGCCCGGTTTCATGAGTGTGTTCGGCAACAGCTGATGAGTTTATTTGTAAATATTTTGTAATAATCTGGGGCCAAATCTGAAATTATCAACGCAATATAATATTTACATCTCTTATTATCCTTTGAACCCTCTTAATTTAGTCATAGTTGTCAGATGGATAATGATTTTCTTTTACTTCGCAATATTTAATAAAGACGGGAAAAATGAAGTTGTCTTTCCATATAAAAAAATATTCGACTTGTTAAATCTTGTTCTTGTCTTTCAATAGATCTTATTTAGAAGACCTGGAATAGAAATAATTTGATATTTTAAAGTTAATTATGTATCCTCGAGCTAATCAAGATCAAATATTACGCATAGAATTTTTTTAACAGCAAGTAAATAACCCCGTTCTTTGAAAAACCATGTTAATGTTATAAAATACAGCAATAACTATATCGTTAACTGCGTTTCGATATTATATATTATTAATATCTCCTTATCAAATACACCGCTAGAGTAAGCAACGTGATTACCGTATTTTAAAGCTCAGTGGAGAGGAACGCGCCGCACTTTTACAACTGATGCATCAGACGTGGATGCAATGCATTACTTTATGGTACCGAGAAGTAACTAATTCACCTAATTCGTCATTCCGCTGATAGAGATCTTTCGAACATTAAAAGGAGTTTCAAAATTGCCCTTTTATTAGCTTTATTATGATTTTAATAAAATAACAGTCGTAACAACAATAACAACAATCTTATATTCTTGAGGAGGACAAGAATTACCAGTAGGAAAGGAAAGCCGATGTCTGATTGATCTCATATTTTCAAACGACTATGATTTAGTTGAAGCATCACTAGATTTCTCACTGATGGCTTTTATAACTAACATAAACCAGGTTGTAGATAAGATAACACCAATGAAAAAATTATCGACAAAGTTCCTTGGATGAGTCCTATGATCCTTCAGGCACAAAAGACATGAGATATCGCTTATATAAACTTTAAGCATATTAAGTTGCAGATCTTTGCGTAATTATCAGACCAAAAGGAATACACTTGTGAGGGTTTTAAGAGCATTGATCTGTATAAAGGAAACAGCAATAAAATGTGGCGAACGTTAAAGGGATTAATACTCATAAGCAGCAAACGCAGAAATGCAGGCAACTATGACGATCTTAAATTTGTAGATGATTTGGGTAATATGGAACAAAATTTTAACAACTTCTATGCAAAAAGCATTCTTGACATTGAGGAATTTTGAGGAAATTAGTACAGACAAACTTGACGAATTCACACGCTTTCAAAGGCTGAATATAAATTAACTCAGAAGTATTGTAATGTAATTGAAAAATAAATCAACAGCTGATAACATATGCGATGTAAACTTTTTGAAAAATACTTTTTGTGCAGTCGGATATCCATTGTTGTATTTAATAAATACTTTACTTAAGACAGTAAACTTCCCGAAGAGATCAAGAGAAGCGTTATTGTACCTATACTCCAAAGTACCAGTTCCGAATAAACCTGGAGAATACCGACCAATTAATTTATTATCGGTTATAGAAATAATTGTGTATAAGCAGCTGTGTAGCTTCCTAGAAGAAAATAAATTAATTTTTAAAGGACAGTCTGGGTCTTGGGAGAAACATTCTTGTGAATCGTCTTTACAATATGTGTGCTCGAAATGGAGGTCTGTTTTAACTGTGTTCATTGATCTTCAAAGAGCCTTTGAAACCATTGATAGAGGAAGCCTGGTGGATAAACTGTTTGCATATGGTGTCTGATAAGTTATAAAACAATATAGGTGTGCATTAGGACCTTACTTTTTATTCTATATGAGAACAATTTAGACAAAATTTTGTAAAACTTTTCGCGGATGACACTCTATGACAGTTTCAAGTTATATTTAAATAAAACAGCATATTTGTGAGTAAACAAAATTGTAATGTATTTTTGGATTTTGAGTTTTATATTGATAGTAGGTTAAAAGGAAATGTTTCACAAATGAAGTATCTGGGAGTAGTTCTAGATTCTCAATTAAATTTCGCACAACACGTAGATTACATTTGTAAAAAAATTTGAAAAAAGGTAGGTTTCTTGTGTAGACTTTCGCCTGAGCTTAGCCACTGGAGCACACGTCTTGTTTTTAATGAGATTATCAGCCCTCATTTTTGGTATTGTAATTCGCTTTTGATTTCTTGTGGGGACAATGATGTTCATATAATACAAATGCTGCAAAATAAAGCCACGCGGGCTATTCTGGGTTGTACACGTTACACTCCCATTCGTGTAATGCTTGGGTCTTTAGGGTGGTTGTCGGTATCTCAGAGTATTGAGTTCTTTTGCTGATATATAAAATAAAAAATAAATCACTTCCATCCAAGTTACAAGATTGTTTAATTCCTAGGTTCTTCTTATAATGTGACTGGTAAAAATGATTTTGATATTCAGTTTGTTAAAACTCTATAAATGCAAAAAAGATTCTTTAGTGATGGGCTTCGATTGCTCAATGCTCTGCCGACAGACAGCAAAAATTTACCGAATGTAAAAAGCTTCCAAAAAATGGTAAAAAATTCTTAAATTAACATTAATATTAATGTGAATTAGCTTTTGCTTTTATATAAATGTAATTTACTGCGATTCGAATATATAATCATGCATTGCTTATGCCAATTACAAGTTTTAGTAATGTTTGTGCGTAATAGCATGTATGCCAATGATAATAAACCATTTCAGATTGAGATTTCAGATATGCACATTCGTTGAAAAATCTACTGAATGTTAGATGTTACAATTATAATTATGTTAATGATAGAACTTTTAATTATTCTGGTTGATCACGGTTTAATCCGCATTGGAATCGTTACGTAACATCAAAAACTAGAACCCTTCTCTTAGATGATCCCATCCCATGATGCCACAAGTCAGTAGGGTATACTTGAAGTTAAACAGACTGCTAAATCATCTAACGATGTTATCTCGCAAATTCGTGCAACTTTGAAAAATATTAATTACCGACCTAGAGCCAAGACTTAATAGTCGGAATAAACACATATTACGATCTATAACGTAACACAGTTAAAAATTCACGCTCCGTAATCTTGCGGAATATATAAAACAATTTCAGTAGCATCTGCAAGTTTAGTGCACATTTCACCCTTAAAGAATATAGACTGAACTCACTAAAAATGTATCTCAAATACCTCGTCGTCGCCACGTTGGTGGCGATCGTCAAATCGGAAAAGTCTTCGGTCGTTTACAGAGCTGTCGCGGTCCTTCAAAAGTGTTTGGCCTCGAAATATCCTCTGGTGTGTTTGAAGGAGAGGGCGGTGGACTCGTTGAACAGAAGAATCTTGTCCGAAGAACCGATTACCTTGGGGTTCTTCAGGATAGAAAAGAACAGGGATTACAATTGGAACTTTACGTTCAAGGACGATTTACCTAGAGATTTAAGCAAGAGGAGCACCAAGCTGAGCAATGTTTTGGCCAGCAAAATATCTGAGTTTATTAATTCGAGGACCATCAGATTTGACTTGGGTGACACATTTGAAGGTAAATACAGAAATTAAGGTTTATGAACAATAGCAAAAAGGGTGAATAAGTGAATATTTGATATAAAATATTGAGAAAAAATCTGGTACGAATAGACTTTGCATCAAAATTGCCACAGCGATAGGTCAAATTCAATCTTAATTTTTTCACGAACCGATGACCCGATTTGGATCTATTTTAATTTATTCTAGCTTAAATCTTCAAAAACTATGTTATAAAGAATATTTTTATTTTTTACAGAGTGCTTAAGGAACAATCGATAATAATAATCCATATTTCATTAATTCTGGTCAACACTATTATGTGTCTGCATAGCTCTGCACAACTTTTCTAGGTATTTTTTTTTATTCAAGTCTTTCATCTCACTTATTAAATAAAATACTGAATTTAATGTCAAATGTAAAAATTACAGTATATTACAAAAAAAATGCATAATATTTTCTACATATCTAAACTACCCAGATCTTAATATTGTCCACATTTAAATAATCGATAATCTTGCACAATGTGATCTTGCAAACTTATTTGTTTCACATTTAATTCTGTATTTTATTTAATAACTCACATAAAGAAGTAAATAAAAAACAAAGTACTGATAAAAAACTTGGTGTGCGTTAAAACATTTTGTACCTGCATAAACCTAAACTTAAGTGTAAAAAAATGATAATTCTTCCTTGTGAAGCTATAAATTCAATCTCTAGCTTATAGTTATCAAGTTTTATGTTACCGGTAATCTACCAATGTGTCTCTGTTTTGAGTTTGTGTGATTAAGAATTTTGACACGGTGATACTATTAAATTTGTGCTCCTTGTCTAAAATACAAGTGAAGCGAGAAGACATGAGAGAATAGTTCCACACCATTGGCTCTAATAATCCCTAAATTACAATGTGTGACTAATTTCAGTTAGCAATAATTTCAATTAATTAAACTGCAAGATGGTTATTTAGGCTGTGAGTAATTTAATTGAGGAAGTTGGATGCAATTTCATAAATAATTATCGCCCGTGCGATGTATTTGCGGTAATTGACACTTTAATGCATCCAAATGATAAAAAGCTAACGAATAATTTGCAACAAAAAGGCTCTGCTCATATCAGCCGCTATAAATATCTGGAAATAAGGGACTAATATATCTAAAGCAATATATAATACCCGCCGCAGTAGCAGCAGGAATCGTTAAAGTATAGTCATATCAGTCATAGTCATATCAGTTCGCTATACTTACCATACTACATTTGCGAATGTGACATAAATTCAATACCGTGAAAATTATCTCACGTCATCGTAATAATTGCAGCACAAAAGTAACGGTAAAAATGTCACTCTTGCCTTGACTTGCCACGAGAATAACACATAAAAATTAATTGTAATTACAATTAAGGACACCATAAAACCGGATTGACTTGATAAATGTAGCAGTGAAAATAATATTAACAATAATAGATGGCGTTAAGATCAAGTTTTAATTAACTCAGTGAGTTGATTATTTTTTCTACCCTGAAAATAATTCAGATTTCATCATTCATATTTTTATTGCTTTATTTATTTTTGTATTTGTATTTTTATTATTCTCAGGTCGAGGCAAGGGTGGAAAAGGTGGTGGTCTTAAAGATGGAGGAAAAGGTGTAATGATGGCTGCCGCTTGCATGGGAGCCGGTGCCATGGTGGGAAAGGTAAATCAAACTAAAAAAAACACATACATGTATTTTATTTACGTTCTCTTGCTCGAAATAGATGGGCATGATGGCCGCCGGTGCGATGATGATGTCCAAACTGTCCTTGCTAATGTCTCTCCTCATGGTGCTGAAAAAAATGGCCGGTGGCGGCGGAGGAGGTGAAGAGAAAGAAAAGCAAATCAAAATAGTCTACGCCGCGACCGGGGGCGGTAATGGCGGCGGCGGCGACTACGGAAAAGGCGGCGGAGGCGGCGGTTGGCACAGAAGCCTGAATTACGAGCCCCACATCGCGTATAGAGGGCACGCACCAGAAAATCCTAACGTAGTGTACGAAGGTTATTGAAAATTTTCATATCCTCGGAAAAGATACCGTTTTTTGATATTTTGTTGCTTTGAAATGGACAGACAATTGATAAAAATGGCCGGAAGGTTCACGGTTCATTAATTCAAGTTCTGAATTTCTCAAGATGTAGGAATGTTAAGTCTCTCAAAAAAAATCCATTTGACATTTCCGAGATCAATAACAGCTTAATGTAATTTTCAAAATAAGGGCGTAAAGTGTTTTTAAAAGTTTTCACGTGAGGACTGTAATAGTTTTATATTGTAGTTAATATATATAAAAAACATATAAAGTGTGCTGGATAAGATAGCAAGCCGCACAAAAATTTTACTCTTTTAAAATAATTATATTATTTTTCTTTCTATATTTCTTATTTCTTATTTTCTTAAAGTAGGTCTATATTGGGTTGTAAAACATTAGTGAAGTAGTTTAATTTTATCATAATAAAATACTTTAACAAACAAATTATGTACTTCGTACAATCGTGATATTTTGTTGCAGACTTGTTGTTTAAATAATAAACATAAGTGTTCTATTGTATACATAATTCATTTTATAATTTTAATTTCAGGAAAAAAGTGTGAAAATTCCACGTCGGACTAACACGAAGTGCTACCAAATCAGACCCAATAAACCTCTGACAAATCGTATTTCACTTGATAAAAGTAATATTGTTTTCATAATTGTCGAAATCCCCCTATTTACTACCTGTCACTAAATATGATTAACGATTGTCGGAAGACATTGTAACTTAAATGCAAAATTTATTCCCACCGCAATGCACTAATTATGGTGCTACTGTGCGTACCGATTAGTATGCAAATAAGATTGGAATTCCATCAAGCAATTTATCATATTTGTGGATTTTTGCAAAACGCGATCGCTATCATTTTCGCAACGGTTTTTTCGCGGAGTAATTCCTACAAGCTGATTCGAGTCATGTAGTACTACGAACTTATCAATATCTAGTTCTTTGTCAAATACCCGTACACGTAATTTAATTTAGAACGTGCCATCAATACAAAACATCGTAATTTTTGCTTTGGCTATCTCGGCTACATCTACAAGCAGATAATCAGACCTAATCTGTTTCTACATTGTTAGAATCGTGGTTTTAAGAACAATATTGATAAAAAAACTTTAAACAAAAACAATACGTATGCATAAAGGTGTATTTCGTTTCTTTCATATTGGCAATAACACGAAATTATGAATATTTTCCTAACTTCCTAACTAATTACGCTTCAGTATTGAAATGGCTAGATAAAATAAATTAAAGGGGACACGTAAGAGCCTGTAAAAAATATAAAAAAATGCTTTCAATAAACGCGAATAGAATGAAAAGAAAAAAAAAACTGTGGGTGAGGTATTATCAAACTTCCTATTGAAAGGTCCATATGTGCCATTAAGTGAAAAATATGACATCGTTCAAATGTCCTCTACGGCTTCTTGAGGTGGAACCGATTCGTATGGTGTCAATGACTCCATCTGAATTTGATGGATGGCCTGTGTTAGCTTTACATTTAGCTCATAGGTCGATTGTAAAAACTAACGACTCAATAAACCCCACAACAAAAAGTCTAGCAGCCTCAAATCGCATGACTTTCTGCTACAAATTCAAATCGTCTTTACTGTTTGGCCAGCCGCCCCCTCTTGCTGAAACCACATGTCGTCTAGGAGTATTTAGTCCAATTTGGTACTTAAGAAATTGTTGCGCTTGCTGTTGAAGGTAACCGCCAGCCCAAAAACTACAAAAAACTGTAACTTTTTGAGAAAGAATCTATCACCTGGTGCATCTCGCTTGGGTGGGTCATCTCATATACGGCAATTTTCTATATTAAAATTCACCTAGTGAATTTTGCTAATAACATTTTTAGAATTTGAATTTGATGTTCAATGAAATAATCTACCATATTGAGTGAAACTAAGACAAAATGATCACCACAGGTCACTAAAATCTACCCGCGCCAATAGAAAAGCCATTTACTTTTAATATTATGTATTTTTATATATCAAAATAAATAAGAACTAAAAGTTCAGATTTTCACGAAATTATGTATATTCACATGACAATTGTTTCTACATTGTTTATTAAATGTCAGATCACATTTCTTATTTATTTTGTTACATGGATTTTCATCCAGTAAAAGCCACCTCAGATCAATTTTTATATATACTGGTACAAGGTATTGTTATATACACAAATCGACCAAAACCTGCATGACACAGTGTTAAGCGAATAAAAAAAAAACATTATTCATATATCCGCACATTATAAAAAATTGCATTATATATTATTCCCTGAATGTTGCAAATAATAAGCTGTTTGATGTACTATTATTGTTTTCTCCATTATTTACTACTTTCTTTTTAGAAAAAAGTTGTATAGATATAAGATCATTTTTTGCATTAAAATAAGAATAACCATAAAAAATTACTAAATTACTTAGTATAAATTTTTCAAACATTTATTTCCACACAGCAAGCCATAATAAGGCGTTTCTGCAATGCTCGATTGTTTTCTTATAGCCATGTTTCAGCAACGTAGCACTTTTACAGTGGATAAACGTTTTATTGCTAATATTTTAAAATCTGCATGTTAATTAAATTAAATCGAAAAAAAAGAAGAAAATAATGTGTTGCTCAGATTGTTTCCATTACTGAATATTTAAGTAACAACAACAACAACAGGAAACTTGTAAAATCGTTTAGTGTTATCAAAAAAAAAAAAAGGAAAAACAACACGATAAAGGAGTTTAATTAGCTCTCGTATTCGGTTAAAGAGAATACTTTTATTTTGTGTCGCAGTTTTTGATCTGGTCCAGCAATTTATCTCGTAATCTTGCGATTTAGTGCAAATATGACTTAATCCTAGTGGGTCCGTGGCGTACAAAACAACAATATACTTAAACAGACACCAGACGCCAAGAGGACTTGGGTGTGACATTCTTCATTTGTTTTTGTGTCAAACTAGAAGGAGTTTGATTTAAATTTTTATTTCATTGGCTAATAAAATTATTTGTTCATGAGTTCATTGGACACTCCCAGCTAATGGGCTTATCCAAGTTTTTGAGAAACCTCTGAACAAAATGTCAGTAGCCATGGGCCAAATGATATTGGCTGTTGGTTGGCTAGCTTGAAAATTAACCTCAAATGTAAGGATTCCGCTGCACAATGTACGGCAATCCTAAAATTGAAGTTAAAAATTAAAAAAAAACGTAGATTGGAGAGCTAAAGGGTGATTGAACTGAGGTGGCTTTTACTTGATGAAAATCCATTTATCAAAATAAATAAGAACTAAAAGTTCAGATTTTCACGAAATTATATATTATGACATGACAATTGTCACATTTTATAAAGACAAACAAACAATTGTCATGTCAAAATATATAATTTCGTGAAAATCTGAACTTTTTCTTCTTATTTATTTTTAGCTAAAGGGTGTGTCAAATAATATCAGAGTTATTCCACAAAAGTGTTTTTGCAATTTTGACCTGCCCGCTCAGTTTGGAATATTTACACTTGACAAGCAAAATTATTTTTTCTGGACGAAAATTAAACTTTTCATAATTTGTATTTAGCTTGTTTGATGCATCAATCCAACTAAGACATGAGAACCCTCTAGGTAGGTGCTATTAATGGTAAACTTTAACTTCACCTGCTTTTTGGTAACAATTATGCATTTTAAGATTGAGATGTACAGTATAATATTGAGTGGATTTCCGTGGAATATAAAATATTGATAAGAAATGAATTTACAGTTACAGTTCGCTTGATATCAGGGTATAAAAATTATTACGGCCAAAATTAGATCAAGATATCAAATTTTATACAGAAACTTATTCTAGAATTGACAAATCAAGTAAAATATTTTTTTTGAAAATTGTGTTTATTTATTATTAGGATTAAGATTTTTTCATCAGTTTTTGGCCATTATTTTTGCTTTCTGGACGTTTGTACAACAAGGTGATCGAATAATATAAGGTTTCCACTATTTCTATTCAATCGGTTAAACAAAAAATCGAGATACGAGTGACTTAAAATGTCTTTCGAAATTCCTTGTGGGATCGGATTATCATTCTAACACGCGATGAAAATTAAAAATTACGGGAAAACCTATTAGCGAAAAGTTTGCGTGTTTACAGGAAAGATAAGTCGGATGTTATCAAACTATAGTATTTATATTAATTATTTCGCGACATATATTTAATATTGAAGGAGTGTCGTAGTTAAGGTTTCTCCGATTTATTAGTAATTACAAATTGGGAATCACGATTTTAAGGTATAAATATTATACACCGGACAGGATTAACATTGTATTCGATCTGAGCTTTCGAAGACTTCATCGAGATGGTTTTCAAATCAATGTGCCTTGCCGCCATAATAGGCTTTGTCCTGAACGTCTCCAGCACTTCGGCCAAAGTCTATTCTAACTGCGAATTCGCCAGAACTATGCTCGAAAAGGGAGTGCCCAGGGATCAATTGGCCACTTGGACTTGTATAGCTTACCACGAATCCAGATTCAACACCAAAGCGATCAACGGTAACACCGGGGACTATGGAATACTCCAAATAAGCCATTTGTACTGGTGCTCTGACAGCGACACACCTGGTAAGAATTTGTCCTTTTTTCTTTTATCTCAATTTTAATAACACTTGTCATAAAACTATTGCTTAGTTTTAGTTTGTTCAATTGAACAAAATATCATATAAAAAGCAATAATAATCGGTGCTTAAAAAAAACAGCTTCTGACCGCAGTGTCTCGAAAATTTAGAAAGTGGTGGAAATGTGGTATGGGTAACTTCAGAGCTATTTATTTACAGGAAAAGGATGCGGTATCACCTGCAAATCCCTTTTGGACGACGATATTTCTAATGATATCGCTTGCGCCAGACAAGTGTTCGATGAAACTCAAAGATTCAAGAAGACTGGTTTTGAAGCATGGACTGTATACTCCGCGAACTGCCAAGGAGACCAGAACAAGTGGCTTGATGGTTGCGGTGTGTAAAATCTGACCTAGAAGTGATCTGAATTGTTTTATTTAATTATTTATTTATTATATTCTTAAATTAATAAATTATTCGAATGCACATAGTTTATCTGTCAATTTGTGTATCCCAGAAATTCTAGAGTAACATCCGCGATATCCGAGATGCCTTAGGGTTCTAACCTTGGACCATTATTGTTTTCGATATTTGTCAAAAAGCTGCCTGATAAAAGCCAATGCAGTTTCCTACTATAATACATTTGTTCTTACGAATATTCATATTACTGTCCTAGATCAGCTATGGTGAAACTGCAACCTGTCTGGGCTAAATAATCTAATAATAATAATAATAATAATAATAATAATAATAATAATAATAATAATTCTCGACAACGGAAAACTGGGACCTTGTGGACAAGTTCATAAGGGAAATACTATTAAGAAAGAAGGCAGATGGCTGCCTAGAAGACTAACGAGACAACACGTGACGTGTTGACTGATACTGCACGGAGAAATACAGGAACGACAGATACGAACGCCACGTGGCACAGACACGCTCCCTAGCTGGAAGTAATGTGAACAACAGTTCCCAGCTAGGTGGTGAAGACGAAGGGTTTGCTGGGTTTAGCCGGTAAGAATCCGGCACTCCCGACGGGTGCGCATCCCCGTCGGAGTCTTCCCATTATGTGGGACAGTCAGCACGCTAGAGCTGGTGTTTGGCTGATGTAAGATTCCCAGCGTTATCCCTCGAAAAAAATAAAATAAAAATAATAATTAGTCAAGGAAAACAATATTGATAATTTAGTAAATGTGTCTTGCCAATCTAAAGTTGCTAAGGCATCTTTATGACCTGAGGGAAATCTATAAATGAGGCTCTAAAAGTATAAGTGCAGGTTCCTGCATACATGAACAAGCTTCAAACTGCACGTGTTCAGATTGAATTTATAGTTATATTCGAAGTTAGAAAACGGACTTATAAGTTGCATTGATCCTTATTTTGAACTTCCTTTGGTTTTCAATTTAAAGGCAAGGCAAGTTGAATTCTGGAGACAAAGCTTTCATGTCACCTTTTCCACTTGTAAATCCAAATTTACATTGTGGATACAAAGAAAAATGAAAAACACTTCAGAAATAATGGATTCTCCATACACTCAATTGTTTTTATAGCACGCACCTATTGTTTACACAATTAAGTTGCGCACTACGGGAAATGTCTATGTGATAAAGCTGCAGTTACTCAATTTTCCGATTATTACTTATTATCGACTTTAAGTATTATTCCATTATTTTTTTAAATGTGATAATGCCATAGGCTGGTTGGTATAAAATCCCAGCCGCGACGACGAAAAAGGTATACTAGCAAAGCAACTGAACCGACGTAGTTTTTGAACCATGTTTCGCTCGTCCATTTATTTATTGGCGATAGTGTATCTACTACATGTCGGTACAACAAGTGCAAAAACTTATACCAATTGCGAATTCGCCAAGACGATGTTGAACAACGGTATTCCCAAAGATCAGCTGGGGACTTGGACTTGTATAGCTTCTCACGAGTCCAATTTTAACACCGACTCTATCAACCACGACACCGGGGACTATGGCATCTTGCAAATCAGTCACCTCTATTGGTGCTCGGACACTGACACACCTGGTAAGTTTACTTTTGGTGTTAAAAGCAGAGCCATGGATGTATCTATAAGCTACTAGATGTATAGAATCCCTACCTATAGTGCAGGAACTTATGAAGCAACATTGAAAACAATTTTTGAGAAGGTTTACAATGGCCTTGAGCTGACAGGTCGGCAATAAATCTGGATGCGGCATTTTTACGGCAGTATTTTCTCAAAATATACCTCGGAAAACCAGATAACCCTAAGGAAATTGCTGTTAGGAAGAAAATAACTTAAAGTGCAGGTTAGTCAGTGAAATGTAGAGGCAGACGCGGAAAATCATTGCCTTCTCTACGCAAATTTCAACTTCGCCTGTAGCGCATCAATTTTCACCGTAGTAGGGCCACTATATTATCTAATAGCTATATGGATGTAGCTATAATTTTCTGGTTGATTTTATTTGCCATTGCATGATTATAGGATCTTTGTGGTAACTAAAACATTCTGGTGCTAATCCTCTTGGTGCATTTCCAAATCTAATAAAATGTGCGCATTAAATGTGGTTGGATTTTTGAAAAACAATTTTGATTTACAAAGCTCAACACAAAAGTTCTTCTTGGCATGTTTCTCTATTATTACACATTTTGTCAAAAGTTTTCTGATACTTTTCTCATGATGCCACTACATTTATTTTATACACGAAAATTTCTGTTAGTTAGGATGCAGATATTTTTATTTTTGAAATTAAGAATTAAAAAAATATACAGCCTCCGAATAATTAATAGCGCACCACTAAACCACCTTGGGTAGAAATTTTTTTTTTTTTTTGGCAAAATTGATTTAGCCCAATATGCAGAGTATCCAAGTGAAAATGAATATTCGATTTTCCTTTTGAAGCAAAATATTCGTACCAAGTTTTTGCATTATTATCAAAGGTCACTTGAAAAAATTGTTCATTTGATAATTTGTTTGCAGGAAAAGGTTGTGGTATCACTTGTAAATCGCTCCTAAGCGACGACATAACGGAAGACATCACTTGTGCTAAAAAAGTTTTCGAAGAGACCGTACGTTTGAAGAAAAATGGCTTTTTGGCATGGACCACGTACGAAAAATATTGCACGGGTGACCAAAGCAAAGCTATCGATGGATGCGGATTGTAACTTTTACAACCAGATTTCTTGTATTTTATTGGAGCTAAAATATAGAGTTTTTAATCGATCATTTATATCTGTGCAATACTAATCGATAGTTAATCTGAAAGAAATAATTAAGGCAATTTTACGTCAATACAATACAATACAATGCAACATTCAAGAAATATTGTCGAGGGGCACGCACGGTTGGCAGCCAGCTGATGGATTCTTGCAAGATGCTTGCGTATAGTTTTTGTAGGTTTCAATTCTTAGCGTATCGTTATCACTTTTGTTTTGAAAATGTATCTCAGGAAATACGAGCTAAAAAATTATTTCGTTGCCCATTAGCGTTGGTTAGCTGTTTGATATTTGCATTTTAATTGCAAGAAGCTTGAACCATGTAAACGTACAAGAATTATTGCAGGTAACGTTTTGATTTTGCAATTTCTTGATGCACTAACTTCCAAGCTTTGTTGCGCCATTGGAATAACAAATAAACAAATAAAATAAAACAAACAAATAACAAATGAAAATACTGTTTGAAATGTTTCATTTTATTCCGAAACTATGATAGTGATTCTCGTCGATGCCTACTATTCTGAGTGAGCTTAATAGACATTAGGTGTTTACTGTGTTTAATTATTTTATTATTTTTCATTTGGTATTATTATTGTTAATAAAGAATTATCCTCGCAAGGAAGTTGTCAACTTAATGCAAGCTTTAGATATTGCAGAAAAAATACTTTTTAGCCTCCAGAATTCAGCTTTATCCTCAAAGTCGCCAAATGAATTGATTGGACAGAACCGGAAATGTTGTGAAAAACTCGACGGAATCAAACCTGTTACAAATAGTGAAAATGAGATGACGGTAGCTCTAAGTGTAGTACCAATATCACGAAGTTTGTGCAAAGGACGGTTTTTTAAATTAGCGATTTTTTCGGATGTTCCACGACAACTACTGTGTAAATAATAAACACAGTTTTCAATTTTATGATAATACCAATCGTTATTTTTACACCAGTGCTTGAAATTATGGGGTGTAATGAGCCGCATTTTTTGAGGGACACATAATTAGCGAAATGTGTTTACAATTTTTGCAGAATGGCCAAGGCAGTAACAGAATTGAAAAAATATGACAGATTGTAATATAATAATATAAAATTTAACAATAACTACTATTTGATCCACCGTGTATAATAAAAAATACTTTTATCTTGTAGAACTTTATCAATATTGCAATTTTAAGATATTTTTCCCCATCTGTTACTGTTTATGACCAATCTTTGCCGTACGCCTTTTTGATGGACCCGCATATGTAATTTTAGTTATAGTAAGTTTTTAATAGATACAGCGGGTACCAATTGACCCCTTCAAATAAAACAGCATAAATATTAGTTTTTTTTTTCAATTTTCTCACAGAACGCCTCAATACCTAATATCCTATAATTTTTTATGTATTTTCTGACAAAAAAAAAGTTCGCAATGAATATGTGTAAATATTTCCTACACGAAATACTTTATAATGTAACTTTGGAATAACATACAGAATGCTTCAAATAAACGTGGACACGAAAATGCTCAGTTTATAAGATTAAATATTTTTAAGAGCCGGCTGCACTGATGGTGGTCAATTTCATCATTTTTTTGTGTCCATTGTGTAATTGTATTGGGAGTTCAAAAATAAATGTTTATAAAAATAGGTTTTGGTTAGTTTAATGTTTTTATTTTTTCGTTCGAAAACGACTCAATAGTGAAAAAGGTTGTGATTTTAGTCGCTTATTGAAACTACATTCCAAAATAAAGCAGCCGCTCTAAGCTAAGCGGACCACCGTGTATATCGATACTCTTGTCAAACATATAGTCCTCTATCTATTCTTACTTTCGTTTCTACAAATTCCTCGTTTCAATATACTTTTCGTAAATTGCATCTAGGATAATAATAATTAGTTGTATTTGTTCAGGTGATTGTTGCAACTCGAGTGAAAGTGCGCAAGTTCACGTATATAAACGGCGAGTAAATATTTAAAAAGCTGAGCGAAATTTCATTCATATATAAAGCGCAGGTACTAAAAAAGAGAGTAAATAATAAAATGGCACAGCGAGTAGTGCCTTCTTCAGTGAAAGTCGCGCTTCTGTGAGAAATGAATGACCCAGAGATGTTAAATATCGAAGTTTAGGCGGGTCACCTTAAAAAATGAAATTTCTCAAGGCGAGCTTCCCAGATAAACGCATGAAATCTATATGGCTATACGCAGTTTCTTTTCGAAGATAATTTTTTTTATTTTAAATGTACCAACGCCATAAAAGGTACTTTTAAAAATATCAAATCCATAATTGTTTAAATATAAAAGTCAAAACAAAAACAAAAATAGTAAGTGCAATAGGCTATTTGCCCCTATTTTTTTAAATTTGCTAGAAATATTAAATAGCAACCAGTGTGGTGTGGGGGCATTTGAGTCAAGAGTTTATTTGGGGAGGGAGTGTTCAATATACGGGTTTAACAAACGTGTTGCATACTTACTCTTTCTACGACCATAAAATTTTATGTACACTTTTGCAATTCCAATTGCAATTTTTTCATTCACTGACTTGACTGTCATAATAGGAAACGAAAGTCACGTGGTGAAATCACACTTTCCGCACGCTAGATCGCTGTATAATTGGGTATTTTATAGAAGGGAGTAGAAAAATATTATTGAAATGCGCTGAATAATTTTACATCGACGAGCACAAGCATGGCTGATGTATCTATGGATGCATCGTGACGTCACAAGACGTTTTGGTGGAACTTCATACTTAACTTTACCTAGTAATTAAAATAGTAATGATGTTTTGCGTCAAATTTAAAATTCATGCAAGGGACCTCAATCACCAATTATCAATTTTCTGCAAAACCGTATTAAAAGTACGCAGCAATAATGTCTTCAATAAATTTATTGTTTAAGGACTACGCTTGATTGATTGATGACTTTGTTTCCATTCCAGTTTGTCATTCACAAGCCACATCCTTTGATCCATTTGCTTTGATTGCCTTTGCAATGTTTCTTATAAGTCACCCATGCCGTGAATCCGTTCTTCGTCTTGCCTTTTTGAGTCTCGGTAAAGACCTTTCTGGCACAAGCCATGGATCCAGAAATATCATCTACCAGAAGCGACTTGCAAGTAATTTTGCAACCTTTCCCTGTGAATAACCATACAATTCGTGCCATCAGCAATTGGAATGATATTAGTAAAATGTCGTTATTTTCTGATTGATAAAAACGATTCAAAACAATTTAGGCTATTTTAATAAGCAGAAAGAAAAAAAAGCTATTCGAATAACCATACTATCATACTGTCATATGCTTTTGATATGTGTTGTCATTGAGGTATTGTAATTTTACTCAATTACATTGTGATCACGGAAAACAAAGGCAATTTTGTAAATGGATCCTTTAAAATGGAACAAAAGAACCTAAATTATGGGGATCTGAGAACATGAGAGTGACTCAAGAACGATAACTGCTTGGTATGGGATTTGGAGTACAGGTCACATTAGTTCAGATTCAATTTTGAAAACGAAGGAGAGAATGCAATGCAATGTTTATGAAAATCGTTACAGAGCAATGCTCACTGATTTCCTCGGGCCTCAATTAAAGCAAATAAACATTGAGAATTTTTGGTTCCAACCAGACAGGTGACTTGACTCCATGTGACTTTTTTTATGGGATAACATTTCGTACCCCAAAATTTGTTGGGATTCAAGCACCGGGTCCTTGGCCAAATCGAGCTAGTAGGGCAGGTCATATAACCAATATTATTTTTTACTTTTGAAACTACTCAAGATGTTCTAAAGGCAATAGCGTATTTTTTAGCTGTTTTTATGAAAATAAATAAATTTACAGCCTTTTCAAATCCGGCGCTCTTTTGAATAACCCTTTATATTGATTCTAATTGAATTCTTATCCAGACGCCACTTGGGCAACAATGTGTTATTATTTTCAATCCTTACCGGGTACGTTACTGTCGCTGCACCAGTAATAATGACTAATTTGAAAAATTCCATAATCACCCGTAGCATGATTTACTGTTTTCGTGTTGAGTCTCGATTCGTGGTAGGCGATGCAAACCCAAGTTCCCAGCTGAGATTTGGGGAACCCGTGGGCCTTCATCGTCTTCGCCAGTTCGCACTTGGTGAAAACTTTACCTTCAATGGAGACCAAACCCGCCCCCAATAAAAAGAAAAACGAACAGAATATTGATTTGTAGGACATTTCGTGCTAGAGCAACACCACGGGTTAATACTACAAAATAGACATATATCTGCCCATACAAATATATATTAATGTTGATAAGGGTGAAACAAAAATCTGAAGCATGTGTAATTTGTAAATACACTGGGCAAATATTGATAGGAGGCAATCTCGAGGATCTTGTGCAAGCGTGGAACGATGGCTGGTGGCAACGACCTCTACAAATTACGACATCAATAACTCTTTTATACACTTGTTAGTCTATAAAAAATATTTAAATTGATAATTTTTCTATCGATCTTAAAATAGGTGTTTTTTGTTTTGCTAGCAAGCAAAATCAGGGCTTCTATGAAAATATTCAAATTATCAGCATATTTTGCCCAGTTTTGCGCAAGCGAAACATTTAGATAAGAGGAGGAGGGTTGAACATTAAGCTAATTCTCTAATATAAAATTAACGGCATTTTATTATAAAAACGTGAGCTGTTTTTTTCGCGCAAACAAACTTCGTAATAGTAGTAGTAATGTAAGTAGTTTTTTTATAAACTCAACTGCCTCTTGCCCAACAGAGAAATTCTTAACTTTATAAAAATAACTTTATTGATGGAATTGATAGACTTAGCTTAGTAAAATTAAAATAACACTGCTAATGCTAAGGCAACGGGCAAGGACAGTATTAATATAACAATTTTGTTTCCGAACAATTGCAAAATATATTATCCACATAATTAATGAATGTAATTTATCTCCGTGTTATCCTGTACTATCGAAACAAGCACAAGCCATATCCCTGACTTGATCCCTTCAGTTCTACTAGTATTCTGCCTAAGATTTTGTAGAAATTAATCGACAAGCATCAAGCAAGAGCATTTTTTAATACACAGAAATAATTGGGTTTTAGATCTCATTATAGTTGTGGAAGCGCTCTGTGTGAAAGCGAAAATTATTACTTTGGTTTTAGATGATTCCAGCAAAGCCTTTGACTCGAAAAATTATAAAAAACTCTAACTACTCATTTCAATTCTTCATCACAGAGATTCAGTGAAGTGACTTGTAATCGTTACTGTTTTCCATTTTCTGAGAAATCTCATAGCTACACAAGAAATAGTATTAATTCTTATTTGAATAGATTTTACGATTCTATTACCGAATATATTTTATAATTGAAATATTATAAAAAGCAACTTGAAATTCTCTATAAAGAACTGTGTTTAGCCTTTTTGGCAAGCCAATTGAGGAAGTTGTGACCATTTCTCACAGGATATTCAAAGGCTTTTTTGAGATGGTCTAGTATGATCATTATAACAGCATATTCATGATTTGTCTAGATAATAGGTATTATATACCGAACTCTTGTTTAAGACCGGTATATGGATTTAGCCACAGAAGTTATTTTTCACCATATTTGATTTGGGCAGACTGATTGGGTTTAATCGATATAAACCTGACGCTATTTTATTGCAAAATCGGTCAATTTGCGACATCGCCTTATCTGTACAACAATATTAGATTTCTCTTTACTGTACTACAGCATGGAAAAGAGCATTTGAAAAAGTTCTTCTTATCGGATGCAATTACCCTCTGAAAAATAAGTTTCAAGATTGCCTTTTGCTTGAGCAAAAAGCTATTTATTAATATTACTGTAAATCACTCCCTCATTAGACGCAGGTATCGTAAAAAAAGATATTCAATGATATTCTAAAGTCTTGTGAGTAATATTCCTACAGTATGAAAGTTTCTGTCTCTAGTCTTGAGTATCCAATTTTTTCCCATTCTTCCCACAGACGGGCATTTGCACAGTATGTGTTTTGGCATTTCCTCATCTCCTAAGCACATCCCGGTAATACTCAGTACCAAGAGTTCGTCAAAATGACGTTATTAACTAGTCACCAATTGACGAAAATGAAGTTATATATGACGTCAGCAGGACGTGAATTTGACGTACTAATGTCTCAGACGAATGATGTCATTTAAGTGACGTCTATTTTAGGTAAATTAGTGTCGTCAATTTTTGTCGCTAAAGTGACATCTTTTCTACGTCAACTTAAAGTCAGATTTTGGTCATTACTGCCCAAAAATATAACGATTTTTAGATTGCTTTTATATTAAATTACATAGAACGTATTTTGAAATTTCGGAAAATGAGAAATTGTAGCTAATGAATAATGATGAGTCATTCTTTTATAAAATGTAATAATGATTTTTTCACCAAAAATGATATTTTACATTTTGACTCACTCAGTTTCTCATAGACAATAGAAAATATGCCGTTGCCAAACTTCGCAAAGTAAAGTTAAATTGTTCCTTTTGATCTCATATATACGTTGTGTATTTAACATTTTTCTGTAAAGCAATTAGTAAACAAGACACATTATTTGTTCACCCTCTAGATATATTCCCCTATAATTAAACAGAAGAATTTGATAATAGTTTAAATTAATTATTATGTTTAAAGTCCTTTATTAAAGATATTGTGAGGTCATTTTTGTGATGTTAATAAGACATCCTTTTTTTGACGTCAATTTGACGTATTCCACGGACCACTGATTATCAGTGACCACTTATGACTCGAAAATTACGTCACTTTGACAACCCTCTGCTACCTGCGTAGTCATCATTGAGAAGCCCAATCGGCATAATATGGACCTGCGTTTGAGCATATTGTTGCATACGGCGATCAAGGCTGCAGCGTTAGATGTACATCTCTAAGAAAATTGCTCTATTCATTGCTAATACGGTGTCAATCGCGTGGTTTGTGGTAGGACTCAGGGTTTCCTCTCCTCACAGACATTGATTTCATTCCTTGCAGATTGGCGACTAAAACTTATTAACAACTTAAATTCATATCTTCATGTTCTTTGTTTCTTTGAATTTGAATTGAATATTTTGATTGGATTGGACATTCTTCAAAAAACACACAGATTTTCTTGGCCAATTTATTAATGGAAGGCATCGATTGGGTACTAGTTTCATAGAGTTTACATTGAGAGGTTATGAGGTTCTAACTATTTTTACTGTGCACCTGTTTGAACAAACAAAAACAGAACTAGACTTAAAGTAAGTAAAGTTACTGCGGTATGAAACACCGAATTAGAAAATCAGTTCAGAAGAAAGAAATGTATTATCTGCAGCTGCTTCGCGTATAGTGTTAATTGAAGAAAGATTGGAGTTAAAGAACTAGAAATTAGCATACGTTTATTAAAGCCGTAAATGAAGTGAGAGTAGGAACAAGATTCCTAATTTCTTCTCTCGACGACCTCGTAGCTACTCTATTATGGTGTATAAGAAGTAAAGAAAAGCAACGCAAATCGATGTAACCCCGAACAAAAAATAAATAACTTATTTATTAAATTAACTGTGATAGAACAACTGCTATTTTTGAACCGGCAACTTAAACCTATAAACGCGCTTCTGCATACTGTCGCCGCTTTCTTTGTATTGTCTTCGGTAATGATCGTGATCGTCGTCGTAGCTTGTCGAGTGGCTGTGCTCCTCGGTATATTTCGGTTGTTTTATAATTTCGAATGTCGTTTTTTCCTCTCCCCCGTCTGAGACTAGCTTTTTCAGTCCCAGAATGGCGCTTAGAAGTAGGGCCATTTTGCCGACGATGAGGGCGGTTCCGGCCATCACCGCGATGCCTGCAATAAGACGCTAGTTCAAGAAAATAGTAAAATACGAAAAATATAATAATACAATAAAAATGGATGCATTTTGTCATAAAAAATGTAGCCTTATGAAATTTAAAACCCAAAATTCCGTTTCTATTACACTCTGAGTTCTTTGACTAGTTTGGTTTTAACTAAGCTATTTCTTTTTTAAAACTACGAGCATGGACTATAGTGTATAACTGAATTTTAGTCTGTGGCCTTTTTCATGTTTCTCCCCCATACAGCGCAAAACTCCCGATGCCAAGGTCTGTTTTGAACTTTTATGCAATTTGATCAAAAATTGCACATTTTTTAATTTAAAAAAATTAATTGCAAAGATTAATTAACATCATATTTTAACTTTCCTGATATCGATGAGAGGAACTCAAATTTTAGAGTTATGTTTAGACTTACATTTGTTTTATTTTAATGCTTGTCCTACCAGCACACATTTTTTTTTTGTATTACGATCGCTACTTCCAAAGTTTACTGATTCAAGTAGCAAATTTTTTGAAACGTAATTTTAAGTTCTTTTCAACTATTCAATAATAGACAAAATATCTCATATACAACTTCAGTTTTTCTGTTGATAACTATAAAGCTATAAGTTTCAAAAATATGTGTACTTAAACCATTGAATTGCACTTAAAACATTATTTTGGAAATGTTTTCATAAAAAATCAAAATTTTCCGTGTCAAAAAGTTTTTCAAAACTGCACATTTCCTGAAAACACCCAATACTCTGATAGCCATGTGCGGTTATTACTAAAGTGTTCTACGAAAATTGATTTCCACACCACATTAGTTTGTCGATGTCCACAGTCTGTACATCTTGTGTTTGTGCTACCGGTTTTTTTTAATTACGCACTATAAAATTACAACCTGTCATTTTTTGAGCATTAAAACACAATTTACGTAATAAGTAGAATCACAAATAATCAATTTGTTAAAAAAATATGTTTCTTGGCAAAAACCACCAACTAAACCAATTTTGGTAAAATAATTCTAATCAAAAATACAACAAAAACAAACTGCAGCAACTTAAAAAAATAGCAGGTGCTAAAATCCTTACGTCAGTTGAGGTGGTAGTGATCATTTTCAACAATTCAACATTGTTCAACTGAGTTTGTTGTGATCAAAGGGTGCAAAACATAAATATAGAACAAACTACAAAACTACAAAAATTGCAAAAATTCAGTGAAGTACACCTCTTTGAAAATACTATTCGTTAATACACCTCCTGGCACCGAACAATTTTAATCTAGTTGATGTAAAATTGGCCCCTTATCGTTATAAATAGCGTTGATACATTTTAATAAAATCGGACAAAATGTATTGTAAAAAAACGTTTTTTTAATGTTGTTGGAAACTAAGCTTGTCGAGACCGACGCTAATGTGAACTTTTTTTTTGTTCGATTCTCTAGTCGAGTATTGGAGTAGTTCATATTTTTTCCGATAATTTTAAAAATCCTGTATCGACATTAAAATATCCGTATCTCGTTCACTTGAGGAAGCAGAGCGTAAACTGATGCGCTCGGACATTGGCCATAACCTTTTAATAACTCAGCATTATATAAATCGTTTGCTAATTGACCTGCTAAGTAACGTCTCAGACAAATGATGATTGGTCGCGATCGACTAATGTAAGGAATTTCTCTCACCTTTGTACGCCATCGCCAAAAACGTCCCCTTAATAGCCAGCGCCGCCATCATAGCCCCGTACCCGCCGCCCCCCTTGTTGCCGCCCTTTTTGCCTCTACCCTCCTCGGCCACCAACTTGGGAAGGTTGACTTCCACCCTATGGGTGTCCAAAAACCTTGTGGTCGAATCGCCCAGTAATCCATACAACTCGTTCGAATCCAAATTTTCCAATTTTGATTCGTTCAAGTTCAAGCCGCCCATACTTTTGGCGTGTCGACCATTTGCGACGATGTTTATCCCATCGGTAACTGTAAAGGTTTTGATTCTAATCGCACGTTCGATCACCTTCAACGCCTGGATTTTCAAACACTTTAACACGTCTTCTTTTTCGGTGCACTGGTTAAGCCAATTCTTGGTCAGTCGGAAATTAGGCTCGTCCGCACAAATTGCCACGAGCAACATGGACGATATCAGCAAAAAGGGGTAGCTGGTATGCATGGTTCGGTTGTTGTGGTATTGAATGGAAGACTGGCCATTGGGCTTGTCGTTAACAGCATTTTATTAGGACGATTTCATGCGCACGGACGAGGGTTTCAGACCGTAAATAATGAAAATTAAGAAAAGTCATGCCATTTTCAATTAACGTATTAGTTAGCGGCCAGAGGCGGATTTAGTGAGGTATTTATAATGTAATATACATAAATATGCACACCCTATTGCACCATCGCATAATCAGCAACTGAAAAAATTAAGCGATGCTTTAAAGAAAAGTAAAGTTTTAGACATTGCATTTGAATTATATTAAATAAAATATTAATCAAAGTGAAGCATATTTCTTTATTTATCCCGTTTTTGGGTTTTATCTAAACGTTTCTTAATTTCTCTGCGAAAAGTCGAAAAATAGTTTCCTGTTCAATGCCCCATTCAAATAACATAAAAGAAATGCATTAATTTCCTTAGTAGAGGATATTTTATAGTTTAACCGGGTTTTTTGTTTTGATTTAAATGTATTTTTGATTTGGCACGTTAAAATGTATCTGTTGTTTATTTTGTTTTTTTTTTTCGAAAACACTCGAAATCACGAAAAATATAATGCTGTTCCTTGAAAAAACCATTTAGAAAAAGCTCAAGATTTTTAATTATTAAAATTAAATAATAATTAATAGTATTTTATGCAACAAGTGTGATAAACAGCATTTGACTTAAATAGTTTACCAAAACGTTAGTTTTTGTCATAATTGACAAACGTCAAAATTGTGGCTTTGTGGGATAAGACACTCACGTGGTAAAGTGACGCTTCCCGCACACTAGATCGGTGTAGGGAGTAGAAAGAAGCAAAAAAAAATATTTTCAAGTAATGTTTTTATTTATAATTATTTATAATTAATTAATTGGAAGTGGAATAGTTATGAAATTGGTAGATATTTTCTTTGAACCTATATTATTATACATACATAGAAATATCCTAGAAGATGTATTTTGCATACATAAAGATAAAGAAGATATACTTAAGTATGGAGAGATAACTAGTTATGCTACCTGTTAGCAAACCTGCATTACATTAGTTTACAATAGCCAGTTTTTAATTTTTAATTTAAAACAATTCAAAAAGTTTCGCTATTTAAAAATAATATCAAAAGACTTTTTGTGCATACATTAGTTGTATCGTGAATACTTTGAGACAACTAAAAACAATTGCTATAATTTGTGTTTGTGATGATTAGTGTCTCTCAAAGTCACTTTTTACGTACAAAGCAGGTCTTATTTAAATTTTAACTTATAAATACTATATACTATACTTTTTCTAAGAGCGTTAGTTTTTTGGTACATGGCCGTCATAATTGACAAACGTCAAAATTGTGGCTTCGTGGGATAAGACACTCATTCACGTGGTAAAGTGACGCTTCCCGCACACTAGATCGGTGTAGGGAGTAGAAAGAAGTAGAAAAAATATTTTCAGGTAATGCATTATTTATAATTAATTAATTGGAAGTGGAATAGTTATGAAATTGGTAGATATTTTCTTTGAGGCTATATTATTATACATACATAGAAATATCCTAGAAGCTGTATTTTACATACATAAAGATAAAGAAGATATACTTAAGTATGGAGAGATAACTAGCTATACTACCTGTTAGCAAACCTGCATTACATTAGTTTACAATAGCCAGTCTTTAATTTTCAATTTAAAACAATCCAAAAAGTTTCGCTATTTAAAAACAATATCAAAAGAGTTTTTGTGCATGTTTTAGTTGCATCGTGAATACTTTGGGACAACTAAAAACAATTGCTATAATATGTGTTTGTGGTGATTAGTGTCTCTCAAAGTCACTTTTTACGTACAAAGCAGGTCTTATTTAAATTTTAACTTATAAATACTATATACTATACTTTTTCTAAGAGCGTTAGTTTTTGGGTACATGGCCGTCTTATTTAAATTTTAAATTATAAATTAGTTTTATTACTGTTTCTTATGAAACAAAAGATCTTTGATAGTGTCAGTTTTGATTAAGGTGTGTATAAACTGGGGAATAACAAATATGAAAGAGTATTTCAGAAAATTCAATTTTTTTAATCAGTACTTTTACATTAGGGTTCCATCATAAGAATTCGTCTAGGTTTATAACTAGAAATTACGATGACTCGCTACGTCTTAATGTCACCTTATTCAGGACCAATAATGATGATTGTCAGTGTTAAGATATACAGTAAAATAAAAAAAGATGATGCGTAATTTAGAAATTGTCAACCATATAAGAATTTGATTTTTCATAAACAAAGCCCAAAACCCATAATTTTCTTAATATTGTGAATTAAATTGAATTCGACCCTGTCCACCACGATCTTATTGTTATTTTCATTTTTAGTATGTGACCCTTTTATCGGGGGATAACGTATTATTTTTTACGCGGATATGCTCGCGCGGAAAAATCGAAACAAAAATGTGGCACGGAACAAATCGAAAGCTGAGACGGCGAAAATCGGTTAGCTTTACACGACTATTAAAAGTTTTCTCTTTTACAAGAATCGCGAACGGGTTTTCAACAATCCTTCTCGTAATTGGCGTTCGAGCACGTTTTTTCATTTTATTTTGCCAATTTTAAGAATGAACCGATGAAACGCGACAATTCGAGAGAGCATATTATATGACTCTGCGGTGTTAAGAGATTACAAGATGATGATCTGGTTTTATAGCACTAATATTGTTTATTAGCGACAAAATAACAGTTACGACAAAGCAGCGTGGGAAGAAGACAGGGTAAAGTCATCAAAGTATGAAATAATACGCAATAATACCGATTAATAGTTTTTTTATGAATCAATACCTAAAGCTTTTATCTTATTTTAAAATATTTCGAGAAATTTTGACTCAAAATTGAGAAAATTGCGATATTCAATTATCATTTTTTTAAAACTGAGTTTAGTATTTTATAAAAAATCTAAAAATTCACAAATGTACACAATATTGTATTTAGAATTTTATTGTTGGTAGTAAGGGTTAAAAATTGGGACATTTCATAAAAAAGAAAATAACATATGAAAAAACTGATTTTCGAACTTAAAACTTAAAAACTTAAAACAATGGAATTAGTATACCAGGAAGAAAAACATTTCTTAATCCACTTAGTCTTCTTTTTTGTCTACTGCATAATTCAGTGGGTAATCATTCATCTAGCGTTCTAGACATGGGCGTAAAATAAAATGCATCAACAATATACGGCCATCACTTTTTAAAAATTTTATGCACTCAATTGGCATTACAAAATTTTCACTTATTATTCAATTATGCTATTAAAAAAAAGGTGTTTTTAAGCAAAACAATGGTTGCTTGCAGTCAGTAGGTTTTGGACCTACGCTGCGATGGAAAATCTGATGTCTAGTCAGACGCCTTAACCTACATGTGCTAAATAAAATGTGGCATCAATTTTTCAATGAGTTTCACGAATTTTTTGTTCATCAAACAAATAACACACAATTGGCAAACACTTCAAAATCGAAATATGAAACATCAATCATACATAAACAAAGCGCTTTTAAACAAAAATAGCCAATTAATTGCAAATGTCTGCAAAACATTTAATTTCAATTATTTTATCTATATCTAAATGCCAAAAACTGGTTTTGATGGCCTATATCATAGTTCTTTAAAATTAAAATCTATATTTCTGAGCCGAAATCCGTACATTCTTTTTAACCAAATTGTCGTTCATCTTAATAGTTTTGCCATGGAATTTGCAAAAAATAATAGCGAATACGGAAAATATGAATAGATTATTTGTTGCTCTCCTAGAAAAAAACGTTTGATTAGTCATTTGCAACCACTTTGGGCATTCGCTTTTGGACTCTTATTTTGAAGAAATCTTAGAAGTTCCAGCTGGACAAATGTGGGTAGATATCGACAAAAGTATAATAATCTTTGTGTTTCATTTTTCATGCAAATTGCGTTTTAACAATTTAATGGACAAAACGGTATCGACTTTTTTTACACTTTCTGCAATTACTGTGTGAGCGACTCCGAGGAAAAGACAAGTAGCACACACGAGGTATACAACTAAAAGTGTATCTCTGGGTTACGTCCCACTCACGGCACAATGCAACAACGGTGGGAAAAGTCACACTCGTCTCAGAGAATATCCGGTATTCCATGCACTTTCGCTCTCTGATTCAAGCGTTCTATGATGTAGCCAGTAAAATGTTGTTGTTATTTTTATTAATAGTTTTTGAGGGATATTAATATAAAATGCGCACCACCTTTTATTAAAACGTGGTCACTTTTTGTTTTTAATTTAACTTTAATATTTAAAAAAATGTAACCGTAGGTGTATACATTTTTGAGTTTGAAATTTTAAAGATGTTAGGTAATTTTTGGCCCAAAGTTTAAAATGAACGCGCGGAAAGCCTTAAAATTTGTATTTCTCCTTTAAGTGTTCAGCTACGTTTTTGATTCATTTAAATGTCTTTATGTTTACGGCTTAGATGGGGCCATTTTAAATAAAAATTAGAATTTTTACCCACTAAAGTGGGTATCAAATATGAAAATGACCATTAAAAGTAATCACAATAATTTGTGGACTTTCCAATAATTCAAATTTAAACATTCCTAAAATTGCTATTCCTCTTCTTGTCATCTCTTCTATTGAGTTTCTTGTTACTATTAAATTCGCATTCATTAATACCATTTGAATTTAAGCTGAAATTTTTGTTACGCTTTTAAAATGGAAATAAATAAAATGTTGTAATGTTTTTCTTTTGCCGGTAATTTTCGTTTTATAAAAATAAAATGTAGAGAACCAAAAATAACTTGTTAAAATTCTATAGCTTTTTTTTCTGGTTCTTTTTGCTATCTTTTGTTTTAGCATCAGTTGAGTTATTTTAATATTTTGTACGTAGAAACAAATTGTCTTACTTATCTAAAAATTGAAAAAAAGTGATTTTCCCAGGATTGAACGTGTCGCAGAGAAGTGACAATTTCTGTTCTGGTTGGATAACCTACTGTATACCTATTGTTCTTTGTTAACTGTCATAGTTTCATTATAATATTTGGTGCCTTAAATCAAACCAAATAAAAATCGAACATCATCGTTACAAATTTAATGCTGCCCCCGAATTGGTGTTAATAATAGTAATTGTGTAGGTAAGTATAACCAATGTAATAGCCTCGCCAGAAACTTTCGATTAATCTGTTATATAAATCTGTAACGATGATCCTGATTGGTCGCATCGATTGACAAATAAATAAATAATAATCTATTTTACGTTTGAAAATATTTTTTTTAAAATATGGGTTTAATAAAATTTAATTTGACATTTTCAATTTTTGTTCGTATGAAAGGCCCTTTAATTTTGTTTTCTTATTAACAAAAATGTCAAACAACACGCATGGCTTCAGCAAGATGAAAATTCTCCTTAAAAATGAGGCCAATCAGCTACGTCGCCTTACAGATATTTTCTGTGTCCCACCGATCTTCCTAACCTACTTTATGGAATTTCTGTACACCTGTATCTCAATAAAACGCAAAATACACTGTGTCTCCAAATAATTTGGCAAAGTTATATCGAAACGTGCATTCAGACATTCACATAAAATTCTTTGACTAAAGCCTGAATTTGATCTTATCCGATCAAGTCGATCCATTAAACGAGTGACAATATGCGATATGTTCGTTAATGTTTGATTGCCGACGTGGTATAGAAGCCGAGAACAGAGCATTTTTTGGCCGTGCTGTACTCGAATGAAGAATGGCATTTGCATAAATATTCGACATTATTAATGTCTCGTCGATTTTGTAGGAAAGAGTAAGTTGAATTTTTTTTACACGCCAGTCTTTGGTATGCGAATACCGGTTGTCTGCCGGGTTCCATCGAAGAAATTTTTCTTTACATTAATACTTTAATGAAGATCCTATCCAATGATTTAAATTTTAACTGACGCTTAAAAATGAAACCAAATTAATTTAAAAAATTAACTTATTATCAGCAAAATTCTATGGCAGGAGTGAGACGATATTTCTGACAAAAATAATTTTTTTCCTCCTTAGTAACAGTTGAAGTACTGCGTTCATTAAGAGAAAATGAAATATACGGCTTATATGGAAGACCTTTTCCCTTTCAATTACAAATGAAAAACGGCAACTGCCTGTACAAGGACAAAATAGAAATTTTATTTTCAGCCGGTTCATATATATTTTAGACAACAAGTAGATACTAAGCTATTATTGAACTTAAGATTCTTGTATATATTTAATATCATATCAAATAAATAAATAATAAATAAAATATATCTATTTCAAAAAATTGAACAATTAGCCCAAATAAATCGAAATAAACAGCCCACTTTCGTAGTGAGCCCACTAAGTAAGGTGGACATGGTTCGCTATAAATTTTGTTAACAAAATTTGACACATTTTGTATTTGTGACAGATAGGATTTTATGCGATACATTGAATGCAGCATTTCGAAAAATATAATTTGTTCCCACAACTAAAATTCAATCAAAAAGATTATCAAATGATTAATTATTATTAATATTATTTAGAAAATGATTCCATCAAAAGTTCTTTTTTATTTGTTTTTTATATAATCCGGAATTATCTTATATAATTTTGGAGTAAAATAGTTGGCTGAAATTTAGGAGCCCCGCCTCTTGACATAGATATCTTTATAACTAACTTTTTTACAGTATTTAACTTCAATGAAGTACATTTGCTTACTCTTTCTCCCAACCACACAAGCCATGTCAAATGAGGTTGGCAAGGTCCATAACATTTTATAAAATTGAGTATGGGGCGTAAGGCAACATAATTTTTTATTAATGTTTTGTTCTGAGGATCCGATCTTAAATGTTTATCAATTATTATTCCTAGATATTTAATTGACACAGTAGCTCATATTGTTAGTATATTCAGTATTTTTACATTTTCCAACTTTGAGATTCCAGTTATTTAAGAAGAGAAAGGTTAAGGTTAGTGTATCAAATCATTTTTTCTGTTTAAGAAAATGTTGTATGCGTGCTTCTACGGTGTCATTCTAGGACCTTGCTATTCCAAATGAAAGCAGGTATCTAAATGATAAAAAATGATAAACACTGAGCTGAAACTTAACCTCCCAAATAAAAGAAATTGTTATTTCGCAATAACAATTTGTCGCTTGCTGTATTACTTGTAGGCGACGTGTATGGAATTGCTGACTAATCTGTCGTCGATGAAGAGAATTTCTATTCTAAGCGCCAAGAGTTATTGACTATGACACCTGAATTTTAATCTGGCTCCTAAAAATATTCATTTCATGATGGCTATTTCGCCGATGTGATTGTTTAACCAAAATTTGGCACCGTTACCGATAATTTGAACATTTAAAATGAAACGATATATATTTTAATAATATGTAGAATAACTAGAATGCAGAACTATGTAAGAAAACATTTTATATAATAAAATTATATTCTCGCTTTATTGCACTAGGTAAAACATTATTTATTTATTGACCTATTTGTTGTATTTTATTATATTAGTTTACTACAGAATTAGAATAGACCAAGGCAGATCCCTCAAATTATTAAGGGGAACTACTATATCATAAATTAACCCCATTAAGAAAATCTGTTCGTATAATTAATATTTGAAATTTTTGTTATTAATTGTACATTAATAATTGCTTTTTACAATGAAAATAATTACGAATAAACTACTTAAAGATTTTCGAAAAGAACTAAGCACTTAAAGTAGTTTATAACGATAAAAAATAAAAAAAATAGCTGAGATCATATAATAATATCCAAAAATGACCATAATTATAATAAGTATAAATTTTAGCTTAAAGTTTAAAAATAAGTGAAATACTTTTGATGTACCAAATCATGCGCAAATCTTGTAGCCTACCATAATTTAATTAAAACAAAAAAATTCTACGGCTGCCTTTATAGCTCATAAAATCTAAGTCAATAAAAAGAAAAAAACATAGAAAAAAAGCTCGAGTTATATTAAAGCTGTCTGAATTCTTCGGTAGTCCATTAAAGAACCAAACAATGCCAAAACAAAAAGTATCTTCCAAAAGAGGTGTGCAATGATGTGTTGGAATAATTTTACGTGAAACTATATGTATGTTTAAGTTTAGGAATATGGGTTCTTAAAACATTACTCTTAAATGTTGAACAAATTAAGCAAACTATCTTGCGATAAAAAATGTTGGGTACAGCTACCTACTCTCTAATTTATTTGAAATACGATATTTGATTATGTGGTCAATAAACTTCAAGCAAGAATTTTGTACGAGTGATTTTATTGTCCCAGACCAAAGTCGCAATGTCAATGACTCTCAGTTGTCAGTTGTTTACTTATTGCTACACATGTCTTTTAAGTTTGTTCAAATCAAAGAAGTCGGAAAACAGAATCGTCTTTCATGGTCATTCCGATGACATGAGAGTCCAACAGGGTGCTGCTCTGGACCCCTAAAAGAGTTAAATATGGAAACGAGTGGATCCGGAAACCAAATTCATTGTCGCCATCTGGTTGGAAATTAATTTTATATGAAAAGAGTTAAATAATTCAAGAAGATATTAGGTCGTGCATCTTTTAACCACCTAGTAGTTTTACATTTCCATATTTGTCAATACAATATTTTATCCCTGAAAGTCGAAATTTTAGTCTTCTTTTAAATTTCGGTGCGCTTTCCAAAAGATTATCACGGGTTATATAAAGGCTGCTACTATATGTAATTATTTGCCAATTATTATCATAACCTCAAAACTAGAGCTACTTTAAAAAGTTTGTTACTGCTCTATAAATTTTAAAACATTCTTTATATTTCATAGTAGCTGTATAATATTTCTTAGATCCTTTAAGATTTATAAGTTATGAGTATGGGTAAAAGTTTTATAAAACTTTAACAATAAGGTTTTTAAGAACCCTAGAAAACTTAAAAAAACTATGAAACTAATACCAAAGGCTTAGTAAATAAAAAAAAACGGAAATGTTTTGGAATCAATTTTGTATTAAGTAATTTGGTATTTATTGGAGGACTTGTAACACCAGTGGTTTCTTTTACAACTATAAAAACTATTATAAAAATTAAGGTTTCTAATAAACCTCCTACAAATACCTTACCTAACAATAAAATTTTAAGCTGCGAAAAGTATTAGGTGAGGTGACGATACCGATAAAGTAGTTTTGATTTAAGAAAAGATGAATGCAGTTCGATACATCACCACTAGATTCTTGAAATTTTGCTACCCAAACAGTGACACAGTGACAGTAAATTTGATGTAGTTGAAAAAAGTTTTTGAAATTTTGAAAAAAAAAACCAAGCGAGCATCTACGAACATCTCGAAGAGTCGAGAACCAAAGCCAACTTCGCACTAATCACCTTAGAAACGCTAATCCGTGGGACCATCGAACCAGGCGGCATAGAAACGAATTTTATGCGTCGTCGACGAATGCGTGCTGGCCCTGGCCATCATCGCCACGCCGACCCATCCGAAAATCTCCGAGAGTTCATCTCAATAATTATATATTCAAACACAGTTTTCGCTTTTTTCTATGTCAAGGTCCCCACTTTAACCGGCCTCTCCGGATGAACCACCACGTTATTTACTTTGGCCTGACAGATGATACATAATTTACATTGAATTTTGACAATAATCTGCTTTATTTATATTCGAAAACTCGGTATAAAAAGAAGTGTGGCCCATTGAGAGTAGCAGTACCTTCCGGCGTGGTGGAGTGAACGAGCCATGGGTCGATACAGTGTTTTCGTGTTTTGCCTTTGTATTTTCGGGGCCGTTTCGTCGGCGGAGGATCGGAACGAGAACGTAGGTGTACGCGACGTTTTGAAAATTTACAGCGAGTGTTGGAATTCGGACGGGTTGAAACCGTGCCTGAAGATGAAAGCGGTCACGCTCTTGGATAGGGTGGCGAGGATGCAGAAAATTAGTCTGTTCGAGGGGGTCGTTTTCCAAAACAAGGAGGTGCCGAGTGCTCCCTTGCTCACCAAAGAACAACTCGAGGAGACCCTGCCGAGGGCTCTGGACGCCAAAGATCAGACCTTGACGAAAATGATTTTCGACAAAGTGATCGGGATCGTCGGCTCGGGTACCGTCGAGATTTCCATGCCCAAAATGATCGAAGAAGGTAAAATTTTACGCCATAACTTAAAACCCGACGGGAATGTAGCTTTAGTTGGTGCCACGGTTAATAACATTCGACACTTCGTTAACTATTTGTAAATAGATTTACACTGTGAAATTTTAAAACATCAGATGTGCTTCTCTGATGGTACCAAATAAGAGAAATAAAAATGAGGTTAGTTTGAAGTACTTTTTATGGCAGTAAACTAACATAATCCATTATACAATCACAACTAATTCCACTGAAAACTAAACCTGCATCTTTGAAAAATCTATTTTTTAATGGCTCAAATATATTCACATCACTTCCAGTCTGCGCGATCTGTAAAATCTCTAAAGCAATAGTTTTGGGTTCTATTAGATGTATAAGAAATAACGTTCAAAAAATTAGGATCAACTACGTGTATATACACACGCAGATATACGAAAATAATACTGAAATTATTTAAGTGCCAATATTCCATTATAAAAAACATATAGGTATAGTTTTCAGAGTTTGATGAATTTTCCAACAATCGTTCAATTTAATGTTATCAATATTCTCAATAAGTAGGTTTTTCCAAATATTTCAACCCAACACGATATCTCCATTTGTTATTCAGCGTTGGATTTTATTATGTATTTGTAAATTTGGTTTCTTGCAGCTCGTAAACACGAAGACGACAAGTTCGACAAGCTGACCGAGCTCTTCGGCGAGGACAAAAAAATGAAGAAGAAGAAAGACGAGAAAACGCTCAAAGACTTCCTGATGGACGTGATGGCGCACAAGATCGCCATGATCCCGCTCCTGATCGCAGGTCTCTTCGTGCTGGCCCTCAAAGCGCTGACGTACGCCAAGATCGCGTTCCTGATCGCCGGTATCATTTGGGCAAAGAAACTGATCGCCTCCAAGAACCAAGGTGGAGGACAGGTCCAGCACGTGCACGCATCGGCCGGGTGGAACGGCGGCGCCGGAGGGGGATGGAACGGGGGCGGGGGCGGATGGGACAAGAGGTCCTTGGACGACGCCCAAGCATTAGCGTACAAAGCTTACAAGCAGGAATGATTTTTCCGCTAATTCGGCCTGTTTTTTGGGCCAGAGAGGAAGACATTTAATTCGGTTGTTACCAAATCGCCTAAACGATTCGAAAATTTAATTTATTTAATTTATTTTTTATTAAATAAAAGTTGTTGGCCCTACGGACTGCTTTTTTATTTCGCCCAGTACCTACGATATCGACAATGCCAATTTGTTATCCTCCTTTGAAAGGTGAAGAAATGAAAAACAAATTATAACTCTTAAATGTGATAATTTGTTAATATAATTAACATCATCTAAAGTTTGGAGACCAAATGAAGATACCAAATGAAGTACATAGACTTTAGATTATTTAAAAATCAGCCGCGTTGACGCTTTTGGAAAATATCGGGACACTCAAAAAAGTCGTTATTGCGGAGACACCGGTAAGTTATGTAAATAAACACCACCACGAATATATAAAATCACTCTTAATCTTAAAATTTAGATGGGACATTAGATCCAAACTCTAAATCGTTGAAGTCTAGAGGGCGTAGCGGCGAGGACGACGGTAAGACGACGTCTAAATTGAAGCAGTTAGAACATTACGTAGAGAGAATCGGCATTTTCTCCGCACAATAAAATAAGATTCACTGTTCGTCGTATACACGGGTCACGTATCCGCGGGGCCAAGTGCAAGGCAGGGGGACAAAAAACAACTCTCACCCGGAGCCCAATGAGGTTGAAGAAAAATCTAGGTTACGTCGTACCGCCTCCCGTTGGGGTGAAGAAAATATGTGCCAAACGGTACCGTGCCGCGTTCGGTCCCCCCTATATGAAGATGTCTACCGGGTCACGTCGTGGTAAAAAGGTCAATCGGCGTGTCAAAGATCTCAGTATAAAACAACCCGGTCGATTTTACGTGAAATCAGATTTAATTCGAAATTCGCACAGTCACCAATGAGGGCCGTCGCGGTGTTGGTGATCTCTTTTTGTACGCTCGGTGTTTGGGCCGATGACGGCGTCGCGGGGTTCGAAACGACCGGTATCAAAGTGGCGTTGAAACTCTACGAGGATTGTTCGCATTCCGACGGCTTCTCGCCATGTTTGAAGAAAAAGGCGCTGACGATTTTGGACCGGCTAGGGAAAATGGACAAGCTGAGTATAATAGACGGGGTTACTCTCGTACGAGCCAAAGACGTTAGGGAAGTCGATCCCCCCGTGACGGAAGAACAGCTCGAGAATACTCTGCCGAGAGGAGCCGATGCCAGAGACGAAGCTCTGACGAATATGCTGTTCGATAGAGTCGGCAAGATTATCGGTTCCAGGACCGTCGAAGTTTCACTGCCTAAAGTGTCCGATCTGATCGAGGAAGGTGAGAACCACTATTTACGAAAATATTTTTGAAAAGTGCGACACAAAAAAGTATTTTTTGCCGTCAAAGCAAAACAAAATTGAAATTTGGTAATGTACTTGTTAGCAAAAATGAGTTTCAGCAGTTTATTTTTTTGTCTTGTTAGACTGTTAAAACTTAATAATATTATTCTTGCTTTGAATTTTTGAACTTGTAGAGATATATGAAATTAAATTATATTTATTTATTACAACTCGCAAGATATATTCGAACATCAATTTTGTCCGTACTGCTTTTCTGAAATTTTTGAAGGATATCTTGCACAAACAGTATAGTAAATATATACAAGTTTATTGATTTTAAGGGATCTTGATATAAATTTTCACGCCCTATTTATAGGATCAACCGATAACAAAAGAAACAAGTTTAAAAACAAAAGCTACAAAATTTTAAAAATTGAAGAATTTTTAAAATTGTTCTAACACATTATTTAAATTTTTACACAACTCCATTTTTTAAATTTAAAATTATATATTATGTACCTAATTTTTCTAAAATTTCGTTAAAAAATCATTATGCTTCACCAAAAAAGAATATTTTTTTAACCCAAATCTATCAAAGTACGTAAAAACATTAATTAGCAACCTTGTACGTGGGTTTCAAAAATATAGGCATGTATATATTTCAAACTTCTCTCTCTAGCGATGTCAAAGGACACCTGGTTAAATACACCAACGTGGAAGAAGAATCAAAAAAACTCAATACTCAGATTCAATTATTTCTTTCTATAAAACCTGTTTTTGAAAACCTTATTAAATTTGGCTAAAAAAAGCAACACCACCTAACTGCAACAAAAAGAAAATAAAAAAAAAACTAATTACTCTTATCAAATTTGTTTTTTCTATAAAACCTAAATCGGGATTGAGTGTTTTTTGGGTTCTTCTCTGAATCAAAATTCTTGTTTCCGAAAATGTTAAATTGAAGACGTTCGAAAAGAGCACCTGAAACCTCAACAAAATCTAGCTTGCAACAAAATATTTATATCCCTTAATGTACAGCTATTTCTTTTTTGTTTAAATTTGAGCTTTTCTTAAGAATATCTGTTGTAGTTTATTACCTTGAAAATTCTTTTTTTAATAGAATTTCAAATAAATTTTCACTTCACTCATTATTATTATAAACCTTTTTAAGTTTAAAACGGCATTTTCTAAACATATTTTTCAGGACGCGGCAGGAAAGGAGGCGGCGGTGGCGGCGACAGCGGCGGCGGCAAAATGAAAAACATGATGGGCGGCATGATGATGGCGATGGCAGCGAAAATGGCGGCCCTAGTCCCAATCGCTATCGCCGGTCTCTTCCTTTTGGCAGGAAAAGCGCTGATCACCGCCAAAATCGCACTTCTGATCTCAGGAATTATCGCCTTGAAAAAACTGTTCGCCGCTAAGCAGCACGGCGGTGGAGGCGGCGGTCACGTCAGCTACCATTCGTCGGGCGGCGGCGGAGGCGGCTGGCAACCCAGCGGCGGCGGCGGCGGCGGTTGGGACAAGAGGTCCTACAACGATATCCAAAGCTTGCCCTACAAAGCGTACAAGCAACATTGATCGTCGAGTCTTTAGATTTATTTAAAGTAATTTATTTCTGAGTAATGTACAAATCCATTGGTCTGTTTTCTAGCCCGTTCGTGTACCCTTGTTTAATAATTAATTTTGTTGTTTTGTACGGCGGAACTGAGTAATTTATTTTGATGATATATCTAGAAACCAGATCAAAATTGCTTGTTAAATTGTTAATAAATTTATCTCTATTTTGCTATAGAATTGACGAGTTACAATTAGAAGTACAAAATGAAGGCAATTTTCAATGATCAATTATCAATGAATGCTACAATTGTTCTCGAGGAATATGAAAATAAGTGACTCTGTTGCGTCTTTGTTACTCCTTGACTGTTATTTATATTACGTTGTTGACTGATTAATTTTCCCTAATAAAGCTCTTTGACATGTTTGTTAATATATACTTTTCTTGTGGGGGGTACCGCAAGTTGAAGAATCTATAGAAGCTGTACCATTTCGCACTGTCAAATGGGTATTGGCAGACCGATCCTTGAAACTGGAATATAAGATATAATACCTTCCGCCAGATTAATTAAAATTGAATAATTTGTAGCATTTTTTTTGTTTCGGAAAGGAGGACATCCGTGAACCACTTTGACCTTGTTCCGCAACACGATGCATATGTATGACGTTTCCGTGTCGACAGTCGAAGATCCCAAGTTTCACTGGCTACCGTTAAAAGTGCATAATACTACCACGATTGAATTGTCAATAGGAAAATAGAACGTGGTAGCTGCTCGGATATCTTCTCCTCAGTCGCCGAGCTGGTCGGGTTTTACGGAAAATTAATTTAAAGTAGATCGAACAATCTTTATGGTCCGTCTTGCCATATGTCAATTTAAGTTGCTGCGTAGCTAATCAGTTTTTCAAATTACCGTATCGCAATGCCTTGTAGCGATATAATTTCCTCTTGTTGTACTGTTCCATTTTAGTACTCCGATCAAATAAAACAGGTAATGTAATATTTAATAAAACACAGAGAGCCAAAATTAAGCCCTAGTTTTCTATATAACCATATCTCTCAAAAAGTTTCTCTCCCGAAATACCGGGTGTTGCAATTCTAAGAAAAAAAGCCATTTTTTATATTATAATTAAAAAACCGCTGTAGATATTTCACCGACATTTTGTACACTGCTTTTAAGCTGCAAAACACATTTTTTGATGTAAAATAGAGGACGGCGGGGCTAGGCGGATCCCCTGGGGCAAGGATGCCCACCTCAAAAATTACCCAAATTTTTTAATTATTATAATTATAAATTCTGGTTATTTGTACATTCTTATAATTTGCGTAATACCATTGGTAAAATGGATTGCTTAAAAATTCTAAAAAAAAACTATTCCGTATTGTTATAACCGAATCATAATTATATTATTGAAAGCATTATTTTTTGGATGATTCTATAGATTCAGCTTAAAGCCAGAGCTTTCGAACATCGATTGAAAAATAGTTGCCAATGAGTAACGTTCCTTTTTATTTTAAAACTTTTTAATTAATAATTATAATTATTATATATAACATTATAAATTAAGGAGAGTGGAAACGACGACCAGGAGCTTCACCAAAATTGCGGTAAATTTAGTTAAAATTAGTCTAACATAAATCGACTTGATGCTTAAAAGCAACAAAAAATAGTAAAAAGCGGAATATTTAAAAAAAAGATGCGCCACTATTTTTGTCCAAAATGAGAAAGACTTGAAAGTCCCAATTCAAGTTTTATCAATTGACTTTTTTCCGAACGATGCACCGTTTTCAAATAAAAAAATTGGAGATCATTTTGATGCATTGCGAAATCATCTTTTGTTACCAAAAAATATTAAATGCTATATCCAGTCTTGTAAATGAAGTGTTTCGCCACATTTGGTGCTGTATTATGTGAGAAAAAGGTTTTTCTAAGGATTTATTTTTACCAGCTATTACCTGTCAGCTATATCGGACGTAATGTTAATTATTACCATGGTAAATTAGATTAAGAGTTTAATTGAATACTTGAATTGAAATATTTGTGACCAACGTAACTGTACCAGGCCTGCGTTTCATATTTTTTAGCGAACATAATGGGTGTAATAACCTTAATACGCAGTTATAATGGTATTCCACGTACCCGAAAGACGGCAAATTTATCGTTTCATAAAATCTTATATGTGACGAGAAAAAATACGGAGAACTTTTCGTCAGAGTAATGGCGACTTTAAGTCAGTGGCATGGACAGGAACCTCAAGTTAAGTGGCGAAAAACTTTAGCTGACTGATTGAAGAAATGGTTTGGCGAAATTAAATTCGCCACCTCTTTCACTCAATAAAACACTTTTCCTTTCTTTTTAGTATTATTCTGTCGCTTAGGTTGTTGTGATTGTTAAAAAACATATTTAACTTCTCTCCATTTTTATATAGTATATATGTATAGTAAGATAATTAAAATAATATTTACCTTAAATTCCGCCCATAAGATGTGATTTCGAGACAGGCCATGATAAGTAATTGCTGTACCCGTTATCATACCTATTTAATAGTACAGTCGAATAAAACAACAATTTAATAGCAAACGTGCACATTATATGAAACACTGAAACATAGCGTCGCTAGTAGCATGTGCGCAAAACGACCGCAGTGGTGGAACAGTCAAATTTATTAAATTCCCTTTACTTTTACTGAAGCAAAATTTAAGTTCGAGTGAGAATTAAAATTAAATGTCAAGTTCGTCACTAACTCATCAAAATATTTGCCAAAAATAGCTTCTAGATCGAAATTATATATATATATATATATATATATATATATATATATATATATATATATATATATATATATATATATATATATATATATATATATATATGATGACACTATATTCCGGGATATCATCCGTTCGCTCGTTGAACTCCGACTGGAATCCTGCATCCGACTGGAATCCTGCAGACGTTTCGCCAAAATCTCACTTGGCATCTTCAATGCTCGCGCTCCGAAAACACTTCGAACACTGAGCGTTCGAGCATTGAAGATGCCAAGTGAGATTTTGGCGAAACGTCTGCAGGATTCCAGTCGGATGCAAGATTTGCAGGATTCCAGTCGGATGCAGGATTCCAGTCGGAGTTCAACGAGCGAACGGATGATATCCCGGAATATAGTGTCATCATATATATATATATATATATATATATATATATATATATATATATATATATATATATATATATATATATATATATATATATATATATATATATATATATATATATATATATATATATATATATATATATATATATTAATTTTAGTTGGTATTTTTTAATCCTTTGACTTTATTCGATTCGAATTAAACTAAATAGCGGTGATAAGAGTTCTCGCGCGAGTTTGTTGGATCTTGAGATAGAGAAAGTCACTGTAGTTAAGATTTGAATTACTTCACTTTAATACTTGCTCTTAAATGTAAAGCGTATTTGTACTAATTTACTTCCGGTGTCTTCAGCTTTTTTTTATTTTAATGCAATTTTTACAAAATAATTTTACTCTTTATATTACTCAAGCAAATTATCAAAACTAAACCCAAGCAAGGCCTTTAGACACAGGTATGCTGGTTTCAAAAATGCCATATACATATAAAGTGCTAATTTAAGTATGCATAACCTAACTATAATTATGTATCTGTCTAGGACATCTACTGGTTACATATTTATTTGATTACTTTTAGATAGTTTTACTTGAATAGTAAGTTAGGTTAGTTTTAGACGGGTATGCTAGTTTACAACACCATACAGTATATAAGGTGTTAGCTTAAGCATAATATAGTGTTGGGCATGGTCAATTGACCACTTCTTAATTGACTATGCAAAAAATCATTTAAATAACATCTTGCAATGGTAGAATCTTTTCTATTTTTATTAAATTATAATATGTATTTTATAATAAATTGTATTCAAGGAATGTCCGAATACACGAACGACGCACAATATAAATAAAAATAAATAAATAAATACAATTTCATGGTATTTCTAAAATTGTTTCGGTCAATTGACACAAAGAAAATTCAGCGGTGAATGCCACAAACCTAAGCATAATATGACTCTTATAATTATATATCTGTGCAGAACCTCTACTAGTTACATATTTATTTATTTGGTGAATATTAGGGACACTAGAGGCGAACCCAAAAGGTGTCCATAAAATTACATAAGAAGAATTTTTTATGTAGCGCTCACACGTACATTCGAAGTTTTTGGAAGGTAGTTTGCGGTGTTGGGAAATCTATGGTACTATAATATTCTCACTGTTCTACAGAGTTGACAATTTTAAGGAGAATTCTAATAAAGAGGACAGGAAACATTTGGGGTAATCTGAGACTAAGCGATTTATAATTTTATAAAGAAACATTATGAAATGCTCCTTAAATGAGATAAATTTTAGTAGTTTCATTTGAACCCTCCCAGACTCCAATCCACGCTACCATAACAATGATTGGCCAGGATAAACGCGTTTAATAAACAAACGATAGCCTCAATATTTGTAAAATTGTTGAAGCGTTCACTTTCATTATACAATCCCCACCGTTTAAAGCGTTAGTATTTATAATTTGACATTTTTATGTATACGCCGGTAATTTTAGTCTTACTCCTTTATTAGAATGTAATTTTAGTATTTTGAGGGCTAATAATTTGCTAATGTCTCAAAATAACTGTTGCAGAAGATCTTACATTCATAGCGGCAACTATTTAACAGTATTAAAATCTTAATTTTAGTGAATTGCACGTTGCTGTCACATTAACAGTTTGTTAGATCCGATTGCTCAGCATTGTATCCCCAAAAACGACCTTAAACCGGTTTTAATCTATTTCATGAACAAACCAGTTTTTTTTGTCAGTCACTAGCTACCCTACTGCATTATAGTTAAACTATTATTGTTTTGTATCCGAAACGGTTCTTGACAATGGCGTCACAGACTTTATAGTTGTTTTTTTTAGCTCATAGTTTATTTTTCCTCCGTTTATTTTTTGTTTTGGCTGTTTTTTTTCCTTCTTCTTCTTCTTTTGCTTCAAATTAAGACGAATAAAATCGTATAAACTTTCCTAAATATTCCTACGCCACTGTTTGTCGCGTACCGCAAAAATTATACGGTTCGTCCGATTCTATTAAAAGAATTCATCCGTAAACGTAGATAATATTTAACATTATAGCGGAATCAGTGCTTTACTTGCAGGCAAATAGACTCTAAGCAAAATGGTGCGATGTCGAGCGAGTCAAGGTGGCACTACTGTTTCGTCCGCGGTAGTGGGACGCTGAACACAATTAGTGTACCCAGAAAACGTGCATTTTAATTGCCTTATTATTATGTTTGGGCCCGTGACCATTTTTTTGGAAGCGTTATTTTTAATGTGAGTCCGTTTGTAGTAAAATGAACCTCTTGTATTTTGCGTTTGTGTTGTTGCTGTTAGTGCGATTCTCGAAAGGACATGTTAAGGACGATGATTGCTGTTCCGGCGAGCAACCGGAGGAAAAAATGGGGAAGCTGTCAAATTCTGTGGCGACCTGGCAAGGCTCCTGGACTATTTATCCCACGGTAGCTACTTTTTCGTTGCAAACTGCTATACCTATGTCTTCTAGAGGTAAGATCTTATTTGATTAATCAGAATGCAACAAAATAACGATACAACGACCAAAGGAGTTCAATATTCGCTTAAATAAGTAAAGTACCCTATGTGGAAATAACCGTTTTCAACTCTAGAGGTTAAAGTTTTATCAGATTTAATCAAAAAATATTTCAAAATAAATAAGAACTAAAAGTTCAGATTTTCACGAAATTATATATTTTGACATGACAATTGTTTCGACAACACCGTGTCTTTATCAAATGTTTGATAAAGACCCGGTGGATTTTCATCAAGTAAAAGCCTCCTCAGGTCAATTTTCAAAAAATATTTATATAGCAAGATATAGTTTGAAACATCTATAAGGTAAATAAAAGGAATAAAAAAAAAACGATGCCTCTAAAAAAATAGCCTAATAAACAGAAAGATAAGAATTTATCCAATAATCAGATAAATAGCTTTATGTCCGTGTAACCACAGTGATGTCCTGGGAACCGCACTTCTACCTTTATTTGTAGGTATCAATTAGTTTAACAATTTCTTGAATACCGCAAAACCAACAAATAACACAATGCCGCGAAACTGATTAAATTGATTTGCCCCCCACGTTATGTTTTACCGATATTTTTATCAAACCGTTTTTCTCAAGCTTTTTCATTACCGTTTGTTTTATTTTGAGTGAACCTGTCAGCTGTCGGTTCCAAAAATGGAGACAACTCTAAAATGCATTTGAATTAGTTCAAAAGCTTTGACTTTTAAATAATCTTTTGCCGAAATAATTTCAGTATAGAAGCGTTGTTTAATTGTTATTTAATTATCCGTTACTGTTTTATTTTTGTGGTTTATTTTCAATTACGAAATACAATTTTGAAAAGTTGGAAGCGTTAAATAATCGAACTGACGGTGGCTTTTACTTGATGAAAATCCATTTATCAAAACAAATAAGAACTAAAAGTTCAGATTTTCACGAAATTATATATTATGACATGACAATTGTTTCGACAACACCGTGTCTTTATCAAATGAGACATTTGATAAAGACACGGCGTTGTCGAAACAATTGTCATGTCATAATATATAATTTCGTGAAAATCTGAACTTTTAGTTCTTATTTATTTCGTTAAATAATCCATGTAACATTTTATATTCAATTTTTTGACAAAAATCCAAAATAACATTTTATAGAATAATCTTAAATGTGTAAATATGAATTCGTAACATTATTCAAATTATATTAAATACAATTTTACAACTTTATTGCAGAACTGGAAGAAGAAACCCGCCAGGCGAGAGGCAAAAACAAAAAAGTGAAGAAAAAGATCAAGAGGTACATGCTGCCGCTACTGATGGCTTACAAGTTGAAGTTTTTCACCCTGATTCCCGTCCTGATCGGTGGTTTGGTGCTGCTGACGGGCGCCACTGGGCTAGCCGGGTTTTTCTTCGCGCTTTTCGCGGCAGTGATGGGACTCAAAAGTGGGGGTGGACACGGACATTATTAGAAAAACGCTATATCATCTAAGGCACTTATTTATTTAATTTATTTCGATTATTATGTACATAGAATTGCGTCGTAAATGCGGGTACTAATATTATGACAATAAATCCCTATTGCGATTCACTGAAGAAGTTTTTTTTGCCCAAGAGGATAATGGAAATAATTTAGAAAGTAGTAATAAAAAAATGGGAGTTACGTCGGTAAAGTGTAAGGGCGAAGTAGCTCACTCTTGAGCAACATTTATATGGGAATTTATATTTAAACAAATAAACCCAGTCTCAGAAAACAAACGGATATATCATTGCTTCTATTGCTCGCGATTTCAGCAATTCCAATTATAAACTACTGTTGCATCGATCAGGTGCACAGCGAAATAGCGATCTTAAAAGTGTGGTAATTAGGATAATAGAAAGCTAGACATTGATACCGTTTTATCTGTTTCTAATAATGATATGGGTGGGTCTGACATTTAAAACTTGACGCAAAAACATATACGAAGTCTCTCTAGGATTGTCTATTAATTAATAGAGGCACAATCAAGCGGTAAATATATTAGCATAAATCTTAAGGAAATTCTGTAACTGACTTATTGTCATATTGATGCTAACTGACCAGACAAGACTTTTTATTTGGTTAATTTATTTCTATTATAATTTTTGTTTGTTCCCAAAACTTGATTTCATTGTTGGATTATCCATCTTATCTATGTATTCTATCTATTCCTTTTGTTTGCGCCATACTGAAGCAATATTTTTCATATATAATGGGCATTTTAAAAACCCCTTCATTTTCATTGTTTCTTTTGCCCCTCTTTTCTGTTTTATCTGATATCTGATTATTATCGACAAAACCTCAGAGTTTCGTTTATTTAAAGGAACGTGCTACATATTTTTCAAGATATTAGCCGTTATTTTACAAATTTCCAAAAGCACTAGCCTGCCTCATATAGTTATTAGATAATATAGGGGCCCTACTGCCGTAAGGATTGATGTTTCTCAGTTGGTTACGATATTTTCCGTGCATGACTCAACATTCCTCTTCCCCACTAACCTGCAATTTCCTCCATTTTCTTTCCAGCGATTTTCAAACCTTTAACTTGTTTTCCCAGAAAATTTAAAGAAAACTTGGCATATTATGGGAAAATACTAATCCCAACTTATTGCCGATCTGTGAGCGACGACGCTGGTTCTTGAGTGACCCAAAATCAATGTCAATGCTTCATAAGTTCCTGTATTATCGGCATAGACAAGGGCTTTATACCACTAGTAGCTAAATGGGTCTACATCAATAAATAACACAATGGGCTTATGCTTAAGCAAGCACCAGAAATTAAATAAAGCATTTTAAAAATTATGTATATTTGCTTAGTAGTTTTCTGCATTTATTTGATGAGAAGAAGATGGAAAAAGTTTTCAAATTTTGCGCTTAATTTTACTTAATTGCCCGAACTGAAGTACGAATTAAAATATAAAAGGAATTACTAAAAATAAGAGAAAAATATTTGATAGCGGAAAGGGATATAAAAATTTTTAAAAAAATATAAAAATACATAAATATCAAAAAAAAAATTGCATATGCGGGTGAAAATTACTCCTAAGTAGCAAATACTCACTAAATAAAATACATTTTCCTTGGGGTAAATTTGAAATAAACATTTAAATTTCCTTACATTTACATTCTTTATGTCGATTTTACTAAAGCGTTGTGTGAAAAAGTAATAAAGACAAAAATAACATGGTCGATATTTTGAAAAATCGAAAAGAATTTTCAGTGTTTTCTCTTGGTGGATTTATGAATTATTTTTTCAAATGTCTAGGACCATCCGATTTCCTAGTACCGTAATTTCCCATATACCGAAACTCGGTATATGATGAAACATGATTAACATTTTTTCGAAGAGACGAGAGAAATGTCACATAAAATATATAATAATACATCATTATCTTTTCCCAAAGTCAATTGCAAACCTAATGGCCGCTCAAATCTAGCGCGATAAAAGTGACTTATTTAGCCACGCATGAGATACCGAACGGATTATTTTAAAACAATTTTCTGCCGCTTAGTGTGTAAAAAAATGTGTCATTTTCTTATCATTGTGCGGGCCTATCGGCGAAGAAAACCGCTAGACCACTCAAATCGGACATGCAAACGTACCCATGAAGTACATCGGATTTCAAGATAATTCGATTTTACATTTTCAGTCGAAATGCGGATCAGAAAACTTGAGCTGGTCGCGCTGGTGCTTTTGGTGCTCGTCTTTGCTTTCGCTCAAAGCTCGCTTAATGACACCCGGTCAGAAAATAACGAGACTTTCAGATTTTTCAGCAGTGGTGAGTGAAATTTAAGCTTTACTTAACACGGTAGGGCAGGATTTTGCTTTTAGACCTCGTAGAGACGGCGAGGAAAAAGAAGAAGAAGGACGACTACGTGATGCCGATTTTACTCGGAGCTTTGATGGTCAAATACATCATTTTACCAATAGCGTTCAAGGCGATGGCGGCTATGTCTTCGATATCGATCCTCCTTAGCACCATGAGCCTCATAATGTCCTCGATTGTGGGATATTCTACTCTAAAGCTACCAAAATCCACCGTATGTATTGTAGTGCACAGGTAAGCTCTTCGTTTTGGAACCAATCGCAATGGATTTTAGTTGAGAGTTGTCCATGTACACGAAGACTGGTCGAAGAGGGACGATTACGATCTACCAGACAGTTTGGATTATAATCCCAACGTACCGATTGATCAAACACATTACGCTGCCTAAAATTTAAATTTCTCGCAGTTTTGATTTATTTCCACAAGCAAGGTGTAGGAGCTTCTACAAAAAAATACTTTGTAATTTTAAATTAATTCAATTGAATATTAAATTTCAGATAAATTTTGGAAAAGTTCAAAGTAAATCGTTTTAACAAGCCGAGAACCAATTATTCCTAATAAAAATGGAGATAATTACGAACTATTTTTAAAAGTTGATGTATTTTTCAATTAATCCTGCAATCTATTTTTTTTAGTGTTATTTTTTATACCATTGATATAAATACATACTGACGTAAACATATGTGTAAGTGAAGAACATTCAACAATAATATCGTGCACTAAGGACAGTCTGCGTGTGCACTTAACATGGCTGACAATATTTTTGAAAATCCCTAAATCTAAGAGGTTACAAAACCCTACAATACAATTCGTGGCGAAAATGGCTGTATGCCATTTTATTGTATATATATATATATATATATATATATATATATATATATATATATATATATATATATATATATATATATATATATATATATATATATATATATATATATATATATATATATATATATTGCGCAAAATTCTTTTCTGATTTGAATATTGTAACACCTAAGGGTTATATAGGAGATACAAAAGGAATGAACTTTAAAGAATGTGTAACAATTATACGCAGACTATATCAACCATGGTTATTTTATTATTCATTAGCCACTGCTTGAGTTAAATTTGTATTTTATGAAATGGTTTATTCTTAAATTCAAACACATGTTAAATATCTTTGATAGCGTATAAAAGCGTAAACAATATTTTTGAGTTTATATACAATATAATCGTAGGACTGACAACATTCAGATATTTGGCAAGACGAGCCTAAATAATGTATAACGCTTTTAATATTTTTTTAATTTAAATAGAAAGAAAAACAACAATTAAAACTGTGCCTTGCTGTTTAACGATCTCTGCGTAACGCCGCTGATACAAACGGAATGGGTAGATATAAATTTTAATGAGATGACTCTAGTACAAAGCACAATGTATGAGGAACAACGACAAAACAAATATTTCTTGTAGCACATGGAGAAGAATTTTGCTTATAACGAGTTTTAAATTTCACACAATTGGCAATCTTTAGAGCTTTGACGCCATAAATATTTAAGAGAACAGAAGAGCGACCAACGGCTGATTGGTAAGTATTTGTTATAGTATTTGGTCATTATGAGTTGAATGGAATCACGCTAGTTTTTTTATTATTAAACGTATATAGTAATATTAATGATTTTTATATTACTAATTGTGTTATATTTGAAGCTCGTTCAATTACATTATCAATTACCAATAGAAAAAAGCCAAGATATTCAAAACTATTGGCTGTGATTGATTATATCTTCTCGGCATCTTGCATAACCATGACTATTATGAAGAAACGATATTGATTTTTTTTAAACTTTGTCTTTGTCTGTCATTCTAGAAAGTTAATACGCCAACCATAACAAAAAACGACATGTAAAGTAAACTAGAATTAGTTTGAAAAAAAGTGCATTTACATACTTTGGTAATTAGTGTAATAGATATTCAGATCTTCAAAACTAGACAGCGGCATTTTAATGAGATAATTGACTACCGGCATATAATTTAAACCAAACTATAGTAATAATTGATTTTTACTATACAGATACATAAGTTTTTGTGTCTGCGTCTGCCAGACTGTTTTCTTTGGACCCCATTTCACTCTGTATAACGATCCTCTTGTAATTATGGTGACTCTAATGACAAATGCAAACAAGTCGTACTCACTTCTAAGAACAAACACGGTTTTACGTCTACGAGACCCGTTCGTAAATTAGTCTACCCTAAAAATAATAATCCTCAGTTAACACAAGTGAAATTTTTTTTAAACAATATTCTTATGTAGGCACGAAAATTCTTGTGTACTTAAACAATAAAACAGTTATATTTGTTCCGGCCGGACAAAAGTAAATACGTACTTTTAATTTCACTGGGTCAGTTTGAACTAACGTATATAGGTAGGAGGTTATTTTACATACAATATAGTGTGACACCTCCCTGGTATTGTCACTTTACATATAAAGAGGGGCTTAAAACGGTATAAATATGATTGTATCAAATTTCGGGAAGTTACACCGGACCAGATCAGTGACCAGATTTTCGGTTAAGACTAGACGTGACACGTTGGAAACATGGCCTTTGTCAAAGTGTTAGTCGTGATTGCTTTGTGCGTAGTGGTGGTTCGTGGAGTGCCCCATCCTGAAGTACCACAGGAAAATGATACTTCGGTAAGTAACAATTAAGCCCATGGTAATATTAATTGCTCTTGCTTTAAGCCAACCTTAAGTCGTACATAGGTTACAAATGTTTTGTAACAATTTTTAAAAGTTATTCAAACCTTTTGCAATAAATCGTAGACTAGTTAAAAAATTAAAAAAAAACTGTAAATAACTAACAAAATAATGTGAATAGGTTTAAAAGAAGAAAAACGAGATTTCGGAAGTTTTATAACAAAAATGTAATTGAGCATTATACAAACAATGGTAAGAATATAATACCGTCCATTCAAAAATATAAAATGTTTTCTAATAAAGCTTCTTAATGGAATTCGTTAGTATTCTATGTAGGAGAAATACGCAGAACGCATACAAAGTATGAATAAAAATACACAGTGTAAAACATTATTTCTTAGTTTTATGCGAAAACTCAATTGTTATTAGGAAAAGGTGATCATAATATTTGAAAACCATTGTCAACTATCCGCTATGAAAAAAAAACTGTAAATTAATAATGCAAATCTTGTAAAAAAAATAAGCTGATTCATTCTTAAGTTCTACAAATAATAAGATAAACAAGTTAATTATTACGTAATATATAAAATTCATAATAATACTGAAACAAAATAAATTGTATTTTATTTCAATTCATTAAAGTTCTCAATACATCTACCATCTCTTTCTAGACGTTAAATGGTTTTATTCTGCTATGCCCATTATCCTTATCAAATGATACAATATATTATTAAGTTATAAAAATTGAAGATTGATATGACAATAGTTTTTAAACATGAATAACTTTTGTTAATAGAGAAGAATAGAGAAACTTCACTTAATTCTTGCATAAAATTCATATTTTTCTCCAAGCTGTATACCATTAACCAAATTTTATATATCATGGTTGTATATCAAGTTTCAAGCCATGCAGAACACTTTATGGAGGATAACTCTTATTGATAAAACTAAGAATAAAAAAATTCTATACGGTGCATTAATACGTTATATAAGTGCATTTTTTTAATTAATTTCTCAAATTGTTTCCAGATTCCAACTTTTCGGAAACTAAAGTTTTGTAGACCTCATGAGTTGTCGAAAATATTACAATAGAATAAGTTTTTAACAATTTATGACTTAATACCAAAATATTAATAATGACCCGCATAAAATTAAATAACAATTGAGTACATTGTGATAATCGATTTCAGGAATCTGACTTTATGAAAGGTGTGATAAAATGCGCATTCAAAACCGGCACGGACGACGTGGCAACCTGTGCCACCGAAAAGATGGTCAGGTCTTTGAACACACTTTCCGCCCAGAAAAACCTTGAAATTTTCCCAGGTGTAAACCTAATCAGGTGAGACAAACGTATTTAGAACTCTGACACTCTCTGTCACGGGACTTACTAAACAAATTTTGGTGAGGAAAACTAGAGAGAAAGATTTTCTCCTTAAAGACAAAATTGTCATGAAGTTTTAGATATTTTTGACTGTTGCCAGCAAAATGTAATTAGAAATCAGTTGCAAACTTAAACATATTACAAGAACTGCAGACATTTTGATTCGAAAATAAATTAGAACAAAAAATGTTCAGATTTTCGCAGTTTTTAATGCTTTATGACAACTGTTTCGGCAACACCGTGCCTTTATCAAATGCAAAATATGACTAATATGAATATTCCGACACTTATACATAAAAACAGGTAGTAATAGATTTTTAATTACAAGGGTTATAAATTTAAATTTAACAACGGAGACGCCTTTAAATCCAATTTCAACTTGTAGACTCCCGATTTTTGAGTTTTTCGTAATTTAATTTTGTTGTTTTTTTGAAAATGTCCTATTGTGTTTTCCGTTTTAAAAGAAATATTAATACCAAATTTAGATAGATGTTTCGAAATTTTCTTGCTAGGTTTAATATAGAATAGATAAAGTTCAGAGTTATTTGAAACTGCTTTTTAGTTATAATCTTATCTATCAAAGAGGGGTCGTAACCATTGTTAAAAGATGTTTATAATATTTAATTCCTTTTCAAAATTTTCTCTAGAAAGTGGTAGATTAGTAGTCTGTTGATAAAAACAAAAAAGGCAGACATTTTGTGTGTTTAAGGGTGAAATCTAACTTGTTCTCTAGTTTAGTTATAGTTAGTCCAGAAACTTTAGAGAGTTATCCTGTTCCGTCTCTATGGTAAATTTTATGCGGATATCTATCGAGTTAATATGATTCAAAAAGGAATGCAGTTGTCTTTCAGTTCCAGTGAAACAGGCAAAAACTTCATTAAGTATCTATACCACCAGAGAAATCCTTTACTCAGAGGATGTTTATGTATAATATTTTCTAAATATTAAAGAAAATTTCTGCAAGTAGTGAACTAAGTACGTTTCCCATAATTAATCCTTTTAGCAATATAAAATTGACCATTAAGTTCAAAATAATTTTGGTCTAAACAAACTACTGAACTATCTAGCAAGTCTTGTTTTATTATGGGGTTAACTTGCCTCTGCTTGAGAATATTGTCTATTATGTTTATTATGTTAATTGGTGGAATACTAGGAAATAACAATAATAAAGAATTTGAACATCAAATGAAACTAGAATTGCCTTAGGAGGAATTTTTATGTCTTTAACTTTGTTAATTAGTTCGAATGAATTTTTGATAGCATATCTAAAATTTTAATTAATCTTGTTGAAAATTTAACTGATGGTGCCGTTACAAATGAAACTACAGGCCTTATTGGCATACGCTCTGTGTGTGTGGTTCAATTAATTTAAATTGGTTTGTATCTCAATTTTTAATAAAAACTTGAATTCATTTTTCAACATTTGTTTCCCTTTATCTTGAGGCAATATGTTGCAAAGCTGATTGATAACTAAAAACCGCTCTCGCAAATCAGAAATTGCCCAATGATAATAACGAAAAACTGCAAAAAAAATGCAACGCACTCTTGAACTTAAAAATTTATGAAGACGAGGATTGTATTTTCAGCGACGGAAATTCAGAAAAATTCCGTTCGGGCAAAGAACTGAACGACAATTTGGAAAACGAATTGACTTCCAATTCGATGTTCGATTTGATCACGAACGCCACTGCGAGGTTATTTTCCGGACGTACCCTGAAAATCAAGCTGCCCGATTCCGAAACCATAAGCCGAGCTCTCCAAGAAGGTGTCATGAAAAATCTTAAGTATTCTGCACTTGATATTTTTAAATACGGTGCAAAGTTTAGAGTAGGTTTTGCACGATTTCGATCCGTAGTTATTTTTTTTTTTGCTTTGCACCGTGCATCCTTCTCAATCTTCGGCTTCTAATTCTACATTCCAATAATTTAGGCCGTAGCAAGAACAGCAACAAAAAAGGCGGAAACGGTATGATGATGGGCGTGATGGGAATCGGAGCTGCTTTGGCAGCATTGACGCCGTTGTTTTTGGGAAAATTGGCGATTATATCCGTCAAGGCACTCATATTAGGCACCCTAGCTCTGGTACTATCCGGAGTTGCCTTCTTCCAAAATTTCTTCAGCGGGAATAAGGTTTGCTGTTGGAAACACAGCTCGTGCGTTGGCGGTAATACTAATTTGTCCACATTTTAGCAGTCCAATCAAGCAGGAAGCGGCTTCCTAGCTCCACAGACCAGCTACGGAGTGCCTTCTTACGGCAGTACCGGCCAGTCGGCGCAGTTTCCATACGCTAGGAGTTTAAATGAAGATGAAGCAAAGTCTAATCAGATGGCATATTCGGCTTACCAATAAGACGCGTTTATGTGTGTCGTGTGTTATCGAGTCAAATATTTATTTATTCGTTTATTTATTGATTGTAAAAATACATTATTTATTCCATTAATATAATATTCGTCCCCTATCGCAAGAACCGTTTTATTTCATGTACACTGCCGCCATCCTATCTCGATTCCCAGACACAGAGTAAAATATAAGTTTTGTGCTTTTTGGGGTGCTGTGATGTTTCGTACATTCTGTAAGATATAAAAAAGACAAACTGCTATAGACATATATTTTTACACATCTAGAGACATAGCCCAACCATAGCATTTTTTAAATGGAAAACATAGTATTTTTCGATCCCAAAAAAATTCAAATGTTATAAGTTAAGCATGGAATTTTAGGTATTAAGGTGTCCATAAGCAAAATTATTTTTCTACTCCCGTCTGTAAAATACCTAATTACCCACCGATTTAACGCGCGGGAAGCGTCACTTTACCACGTCAGTCTCGTTTCCCATGAATCCGAGCCACTTCGGACATTTCCGAGATTTTATTGCACGGATTTGGCAGCAATCGGATGTTTTCGGAGATATTTCTAACGCTTTGAATTTTGACGTTTTTCAATTCTGACAGTTATGTCGGTGAATGTATTCGTCTTGTTTTGCGAAAATGTACCCAAAAAAGTATAGTATGCAACACGTTCGGTAAACTTTTTAGCTCACTCGTTTATAAAACACTAGCTCCGCGTGTGTCCGCACTTGTTGCATAATATACTATTGTGACTATAAATGAATTTAGTCATGGAAACAAGAAGCAAAAAATTATACTATTTACGTCGGTCGATGTTGAGTCGACCTTGCTAACGTTTCGCCAATAATCGTGTTGGCTTCTTCAGGGCTTACCTAAAAAAAATTAGCAAAAAATTATATCTACAATGATATATATAAATAGAAATCCTATATACTGAACATAATGCAACAATCGAATAGTATACAGTATGTCCTACTTAAGAACTGTATAGCCTTGTAAAATCTTTGTTTATGGTTCGACTTTGATAATTTTTTGCGGTTTGATAGGCCTCTCAACTTAATCGCGAACTGAGACTATTTAACAATCGAGAAAGGAGAGAGTACTAATAGGAATAAAAAATATATAAATTGGCAATGAATTCTTATTCAGGAATAATTAGAACCCAACTATACCAATTTTTATAATGTTTCAATACAAAAAAAAAACAAAATTTACCTGATTTCAGCTAATGCTATGCAGCAGCTATAAACTGCAACCATTCAGGGATTTATATCTTTGAAAAGGATTCTGAATAGTTTTGTTAATCAAGTTTTTTTTATGAATATCATTAAGTTTATCGCAGTTATTAAGTTTAACAGATTTATTAAGTTTTTGTTTGTTTTGATTGTTTGTTTAATTTTTCTTCTGGACACTTTAATACCTATAATTCCTATATAAACTTTGGTTTTTCATACAATATTGCGTTTTCTACGGTTAATTTAGGTCAGAAATGCGTAGTTTGAGACAATTCTACAGAGAAAAAAAGGTATTTTGGAACCAAGAAATCCATGGTATTTCTTGTAAAAATGCTATGTTTATATTATATCTCGGTTCGTCTAAAAAATTTTGGCTATACCACTGAATTCTTTGTATCAAATATCTATCCTCTGCAATTTTCACCTTTTTTATATCTTACCAGGCATCCGAAATAGGATTCCACCCTAAAAAAAATATTTTTTCCTATATGTCAGGAACGAAACAAGGTGGTATAATTCTCTTTGCAGCATTCAAACCGTTATAAAAAAAAACTCATATATGGCCTTGAATTCCGCAAAGCAAAAGTAGCTAAGGTACCCTTGATTCCTGTGGATAGAATAGTGTCAACTTTTTTCCAAAAAAGGCTTCAAATATCACAAAGTAGAGCAAAGGCAAATATTCCTATCCCGGCGATTACAAAAATCGCTGCATGACAGCGATAAGAAAATACTGGTATATGAGAAGCGTTTAAGAGACATGCTTTGTCATTCATGACATTCCATCCAAAGGATGGTCGTATTCTTCGGGGCAGATCTATATCCTTCTAGGAGGAGGGATGGGAGTAACAATTTTACACCCTTGGTCACAGAACTATGCCTTGTGACTTAAAACTAATAAGAATGGTGTATACGGATAAATAGCACAAAGTTGGAAATTATATAAAAGTGATAGTTGGGAAGTTCTGAGAGTGTTCAGCATAAAATTTAAAACCAAACTCAAAAATGAAACGATTAAACAAATGTTGCAATTTATTTTCTTGACAATGGTTTTTATTTTCTAATGCCTATATGATATTTTTGGATTTTTCATTTACATCTACGGAAATTATTGTATCTAATGTTTGGAGTATTTAATTTGACGTCATAGGAGAGGAATATCGTAGCAACTAGCGGACCGATTTGGAATTACCGAGTAGGGTAATGGCCTCTCAACCGACATTATCTCATTACATTTACCTGCAATTTCTTTTAACTGTACTACTCGCTGGGGAAACTAGAGCAAAATGTTGTGATGCTTTTACGACAGATGGCAACTAAGGCATGTTCTAAGCCAGATATGTTTTGCTGTTTGAAGTATTTTATTTTCATCTAAAATTATATACTCCTAAATACACATTTTTTTATTACATTTTTTTTATTTTAAGAAGTGATTTGCACTTATTTGGTCAACACAAAGAAATCCATTGAAATAAGTGCAAGCTAATGTTTCGATCAATTTCCCAATGTTTAATAAAAAAAATAATTCTGTCGCCGTAAAATCAAAATTTTAAACAAAATCCACATTTTTCAGTTCAGCTTCCTTGGTCCAATTTGTTCTTATGAAATGACAATGAAAAACGATTTGTTGCTATAAACTAGGGGTCACTAGCAAAGACAATGACAATTTTACATCATTGTTGATATGTGTTAGTTTCTCTAACTGGAATTTTGTTTTTAATTTCCTGTTTCCAAATTTTTGAGTTAAGAAAAATTTAATTTCCGGGTTTGACATTAAGGAAACTAATATTTAAAGATTTACAGGGTTTATATTAAATATACCAGCAAACTACTGAGTCTTCTAATGATTTTAGAAATACTTAGTTTTTTTTTATTTAAGGAAACATTGATACACTGACGATACGCTATTCTATATTTCCTTCAAACTGCACGATTACGAAACTGCTGCTGTCACACTTATTAAGGATCTTTCGGCACTTCTCATAGACCAGTAATTAATAACCCCAAACCGAGGTTAGTAATTTTATTATTTTATTATAAAGTTGAGCGATGTTTGTCCTATTAAAGTGGGTAAAAATTTAGGGTTAAGCAATGACCTACACTTTTTAAACCATGTATCTGATATTATGAAAAAGTGCTTTTAAAAATTGAAACGTTTATATATGCATAAAGATGTGCTGAATAAAAATATACAATTAAAATTTTGCTATATTCTTCTACTCGTATCGTGTCACAGTTTAGCGGCCTGCTCTGCGCCAGCAGGAAAGAAAAAACTCACTGCAAAAAGTGCAAAATTCCTGATTAAGATTTCCATTCAATTTGCGAAAATACGACCAATAAAAAAATAAATAATACGATAAATCATAGATAAAGGTATTGATATGATTATTATTATTATTATTACTATTGTTATCATTATTATTATTATTGTTAAAAATTGAAAAATAATTTTAAAAAAATAAAAAGAAATTTTATTAAGATTATATTTATTATGATTTCTTCCTACTTTGACTATAAAGGATTTTGCTTTGCTTTTGAAGCTATTTCTTTAAAATGTTAAACAAAACGTTGGCAGCACAGCAAAGACACGAAATGGAGGATCACATATATCACAAAATTTTATTAAAAAAAAATTAATTGATCAATGAAAACGATAACCTATTACTAAAAGATATAAATAAATATTTAAAATAGAATAACTTAATGCATATATTAAACGCTAGCGTTGTCTTCCGTGATTTTGGCCACTCATCTGACGTTCTTCGAAATTTCTTCCGTGACCGTAGCTTCCCAAATCTTCGTGCGATACCGATTGGGTATGACTTTGACTGTAAATAGGTTTGGCAACCACTTCGTACGTAGTCATCCCACTTTTTCCCGCTACAAGACTCTTTAATCCGGTTATCATTGACAACATTAAAGATATTAAGGACACCATTAATGCTTTACCGGCCAAAGCTGCCAAAGCGCCCAATGCCAGAGCCAACAGCATACCCTTCATCATTGCTCCCATCGCCAAAACCATTCCCATCCCTTTGTCTCCTCCTTTTCCCTTACCGTCCTTCATTCCGCGGGTTTCTTCGTGGTTCTGGTAAAAATTCCAGGGGTGCAATTTGATGGCGTGGGAGTGTACGAACCATGATACTTTAGAAGCCAGTAGATTATCCAGGGCGTTTTGAGAACTCCGATGTTTTGTTTCCGCTTTAAACTCTTCCGATGTAGCATTTTCACGAACTATTGACACTCCAGGAAGAAGTGGATAACTCTCACTGTTGCCAAGTGTGTCTATCCATGAGACCACCCGAAACTTTAAGCAAGTCACACTGTACGCAAACGAACTTTGGCAAATTTTCGACAACGTCGTTATTGCATATTTATCTTCACAAAAACTTTTAGATACACAACTACCTGCCAGCACGACGACGAAGGCGATTTGTCTAAACATTTCGTGCGACGTTAAAATTAAATTGAAAGACAAAAGATTGTTGAAATGCCTTTTATAGACGGAGTAAAAGAATGGACTTTTGCCAATGACCATCACTTCGAGCGTAACTGGACCTAAAAATGGCATATGGGCTTAACCTACCGCAGAAATCTCTAAATCTACTTCACTGGGCACTTGTATTGCGTAATAAATCTCTTTTATATTGTGTACGTGTCGTTAATTATAGGTGCGTTATAGTGCAGCTTTATCACAAAGTAGGTGATACAGTCTAGAGAAAGGACCAGCGAAGTGCAATTTAAACGACGTGATTGAGATCTTGCCTCTTCAGGCGGTGCTTGAACGAAATATACGGTTTTAATAACAGCATTTTCTAACTGAAAATTGGAATGCAATTTTTTACCGAATTTGGATAGCAATTACACTTTAAAAGATCCAAGGTATTCGTCGTTGATGAAAAGTTTTTTCAAAAGTTTCTGTGGTCACAGAACTCCAACACAGCCGGTTTCGGCACATTTCACTAATCTAAAATATATGAAAGTATCGGATCCTTAAAAATTATAAAGATACAAAATTTGAGAGAAATGAAATAAACATGGAAATAATATACCAAACACAAAGTTGAAAAAAGAAAAGTTTTTTATAAAGTAGCATTTCTTATTGTTTTTTTAGGAAAGCATTGACTACTATACAGTCTACAAAACAAGTTCATTCACTCTTGGTTGACATCATTGGCATTTGTTCTTTTAGGCCGTTTTGTTCGTTTTCTGTTCAAAACATTCTTTTTAGTGAGCCGTACTTTAATTGTATTTATCTAATAATAATGTAATCTTCTACACAATACGATCACAAATAAAAGCGTCAAATACTAGAGAATTTCTGTATTCATAATTCTTCATATGTTGTTTACACAGCTGAATGGATGTAACGTTTCTCTTGTATTTTCAAAAACCATACACGATAGGTTGAATGAAGAAATTACTGAAATTAAGTTTAAATTTGGTTGGATTTCTTGAGTTTTGGAAACAGAAAAAAGTCGCATGAATGTGGCGGCTGACACGATTGTGGTTTTGATTTGGCCAAAAAGTTAGGCACAAACAACGATGAGTGAGCAGGTGCATTATCGTGATGCAAAATCCCTGGCTTGTTTTCATACAATTCCGGACGTTTTCTTCGAAGTATTTCTCAAAAACGGCGCATAACTTCAACAGTACGACCTTGTACTAAGAACTTTTGCTATTCAAAGAAAACAATAAGCAAAATTTTTGATCGAACTTGACGTGCTCTTTTCGGTCTTGGCGATTCTGGATTCTTCCATTAAAACGACTTTGCTTCGTCACCAGTTATAACCTTTTTAACCATATCAGGATCATCATTGACGTGGTTTAACAGCTCTTGAGCGATGCTCCTTCGACGGTCCTTTTGTTCACTATTAAGGAGTTTTGGAACAACGTTTACTGGTACACGTTTCATTCCCAAAACTTGGGAACAAATTGCGTGGCACGAGCCAATAGAGATGCCGACGTCTTCAGCCACTGTCGACGATATTTCATTACCATTTGTTTCCAGTCTTTACTAATTATGGGTAATAGAAATATTTTAGGTATTTTGCATTTTAACTATGCGATAACCTCACTTTCAATTAACTTTCGGTTTTCCTCATATATATATAACTCGTAACTCAAGTTGTTCAAATTTGGGACTACTTAATTATTGAACTGGGGTTGCGACCCGATTACAAGCCGGGACAATAAGATTTGTTCCTTTTTTTGTTTTGTCGTAAACTGTTATTTATTTTAGCAATTTAATAAATTAATTTATTTCTTTCATTTTGGTTTTGGTTGCGTTACCATATTTATTAGTCAAAAAAGAAATCCATTTTTGAGAGTTTTCAAAAACCAAAACATTAATATGCCAAATGTTACCAATTAGATAATTGTCAATGTGGGATTACTTTATATACAATGGTATTTTATTTTAGTTGTACTCTTCTTTTAAAAATTTACAGCACAATACAAAAACTAACGTTAGTAAACAAACTGTACTTACTGTTACTAGCAGCCAGCCCAGGAACACAGGAATATAGTAAAAACATTTCTCTGTAATTAGTTTTCGTGGTAGCTTTTAAAATATATTTTGGTCTGACGGGCTTCTGATATAGTTAAATAGCTTAGAACCAGAACAAAAAGAAAATGTTTATAAAATAAAAAACTTATATAGGCATATTTTCCCTTTACTTCTCGCTGAATATACACGATAACTGGCGTTCTCGTTGTTGTAAAACGCTGTATCTCTGTGTGTAAAAATTAAACTGAAGTGGTTTTTACTTGATGAAAATCCATATATCAAAATAAATAAGAAGTAAAGTTCAGATTTTCACGAAATTATATATTTTCACATGACAATTGTTTCGACAACGCCGTGTCTTTATCGAATGTAATGTTTACAAAGTACCTGCTACTATATATACCGAAAAATGACCATAAAACCTTAATTAATGTTGTTGTGAGAATTTCCAATAAAGGAGAGGTATTTAAATCTAATTGATCGTTAGGCAATACATTTGAATGTCTCATTTTGTTAATCTCCACGACTTCCAATAAATTTAATTTTCTGCTCCATGTGGCTGTATGTAAAATATCAAAACTGTCGTCAAAAATGTGTTTCTCTGTGTTTGAGTGTGTAGCATAATTAGAATCTAGACTATTGTTTTTAAACGTTCTTTTATGTTCCTTAATGCGTTTCTTGAAGGATCTACCTGTTTGTCCAATATAAATTTTAGGACAAGATCCGCATTTCAACCTGTAGACACCTGATTTTTGAGATTTGGGACATTTCGTTTTATTGTTTTTTAAAAATTTTCCTAATGTGTTGTTAGTTCTGAAAGCTATTTTTAAACCACATTTTGACCAATGTTTTGAAACTTGTTCACTAAGTTCGCCTACGTACAGTTTGTTTACTAACGTTAGTTTTCGTATTGTGTTTTTAACTGTAAATTTTTAAAAGAAGAGCACAATTAAAATAAAATAATATTGTATATAAAGTAATCCCACATTGACAATTATCTAATTAATAACATTTGGCATATTAATGTTTTGCTTTTTGAAAACTTGGAAAAATGGATTTTTTTTGACTAATAAATATGGCAACGCAATGAGATAATGTTTTATAAATAAATAGAGAACTAAGGGAAGTAATCATTCCAAATAAATAGGAATATTAAGTATATGCTCAGGTGAACCAAAACCAAAATGAAAGAAATAAATTAATTTATTAATTTGCTAAAATAAATAACAGTTTATGACAAAACAAAAAAAAAAGGAACAAATCTTATTGTCCCGGCTTGTAATCGGGTAGCAACCCCAACGGAAGGGGCTCTTCGGCGAAGCTCCTCCCGTGACCCGAATGGCCGTAGTGGCCTCCGTAGTCCTCGTGCGACACCGAGTGCGAATGCGATTGAGAATAAACCGGTTTCGCGACGACCTCGTAGGTTGTTTTTCCTCCTCCGCCGCCGCCCTTGAGTCCAGCAAGAAGAGACAACACCAAAGACATCATAGCCAGCATCAACGCTTTTCCAGCTATAGCGGCCAGACCCGCCAGCGCCATAGACATCAGAGCACCTTTCATCATCGCGCCCATCGCTAGTACAGCTCCCATTCCTCCGCCGCCGCCACCCTTACCGCCGCCTCCTCCGAAACCGCCCCCGCCGCCCCCCTTGCGAGCTCCGATGCCTTCGTTGTTGTTCCAGAGTTTTAGTTTGATGGAGTGGCTGTTCATGAATCCCGTTACTTTTTTCATTAGGAACACGTCCAAACGAGCATCCGGATCATTTGGAAAATCCCTCGCCAAGTCGGCAACGATGTCGGCCGTATTGGATCCATCGGTGCTGTTTTCGCGCACTATAGAAACACCCGGTAACACCGCGTAGTCATCGTTTTCGTTCAGTTTATCCACCCATGACACTATGTCCAATTTGAAGCAGGTTACCGTATACGAAGTGTCGCAGTTTTTCGAGAACGATCTTTTAAACTCTCCCCTGTCACCTTTGACGGCGGGTTCCGCCGATAAGGTACCGCCAAGTACCAACAGTACCAACGACACCGGTAACCGCATAGTTTCGTCGGGATGGATACGACCGCCGAACTGATGATTTAAATAAATGTCAGGTAGTTTATATAGTGCGCAAAGTCAATTAAAAAGTGTGGTTTTTTTCTATCGAAAACATGAACCATTCGCTGAGATGAACGGCAGGAAGTGGAGCAAGAACCAATTATAACCGGGATTACAACCGTGAAATATAGTAAAGAACGCAGCATCAGAAAACGATTGAGATCATGCTCCACACCGTGTTTGTTTTTTCTCTCCTTTTGGCCATTAGAGAGAAGCGAATTGTTATATTTTCGTCGAGTCATTGCCTCCCTTTCTTTGCGTGGTTCGACGTTTGGCACGAGGCAGTTTGCACATTGTTCCATCACTAAGCAGTTCGCGGATGTTTGCAGTTTCTCATATATGCAAGCGGTAAGTAGAAGCTTGGGTGCCCTTATACTGTACACATGTTTGTGCGCATAATCAATTGACTTCATCATGGCGTAATTCGGTACAGCGTGATCGTAATTGGAGGGTTCTATCAAGAAAAATCGATTTATAAACTAACTAGAGCAAAATTCACTTACATTACGCTAGATCGACTACAGGGTAATATTTAATGGTAAAAACCGCATGCCCATATCTTGACTACCTACCGAGGTATTTTGGATCATTATGAAAATTTCAAGGTTTTTCTATAGTTCGACATTCTTATTTGTTCTATTTCTCTATGCAATCATAGTGTTGTAAATCTCATGAAATGTGGCTGCAATAAAAGGCATTTTCACTTATAATTTAGATATACTTGTAAAGCACGTATACGTAAAGTACTACATCTTCCTTATTTACAACTAGACTCAAGGTTCTATAAAGTCTAGAGGAAACATTTTAACAATATGTTCAATTATAATGGGTGTTTCGTAAGTGCGTGGTAAATATAAGAAATAATTTTTTAAATGGACCGCCCTCTATATTTTAGTATATTAAGATTCATCCATAGAAGATGTGTGTATTTTGTGATTTAACGCGACGTTGCTAAGTTAATTTAAAATTCGACATCCGGTATCTTTTAATCGGCCTTTGCAATATTGCAAGTAATTATTTCCTCAAGGAAAGTTTCTATATTCCTTTGACGAATTTTACGCAAATTTTTCTTTGATATTTTATCTATTTTTAACCATGTACAGCTATAGCCCGTCGACCACTTTAGTTAATGTTAGTCTGCACCGATCGCTTCACTTTGTCATATAATATATTTTTTAATAATTTGTAAAAATAGGGTAACTTATCCGTATTTATTCAGGGATCATTGAATATAAAACAAAACTCATAACTTTCTTTTTGGTCGTGGAAATCAATATAGAACTGGTATTTTTCAGTAATAGCAGTTAGCAAAAATAAAACATGCACATGAATGTAAAACTACTGTAAAAATTAGAAAATTAAATTAAATTCATGTTACAAAAATTTCAATTTAATCCAGTTTTTCTTCTTTGATCTGCATGTTTGTGAACAATATAATATTGAGTCCATTCCCATTTTTTAAAAATTGAAATCATCTAGTTATACTCTTTATTGAGATGCGTGAATAGCAATTTTGAAATTTTCATTTTTCATATATACCATGAATAATCTTTCTTGAAAATGCCATTCTATAAACCCATTATTTAGATTTTTTGATATTTTCTTTTTTTAAGTTTTGAAAATTGCCGAATCTATTGTGAATGTCTCATGGCTCGGAAATCAGGTGATTTTGTTTAGGGCTGTACGTTCACTTAGTATTGTGTTCACTTAATGCTACATTTTGGAATTATGCATTCTTTGAAAAAAAAACATATTAAGTTTTTTGCTAATTTTGTGTGGAAAATCGTTAATTTATTATCAATTTAAATAATAAAGACTTGATTTAATTCAAAACTTTCGTATCGTTAAGTATACCTATACCATAGCCAGCCACCATGTGCATGTATATTTTTGTAAAAGATAAATTAAGCGAATATTGGTCGTTTTGGTTCTTTTTTCCTATTATTGCCTTCAACCCACATCTCCCATTCTTCTATGTGATTAATGAATCCTTCAACGTGGAGTTGTACGCGGTTCATATTTTGCTCGTTTATCCTCTCTAATGGTATTCAAGCATATCCGCGTATTTAGCAAAATAAAACGATAAATGTATTATTTGGCCACTTTAAGATTAACGTGGATGAATTCAGATAATGATATTGGGAGTAAAAGCTTTCTTCTCCTTTCTTTCTTTTTTAAGTATTTAAAGTGTTGTCTCTGATGTGATTGGGTTGGTTGTTATTGTACTGCAATTGTATTTTGCATTATAATGATGGGAGAGAGTAGAGTAGAAACTTTCTTTGAATTTCCTAAAGCAGGTTGAATTAGGTGGTCCAGGTTCGTTAAGTTTTAGGGGCAAGTAGCCAAAGATTGGCGTGTTTTTCTAAAATGTATAAGGGCTGTATTCCTTATGTTATTCTTGAAAATTTTCATTTAAAATAACAGGGAGGTTTTTAGACAACACGAAAAAATGTATTGAATTGATTATATTATCAATGCCAATTTTGAGGATAGTCTGATGGGGATTAAGATTGAAACAGATGTGCATATTCAAACGGATATGGTCTGTTCATAGATATAAGAAAGTGATCAATTGCTTTTGAACGGATTCTCCAAGGGTGGTCATTAACATACAATGTAACAAGATTATTATTATTATTATTATTATTATTATTATTTAAGGTAATTATTAATTATTATTTTAGGTAATAATCTTGTTGCATTGTATGTTAATGACCACTCTTGCATAATCCATTCAAAAGCAATTGGTCACTTTCTTATATCTATGAACAGACCATACTTTTCAGGTGGGTGTGTCGACTAATACACGGTTAGTAAAAACTACGGCAGGGCTTACATATCTCCAAAACAACCAAAGCTGGAACGATAAAATTAAATACCTGGAGCTTCTTGAACATTCAGAATTCAAAAATGCTAACAGCAATGTTGTCATAGGTCATAGTTTGCTTATTTTAAGTGGAATGCCATTTTTGATGCAATTAATTTAGAAGCGTATCAGTGAAAGGTTACTAGACTTCTAAATATCTGCGCAAAATCTGGCAACATTGCGTTTAGCATTTTTTGCATTCGGCATGTTCAAAAAACAATTCAATTCAATCATTCTAGCATTGACAGTCTTGGATATATTTAAGCGTTTCGGTACTTTTTACTGACCCGGTATATAAGAAATCATAAGATCTTTTTTATCTCGACATTAAAAATGTTGTTCTCTTGATTTTGCTAGAGCTGATTGTAAATAACCTAGTATTTTTCTTTAAACAAGTATAATAATGAAAACTAATAGTGGCTCTAGTTATATAGTTATTTTTACTCCAAAATAGTTTAATTCAAATCGAAGTTCCCAAACATCACAAATTATAATATAATAATAACATTAGCGGTGAAGAAAATAAATAAGCAAAAACGGGGGCGAAATTGCCGACGTACAGTGGTGCAAATGCTGTTAAGAAATTTGGCAACATCGATTATTTTCTCCCTGTTTCATTTCGTTCTTTCTTAACATCTTGCTGGCTAGTAAGTCTTGTTAAAGAAAAAGCTATCTATCTAATTTTTCTGTGCACCAGGACTAATGTAAATCGAAACCAAACGGCAACGTCGCATAACAAAAACGTTTTCCTTTATTTAAAAGCATCATAAATAACAAATAAATAATAACTTAAATATTTATCACATTGGCGACCTATTCCGGCAACTTGTAATCCGGTTGCAGGCCACTGGGTAGAGGTGCGTCCAAACTTCGTCTGCCCCAGTCTCCGTGACCGTGTGACGGTTTGGCAACAATTTCGTATGTCGAGTGTCCCTCGCCGCCACCCTTATGCTTCAATCCCAAGATGAGGGAGAGGAGTAGCGAAATCAAACTGGTCATCAGAGCTTTTCCCGCCAAAGCTGCTATACCAGCCAAAGCCATCGACATAAGGGCTCCCTTCATCATGGCACCCAACGCTAGGATCGCTCCGAGTCCGTTACCGCCTCCCTTGTCCTTCTTGCGCCCGGTAAAAGCCGAATCGGTCCCGCCTCCGAGCTTCAACTTGATAGAATGATTGTCGAGGAAACCGCTGACTTTCTTTTGGAGGAACGCGTCCAAACGGCCGTTTGGATCGCTCGGGAAATTCCTGGCCAAATCCGCGGCCACCACGTCATCGTTATCTGGCACTGCACTGCTGTTTTCACGCACTATCGAAACACCAGGTAAGACACTGTAATCACTGTCCTCGTTTAATTTATCCACCCACGATATCACGTTTAACTTCAAGCACGTCAAGGAGTACGAATCGTCGCAGTTTTTCGATAGAGATCGCTTGAAATCACCCCTGTCACCTTTGTCTTTGTATCCAATGTTTTTCCCGAACGCTAGAGACCCGAATAATAGCACAAAGTACACCAAACTTTTGGGATACATTTTAATTGGACGAGGCAAAACAAACATCTGATGGGTTTTAAGAATCGGCCCGATTTATATATAAAACGCCGGGTCCATTATTAAAAAAAAAACAATTTCGTGGCCGAAATTAAATGAATGAGCAAATCGAAATAACTGGAGCACATAAAGATAATTGTAAAAGTGACAGGGGCCGTTTTTGACTCGTAAAATTATTAGAATCGGACCATGAAGAAAGTTACTCTTCGATTACCTCCAGGGATTTTTACGGAGAAAGGTTTTTTTTTGTTTGGGCCTTTTTCTGTAACACATCGCCGTTCGAATATCTAGATTAATGAGATTAGGAATGGACCGTTATGCCCTCTTGTTTGTAGAGCGAGAAGCTTCCAATTTCGTACGAATTAATTTGTGATTAACGCGTTTCGGATGTGTCAAAAAATGGCGTTACTGATTCGCGTTGCGGTTTTGACGACACGTCAACAAAAGGTTTTTTCCTTGTAGCCGCTTTCGAATTCGCAAGAGAGAGTGTTTTTGAATCAAATGTTTTTTTTTTCAATTTATTAATTCAACTTTCAGGCTTTGACATTGATTTTTTTCTAAATTTTTCATACATTTTAAAGGCTCTCCCAAATAATTTGTTTTAATTTTTGTTTATTCTACTTTTATTACTATTTATATTACTTCTATCTTTATCTTTTTACTTTCCACTTACTTTTGTGAATAAGTTTATTAATAAATATATTTTTTCATTTATTCATTTATTTTTATTTTTCATTTATTCATTATTTATTTCAATTTATCAGTTCAATTTGTAGTCGCCGATTTTAATTTTTTTCACTTTTTTTCCCAATAGCAAATTAAAATGCTGCCCGAAATATTTTGTTTTCATTTCATTCATTTTACTTTTCACTTTTATACACACTCACAAATTCAAAATAAATGAATAAAAAAAATAAGAAATATAACTAAAAATGGGCCTCTCTACTACCAAGATTTGAAATCGTCACACACTTTCCAATAATGTTATAACCATTATATTAAGAATTCGTCTTTAAATTCATCCCTTTTATTTCTGCAGCGATGACAAAATCTCAAAAACTATTTGATTGGTTTGATTTGTGACTGTGTGCGTTGAGTTTTTGAAAGTATATGATTTTTTCAAAGATTTCTATTTTGAGAATCTTTAGTTTTGTAAAAGCAGGGGTCTTCCCTACTTCTATCTTTCCTATAAGCATTACTCTCGGGTTCTTATAATACAGATTTAAAAGTAATTATTCTCCTATAAACGCATTTTTTTCTATTTATCTATATTGAAAGATGTTCCGCATTTAATTTTTATTAAATTTCACTTGACTTCGTTGTTTCGAATATTTGAAGAAAGAATATTAGTATTGTAATAAACCTTACTTCCTGTGCAAAAATTAAAATACAGTTGAATATTAAATATATTTTCGTCTCTATGATTTATTTTTTAAAGCCATATTATTTTAACTCAACATTTAATTTCTATTTGTATCGGATAGCCTTAAAATTTCTTCCAATAATCGTCATCTTATCCTTTTTGTTGACCTTAATACAAAATTTTAAGAAGTTAACTTAAGTTAAGTGTTAGTCAGCTAAATCAACAATATCGATAGAATGTGAAATTTAAACGAAAGGCTTTAGTTTTTTTTAGTTTTTTCTATGCATAGGTAGGTACTTAATGAAAATGTAAACTCTAATTTAAACCATGATGTGATATGTCTTTTGTTGTGTGTAAAGATAATTATAGAAGTCCGCGAACAAGACACATCTGCGAGTTGGACTGTTCCCTTTTCTTGGAATTTTCCTTTTGTCGAAGTCATTAATATTTTTAATATAATTATTTTATTATTAATGATAATTTTATAATTCTTATCAAATAAAATACTCTCGAATTGGGTAATAAATAATTTATTTTATTATTAATAAAAATAAATAAGTTAAATATCACAAATCTAATGGGCAACTTTATAATCCGGGTTCAGTCCGAGCGGTAGAGGGACATCAAAGCTTCTTCCGTGACCAGAACCGCCGCTCCAAGGGCCGTAATCTTCATGAGCGTGGGAGGTCGAATGAGTCTGAGAATGAGTATACACCGGCTTGGCGACCACTTCGTAGGTGGTATGTCCTCCGCCGCCGCCAGACCCTTTGAGTCCGAGTAGTGCGGACAAAAGAAGCGATATCAAACTCGTCATTAGGGCTTTACCGGCTATAGCCGCCAATGCGGCTAGAGCCATTGACATAAGAGCGCCTTTCATCAACGCTGCCAACCCTAACAGCGCGCCCAACTGGTTCATTCCTCCTTTATCCTTTTTGCGACCGGTAAAGGCCGACTCTTTGACACTTCCAAAGTTGAGTTTGATCGAATGGTTGTCCAGGAATCCCGAGATTTTCTTTTCGACGAAAGCGTCCAGTCTGGCGTCGGGATCGTCCGGAAAATCTCGCGCCAAGTCGCTAACGATATCCGCCGTGTTAGTAGGAGCTGAATTATTTTCCCGTACTATCGACACCCCCGGCAAAACACTGTAATCGTCGTTCTCGTTCATTTTTTCTACCCATGAAACCAACCCCAGTTTGATGCAAGTCAACGAATAAACTCCGTCGCAGTTTTTTTGCAACGACTTTTTCAAATCGTTCCGGTCACTTTTCTTCGCCGTTTCTTGTGCCGCGGATAATCCGATCAACAAGAAGAGGACCGCAGAGAGCACCGCAATTTTGATACACATTTCGACGGAGTGCGATTAGATCGACATCTGACGGGTTAGCTAAAATTACGCCGCGCTTATATAGTGGTTCAAATCATTAGTAAAAATCTTGTTCTACGGACCGAAATTAATGAATAAAATAAGTGGAGCACACGAGAGGTAATTGTAGTAGTGACAGGGCTATTTCGAAGACGCTCGGCTTAATCGGCTGTAGGGTTTCGGCGAAAGTTTTTTTAAGCACCTTCTTTTTTTTAACACGAGGATATCTTATTTATTCGCGCCAGAGTATAGCTTTGGTCGGACCTGTCTGAAAAGCGGAGGCATCATGAGCGGAAATTGCTGTGACGATGTCGTATCCTGTGTTAACGTTACAAGGATAGAGTTGAGAAGTTCATAAAACGATAAAAATAGAAACAGCAACAATAATAAAATGATAAAACAACTTTGATGTGTCACTTTCAGCGAAAAATTTCAATGAAATGTGCCTGCCGGTTCCAATTTGCGCGCTCTCATTGGTCATGACGTAAGCATCCTTATCGATTCCTTCCCGCCATCTAGCAGCCGCACAAGCAGCCAAACATTTAATAATAATAATAATAAAATATATGCAGAAAAAATAAACAAATACTGACAGTTAGCTGATGAAATTAAGAAGATGTGGAAGATGGAGAAAGTAGTGATAGTGGTAGACTGGCGAAGCTTGAAGAGGTTAGATATAGAGCCCGAACCTTACTAGCCAATTCAAAAATCAGTTATATTAGACACATGCAGTATTTTGAGGAGAATCCTTGGAATGCAGGACTAAAGGCATTTTCAGTGCCATCAGAAAGCTCACCATCTTGTTAACAGACCGATGTGACAGCTTGAAGCACCAGGAAACCTGTGAAATTGTGAATAATAATAATAATAAATAATAAATATAGTTTATTCGGAGAAAATTAATTGCAGAAAACATATTTGGAATAACTTATGTATATTTATCCGCAAAAAGGGATTGAAAGAAGTTTAGAACTGATCAAAGCCCCAAAATTATGTATAATTAGAAAAAAAAGACAAAAGGAGTCCGCAAAAACTAAAATAAGAGCCAAGTCTTATGATACTAATGTTAGATTTTAAATGAACAACAGAAGTGACAGAGAAAAAGGGAAAACAAAAATAAAAAAGAATATAAGCATTGAGATGCGTGTTAACAATTAAGACAAAATCTACCGCACTACCCATCATCTAGGAGGTACTGTTTTTTTTTTTTTTTTAACAATTGACGTTCATTTAAATTGTCTAGGGATACGACAGTATAGTATGTAAAGGTTATAAGAAAACCGTCTTTCAAAAAGTGAGGTATAGTGAGGGGAAGGCGAGATGTAACCCTGAAATCTTAAATGCAAATTATGAAAGGCGGATCTGTATTTGATTTTATTTGCAAATCGTAGGCAACATTTTTGTGCCCTCTCAATTGTGTGAATTCCATTATATTCACCGTGGATTAATCACGATATTGTTAAGATCTGAAATTTTGGCAATAGGCTATTTGCATGTTGGGCTTGTAGGGTCTATTTCGACCTTTATCTACTTCAAATGCAACAAACCAAGAATTGCTTAGTATTTTGTACTGTTGTAGTTGTAGTACTGTTCTATTCCTGTCTCCGTTTTCATGTTTGGTAAGTATTCTACAGGTTAAGAATTAGATTGAGGATCGGCAATAATAAATGTATTCCGCTAGTTTGTCGTCAAACAAATTATTCACTTTCAGTGATTATTACTGAAATTTTCCTGTTTCTTTTCCCAACCTGACTACTTTAACGTAGCAGTTTACTCTCGGTCGACAAGTGAAAACACGGGAATCCATATCGAGACTCGTTTGGAGCTGTAAGATTCGTCCGTTTGTATGCGACCATTTTTGTGAACTCAGCTTTAGACCTTATATATTTAACAAACCCGCGGCGCAAAGATTATTAACAGAACAATTATTTTGGGTAATAATTATTTTTAATCAATTTCAGTTATGCCTCACCAAGCCGCAAAATCTATTGACTCTTATTCAAACGGTGTTCAAAAATATCCATAACTAACCAAAATTAGTACTTTGCTATTTACTTTTGAATTTTTAGTCAGCTCATCAATGGTGCTTGGTTACAGAAACTAATGTAATGTTACCAAAATAAAATGACACTATTATTTCAGCTCTCATTAAAACCAAATATCCCTTTTTTTCGCTTTTTTTCGAGTAGTATTGTCAACATATCCCATTTCATACGAATGAGTGCTGAAATTATGTGGAAGAACAAACATTTCTCTCAAGATCTTTTTATGACGGAACTTTCAGATTTATTTAGAAAAATATCATTCGGACTTTCTTGTGAATTTGGCTATTACCAAAATAGTGACAAAAATTAAACTGTCAGATTTATATAATTAAACATTTTGAAATCAAAAGATGTTCAAAACGTAGGATAAGGATTTACCAGGTTCAAGTTTCGGTATCTCTTTTTCTGCTACGAAATGTATACTTTTTGCCTAATAAATGCAATATGGTTTATAGGCTTGAATGTATAATTTTATTCGGGCTCTGCTCTAGTGGAAATTAGGCCAGTTCACTTTATGGTGTCAGAAATAATTCTTCAATTCTTTGCAGGCTTGTGTTGCGCGATCAGAGAAATAATCGAAAAAATATTTTCACACCACGAGCTAGCTAGTCGCGGCTAGGGGGCTTTCAGGAAAAACCAATATATTTTTTGAAAATAATTTACTGTAAAAAAAATAAATAACAAAAACAGTCATTCGTCGATTTACGCCAATAAGAACATAAATAAGTCGATAGAGAAAAACGATTTTTTGAGGCTATTTGGGATTATATTCTGGCTGCAGCCCCAGAGGAAGTGGCATGTCGAAACTCCTGCCATAGGAGGAGTGACCGTAACCACCATGGCCGTGTTCGTGCGACTCAGAATGGGTATGAGCCGACGTGTATATGGGTTTGGCCACGATCTCGTAGGTCGTTTGCTTATGTCCACCGGAGGTCAACGCTTTGAGGCCGATAATCGCCGACAATAGCAACGATATCAAACCGGTCATCAGAGCTTTGCCCGCAATCGCAGCGATACCGCCTAAAAAAACACAGTTAAGATTTGGTCAGTTTCCTAAACGAACCATTGTCTCACCCAACGCCAATGCCATCAGAGTTCCTTTCATCATGGCACCGTAGGCCATCATCATGCCCATTCCGTTTCCGCTTCCGCCGCCGCCTCCTCCCTTTGAGCCGCCGCCGCCTCCACCGCCACCACCGCCTCTACCCCTAGCAGATTCCACCAAACCATTTTTGCTAAAGAGATCTAATTTAATGGAGTGACTGTTCAAGTACGAAGTGAGTTTCTTCATCAGGAACGCGTCCAGTCTGGCATCGGGATCGTCGGGGAAATCTCTAGCTAGTTCCGCCACTATATCCGCGGTGTTAGCTCTAGCACCGTCCTTTTCCCGCACTAAAGACACACCGGGGTAAACACTATAGTCTTCCTCCTCGTTCATTTTGTCCACCCATGAAACGACGTCCAATTTTAAACACGTCGCGGAATAATAATTCGAACAGTCTCTGGTCAGGGATTTTTTGTATTCACTTTTATCACTAGTTTCTGCGTTCTTTGAGCCGGCGTCGTCAGCTAAGGCTACGAGCCCTAGCGACAGCAACGCAAGGGCCAAGACGAGTGCCTTTCTCGTGAACATGCTGTGCTGGGCAACGTTCACGTTTTAATAAACCTAAACCGTATCGATTAGTTTATATAGCTTAAGATGGCAGCTATTGGCGAAAAAATACGCTAAACTTGTTTTTCTATGCACGCGGTTATCATATATTATTAATGGAAACTACTGTGTCGCGAACGGGGGTCTTTATAGGCGGTCGGCTTAGGGGCCATAGTCGTGTGACGTGTTACATTTATCTCTCCCGAAGAGAGAGATTGCAACATGCCGTTCAGTGTGTTATTTCCGTCGAATGCAGTTCAGCAGGGACGGACCAGCGTTCGATCGATCGGTAGAAACGCGACATTTTTGCAATTGTAATCGCGAAGTTTCACGGGATGTGAAACTTTTCCTCGTGAAAAATGACAGATCGGTTGTCGAAAATGCTGGTCGGTTTTCCTTCGCGTCGCACTTTCACCGGATGTTACTTCAACCGGAGGGCTTAATATAGGAGGTCGCAAATCGGCAATGTTAATAATAATATAATCTATCGTATCATACCTACAGTGACGAAAGTTTTTAAAAAAGACTTTAAACAAAAACTAACAAAGTTCTTAGACTAATTTAAAATAATTTCTGACAAGCAATAAAAGACACCATGCGCTATAACATCAGTAACGTCAAAAATTTCTCGACAAAAGTAATCCTTCTTTATGCATATTCCTAGATCTCGCAAAGGCCTTTGACACCATTAGCCACGCAGATACTTTTAAAGCTCTGGAAGACGCTGACTTAAAAAAAAATACCATTTCATCTTTTTAAAGTTATTTAACTGAGAAAAAACAATACGCCTTTATTAAAGATAAACTAAACACAAGGTACAGTTTTGTCATAAGTTTTACAGATGATACAATAATATATATATTAGAGCAGATGACTGGAAATAGCTGAAATTAATTGCTGAAGAAACATTAAAAGATATAATTGATTTCTTCCATTATAAACTATTACGGAGATCAGATCAACAGACAAAATCAAATACCCGGGGGTGTGGATCGATGGGCATCACGCCACTAATGTTGTACGAAACTTAAGCGAAAAAGACTATTATTCTCTTGTACAATCTAGACTCCAATATGGCATTTTGGCTTGGGTTGGCAAGTTCGATTGTTCATCTTAAACAGGTATAAATTTTACGCAAGTAATTTTTAAAAATACTGCTTAAGAAGAACGGTATGGTGATGTCCGACTCTTATATTTTTCACAAATTATATTATACATCTTCGAAAACAAAAATAGTTGAAAATTTATAAATCACAGTCACAGAACACGGTGACAAAAAAAATTTTAACAAAGGTGATCTAAGACACACACAATAACTTTATTTCTCTGTCGAAAAAATTATTCAATTACTTGCTGGAAGCTCAAAAGCAACTTCTACTTACCACCGATCGAATGCACATCTTTAAAATAAAAATAAAAAAATTCATTCCACATGTGAGCAGAAGTGAAATAAGACCTATCGGCATCGATTAGTACATTTTAACTGGGTAGAAGATAATAATTATGTTGCTGAGCTTTAGAGTGGATAGTATTGTAGTATATTATAGTACCATTTTACTTTAGAGATCCTATATTTGGTGCAAATTTATGTGAGAGCCCACTCACACGCAACTACAGCCTAAGTCATGGACAAGCATTACATAGGTACTGAATTTTTTTTATAATAATAATAATAGTAATAATTAAAATAATACAATAATAATACGAAAAACAATTTAAAGAACAGAGCACCGACCTTCCAGCATCCATACATGAAACAAATATAGGGCTGTTGGGACGTTTGCTAATATAAATCTATAATGTTATTAAGCTAATGCGCGAGGAAAAGACGGGGCGACAAGGAAGCTGCATAGAAAACTTATAAAAAGTTTTATATTTCTTAACAAATAAAGAAGCCAGGTAAGAAAATATCAGTTGTATGTTTGGTCAAACGTCAGAGAGAATGAATACCCATAAGAATATTTTGAATGGTTTAGTTAAAATCAAACCACTGATGAAATTGTTATTTCGAATTTAAAACTCGGTTTCTACAAAAATTTGACCATAGTCAAAATGCGCATTGTTTTAAAGCTATAAGATAAATTCAAATATTTTTGCTAAATAAATGTCCATACTTACAAAAAGGCTTAACGCATCTTAATAGGCTCAGTGATGATTGTTTACTTGACCAAAATAATTCGAAAAAAAATTCTTTATATTTCTGGATTTTATTATGTCGTTAGATAGTCAAGAAGGGGCCTAACAGTCTAGTGAAAATCACATCTCAATATCCTATTCTAAAATACGAATGAAACAACCCAACCCACAAAAAACTGTTGGATTTTGGGAAAATTTTCCACCTTACGGGCTGTTGAATGAAACAATAATTAAATACTTGGGATGACAAAACCTAAATTAAATTTTTCTATTTATGTTTATTATTATTTTATTATTATGTACATCACAAAGTGAAAACCGCATCTCAATATCTTTATACTATGCTTAAATATGGATAAAACAACTTAACGCTCAACCTTTTTATTTTATAGGATTATTATTATAATTATTTTAAATTTTTGGATATGCTTAGGTGTTTTTCAGTATTTGATATTTGACTTATTTTGCCCAAAAAATCATTAACTCGGCCACTAACCAATTGTTGAGACTAACTAACTAAATTTGTGATTTATTTGTTAAATTCGGGATAATTAGATAACCCCTACAGTGGAAAGTTTTCCCTAAATCCAGAGTGTTAAGTTCTTTTATTTATATTCTAAGCTGTGATAAATATATTGAGATGCGGGGATTGTTGGGCCTTGATTTGACTGTCTAATGACATAAAAAAAATTATGTCATTCCATATTCCATAGCATTGATAGCTTAGGAAAAGTCATTTTTAACAACTCCAAGTTTATTGGCATGAGTTAAGCCTTTTTGGAGATATGGATATTTATTAAAAATAATGTTAGAAGAATTTTTCTCAGCTTTAAGATGGTACCATCGTCACTAATTTTTTTTCTAATTTCTGTTTCTATAATATCATACCTCGTTGCTCTTACTGAGACACTCGGTATATTTGAGATAATGCTGAATGTACAATCTCACTTTTTAAGCTCTTGGATGTGAAAGATTATATGACGGAACCAAAATTCAACAATAAGTTTGCAATCACCTTAAAAAAATGAAGATATTTTCAAATATGCTTTCCAGGAACCGAATAGATTAGATTAGATTAGATTAACAGTTGGGAGAGCTAGCAGTCAGCCTGTCCGTCACTGCGACCCAGAGGATCTATTGTGACTCTCTCCATAGCTATAGGGCTTTATCCAGGTTCGTCTCTCTAACCAGACTCCACAACTTCGATAATGGCTCCCTCTGCCTAAGCTCTCTGCCTCTGGTTTGATATCGCCCAGCACATGGAAACGCACTCTCGCTAGGCCTTCGCAGTGCCCCAGTACGTCTGCGGGTGTTTCCTCCTCTTCCTGACAGAATCTATATTCTGTGTTTTCTTCCACTTCCATCAAGCTTAGATGCCTCGTAAGCCTGCAGTGGCCCGTCAGCAGACCTACCATTATCCTTACGGCTTTACTATTGTAGCTTAGTAGGTCCGCTGTAAAATTGGCCGATGAGCCCCTTCGGAATTCCTTGGCCTTTCTTTGCCCAGGCATGTCCCTACACCATCGTCGGGATTCTCGGTCCATCCAATCCCCGATGGCTGTTTTTGCAACGGGTTTGGCCACCCCACAAAAGGAACCGAGTAAGAATTATTCTATAGATATTGTATAGAGGAATGAATGAAAGATGTCGCATGTTGTCAAAATAAAGACAAAAAAATCACATATTCATAGGATATACCAAAAAAAATATATTTTTATTATTAATATTTATTATTTATTTTTATAAAACTATCAAATGCATAATGCAGCAAAACTATCTTTTACCCTTCAAGTAGGCAAATGATTATTAAGTTTTATTATATGATGTTTTATGTACAATATGACAACTGAGCAAACGACAACATCTAAGAATTTTCCTAGAATTTTTCTTTTGAAAAGTATGTCCTAATTATTTACATTAGGATGGAATGCGGTTACATTAGGCTTAGTTTTAACATTTCCGATATAGAGTTAAAAACGACAAGACTTGAAAGTGTTAATATTGTCATGTCACGAAATAGTTAAGTTCTAGCAAGGTATAAAAACATTATTCTTAGAATTCGCCCCTAACCATTCTCTGGAGAAGTATTCAAATTTGGTTATATTTGGTTATTTTGAAAATAAACGCCTAGAAATTCAACTACACTGTCCTGACAAATGCACACTAATCCCACTGGAAGGGTTTTGATTAAATCTTTTGAAGCAAATGTTGGTCGTTGAGAATATTAACTAATTTATAATTGTTGTAATTTGTTATGTGTAATCTTTAAGTACTCTTTAAAATTTAATTCATTTTGTAATCTTGTTCTTATGTGTGATCGACTTTTGCTGCGGCAATTGTTGTTTGGTTTGATGTTAAACTGACGGTCACAAATTTTTTGTACCTCGCATTATCAAACTACACAGAAAAGTAAATATAAATGTCAGAAAAATCGCACAAGTTTTAAAGTATCGCAGAATCGCTTCATCTAAAACCACCACTCATACAACACGAAAAATGTTAGAGTGGTACTTTGTTTTGTCAACCAAAATGTTTTTCAAAATTTTGATATCAACAATAAATAATACGTAACTCAGTGCGCAAGGTATATTTAATGGAATCAATAAATTAACAAATAAATTAATAGCTACGCAGATGCGGAAGCTAGTGGAGTAATTGGTAATCTCGATGGATCCAGACTCCTCCCATAACCTCCGTACCCGTGACCATGTTCGTGAGGTTCCGAGTAAACATGCGCGTGCTTGTAAACGGGCTTTGATACAACTTCGTAAGTTGTGTCCTTATGACCGTCGTGTAACAAAGTCTTAAGTCCAGCTATTGTCGTCAGTACCAAGGAAAGCACGCTAGCTATTAACGCCTTTTTCGCGATCACGGCCATTCCACCTGAAACGAAAATTTAGAAAAACATATCTACAACACACTAATGATAATCTTCACCTATCAGTAGAGCTACCAAAGTCGATTTCATTATATCCGCACCACCCTCACGAGCTTGCCCGAACCCTGCCGTTCCATTCTTAGATAAATTTAACTTAAACGAGTGGTTCCTTAAATAGGACGATAGCCTTTTCACCAAAAACGCGTCTAGCACTGCCTTCGGGTTGTTCGGAAATTCTCTAGACAATGCCGTAACGATACTCGTCCTATTGGAATCTACGGTGGTGTTTTTCTTCACCCAACTCACTCCAGGGAACACGTCATAATTATCGGTTTCATCCATCTTGTCGATCCACGAAACGAGCTTCAACTTCAAGCAAGTCGGCGTGTAAGAACGCGCGCATTTTTTGGCAGCGTATTTTTTAAATGCCGGTTTAGAGAAAGAGCGTTCTAGGGCCGAAACTTCAAAGGCCAAGCATAACGCCGTTAGAGTCGCCAGAATTTTGAAAACGTACATGCTGCCCCGCGTAACTGTAATCGCATCTAGATCGACATCGTACCGTGCGAATTATTTTATATACGACGCGGTTACAATTTTGAAAAATTCGTGGGACTCGCACTGATTTTCTTATCATGTGCGGCCGTAATTGCATATTAACGTAGAGAGTGCGACTTCCCATTTCCGTTGGCACAGAGTTTCGATATTTATTAGGAATGTGTTTTTGTGACATCGTGAAAACGAAACATCTGGTCGGATATTCGATTTGGTTTCGCCAGAAGAAATTGAACGGTATGACATCTCAAAAGGTTTCACATAATCCAGTTTACGTCGACAAAATTACTAAAAGCTTTTAAAGGCATGAAGATAAATAATGTGTTTGAACATCATAGTCAACGATAAATGTTGATGAAATGAGATATTTTGGCATTTCAGAAAATTTCAAATACTGTATCCACCTGAAGACGACTAGAGACATTTGACCATTTGAAACGTTGTGCAAGCCAATAATAGTCAATAACAGAAGTCCAAAATATCTGATTTCATGTTACGGTATTTTTACGGTAGAGTCACTACTATCCTTGAAAATCTTTCATAAATCTGACAAGCGCAATTCTCATATCATATCCTTGTTACACCTGAGGTTTTACCTGGGGTGCTATAATTATTTGTTGTCATCTGTGTGCATTCGGATTTTATGCATTGATAAATAAAATTAGTGTCTTCGGCATTGGTCGAAGAAGGCATGTATCTCTTAAAGGACGTAAATTGTCTTAATATGCATAGTGGATGTATATTGAATGTGACCAATTTCTTTTACAGGATTCTTTAATATTAAAAAAATATTAGATTAAACTGATCCTCTATCCCTTTTTCGTACTGTCTGGAACTTTTAAAAGTAAGTTAAAGATACGTCCGTTTCACTGTTGTCATATTACATAATTAATTCAATAACATTTTAATATTCATTCTTTTTATACACTGTAGTTTCTTTTTATTCGTATCCTTTTTTCGTTCTTTTTCGTCCCTCTCTTCTGCATCTTTATATGCTTACTCCTGCTTGCTCATAGCAGTTACATATATTGTTTTATATATACACTTATTAGTGTATTATATTTTAGCTATCTATAACAGCACCGGCATAGATATATACAATGTGTGCTAAATAAAACGATCGACTATACGATCTGGGAACCCATAGGAGATACAGAAAAAAGTTTTGTACAAAAGTTTCTTGGACTCTCCTGAAGATTTAGGTAATTATAATTATAATTATAATTATAATGTTGATATAGGGTATCCCAAAAGTGTCCCCTCCCCCCGGGCCAACAACTTTGTTACTTTAAATGGAACACCCTGTATATTTCGACATTTTTGGAATTCGTGTTCGCGTTCTTAAGAAATTCGTACTCGAATTTTGCATAGTTTAACCAGAAATTCAGGTTATGTGTTTTTTCTTCATGTTTTGATTGCCCCATATAAAATTGTGTAGTGACGCTACTGATACAAGTATTGAAACGAAAATTTTACCACAGACTAAGGAGATGATACAGTAATCAATTCGTTTGACAGATGCGCCTCAGCTTATACAGGGTGTCCCAAATAGGTGGTGAAGTTTTGGCGAATTCAATTAAAAACACAATATAGTTTCATTCAGATACCAATTCTAGGACAAAAAGTAACATAAGTTTTTAATTTATCTTATATTTAAATTTTACTCCCTTTTTGATATATGCGAGGTTTAAGATAACACCCGTATAAATTCTTGTTGAATTTAAATTTAAATAGCAAAGACATGATACTACTTCTTTAAAGATATAATACTCCAGATGTACGAATAAAACCTATTGCAAACAATACAGGGTGCCCATTAATAAGTGGAAATTTTGGAAAAATCGACTCTATACTATACACTTTAACATATTAAATATAACTTTAGAATTGGTATTTAAAGAAACATTTTATAGTTAATTAATAGCTTAATTGAAAATACCTAATAAAAAAGTGAATAATTAAAGTTTATATTCTAACTAAACAAGAAATTAGAATAAATAAATCTTTAAAAAAAAAGTGTACTAAAAAAAGGCATCAAGACAACAAAGAAATATCAAAATATTTAAAAATGTAGTTGACTATGATATCACAATCTTTTTTTTTTGACGCATTAAGATATAAACAAACTTTGACATTTCGGTTTGCTTTTGTTGTTTTTCATATTTCTGTTTAAAAAATATGGAATACTATATCTTTAAAAGAAGTAGTACCAGGTCTGTGCTACTAAATAAATACGTAATATTGCCAACAAATGACCTAATGTGGGCAGCTTTAAATTCAACAATTTATACGGGTGTTATATTAAACCTCGAATATCTCAAAAAGTAAGTAAAATTTAAATATAAGATAAATTACAACCTTACCTTATTTTTAAAACGGCACCACCTATTTTGGGACACTCTGTATCAGCTGAGGAGCATCTGTCAAACTGATTGAGTAGTGCAGCATCTCCTTAGTCTGTGGTTATATTTTCGTTACAATACCTAGATCAGTAGCGTCACAATACAATTTTATATGGAAAAAAATAACCTCAATTTCTGCCTAAACTATGCAAACTTCGAATAGGGATTTCTTAAGAAAGTGAACTTTATTAACCAAGGATTCCAAAAATGCCGAAATATACAGGGCGTTGCATTTAAAAACAATGTTGATGTCTTGGGGATACTTTTGGGACACTTTGCATCAACAAAATTACAAAAAATAACATTTTAAATTTTCAAGAGAATCCAGTAAACTTTTGTACGAAACTTTCGTTGTTTCGTATCTCCTACGGGTTTCCAGATCGTATAGTGGGTCGTTTTGTTTAGCACACGGTATACTTGAATTGTGCTAATAAAGGTTAAATTGTTGTTATTATTATTATATATAGGGAGAACTAAAAATAGCTTTTCGAAAGTGGCGATTCGTATTCATATTTTTTAATTTAACCCCATCTGTATTATTCCATATATGGAACATTTTTCATGCGACATCTACCTGGATGCAAAAGAAATATCGCAGTAAAATAACTAGAATTTCAAATTTTTAAATGGACTTGTTGGGAGATACTGAATTTTTTTCATGTATGGCAACAAAAATTTTATAATCTAAGCAAAATTTGTATTATTCTCTATATATCCATCTATAAATCGAAACCTATGGGGATTCATCAAATTTAAAAACCACTGTAACTGCTTAAGAAATGTTATGCAGCAAATCACTGGACTTCGTTAGCTCTTCGTACAGGTGTCTGTTGATATTTCGGTAAACTCTGTTCGAGTCAAAAATAATGTTCAAATAAGTAATATAGAGAATAAATAAATTTATTAAAAAAATTAAAACCAATATAATTAATAATATTAATATTTAAATGATATTTATTTTGTTACCTACATCAAACAATAAATAACGTTCAATTAGAAAATTATAAGTGTATCACTTGTATTTTAATTTTTTTTTGTCTGAACCCCTTAAACATAGCTGTAAAAAAATGGTAGCGACTTCTACCATCTCAGAGGTAAATTTTAACATTTACAAGTTTCTTTTGAAAACTAAATCGTGAATTAACTTTATTATTAAAACTTTGTTTCCACGATCTTCTGATATACAAAAAAAAATCCTGAAAAGTATTGTTTTTGGAAACTAGAATAATACAATTCCGTGGACAGACCTTTATTTACTTCACGGAGATCTATCCTAGAGTATAAGAATAATGTTTCGTTAATTACAGAATCCGAAAGTGATTTTTGCCCAATTGTTTAGCATTTCATATTCGTCTAAAACATAATTTTAACCTCGAAAATTGTAATTGTCAACAAAATTTATAACAATATACGGCAATAATATTTATCTGTACAGGGTGTGAGGATTAACCAAACTAGGTGGGAGTATAGATAGGTCAATTTCGGAGATATCTTATTAATAGATCTAAGCCATAAAGGTTCTACACCATTCTACCTCATTCTTTTCACATTTTAAAGAATTTACAAAAATTAGTGCTTCCGCATATGTCACTTTTTAAACAAATTTTATAAATCTTATTTTTGTGAATTTTTGATCTAGATTTGAATTACCTTCCGCTAAATACCTCATATGGATAGAAATACTAGGAGTTTGCCGAACTTTCATCGTCTTTATTTTATTTCAAATTTTTTGGCAACGTATATGAATGTTTAAGTCGATATGAACAGAATTATTATTAATCCGCTTTGTCGGTTGCTCCCGATAAATGATCGAAATACTACTGTACGTAATTTCTAATAATTTAGCATCAGTAAGCAAAGTTGAACGTGAGAACCGAGTAAGATATTAGTAATGTTGTTAAATATGTATTAATAAATTAGGAGTAACCGGCGATCCGGTGGATAGCATACCAGGTTACAACAAATCGTATAAACAGATAATAAAAATCATAATTTTTATTATAATTATTATTTAGTCACTTTACTTCAGTTGCATTTATTAATTTTATAAAAGCAAGTTATTGTGCTCGCTCTTATTGCTAAACTTAAATAGCATATTATGCAGCAAGTGCGATAAACGTAACTTTAGTAACAGGCTTTAGCCACAAGCATGAGCAAAATGCAGCGGAGCGAGTGCCTAATAAACGAGTGACTAAAAACATTACTAGTTTTTTGGCAAGACCATCAAAACAGGCAAACTACTATCAGTAGCTAAAATCTGCTATAAACATCCAATCGCTCCCAAACCAGTAGCCAAAATAAAGGAAACGTCTAATTGGCTAGCCACAATAATTAACAAAGTTAGCGTACTAAAGTGACACTTTCCGCAAGCCTCATCAGTGCATAATTGGGTATTTTATAGCAGGATCTAGAAAAAATAATTAACTTAATTAATTGTTAATGAATTGACCGTAAGTATGAAAGTGTAGAATTGCTTTAGATACGTCCCTGTACATCGTGGTGTGAAAGATGAGAAGTTGCAGCTCAGTGGAGTAAGAAATGCCGATCGGATTCATAATACGCGTTTGAAAATTTATCTCGAAGAAAGTAGACAAAATCGTTCCATATTATAAAGGATGTCGCAATTACTTGCTCCACATTTTATCAAAAAAGTTGGTATTCGCGGTTAAACCTAAATTGTGTACATATTTTGTCATATTGTCATTTTGTTGCAGTCGCATTACATGAAAACCAGGAAATGCACCAAATGCTTATTCGAGATTTTCTGTATTAAATAAATATACTATCGATACACTCGACAAAGAGATGTAAAAAATATATTCTTCATTTCAGCTTGGGTTTTTGTTCCACGACTTTGGGAGGACAAACGAAAGCTTAGTCAAAGCTGGTCATAGTTCCCTTAGTTCGAGCCAATTATCTGTTCCACAATATCGTGGAAATTCCAACCGTTCCAAGTGGTTAATGGGTACTACAAAAATATAATTTTTCCTTTCGATAAGCCACGCTACTACATATGTACTGCAAAAGAAAGAATTAGAACATACTCACCAATTATAATTCTGACAAAAAATTTGAAATAAATACTTTTAACATGAAAACAAACTCAGGCAAATATGAGATAACAGAACAAAGCACAATAAAAAAATATTTAATTAATTTTTTACGAATATTTGAATATAAAAAAAATGAAAATTAAAAACCATCTGTGTGTAAGGAGTTCATCATTTTTGTCACATATTTCCACTTAAACATGGAAAAACTACTAAGAGCTAATTCAAATCGTAGTCATTTTATTGTTTCAATTCAAATTGTCAAAACTGTTATAAATTTTATTGGATTGGTAAAAAAAAACAAAATTCGCATTGATTACAACTTATCGCCCATTCTGCATTTGACGGCACCATATTAACTGAAGGAAAGTTCGATCTTTAGCCATTATTAAGGCCAGTTGTTACAGATTCCATCCGGTGGCAAACGTTTCATTTGGCCTTTCATTTAATAGCTAAATCGTATTAGCGAAATAAATTTTACCGTTTTTAAGCGTTATATAGAACAACTTTCAATTTTCTTTGTGATTTATAAAATAAAAGTTTCACAAGTGAGAGCAAACTGGTCACGGATATTTTACTGTATATCAGTTTCGAATTAAATTTTGCCTGAAAGATAACTGGTAAAGAAAATGCTTTAGAATTAAAAAATGACAAAAAATATCTTTTCCTTTCAGATCTTTGCCAAGCAAGCATCGTTCACCGTGGAAGAAGTACTTTTTTGTATGTTATTATTTATTACTTAAATAAAATATTTTTCTGCTGCGTGTTGATTTTCTGCCTTAGATTCTCCCTTTTCTGCAATCTCGCCTTGCCTCGTTTTGGTTTATTTTTTATTGTGCACATAGAAAACTGAATAAAACGAGCCAAAAAACAATAATATATTAATAAATTACAACACAAATTAAATCAATTTTATACAAAAGCGATAGGGATTTGGGAACCCTGTTGCCCAATTTCATGGGTCAAACCCGAGCGACTCCAATGAGAAACTGGTGACAAAACCTCATACGAGAATTTCCGATGAGGATGGAAGCCCTCAAGAAAACCTTTCAATGCGGTAGCTGCAGATAGTACCAAGGCGGCGAGACTTAGACCCACACCTTTAAATGACACTAGTGCCACCACGGAGAGGATTATGGGTATGATTATTGCCGCTTTGAGTTTGAGTAGCAGGAGCAATGGCAATATGAGGCGCTTCAATTTCTTGCTTCGATTTTCTGAAAAAAAAAATCCCTTTTACTTGTGTGGTTGGTATGACGGTTGCGGTCGTAGGCGAATAATTCTCCACTATCAGAAAGTGAATAACCAATTATTTGGATTTATATAATTTGGTCAAATAAGGAGACTCAACCCTAGATAATGATGGAAGTTATTTTTAAGAGTGTTCGAAAGTTTTCGAAAATAGCTGTCACTCAGAATGACACTTTGCCAAACATGGAATAGCTGAGTCAGCGGTACCCTGAGCAGATTACTTGGCACACTGCTAGAGGGCGCTATGCGACAAAATGAAATTAAATTTCGATATCCTTCTCCAAAACTTCAAAATCAGTAAAAGAAATTAAAACTCGAAATAATATCACTTCTGTGGGAATATATTCGATACATTTGATAAAGACACGGTGTTGTCGAAACAATTGTCATGTCATAATATATAATTTCGTGAAAATCTGAACGTTTAGTTCTTATTTATTTTGATATTCGGTATACCCGTATGTTGTTAAATCTCAATTTTCGTTCTTTCAGGAAATTATTTATAAATTTAAGGTTAAAGTGTAAAAATTATATTTAAAGTGTCGGTAATAATAATACTCATTCAATCTGAGAGAAGTATATTGACCACCTGTCTACATACAATTCGAATTTTTCAAAATTCAAGTGTGCTTTGGAAAACAAAATAGCAAAAATTATAATGGTGGTGTATAAATATTAATCAGATTAATATAGCAGCTATAGCAGCAGTATTGCAATATTTAATCATATAGGAATTAGTATTAATTATTATGGCAATTTTAAATTTAATGGTGGGATTTTAACAGTAATTATATATATATATATATATATATATATATATATATATATATATATATATATATATATATATATATATATATATAATAAAAGAACATATATTAGTATTTAACAAGGATAGGTATTTTATATATATATATATATATATATATATATATATATATATATATATATATATATATATATATATATATATATATATATTGTAGGTTAGGAAATCGATATCAAAATGTAGTTTTCACCAGGGCATCTTTTGTTGGCATAAAAGTGATACCCTTGAGAAAATAAATGTTATTTGTAGTGATATCGCCTTTTGGCGACAATACAAGCAATTGAAATCAATCCAGTCAGGGCAAAGTTGATGGCCTATTAGAAGCTTTGAGTTCAGTTAATCCGAAAATGATAGGACACCCCCCACCGCGTTCCTTTTAATGGTACATCAAAAACTGAGCTACGAAAAATAATCGAATGTATCCATTTCTTACAACGGGGATTATTTGAGTTATCTGACATGTAAAATTATTTCTCAAAAATCAGAATATAAAATTGAAGAATGCGATTACGTCCTCTAGCGGCTATTCTAGGTATTTAAAAATAACTTCCAGCATTTTATCTTGGCCGCTTTCTGGTATTTACTTTACAACAATGACTACATAATACGGTCGAGTACCCTTTCTTATCGGAAATGCGGGATCATATTCTCCAATGACTGCAGTTCGGAAGTCCACACTTAACTGGAATCTCCCAAGAAAATTGAAGGTGGATCAATTGAAATCCTAGATAAAGACACCAAAATTGTAATTCGAAGAAAAGTTTCATCTTTTTATTTTATAAAAGAAATAGAGCAGAGAGCAGGAATATTTTTATCTTGATGAAACTTTTGTTAATGAAGGTTATATTCTATTAAAAATATGTCGGAACTAACAAATAACTCACTAAGTTGTTATGAAAGGCAGCCTGTCAACGGTTATTAAGGTAAATTCAGGAAAAGGGACCAGGGATGACTATTTTAATGCGATGATAATGTATCTTTACGCTGATTCTGTAGTAGGATAACGAAGCTAACATTCAGGACGCATAGAGAAGAAACCAAGATATTACTGACTGGTTAACCACCAAAAATATTGAATTTGAAGGCGATTTTAACAATTTAACCATTTTCAGTGTTGTTGAATCAAAAAGAAGGAATTTTATAATGAAATCAATGCAAAATAATAAAAGTGACTTAAATATAAGTAAGGTAACTCTAAGGGTCCTTTGCATACCCATTGAGTTTTAATCCCTCTACATATTTTTGAAACAGACTTCTTTAAGAAAACAAATATTGTTGTACTGAAAATTATCTTAAAATGTCGGGTTTATCAATGTAAAAAAATTCTAAGAGAAAGTTTACTAAATTTTAGGTTATTCATTTCAAGTTAAAACCTATTTTAATTGTCTATTAAAATATTAGGCAAAAACAATATATTCTCTGTTAACTACTCAACACCAATTAATTAAAACCAGAGTTATGATTCGAAAGTGCGCCCTATTAATTACGCCATCATCCAGAATATAACGATTAAATCACCAGACAACTAAATCGCCTAAACCCAATCATTATTGAAATTTTATTACACTTAACCATCGGTGTGAAGCCTGTTAAAACTAATTGGCGAATACCAAAAACAATGCCAATGTCGAACGTCTCTCACCTTAACCTAACCGGCAGAAAGTAACAAGTGCGTGAAGAAGGGGAGAGAGTAGTCAGGAATGTGGCAGCTGTGCAGGAAGGAGAAGCAAAAAACGCAGTCTCAAGGAAGTCGTAAACTATGTCACGGACAAAGGCGGAAAGCGGCAGTTCTCTGGGTTAGTAAGCTAACCATGCTGGACTGCACCCATATCAAGGTGGGAGGTAAAGGCCGGAACACCGGAGCACCAACGATCAGTCCCAAAAAGTCTTTACAAATGATCGGATGTATTGCGAAGAATTTTGAGGACCGTAACTTTTTCTTATTATTTTATTTAAAAAAAAGCACAGCGAATGCATGCGGTGTGCTTTTTACAGTTATGTTACATTTATAAGCCCCTTTTTTAAAACTTTTTCCTACTTCAATAAAATATAAGAACTACAGAAGAGAGAACAGCACAGGCATAAAAAACTCAGTATAAGACGGGTGAATCGTATCATTAATGAAGAGAAATTTGTATTTTTTTAATTTATTTATTTATTTTATTTACTAATATAAGTCAATGACTTGTCCTCTTTCTTATTTTATAGAATGGGTTTTCTTTTATTTTTTAGGTGGCATTACATATGAAAATTATATATATACTTTTCTAGCATTATTTATTTGTCGCGATCCACCATGCGTACTAATTTGCCATTGTATCTTAGTATTTTTCTTAAGATGACATTTTAGTGAATTTTCAACTTAAAAATCCTTCAACATATTAGTGACCACAATTTTAATATTGAGAAGTCGTTGAGTAGTCTTTTGAGACTCAATTTATGGCTTTTCTCTTAACTTTTCCAATTTTTTCTTAGGACTTATATTCCCTACTCACTCCTTCACTCCTTTCAGAATTTATTTGGTTGGTAGGATCTAGACAAATGACCTTGATAAATTAAGAAATATAAAAAAAAATATATATTTTGTTTTCGTCCATTTTTTTGGGCATGTTCAAAGAATGGTGATCGATTTAATTCCGGCTTTACTTTCAAAACAAATGATTATGCCTCAGAAAATGTGTCAAAAATGGTGAATAGTGAAATTTGATCACATCTGGCGAAAATTCCTTCGCCCATCGAGCATGTCGATAGAAGTGTGCCTACTCAGTTCGTCGGCGCTTTTGCTGAACAGGTTCTTCTTGAACTTGGCCTCAAGTAAATTTACCGTGACTTTGTGGTTTGCGTCGACTGCGGACGCTGCCTTGTCTACCGTTGACTAAGGTGTATAAATGATTTAATTTATGTGTTACGAATCATGCGGAAATCCAAAGATGCCCCGTAAAACGTCATTGCTTGATCAATGAAAAATTATAAAAAAAAAAACAATTACAAAACATTTTTATAGAACTTGGCTACTTTGATGAAGCAATTAAACCTAATTATAAAAAATGTGTATAAAAAGCACTGAGAAGGGGTAGGGGGACTGAAAATTAACAATACTTTGACTGTTATCATTTAACGTGAAGAGTTTTTCGATTAGCGCGAATTATTTGTATTATATTACTACGTGTTCATGATGATTATTCAAAATGAAGTTTATTTTATTATATAAACACTGGGTTAAAAACTAACCGTGATTACATATTGCGTTACAAATATGACAGAAAAGCATTACAGTAGCCTGTGGAAGTTTCTTTGAAAAATTAAGGTTAATATGATATACTCAGGAATACACTACCGCAGGTTAGTATCATGTTATAAAGCTGGTTGATCATAGTTGAATATAACATGAAGCTTCATTATTTTTCAAAATATTTTTGCTGTTTTATTCAACCAAGGCCCACACATACACCATTATGATTTTGATCCGTCTATTATATAAAAACTACTTGCTAGCTAACTAAGTAATTAACTAATGGAAATTAATAATAAAAGAACTGAAATGTAATAAACAAGTTGGTACATTTTAATTCCCCCACTTGTCGCAATTCGAATGGTTTAGAAAAAGTGAGCGAATTCGACGAAAACAATCAAGCCCATCGAGCCCCATCGAGTCTGGTTTGTCTGAAGCACTCCATATTTGCACAATATAACAAATAATACTAAAATATTAATAGTGTGCTTAATTACTGTATGTGGGGTTGGACATGGGTGGCAATTTTATTTCCCTTTTTATTTTTAAAGTTTTCATCAAATAATCTCTTTACCAATATACTACAGTTCCGAAAGTTTTCAAAATATTTGTTAAGTCGCTCTATATTTTCAAAGATTTACGGAAAATATATTTTTTTTTGTAGAGAATAAAGTCAAACCTTCGGATATGCGTGCATGTGTGTTGCCTATTAGCATCTATTTAGTTTTGAATACACATTTGCCGAATATAGCTTTTTATTCTTGGCTGTTTAATAATTCTATCCATTACTCGATTGAATGAATAAATTTGTAATCTCCTTTATGGAGAGGAACTGAAAAATCTCGATGGATGTCGGTGATGGGCGAATGATTATGGCAGTGGAAACGTATTAATCAGAAAGAGAATTAGATATTATGCATTTTCCGACGTTGTTTAAAAATTTGACCAAAATGTCACACGACTGTGTACGGTGAAGAACCAAATTCGAGCTTGACAAAGAACAAGGTTGCTAATTAATATTTAATTGTTAATCATGACTGAACAAAATACAATACATTATTCTTAACCCGTTACGGATAACAAAAATGGGTGGGCTTCGTTTCATCGATGAAATGTTTGCGTCGCATTTTCTACATCTTACTAATCGCGTATCGGGGTCAGTCAAGAGAAAAATCACGTTTTAAATATGGCAAATTTTATTTACGCCGCCGGCCTTTTAATTTCCTGTCCTCGATCTCTTTAAAATCACTCGATAACATATAAAACAACGGCAAAAGCCGTCCATCGCGACAGAGCGGCTACGATTTCTCCTTAGACGAGATGATCGTTTTTTCATCTTGGCACAGTTGCGGTTGTACGTTTTCATTACGGTTTCGTTACTCGCTTTTATTGTAGATGTTTTATTTAAATCGATAACACAATAGTCAATTTTCTATTGTGCTGACGATCATAGGAAACTCCCATAATGTTCGAACTGATTTGCATTTAGGGATTTTAAACAAATTAAATATGTTTAATATATAATAAATTATTATTTTTTGCTTTAGCAATTGACTTTATTAATTAATACTCAATTTTATTTTCCAATCATTATTTGGAACTTATCCTTCTCCTTTTCTTGGGGCGAAATTGCATCTACTTTCGATGTTAACAGCAAATAGCGTAGATTTAAAAATGCAAGAGAAGTTAGGCAACAAGGCAAGCGTTGTGACAAGATCGAACAGCAAAATGGTGTCAAAATTTAGGTTCGAGCTAACTCGAATGAGTTTGAACTGCGGAAATTCAGTTCTGCTGATGTTTTTTCTATGTTTCTATGTCCATGTAGCCGCACAAAAACTTTATATTGCTATCAGCCTTCGATTCGATTAAAAGCTTCTATATATTCCAATAGAATATTATGTTTAAGCTCTGGAAATATAAAAATGACGTTAGTTTCCAAAACTAAAATATGCGTAAAAGTGTGATTTTCGAATTTTAAATACAGAAATATTATTAATTTATATTCATTCGTTGGCATTTGAACTAACAATTCATTCAGACAGACCTAATCAAAATTATGTATTATAAAAATTGTATTTTACTCGAAATTAACATTTTTTTGTGATATGTGTTCTTTGAGATCGCTTTGCTTCTAGCGGTGACAATCCATATCTATCAATCGATCAAAAAATTAATATTACCAAAAATTCTGATCAGACGGTTTATCCGTATTACAATTTGTGTGGGTATTGAGAGAAAATTAGAAATCGCTGACTCTCTCGCTTTCTCTGCAAGCGCACACTTTCTTCGTATTAAGATCTAAATTATACCCAACTTCGGCGGATTTAAGGAAAGATCATGGCAAATGGCAAATACTCAAAGTTCTCACTGGAGAACGGCTATTTAATAAGCTAAGTGACGAAATTAAATCAGTAGAAATAGGGGCTTTTTAATTTAAATGTTATCGATATGAATATAAATCCAAATTATTACGCTATAGTTTAGTCAAGTGTTTTACAGCTTCCAAGAAAAACTTTTTAACTTTTAAATTTATACATCGAGAAATACAATATGCAACATTGGGAAATAGAAGTGAGGTGGCGCACGGCGAACACAATTTTTGGTGGTTTTGGAATTCACTAACCACCGCGGAATGACAAATTGCCATGACTAATTTTAACAGTATGTAATTATATCATTTGTGCTGACCAAAAATAGGTCCATTTATTAGTTAACTTTTGGCAATTTTTATGAATATTTTACAGCAACATTAATAATGTACATATTGTATATAATTTTTATAGCTGTATTTTATTAAATTAATAAATTAATATAATTGATACATAAACAATAAAGATATTAGACTAAGTTTTGTTAAGTTCCCCCGGCTGCCCTAGTTGTTGCTCCATATTTTTCGGAAAAATAGATATTAAAAGCATTGATACTAATCTGAAAGACTTCAAGATAAAGAAATAACATTTTAACGTGAGAATATTAATATATATGGTCAGTTCATAGATATAAGAAAGTGACCAATTGCTATTAAATGGGATTATCCAAGGGTGGTGATTAACATACAATGCAACAAGATTATTACCTAAACTTCCAACATCAACTGTATGGAAAATTGTGAATAATCCCATTTCAACGAGAAAAAAAAGAAGCGATGCTGACATTTTCTCGAGTGTAGATGAAAGTGATCAAGATATAATACGTCGTAAAATTAACCAGTTATACGAGGAACAAACCGTGCCTACATTAGATATCCTAATTAGGAGGCTTGAAAAAGATGGAACCATCTGTTAAATGTGGCAGAACTGCCTTATGGAAGTGTATTCAAGACAAGAATTTTAGATTTAAAAAAAATGGCAAAAGGCAAGTTTTAATGGAATCTTTTAGAAATGGCGACTGGAATATCTAGAAAAAATTAGGATTTAGAGAGAACAACAAAAGCCAATTATTTACTTGGATGAAACCTGGTAAGTGTAAAACAAACGCGCTATCAAAAAGAGGTAAAAGAATAACTATTTTGCATGCTGGCTCTAAAGATGGTTGGATTCCGGGACTTTCTCTGTCTGCGAAAATTATTAAAGATTCTTCTCTGCATTGCCACTGCTGATTTATTTGAAAGTTGGTTTAAAAACAAACTAGTTCCAAACATTCCTCCTAATATCGTAATTGGAATGGACAATGCAGTAGACAGTTGACTAAAACTCCTTCCTCGTGTCACATGAAAGCAACAATCCAAAACTACATGTATAATAACGACATTTATTTTCACGAAGATTATACCAAAAAGCAATTAATTGAGGTTCTACAAAGTTTGAACCTACAAAAGGAATACAGAATACAGTTTACCAACTGCAAACTGCCATTCGTCGTGATAATGTTTTTCCCCGTGTTAACTCCAATGTCCTCAAACGTATAGAAATCGAAGGTTTTAACATCCCTCCACAAGGTTGGGCAAATTCTGTCAAACATATAGAAAAAGCAGAACAAATAATGATTAGAAGAGGCGAAGATAGCGATAGTGATACTGAAACATGTGAATAATTTTAAGTAATTTAAGTTGGTAATAAAAATATATTATAATATTATTTTAGATTTAAACATAAATAAATTAATATTGTTTAGTATATTTCCTAACAAAACCCCAAATAATTAAATTCTAAGCAAAGTACGGACCTGTTCGGCCATATTTCATTTTTACACCTTGCCAAGATCTTTCCTTAATTCGTATCAGTTAGTCACTTTCTTATATCTATGAACAGACTTTACCTTAACTCTATAAATAAAATGAATAAACTTAAAACAAAATAAATTTCAACTAAATTTAAATTAAACTTTTAAACAAGCAGAGCTCTTTATGAGGAGTGAGGAGTAAAAAATAATCACAGAACAAACAACCCAAAGTTACGTCGCTGCCAACACAACTCATAACTTAAATCAATTATGAATCACGGAATGTATATACGTGTATAGATTGATTAGTTGATTGAAATGTGTAAAAACTATTGAATTTTGACTTCGGTAAAATATAAAACAAGGAAATTTTAATTTTACTCCCATATGTCCAGAGGAATAAACGGATATAATTTTAATTTTCGCTAGTTAGAGTCCTCTTTTTCACTTGCCGTTGCCGAGATCAAAAAGTTGAAGATCGAATTTTAAACACCAGATTAAGAAGGCATATGGTATATATTAGAACATCAAAATAGCCAGATTCGACTGCTTGGAAGCAAGATCATTGGAAGAAAAAGCTGGAGGTGAAGGTTGCATGTTGTATTTATTTTCTTAACTAACCTTAGTGCTCAGGCAATCCGATTGGACGGCCACTCCCTAAACCGCGAACAACAAATAGGACATGACGAGGATGATCGTGGCCAGTTTATACAAAACCAATTTCTTGATAATCCAGACAATAATTTTACCTGCTACAAAGTGTCCTCTAGCCTCGTCATTCGGCAATTTGATTTTAAGTTGGTGATTTCTCAAGAATTTGATACTTCTGTCTACGATGTCGTCTTCAGCACGCCCATCGTCGTTAACGTTGGCAATTCTCTCCAGCGTTACGAAATCCCTCACTATCGGTACTTCAGACCGATCTTCCAAGTAGTCAAAGTACTTCATCAGTTCGTTCTCAGAACAGTTGAGACTGTTTCCGCATTGAACGTCGTATCGTGTACAGTCGACCACGACCAAAAAGCACAGGAAAATACACAAACAAACGCCACCATTTAATTTGTGCATTTTGGCAAACGCCATTTATAACAAACGTTTAAAAAAATCGTCGATAGTCTTTTATATGGACGGGCGTCGTTCTGCGGGGGGCGGATTTGAATAAAAAATCCTCCAGACGTGCAACACGGTAAAAGAAATTCCTCGGACGTTCGTGGTGTGCGAGACAAACAGCCAGAAAAATGTTTTCGATGATTTGTATGGCTGGCCGTCGCGAAAATTGCCTTTTGTTATGCATTCGGCGACCTTTTTTTGGTAATTTATTCATCGCGCGTTGCCAGAACATCCCGCTTAATGCTATTCATTTAAACAAGTGTGGAAAATGTAAACAATTGCGATTTGTTGGGTCCCGATGTCCCCAGCATGTTTAAAGGTCTCTTAGCAGGACTTTCGAGCAGAAACTGAAGAATTTCATGAAAATTGAGTTAACGTGACAAGTCAGACTTATATATTAATAACAGTCATAATACTCCATATACAGAGTGCACTAACCAAAAATGTATTCATTAAAAATCTTCAAATTGTGATTTACTTTTTTTTCATAATAAACTTAAGTTGGTTTGTCATTTTCAAAGAATTTCAATATTACGCTCCATTGCGTCAATATTTGAATTTATTTATTTAACACTGTATACTGAATTAGTAATATAAACATGTTAAAGCGTAAAGAGAGTTTGTCAGGCATCCACCATATTGTGAACAATTACGCACTTGGAAAAGTGATTTTCAGAATTTATGATTTTTTGCGGAAACTCGATTTTCCGATTTATAGAGACAAGAGCTTAACTATGTCATCACTCTGGGTGTACCATTCTAGCTTGATATGGGTTAAATGCACTCTGTCCCCCACAGCGCCATCTCTTATCGTTTACCGACATGCTGAAAAATAAGGATAACTATTCACTGCGGAAAACATGTTTTAGAAACAATACGTAAGAGGTCGCCCCCAACATGTCCATTAGATAAATTGTATAAAACAAACCTACTTGGTTATTTTAAAAATTACTTATTGCAATTCTTCACCTAAATAAATATGCACCAATAATTAGTGTTTATTTTAAGAGCCTTTCTAGTTTTTGTCATTATTAAAATATTTTTATGGATTAGATATGAATTAAATTTTAAACGGCACTTGAATTCGCCTTTAAATAGTACCACGTCTTCAACTTATTTATTAAAATAAATACCTACGTTAAAATGTACCAATACCAATTTCTACATGATAGAGTGCGCTCGTTTCTCAAAGTCCCAACATTCACAGTAATCTTTTTAAGATGTATGTTTTATGAAACTTATTTGTGACGAAATGAAAGGTAACTTCTCGCAGCAGCAGATGTCTTCGATCGAGTTGTGAAGCTTTCGCTTTTACAATTCAATGGATTTCCAACAGAGGGCTCTGCATCCGTTCCAGATTTAATTAGGCGACTTAAAAATCCTAACTGACCAACAATGAAATTAAGTTCTCGCAGATGGAAAATTACAGAACGATTGTAAGATATTTTATGGTAAATTAATTTTTAGGGGAAATTTAAAAAAATAAAAGAAGTAAGAAATAATAGGAAGCTGTTTCGGATTTTGAAAAATTTGAGGGAAATTACATTCTTGTTTCCATTTGACATGACTCAACAAATTTTCTGCTAATTTGCAGAGTAAATAGAAGTTGCTACTTATTATGCCTAAAATCGTTCTTTGATGAGTGTAATTGTTTTTTTCCATGATTTTTTTTAGGTGGGTTTTTAAAACTGGTAACAATCTTCATTAACTAAAATCAAAGAAATGTTTGCTGATTAATATAGGAACTTCGATGCGGATTTTCTTTATAAATTATTAAACTTCTCAACTATAGTGTCAAATTTGTAGGATTGCATTTAAAAAAATGAGTTTTTACTGTTACTAATTTTTTTTTAGGAGTGTACATTTTTGGCACATCCTGTTTGATCATTCAAACAAATATATTAGATAACCCGTGTAAAATTTTAGCTAGCTAGCTTACTTAAGATATTAAGGTCTAGCAAAGGGAAGTTTTTCTGAAAAATAAAAGAAATTATTTTTTTCTGAAGTAAGGGACAGAGATAGAAATAGGAAAATGTGAACAAAAGTTACTCAGAATTCAAGGCAAAATCGGAAAACCCTAATGTTCGTAGTGTTCTCTTTGAATTTCCAACGTTGCCCACTGTTTCAAGTTGAACTGGTGTGTTGAAAAATGAAAAAAAAAACCTATTTAGTTCTCAAGAACTTCTGATAGCACTCAACAAATTTTCTGCTAATTTCTGGGGTAAATAGATTTTGCCTCCAATCTTTCTTTAATCAGGAAATTTTTTCCCGTGCAAGAATTATATTAGAATTAGAATTAGAAACTAGTAATATTTTTCCGATTCGGTTTGTCGTGAAGGAAGCAATTTCGTACACATGTCTAGTAACCGTTATTTTTTAATATCCTATTTATCTTAGAAATTAGCGGCAAGTTTTTTAAAACACCCAGTAAGCAAGTCTGTACATGTGTTGCAAATTTTGATTGTTTAATATTTATTTAAATTTAGAAGTGAGAGTTAATTTCAGTTTTAATGACGACAAAATGGTTTTCACTTATTCGGCAATAATTATATCGCTGCAAATTAGTAACTAGAAAATTTTCATATGAAACCATTTCAATTACTTTCGACCCCGAGTTTGCTTCAATTGGCAAAAACCGAAACCGTCGGAAAATTAAAAGCGCAAATACTCGGAGAAAAGTGAGCTTTCTCCTTACTTTAATTACACACATACCCCGGACTAATGACCGGTTATACGTACCTACGATGTTTTACTTCTTTAACGAGAGCATCTCTAGCGGTAATGATAAACACGCTTTTCTTGCTAATATTGAGAAACACTGCTTAACAAAATTGAACGTTACAAAGAAATTATTTACAACAATAAGTTACCTTACTTATAATTGGAAATACGAAAAGTGTAGCAAAGCGTGAACCCTGTCTTAGACGTCTTTTCGTTTTACTTCCGAAAGTATCTCTAACATACGCATCGGTTGAAAAATCTGTTTTGTTTTGAAGTTTTAAATCACTATTTATTATTATCTATTTATTTGTTAAGCTCTACTTAGTTTTGGTTAGTTCGAACTTTTTTTTCAAATTTGCAGCGTAGCCAATTCAGCTCGAGATAGAGTAACTAGTGTTAATATTTCCTAATGCCTATCTTTTTCCCTTACTTCGTAACAAATAAATTCTTTATTAAAGCTTGATATCTTCTTTCGTGATTGTGCTATTTATTTTAAAATTTTACAGAAGGTAATAATAACCATGTTCTTAAAATTTACGTTTTTGATAAAAAAATTGTAACCATAAAAAAGAAAATCCTCCTTATTTGACATTACTGTCAAGAAGTTAAATATTTTATTTCCAAAATCTCTACACAAAAATTATTTGCCTAAATAAGTCGTCGTCTTGAAAAGCATGTGGCATCAACCATGTAGTTATTAGATAATATAGTGGCCCTAGTAAGGCAAAAATTGATGCCTGGCACCCACTAACCTGCATTTTGCTCCATTTTCTTTCTAAGCAACCAATTCCACATACGTAATTCATTTTTTCTATTCCCATTTGTAAAATACCTAATTACCCACCGATCTAGCGTGCGGGAAGCTTCACTTTACCACGTTAATTTCATTCCCCATGAATCCCAGCCACTTCGGACATTTCCGGGATTTTACCGCACGGATTTGAGAGCAATCGGATGTTTTCGGAGATATGTCCCACTCTTTAAATTTTGACGTTTGTCAATTCTGACGGTCATGTCAGTGAATATATTCGTGTTGTTTTGCGAAAATGTACCCAAAAACTAACGGTCGTAGAAAAAGTATAGTATGCAACAGGTTCGGTAAACTTTTTAACTCACTCGTTTATTAAAAACTCGCTCCGCTCTTGTCAAATAAGCTCATGAATCAAATTTTTTATTTACTGAAATCTAAGAAACGATTGTTGATTGGTATATGGACTTGAATTTTTTAACGGTAGTGTCAAATATGCATTAAAAAAAAGAGTTTTTACTGTTATTATTTTTTTTCAGGAATATAAATTTTTGGTATACTCTGTTTGAGTTACAATCAAAATTACATATTGGTCGTTTAAACAAATGTATTAGCTAAATCCTAAAGTGTGGGAATAGCGAGTTCCCTTAAAAAATAAATTATTTTTTTCTGAAGTAAGCGATAGAGATAAGAATAGAGAAGTGTGTACAAAAGTTCCTTAAAGTTTTTAGGCAAAATCGGAGAACCTCCTAATATACGTGGGGTTCCCTTGGAATTTTCAATGTCGACTGCTTCGAGTTGAATTTGCAGCGCGTGAAAAAAGAAACCGATTTAGTTCTTAAGAACTTCTAATAGGACACTTAATGTAAATCGCCCTTTATAGGAAAGTTCCTAGAAGATAAAATTCATTATCCACGATAAAAATTACTGGAAACGCCTCATGAACTTTACGGGAGAACCTCCATGTGCAAAATTCTAAAAGCACACATGAACTAGACCCAAAGAGTAAAGGTTTTAATTTTATTGGTATGAGAACTAAATCCAGACTACCCGATTGACGTTTTGTGAAGTTCAATTCGGACAAAAAGATAGTCAGTCACGCTCAAACTTGACGTAGGAAAGAATATTGAAAAATGAATATCATTATAAAAGCGGGTACAAAATATAAGGTTAAAGTACAGTTAAACATTCTATAAAAATGCAAAAATTATAATTGTTTTCGAATAATTTTATCAAGATCCTTATGCGATGGTGTTGAAGTTGAGTTAGAGTGGTATTAGTAAAATTAAAACAAATTATAAATGGCGCCTCATGGGCTCTGTTTTTTGTTAATCATTCTGCGCGCTACTTCTATGGTTTCATCCAAAAATTTTTGACGTAATCTTAAAATAAATATTGTTGATATTTTCGGCGCTGAAGTTTGATCAAATTTAATTTGCCTTCAGCCTCGTTTTGCGGACATGATTTGGGTTTACGTAACGGTAAGTAAACAATTTATATTTTGCAAATTAGCCTCACTATTATTATTATTTATCTGCAGCAATGACAGGAGCCTACTATGTAAAATATTGCTGTCATAGGCGAACATTAAAAATGGAATTAGATTTGTGGTTAAATTACCGCCAAATTTATTTAAAAAATTCTAACAAAAAACTCTTCGAGTTAGAAATAATACAATACATATAATCATTTAAAATTATTTTTGTCACATTGCAAGTAAAAATAAACAATAATAATAACAACATATAAATAAATAAACATAATAATAATGGCGGCAAGCTAAAAAGTTGCAACAGAGGAATTGAAGCCTCCGGATCTTGAAGAATTAATAATAGTAATTCGTTAAATTATTTTAAATAATGAGGAAAAGCTTCTCTGTGTGTAAATTTTCCCCATTGTTGCTGACGGTAGTCAATTAAAACATTACCCGTTACTCGTTACAAGTAGCGGCCACAAAAAACGCTGGTTTCCAATTGGTTAGTTGCTTCGAGAAGGTGATTTGAAACTGCTATCCGAACGATGAGTCTACAATATCAATACCGCCCCAATTTTGATTAAACCGTAACGACTTTCATACACTTTTAATTCAGATTTTCTTATGTGCCGGGAGAATGGTAGCGGACCACACGGCGATAGTATGGCGCAACGGTGTTTGAGTCTTTTTTAGACTATTTAGCGACGCTTAAATTAAAATTGGCATATTTTTTTGCTATGCAGGAAATCAACCGACTGACATTTAAAATAAATGGAGGACTTCCTTTAAATAATATTCTGTGTAGCTAACCTAATATATTAATAATAATAATAATATCAATAAACTATCCTCTCCAACAACGCCAACATACAACGCCGCTCTTGCTCCAAACTTACCTCTGCCTAACCTAGCAGGAACCGCCGCTTGAAAAAGAAAACAAAAATTACTTGCAAGAAATTGAAAAGCATGGAATCGAAAAGAGCTCTATGGTAGATATGCCGCGATTCTTAACGGCTCTGATACAGATTCGAAGTTATCTACGATATATCTGACAGATGGCTACCTTATGATGGAGACCGAAAGTTTTATTATTCAGAAACAAGTCTTGCTAACTGAGAACTACAGAAGGTTCATCGTCAAACAAAACATAGAAACTGACCTTTGCAGATTGTGTCACTTAAAAACAGAAACCGTGTAGCAGCTATCGAGATGATGTGCTTAGATTGCACTACGAGACTAAAAACAGGCAATATAATGCAGCTAAAGTTCTACACTAAGCCCTCTGTCAGAAATACCACCTTACAGATGATATAATACCGTACTACAAATATTGTCACGAATTGTCACAGAGCGACATAATAGACCAGATACGGTTGTTTCCGTCTGGCACTTACTTAGGTAATAGTTTATATATAAAAGCTGGAAAAGTATGAAATTCCTTATCAGTAGATGAAAACATCCAGAAAGCTTACGCTGAGAAGATGAGATAGTACCAGAAGCTATCATTTGAGATGAAGCAGCTCTGGCATCTGGAAAAAGTCGACATATCATAAATCAGCAAATGCAGTTTTGTCCGAAAGCCCGTCTCAAACGATAACTTGCCGAAAAAAAAACGACATATAATTCAAACTAGTCACATCTACCAGAACTTTTCATACAATCTTCTTCGACAACGAAAAATAAACGTTGAGATATTCACGGAAGCATTAAAATGCCAATGGGTGGTGTCATTAGTTATAAAAAGGTTTAGCGAATTAGATTAACATATGATTTAGATTTAAATTTTGACATAGCATAAATTATTATTTCTGTAATAAATGTTTAATAAGCTTCTTGGTGCAATTATTAGGAAATTATTTCCTTTAATAATCGATCGCTAAAGATTAATTAATTAAACTATGTAATCAAATAAACTGGTTTGACAGTGTTTTACATAGTCGACCCTAGCGAGCAACAACATTTGAAAGCGAAGACGACAAACAAAAATAAATAGTTTTGATTTAACAGTGCCTTTCGTTAGTTTTGGTTAGAAGGTATTAAAAAATGTTTTTCTATTACTTATTTAATATGTTTAAATTTTATGATTTACTAGTTATAAGTAAAGTAAGTGTATGTAATTCTTGTAATTTCCAAGCGTACGTTATTATTCGTTATCTACCTGCTAGACGAGGTATAAATCACAAACATGTTTTTCAGAATTGTATTAAGAAAAAATGACCGAAAAAATTTATAAAACAAAATAGAATAACTGCTATATTTTTAATATTGTTCGAAAAATCTCAATTACTTCTTGAATTTTATAAATCATTGTCAGTTTTTTAAAATGAATTTCATTTACTGCTAATTCGTAAGAATTTAATGATTCTTGAGATTTTCCGATTGATTCTTACTGCCTAACGAAAAAGCGACAGTTAAATATTAAGGCCATCATGCCTTCATTCAATGGTTGAATAAATTTTTGAAATTCTTTTTATAATACTAAAGAAATAGAAAAAACCTTTAAGGACGGTGTACACTAAATAATAATAATAACAATAACAATAATAATTTATTGGCCAAACATGTATAAGCAATACATTTAAAGTTATAAGTAGGAGTTTTGGAAGTAACCACACAGTTAGCTTTCAAAGTGGCGTTCATAAAAATCTTTATAGTAATAATACCATGATAGATGAAAATTGGAGGGAGAGTTAGTATTTCTTTTTTTTTTCAAATCAACATTCGCCACAACTATGAGCGACAATTGACGACTCCCAGTTTGACTCGTAGGTATCCTACAGGTTCTGAATAAAGTTTCAAAAATATGGACGAGTGACGAGGGACATGTAATAATAGGCGTAATTTTCCACGGTGACAGAAAGCACCTCAAAGAGTTCCTAATCGCCGTTTACGCGCGAGCCAAAATTTGGACAAGTGGGGAACACCCAGTCAAAAGTGTGCCACCCGACGACAAACTCGCAATGGCCGCCGATTTCTTGTATTCACGATCAGCCCGTAGTCGAGAGAGCGTCTTCAGCATGCCCTAGATTGTACGTTCCAATTTAAACATGTGGCCGCGTCTATAGAGACCAATGAAAGTGTGACGTTTCGTGTTTTTGTTTTGCATCCTCAAACCAAAGACCCGTAGTATAATGTGTCGTTTAAGCTACTACCTCTTAATATTAGTGTGCGCGTTGTTTCGTGGTGTTTACGGTGCCAACGACACCGCGGAAGACGTGCCCTTGGAATCCCTAATCGATTTAACAGGCGGCAACGAACTGTGGACATCTTTGCTCACGAATTGCGAGAAACCGACTCTCGCCTGCGTCAAGACGAACGTCTACGACTACTTTAAGCAAACCCTCGATAACACTTCGGATATCGAGTTCACGAGTTACCTCAAGTTTTCGAAAAACGACGTCGACTACGGGAAGATAAGTAAGTCGTTCGGGAACGTCACGGACGATGAAGATTTTAGCGACGAAGATGAATCGCCTATAGAAGCAATGTCAAGGTCGCTGCGCGACGACTCGATGCAGTTCTTCATGACGCACGACATCGAACTCTCTCTACCCGACGGAATCTTCCCCAACAGCGTGGTCAAGATATCCCCCAGGTCGTTCGAAGACGAAGGGACGTTGGTAAAGTTCGATGTGGTGCCGGATAACAAGGGCGTCGAGGAAGGAAGACTGTTTAAAAAGATTAGTAAGTATGGCGGATAGATGGCGCACGCTGCGGCGTGACTAATTGGTCGGTTCGAAAGAGAGTACCGCCCGATTTGATTGACTTGGCGCGCAAGAATGTAGCCGATGTTACGCTTCGTCGGCGTCATATGGTGATGCGGAAGTAGGCGACGCCGATACGTTATCAATACGGTGTTATAAGGTCGAGCTTGTTTATGTTTGATATTAACGCGCGGTTTCGCCTTTTAGATTGACCATTGCAAACTCACTTTGGCCAACCACTTGGGATTTTCAGGTTTTTGAATAATTCAAGATTGCATTTTAATCTCCCTAAAAATCTGGTTGCAATTTTGAAAAGATTACAGCCAAACTGCGTTCAACTAGCAACATGGGATGGGATGAATTTTTATTGAAATTTCAGACAAATTTCTAGCTCATCTTTACAAGAGAATAAAAAGCATATTGAAAGTATTCCATGAATGAAGATTAACTCAAAAATGGGAGGAGTCTTTCTCCACAAAATTGCATCGTTGGTAAAAGTTTCGATAATAAATATAAGTAGACTAGACTATCACATAATTAAACCCTAGGAGATACCGATCACATTATCCCATGAGAAAGAAGAAATATATAGCTGAAGTTGCTGAAACTAAACTAACCAAAACGAGCACTTTTTCTCAGTTTTGGTTGGTTAATTCGAACATAGAAGAAACAAAATTAATTTTATCCGACCACTAAGGAAATTGGATTATATTTTTTTATATTGGTAACATCCCCACAAATCTCAATGAAGTTTTCAAAAGCAGTCAAATTGCTTTAAGATAGCAGAAATCTGTGTGACAAAACATGTCCATTTAAAATTCATCTAAATTAAAAAATAAACAAATTAATGAATTTTTATTGAATTGTTGGATATCAGCAAATTTTTACTTATCTGGAATAGAGAATAAGAAGCATATTGAAAGTATTCCATGAATGAAGATGAATTCAAACATTAAAGAAGTCTTTCTACACAAAATTTATTTTATCCATTCATCCAATCTTCATCGTTGGTAAAACTTTCGATAATAAATATAAGTAGACTAGACTCAGTTATCATATCACACATTATCCCGTGAGAAAGAATAAATATCTAGCTGAAGCAGTTAAAACTCAACAAACAAAAAATAATACTAACGATTTTGGTTGCTTAATTCGAACATAAAAGAAACAAAATTAATTTTATCCGATCATTAAGGAAATTGAATTATAAATTTTAATATTGGTAACATCCCCACAAATCTCACACAAAATTTATTTTATCCATTCACTAAGAAAATTGTATGATAATTTTCATCGTTAGTAAAACTTTCGATAATAAATATAAGTAGACTAGACTCAGTTATCATATCACATAATTAAACTTCAGGAGAAACATATCACATTATCCCGTGAGATAGAAGAAATATCTATCTAAATTGTTTTATAATCTTCACCTTGGAAAAGCTTTGCATAGTACACATAAGTAGACGAGGCTCAGTAGTGAAAATAAATCTCATTATGCCTTAGAAAGAAGAAAAATATAGATGAAGTAGTTGAAACTAAACAAAACTTCATATTTTCCAGATAATTCCAAATTTCAATTTAGCATCCCTAAAAGTCTGATTGCAATTTTGCCAGCCAAACTGCTAGGATCTAAAATCGGTGGGATAAAACTTTCCCAATTAAATAACAAATAATACCAAAATAACGAGTTCATATTGAGCTTTTGGATTTCAACCAAATTTGCAATTTTTCTATGCAATTTTAGATAATTCCAAATTTCAATTCAACATGTTCACAAATCTCAGTGAATTTTTAAAAAGCGGACACTATCAGGAGGACAAAATATCTACATTTTAGCTCCATTTAAATTTAAAAAAGAATAAACAGATTAAATAAATTTTATTCCATGAATGAAGATTAATTCAAACATACAAGGAGTATTTGTCCACAAAATTAATTTTATCCATTCAGAAAATTGCATGACAATTTCCGTCATTGGTAAAACTTTTGATAATAAATATAAGTAGACGAGACTCAGTTATCAAATCAGATAATTAAACCTCAGAAGAAACACAACACTCTGTGAGAAAAAGAAATATATATATACATTTAGATTAAGAGGTTGAAACTCAACTAACCAAAACTACCACTTACCATTTTTGTGAGTTTCAATTGATTAATTCAAATATAGAAGAAACAAAATTCATTGTATCCGATACCCTACAAATCAGAATGAAAGTTTCAAAAGCACAGAGTCAAATTGCTTTAAGCTAGCAGAAATCTGTGCGATAAAACATTTCCATTTTAAAGTCATTTAAAATAAAAAATTTTAGAGAATAAGAAGTACATTGAAAGTAGTGTGTGATTAGGGATTAATTCAAACAAGGGAGCATTTCTCTACAAAATTGATTTTATCCAATCCGGAAATTCAACGATGACAAAACTTTGCATAGTAAATATGAATAGGCTCAGTTGTCAAAACACAAATAAAACCTCAGTAGAAAAATATCACATTATGTCTGATTAAGAAGAAATATGTAACTGAAGAAGTTCAATATTTTTAGATAATCCAAAATTTTAATTTAACATACCCTCACATTTAAATAAAATTTTCAAAAGCTGAGTCAAATTTCTTTAAACTTGCAAATATCTATGTGAAAAATATTTCCAATTTAGATCCATTTAAATTAATAAAAAAAAACAAGTTAACAAAATTTTGCTGGGTTGTTTGAACAGATATTAAGACACCATATTGAGATTATTTGAAACATGGAAGGAGTCTTTCTCCACAAAATTAATTTTATTCAACCACTAATTGTATTATAATCTTCAACTTTGGTAAAATTTAGGACAGTAAATATAGGTAGACTATGCTCAGTTACTAAAACATAATTAGGGGAAACATGCCATGAGAAACCAGAAATATATAGCTGAATTAGTTAAAACTACCACTACGGATTTTTCTGGGTTCTTTTCGAACATAAAAAATTTCAATTTAACATCTCTTAAAACTGCTTTAAACTAGCAGGGATCTGTGTTCCAAAATAATTTCAGTTTAAATCAATTTAAAAAAATTAGGAAAAATCATAGAGTTGTTGCATTTGAACCAAATTTCTAAAGCATCTGAAATGGAGAATATAATTATGATGACCGTGCACACAAAAAAATTTAACTGTACATTAGGCGTTTTCTCTTCCATATACAACGTGTTACTTTGCCATTTATATTTTAATTATAATACAATTATTGAGATGAACTAGTAGATTAAATACCCAAAGTTTTAGTAATCGTTATAAAATTTTTTAAGTAATCGTGGATAGATACAATAGTTTATCAGATTTTTTGATTGTTGCCAACAAAGAAATAATTAATTTTCGGTTTATTATGACCCGGTTAAGGTGACTAGTCACATCCACGAGAATAATCGGGAAAAGGTTGGTGGTATGTCGATTTTGGTATCTGTTACACTGCATTTCAATTAAAACTGCAAAAACCGTTCTCTTTTTTTTTAAATCGTACACCATCGGGGACATTTGAAAGTGTTTAAGCGGATAACTGAACTTATTACGTTCTTTTGGTAGCGATTAAATTATATTAATGGCGGCGATCATAGTGGAATACCAAGTGATAATTACAAGTCATTTTGCTAATAATATCACAGAGGTAGGTAATCCATCATATCTATTATATATATATATATATATATATATATATATATATATATATATATATATATATATATATATATATATATATATATATATATATATATATATATATATATATATATATATATATATATATATATATATATATAGATATATATACAACAAGAAATAGGTAGAAAAAAACATATTATATTTCGTTACAAATACAATAAATATTATAAGTATAAAATTTTTGTGAAAAATTCGGAAATATTTCATTTTTTTTTCTCACAATATCTCATATTTAATGTTTCGCCGTACACGAAGTACATGGCATTAATTGTTGCAGGAAAATTTATCACCGAGAGATTGCTGTACGCTCTGCTAGCCATTCTTCTAGTCATAAAACTACTGGCCGTCAAGTTTCTCTTCCTGCTGCCGTTGATCGTTGGTGCCGCGACGGCCAAGAAGCTTCTGTTGAAGATATTGCTGTTCATTTTTCCCGCTCTTCATCACCTGTTCAAATTCTGCGCGTACTATCCCATCCAAGCGAAGTACCATCACCACAAACATCTGATATCGCACATACACGAGGCAAGCAGGTTTTTTCAGATAAATTCGTATTGAATTTAAAATATTTGCTTAATTTTGGAGGGTCGATTATACCGACAACTAAAATATATCCAAAATTAGCTTAAATTTTCTTAAATTTGATATGGCCCATTTTGGTCCATCATACTAGTATCTGGAATCCAATTGCTATTCAAATAGCGACATGCGGTAAGGTCAAGTTGTTAGAGAGAAAATATTCAAATGTCTAATTCTATTTAATTCTGCATAATTTGTATTCAAGCAACAGTTCTAGACAAATTATTTTTAATTTAGCATGCATCATGGCTCGTGATCTTTGTGATGTTTTTATAACTGCCTTGTTGAGGTCTAGTTCATTGGCGGACAAAGGCACTTGAACTTTGCAATAGGCAAATGGCGGACAAAACAATACAAGAATATATCGGTTTATCCTATGTTTTATTCTAGTTTCCTCATCACCATCACCATCCGCATCATGACGAGGGAGTTGAAGTGGTGGCCCCACACGAATACGGTCCCCCCGTCCATCACCACCACGAGAATGATGATTTTGATTTGGAGGAAGGCATAGTAGTGCCTGATAATGGAATACACTTTGGGCATGAGTAAGTTTAAGTCCATTGATTATTTGTATAGAGCACCTAATTTACAAGTGGCCGCTTCTGTAATGGGATTAGCTAAGTAACTTTTAAGCCATTAGATGCATAATGCAGAGGTGGACTAAAAAATATAGTGGGAAAGTCAAATTGCTTTATATCAGTATTTTATAAACAAAAAGGTTTTATAGAACTTGCAGTATCCAATTTTTTTTTCAAAGTTCACTTGCCTTGTCCAACATTGAAATGTTAAATAGGTCTTCAATGATTTGCCATTTCTAGATTATTTATAATTGATGTTATGAGCTAATGTAGCTTTTTTACGCATTTTTATAGCCTATAGAAAGCTAAGATTGAGAAGTTCAAACCGTTTTCTCGAATCTCGAAGCAATTCGGCAGATTTTAACTCAAAATTGAGGAAATTCCGATTTTCAACTGTTTTTCCTTCGAAAACAAGTAACAATTGATGTGAAATACTAATTATAAAATTAGCTTAGATTTTTGTCAATAATCTATAGAGGCATATATGTAAATACTACTTAAAATTTCAATGTTAGTGGAAGTAGTAAAGTATTTGGATTTTCTAAAATATTTGTTAGTCTACCTTTGATCATTTAATTCCGTTAATTTTAGGACAATATGCACCTAAATTCAAAAACATTTGTTTGAATTGATGGAGCATGGTCTGTCACAGTAAATCGAATGCTATGGAGCGATAGAAAGTGTTTTTCTGTATATATTTTGTCAACGCCCATGAAAAAACATCGTAAGAAAGAAAGAAGAGAAAAATTCAATTTGAATATTGATTTGATTACAAGATTGTTAGGAGGCAACCGAACCAACGTTATATATTGTATGTGGTGTTATTTCTCAAATTATTAAAACGATATCGCCTAAGTGAAATTTTGTAAAATTTGCTACAAATTTCCATAGGTAAAAATATGTTCTGAAACTTAAGAGACACAATTATATTTGCAATGCCTATTGATGTATGCAAAATTAATTTACCAATTGTTTAAATTGATGCGTTCATGATTAAGAGCCAATTGACGTATTGTCACAAAACTATGTCACCAACCGGTACATTTCTCGGGTTAAAAAAAATAACACAAATTTTCACAATCGATATATCATTCTTGTTTATGCCACAATAATTATTATCAGTAACCGTTTTCATTAACCTAATTGAAAAATAACAAAAAAATTGATTTAGGTCAAACGGTGTATTCAAAACAATTAAATTGGGTACCAGTTATTATCACTGAATAATATCCACTTGAATGAAGAGACGCTATAACTACTGTGCCGTTTTTTTTCAGAGGATCTTGGTTGAAGCAGGTTTTAAAAAATACCGCATTAAGAATTGGAAAAATTATCCTTTTCGGTGGTCGCAAATTGTTGCGATGGGCTTTATCGAAGTAAGAGTAGCAAAACTAATTTAAAGAATAGCTTGCACCAAAAAATTTGTTATAAAGCACTTAATAATTCAAAGTCGATTTTATTTTAAATGTCTGCCAAAATTTTCTCTACCAAATTTAGAATAGTTTAGAATTAGAGAGTTATTCAGAAATTCTTTTGGTTGAAGTGTTGTATTTCAAATTTTCTCATCACTTAGAGTAGCTCTTCGCATTATCTAATATTAATTTTCGGATATTAATCACAACGATTACATTATTTTCAGCCCATGGTTAATAGAATTATTTAAACGATTTGCTAGGAGATCATTCCGCTGGCTCATATATTTCGTTCCACAACTATTCAAGTCATCCGTGTTAAAGTAAGACTCGGAATACGTTAGATTTAGCGGTAGGGCCTTAGGCTATCTAACCCCACAGCACATTTACTAGCATATATAACGGTTATAACACCTTACTAGACTTGTGGTGCGGGTCTACACTTATCGATGGATATGATTTTGGTTCTTATTGCTCTAGACTTCATGAGGAAAGATTAAGCACGTTTTGAAACAACCAAAGTGTAATATTCGATTACTACTGTACTAGTAACTGTATTTATAAGGAAAATTTAACTTATAAACTTAGGTATAGTCTGGGTTCCCATAACAGTTTCCCACTGGAAAGTTGCCATAAATATCCCGCAGGATCACAATGGGGGAATAGATAAATAGATAAAAGTATTTCCTGTTCATTTCTTTGCTTTGAGCATCGTCTCTGCATGCCGACGAATAAAATGTCCGGATTTTAGTGAAAATTTTACAAAAGCTACGCTTGGTTATGAAATTTATTATTTTATTTAGTCACGTTAGTAAATAATAGGAGAATTTATTTTTATAAATGTCGAGACAGTGTTGTTATTGGCATAGTTACGACAAAAAAAAAAGAAAAATGAAAATAAAACAAAATTGTCATACAAAATTAAACATCCCAATATACTCATGGCCAAAGAGTTTCTTACTCTCTAGTGATAGGTTAGTTTTGTCAAGGAATCGACAAAATAGGCAATGATCTAATCATTTTGGCAAATCACAATGTCTCATCGGACACAAACAAGGGAAAAAGTGCAAATACAGGTTGTGGTACAGAATCATAAGACGACGATTCTGGAGAGACCATGTAGAGGGAATGAAGCAGAGCTGGGCAAATTGGACAAAAGAGAATAGATAAAACACAAAAAGACATCCTGGCAAACCTCCTAAAAGATGGCTAAGACTGAACCCCTGAAAAAGGAGTTTGAAACAAGACTATGAATGGGATAAAAAGGAAAAAAAGTTTAAAGAAAGGCCACACTTGTCGACAAAAACTATTTGATATGGAATTGTTGAAAGATTAGACAGAAAGGCATAAAAACTGAAAACATCTAGTATATTAGCTGGATAATTTAACACCAGATAAGATTGGTTGACATATAAAAAAATTACATATTTTCCATGTAATAGATGCCAAACATCGACAGCACACTAAAGAAACGTTTTGATATTGGAATAGATTTTGGAAAGTTACTATCAGTTGGTGACATTTATCGTCAGGCCCAATGCGTATCTATAAATTTCGTAACAGTAACGTACATCATCAAATCATAAAGCACAGTCATCGGTGGTTTCCACCTGCTTCTGATGCGATATCACGCATACATCAACACCCGTTTTATCAATCGCGGGGAAGTCGCTTTCTTCTTCAGTACCGGTTCTTATGGACACGACAATATTTATATACGATCATTATATCCGCGTTACCATTAATAATCCTGTTTGGGATGAGTTTGCACCGGAACTAACACATACGAAACATATACACGGTGTCGCATAGTGGACGTCCTATTAGATATACTCTGCGGACATAAAATATTTCTATTTTTGCTTTCTACATGAACACTTTGCTTAGTTAAAATTTGCGCTCTTAAAAGAAATTAATTTTTATTACATACGCAGAGTGAATCGAGCACTACCATATAGAAGTTTTCTAATTCGTTGTATCACTTACTGTATCCTACGTATACCATGTTTTAATTTTCGTGTCTGATTTTTGATAGTATGATATCCTTAAAATCTTTAGGCGTCAAAGTTTTATTTTTGTATTGTAGCTCTGTCCATTAGATTATGAGACGTTAACCTGTTGTCACGCTAGGCGAGTGACTATTGTAGTTAAATTTCTATGTGACTTATATATATCTTGATATACTTACTGCTTTGTGACATGCAAAATTACTTAGAATATAAACAAAGTAGAATATGGATCTATAGTTATTATAATTATAAATTCTAGTTATTTGTACATTTTTAGCCCTTTGCGTAATACCTGGGGTAAAATGGACCGCTTAAAAATTGTAAATTATAACCGAATCATAATTAATTTATTGATAGTGTCATTTTTTGGATAATTCTATGGCTTTAGCTTAAAGTCAGAGCCTTCGAAAATCTTATAAATACCAATAACAAATTTTTTAATCGATAGAAAAATAGTTACTAATCAGTAACCTTTTTTTTTATTTAAACTTTTTAATACATAATTATAATTACGATTACGACGGCCAGAAGCTCGCCAAAGTTTGGGTAAATTTAGTTAAAGTTAGTCAAAAATAAAATAAAAAAGTGCTCCGCCTTGCCACACCTTCCCCTATGTAGTACCCCATATTTTTGCCTGTCAGGTCAAAAAACAAAGCCCTTCGAATAACTAGCGAAAGAATCACCCAAAAAATAATAATTGAGAAGGGGAACTTCTCATAAGGTAGAAGCCATTGAACCTCACAAGAGCAACTGCAAGATGTCGTGTAGCAACTCATATTCAATTATTAATTCATTATTGAAGTAAAAGTACTCAACTTCTATTTTCATTCATATTTCATTCTTCTATTTCTATTTTACTTAATATAGTCACGTCTCTGGTAAATTCCATACTATTTCCACAAAAGTCACTTAAAAAACCTGACAGGCAATATTTATTCCAATTACATTTCAATGATTCATTCAAGGATACAAGAGGAGTCTCAGATTTAGGCAGCGAATGGCATCCGCATAGTTTATTAGTTTTGGTTAGTAGTAATAGTAAGATCTCTCTTGTGGAACCCATCTTCCATTATTTATATATGCTGTGCTAAATGTACACTCTTGGAAAGTGTACACTTTTACCGTAAAATGGGTACATTTCCCAAAAAGTTAGGTATCTGTGAACTGAATATTATGTCTATGTACATTTGCCGGCAAATACTCTTACATTCATGTTTTAAGGAAAATTGGAATACAAATAAATTAAAAATGTTTTTGCAGTAAATACAAAAGGCTTTAATAACGAAAAATATTTTCATTAAAAAATGTAAATGACAAACAAAACATACTTTTCTTTGCAAATTATGTAATTTGTCGAAGGTTGTAATCCCAATATTCATAAATAAAATTTTCTTCCTATTATAACATACCTTTCTTTATTATGACAGTGAAATTTTATAAAACTATAAAGGGTCATATAGAAATATCAAAATGAAAAAAGTTTTATTTATTTGAGCAAAAATTGCTATTGTGGCACTTGAAATTACATAATATTCCACCATTTTTACAACTGCATTTTTTTTATGAACATGTTCTTGTACAGATACATATTTTAAAATCTTGATCACCAGTAAGGGACTGCGTTCCTATAATTTCTCTTACTGATTTCTCAACATCTTGAGGAACCTATTCGTATCATATAAACTTTCGTTCGCAAATGGCGAATTCATGTCTGGAAAAAGATTGTTTTAAACTGTCTGTTTAGTTCCTAATTTATATAAATTTTTATCTTCATCTCTAGGCAAAACAACGCAAATCAATTGGTGGTGAATTGGCTGTGTGTACTCTTTCTAGTAATTGCTCTAACTCTTCTTCTGTTTTCAGCTGTTCAACAGATTCCATAGGTAAATTTGATGTTTTCAAACCTAATTTCATTCTTGTTCCGTATAAAGTTTTATAGGGAGTTTGCTTTATACCCTCATGAAAAGCTCTATTTTTCATCAGTTGAACAAATAACATAATAACATTAAATTATAGCAGAGCACTTGCACGAAATGTGTAATGTGATATAGCAGCTACTTAACTAGCCGAAACGGTAGTTCGGGTACCACTACAAATGCGCATGCGCACCACTTCACTAGCACTTGCGATTTCGTATTTTATATGTTCACATTTACCAACACGACATGACCATTGTGAATCCAATGCACATTTCCCTTATTTGAAATTGTAAATGTTAGTTGAATGCACATTACCCAAACGAGGAGACAAATGTGCACATTTAACCTAAAATATGTACATTTGCGACAATATCCACTTTTACAATATCTTAATAACGTTCTTAATAATATGGGCGCTATTTTGTACCTGCAGTAAAAAACTTTATTTTTACTGAGAGGAACGTCACCTTAAGTATCGTCTCGTCTCCAGACGAGGCAGTAAGTATATGAAAGGTCAGTCCAGCAGAGCAATCAATTTTAAAGGCCGCTTTTGTAATTTGCATTGACTTTTTTTAACGTGGACATCAGTTACTGCTTGATTGATTCCTTGATTTTAGACGACTTTTGTTGCAAATTTTTCCTAGATAATGACGATTTCTGAATTAGGAAGTTTTTTGACATGGGAAAATTGAATTTGTTAAGTTAATTCTTATTCTTGAAAAGGGCTCTAGCCGCATGTCTTTTCTCATTGTCAAAGGATAAAATAAAATTTTGATACCCCGTATCTCGAAAACGGAGCATTTTAGACCACATGCTCATAGCAACTTTTTATCTCAGAAATCCTTCAACCTGTAAAATATCGGACGCTTATTAAATAACACTCTATATAACACCGCGATTATAAATTTTAGCTCTATATCTCACCGTCGTGATCCTACTCGATTCGAAAACGAATTGGAACCTTGGGGTAGCCACGAACATTCACCTGTAAGGAGATATCGACCGAAAAGACCCCTCACCAATTCCGAAATCGATCGTATGGTAGCAAAAGCGGAAAGGGAAGCTTTGGTTAGTTTAAACTCTAACAAAAATGACACCCTCCAGCAAATAATCGATTTGTTCAGATTAAATCGCGACTTCAGAAAGAAAAACTACGGATACGGGAAGAGAATTTTAGACTGCAGGAGCAACTCAATCAAGCGTTGAAGTTGCAGGAGAAATTGAAGCAGCAAGCGGCCTATCTGCACGCCAAACTACCCCCTCAGTTGCCTCCTGGATCTGGTACGTTTCCTTATCGAGGGGACCCCGTCGCAGACTATTATCCAAGAGGATCTTCGGTGGATACTGTCGCTTCTCACAATTTAGGTAAGTGTTCAGTTTTTATAAGCGAGGAGTACAAAAAAGTGTACAGTAATAAAACCTCATTAGGTACGCAAAAGGACCACAGAGTTGTTTTGCATTGATTTTATTTCAAAATTCTTTCTTGGTTAGTTTATGGGCCTCGCTTATTACTATCTTACCAACGCTGAAAATGGTTTGCCAAAGGCGTCCTTGTAGGATAGCCGTAAAGAGGCTATAATTTTTTGACATGAACATGCTCCTATTTTTTATTAAATATTATAAATACAATATACAGAAATTAAATTATAAAAAATATAATATTCTTTGCCTTTTGAGACACTGTCATTTCCGCGTAATGTTATACTTACAGAAAAATGCATCAGTAGTCATGTTGGACAGGTTTTCGGCAGTTCTCTGGTGTTACTACCTCAATGACTTGATCGAACTGTAACTTAAGGTCTGAATGTCATGTTGTGTTTTGCTACAAATCCTTGGTGTGGCAGTGTGCGAAACACAAGTTGCACTCAATAAGTCACTACCCAAATTTCTTGGTAAACAATTTTCTAATTCATGAAAGTAAATAACATTTTTCAAAGAAAGCATAACACATTTTTGAATGAAATTACATAGCCCGGTGGATAAACGCTGTTTTGGGCGAAACGAACCACTTTTCGATTGGTCTGGATCGGCATTAGAACAAAGCATTCCAGGAGCCGGTGGCCTACGATGTACTCGCGAGGCCGGGTCACCTGCCTACTATGTTACATCGTAATACCGAACAATAATAGTCCTCTATTAATCAAATTTTTTAAAATTTCATAATTTAGTGGCTAACCAGTCGATAATTTATCGTTTTTCCCAAAATGGGAATCGGTAGAAGTTATTTTCAAAAATCCCTCTTCGTGTTCAATATGGACGATTATTTTTTCGTGAATGCACTTTAATAATTATTGACAGGCCTGCCATGGAAGCTCTCATCAAGATAAAAGATTGTCTTTAGCCAAACTTTTGATTTTAGTATTTTCTCCTTTGCACATTTCTTTCCAATTTTGCAAAAAGTTATCTAAAAGTTGCAAGGTTCAAAATTATTTTTTTTAGACATAGAACTGTCTACAGGATGTCCCAATTTTGCATTATGCACAAATTTATCCCATTTAACAGACCCCCCATCTTTAATGTTATCTTTAACGTTATCCATAAAATTCAGCTGAAAAAGTGGTCACTATGTATACCTGTTTTAAGTGACACCACTGTTGCTGTCTCTGAAACGGTCAGAGTTACAAAAAAGGAAAAGTTGGCACACCTAAATCTATTTGGTCGACACACACTTTAAAGGGAAAAGTCTTGTAATTTTTTTACCATGCATCATGGCATCTTTCAAATTTGAATCCCACGTTTCGCAAGCTAACGTCGTCCTTACTTAAAACTCTATAAAACTTAAAACATAATCGATAAAATCGCTTAATTTTCACAAATCAGCCTGTAGGTATTTCATAAACTAAAAGGAACTTTATTCAAATTTAGCTCATCTCGTAGCTCTTGCCATTTCGGAGATAGCAATGCCATTTCAAAGGACATCCTATATAGTATCATGGCGGGTGGGAAAAACATGGTCACCCTGTACTTAATGTGAAGAGTTCGAAAGCAAAACTCCCACAAACAATAAAATAAAACGCTTCGTGTAATTTGTCACGTTCGCAGCGAACAAGATCTGCGAATGACAGTCGATTTGAGGAAAGCGTGCTTCAATTTGTCACGCGAGTAACCGCAGAACACGTTCTTTGCCTCGCGATGAAACCGAACCACATGAAAGTGGAATAAATGGTACTTAGCGTGAATAAAATCTAATTATTATTTCGGGTATTTAGCGCGACTCTTAGCCGAATAAGAAATGTTCATTTCTTCTCGAAAATATGTTTCTCATTTTCCATAAAGGTTTTGATTGATTTTGACAAATTTTAGAGAAAATTACATTTTTCTATTGAGGCCCTCTAGCGGATGACTTACAAACTTTTAAGTATATTATGCAACAAGTGTGGTAAAAAGTTTAGAGAAGGGGGTAGAAAAAATATTGTTTCCAGTTTTTTTTGTCACGGGTTTTCAAGAAATTTCATTCCGAAAGCTGTATGATCAGCGATCTCCAAGATATAGTTGCTTACTTCTCTTAAATTTAAGTCGGGAACGTATAAAGAGTGCATAAAGTAACAACAAAAAGGCCTTCTTTAGCTGTAATCTTTTGTAAATTCTACTGCCCGTTTTTATTTATTATTAATTTTTATGAATCATTTGAATCTAAATTTTTTTTGTGGCATATAACATTACCGCTATATAGGGAATCTAAATTCTTTTAAAAAACATATTGTACTATTAAAAAAGTAAAAAAATGTTGAAACAGATAAAGAAAATATATCTGTATCCTGTGTTTAATGCGTCTTTTTCTGCATTTACGCTTTTTTTTCTTTTGCATTTATGCATTATGCTTTATTGCATTATATTATACTATATTTATTCTTAAGAGAGAGTTTGTTGTGTTTGTGTCCAAAAAAGGTAGACAAATAAATTAATAAATAACAATGTAAAATAAATAAAATATAACAAAAATAAAGATAATACCTATCAGAGGCAAACAGAGGGCTTATTTTAAAGGTTGTTTCTCGTTCACGAGAGAGTCTTCTTTAAATTAAAATTCAATAATAATTTTAACATTTATTTTAGGTAACAAAGAATCGCCAGTATATGTTCCCCAACATCATGTGTTAACCAAACCAGTGGGTAATATAAGAGAATCAGAGAAGTTTGATAGTCAGCACAAGACACCTTTTAAACCTTCAACACAATTGGCGAATAACAACGTTCCGCAATATTCCCCGGAATATTCAACGTCCGCTGCTCCAGTATCACTCAAACCCAAACTTGAAAAGGTAAGAAGCATCCTCTTTAGAATTGTATCAGTAAATTACCACTGATGTAGGAAATATACCAAGCAGCATCTATAACCTACGATCCGTTCTACACCCCAATATTGGAAAAAGTGGATAGAATATTCAATGGTCTCGGTTACAACGAAGAGCCATGCAAGGAACGTTTAATTTGCAGCATGTACAAAAACCCCAGCAAATTCAGCCCGCACAGCAATCTAATTTCTGCCGAAATCAGCAGGTAAATGTCGTTTCATTCCATTCCATATTAATTACGTTATATATATTGAAGAACAATTTGTAAAATCCAACTAAGTAAAGTCCTTATTCAGTAGACTTCCTATCTTGCTCCACATTGGGATATTTATTTACATTTTAAGTATGAGGTTGTCTAATCTTGGTTAGCCAACTGGTCATATGAAGTAGGTAATTCACAGTCTGAGCATCTAATTTTGAGTACTCAAAGGCTCCATCTGAGCGAAACTTGCAAGCAAGCAATTATCTTATGAATTCACACATTTACATTTTAAGTTTGAAGTTGTCTAGTCTTGGTTAGCCAAATGATTATATGAAGTAAGTAATTCCCAGTCTGAGCATCTCATTTTGAGTACTCAAAGGTTCCATATGAGCGAAACTTGCAACCAAGCAATTATCTTATCAATTCACACATTTACATTTTAAGTTTGAGGTTGTCTAGTGTCTTGGTTAGCCAAACGATTATGCGAAGTAGGTAATTCACAGTCTGAGCGTCTCAGTTTGAATACTCAGAGGCTATATCTGAGCGAAACTTGTAAGCAAGCAATTATTTTATCAATTCACACATTTACATTTTAAGTTTAAGGTTGTCTAATCTTGGTTAGCTAAATGATTATATGAAGTAGGTAATTCACAGTCTGAGCATCTCATTTTGAGTACTCAGAGGCTCTATTTGAGCAAAACTTGCAAGCAAGCAATTAACTTATCATTTCACACAACTACCTCGATCAGATACCAAACGCAAAATGCTTCATTTAACATGTTTCCAAAATTCTTCCGATTTTGGTTTCGACACTCACTTGTATTTTTTCTAAATTAACAAACAAATGTCATATAAAAACTGAAAAATCGAGATAACTTTGTGCTCAATACGACTTTTTTTCCGGTTTTGCTTTATATCACCTTCTCTTTACGGCCATTTCTCCGAAAGCGGCCGTTCAGCAAAACAGTGACGAAAATTGAAATCCGCCGGGACGCTTACCTTGACCGCGAGTGAATTTACTTTAGAAAATATCCCGGTTACCTAGTCGGCGTTTTATCGAGTTGACGCGAGAAGAATTCGTTAACGCTACCGAGCGGACAAAATAAAAATTTTCTTTGATGCGAAAAGTGCATTTTCAAGCGACTATATTTAATTAGATATTAATAACAATAATGATAATAATAATCTTTATTACAAATTGTGTTAGTATATTACAAAATACAAAAGCTCAACGGAAAATAGCTTCTAATACCATACTATACAATAAACCAAATATTAAAATTCTTACAGTATTATTTTGAGTAGAGTTCTAATTCTATCAGAAGTGTCCTAATATTTCTTTTAAACCTTGTCAAACTATTTATTTCTCTTGTGCAATTTGTTATAAAATTTTCTACACATATAGTATGGACTCTTCTCAGTTAGAGTTAATCTATGTATTGGGTAACTTACATTTCGCGTTCTAGTGTTGTACGTATGAGGTGATACATACAGTTCGAAATATTCCCGGTGTTTAAAAAAGAAAATGAGTGACTCATAAATGTAGACACCGTATACTACCATGAAACCTTCCATCTGAAAAATTCATCGACAATTCACAATTAATCTTTTTAATTAGCCTTATAACTCTCTACTCCTACAAATAATTTTTGTACTGCGCTGTGCCCTCCCCAAAAAATAATGCCATATTTTAAAATGGACAGAAAATTGGCAAAAGATAAAATATTTGTTGTATTGTGGTGCATGTACCTTCTAACTGCTCTAATTCCATAACAAACAGAATTTAAACTAACAATATGCCCATTCCAGTCCGCAAATTCATCTATATTTACTCCTAAAGACTTCACACTATCTACTATATTGATAATATGCTTATCACATTCCACATAGGGTGGTTTATGCAATTTAGCCTGCTTTTTTTCGAAACAAAATAGCGTGTGACTTATATTTATTTAAAATTAATTTGTTTTCGTTAAACCAATTGTCGGCTTTTCAAAACAACTTACTAGCACTGTTCAGAATCATTCATAACACACAATGCTTTCACTATTTACACCTGTAATCGAATAGATGTCATTTATATATATTATAAATAGAATCGGTCCTAGTATACTGCCTTGTGCGATACCATATAAGCATTCTTTAGATCGTGAGTAGTGAGGGCGTCTATTTTTCATAATTTTGACAGAGTTTCTCCCTTTTTTTTATTACGCAGATGTTCATTTACATTTATTTTTCTGGTTGCGATATATTATTTGTTTGGATACTATATTTGTTCTAGTATTTTGTTTCCTTTATGTTGCTGTACTAACGGAGATATCATTTCATTTTTTCTGCATTAATAATTTATCATATGACTGAATTACAATTGCAGATCGGTGTTATATAAAAATGTTTTTTTAATTACGAAAATAATTAATAAATAAATAATTGACGTATATTGTGATAAACAGATGGAAGTAAATTAGGTTTTTTCAAAAAAAACTTTCACAGGCTTCAGAGCTAAACTGAAACTAGTTTGCAATCTACTCCGTACCTACTTATATACCACCCAAAGAAAATGAGTCCGAACACAACTTTACAGTTGCCACATATCAAAAGTTCTAAACAATGACAATGTTAAAACCGGCTACAAATATATCTTCGACGCGTCAAAGATAAAATTTCGTTTGAGACACCAGGAGTTTACAGCATTCTGTGAACATGCGAAAAACAATACATAGGAGTGACAGCACTTGCCGAACATATTTACCCAAACTTAAATTCTTCTCCAACAAACTTAACCGCTGCACAGGTCTTTACCTTTCACCAATTTTTAATTCTCTCCTTTAGCTCGGCCACCCTCAAACAGTATATAAGGAAGTGCAAACCAGTTTCAGTTAAACTCTGCATGAGGAATCAAGACGATTTGCAAATAGTGTTGTTATAAAGAGACAGTTTGTGGTGGTAGCAGGGTGAATGAATCAGCCTTCTATGGTCCATATTTCTAGGGCTAATCCTTAGATCCTTAGATGAAAATCCTACACATCAAAACTCATCGAAGATTGCGGTAGTTTCCCTAGAAAACTTCCCAAAAGCAATTCCTTGCATCTTGCATCCTATTTTAAGAATTTGGAAAATGTTGTAAAGAAACAATTCATTTCGTTATCGATTAACAATAAAAGATGCAATCAACGGATGCCTTAAATTCGATGAATTTTCGTTCTATTTTAAATTCAGTTATTACATTGCGTTTGTCAAGTAACTAACAAATATCCCGTACATATTGCTGCGTTTAGAACAATAAGTTTAATAGATTGTCAAAAGCTCATAGAAGAGAATAAATAAGAACTAAAAATTCCGATTTTCACGAAATTATATATATATATATATATATATATATATATATATATATATATATATATATATATATATATATATATATATATATATATATACCTGCTACTATATATATCGAAAAATAACAAGAAAACCTTAATTAATGTTGTTGTGAGAATTTCAGTTTAATAATGGTCTAATTGATCATTAAGCAATACATCAGAATGTCTTATTTTGTCAATCTCCATGGCTTCCAATAAATTTAATTTTCTACTTTTTGTGGCTGTATGTAAAATATCAAAATTGTCGTCAAAAATGTGTTTTTCTGTGTTTAAGTTGTAGCATAATTAGAATCTAGACTATTGTTTTTAAACACTCTTTTATGTTCGTTAATGCGTTTCTTGAAGGATCTACCTGTTTGTCCAACATAAATTTTAAGAGAAGATCCGCATTTCAACCTATACACACGTGATTTTTGAGATTTTGGATCTTTCGTTTTATTGTAAACCCATTGATGAAACAAGATTTATTACATTGCTTAATAGTATCTTTAGACCAAAATTATTTTGAATTTAATGAAGAGATTTACATCTCTAAGGAAGGTTTGATTATTGAAAAGCCACTCCAAACAACTCCTTTGTTAGCCGAGATTTTTTGGAAAATATCATACTAGAACATCCTTTAAGTAAAAGTTTTCTATGGTGGTATAGATACCTGGATGATATCTTTGCTTGCTTTGTTAGAACGGACCTTAACTCATTACATAACTGTTTCGAAAACGCAACACAAATTAGATTTTTCCATTTACCATAAACCTTCACACACTGAGACAGTCATACATAACAGCTCAAATCTCCCTTATACACAAAAATGGCTGCATTTCACTCTTTTATACACAGATTTCTTAATTCGCCACTCTCAACACGAAAATTACAGCAAAGAACTTAATATCATTAAACAAATTGCATTGAACAACGGCAACAATCCGTCGATTATCGATTAAATTGTAAATAAAAAACAAATCCAGACAACAGTTAACTATATTTATCCGAAACCCAATACAGAACACGAACAATTTAAAACAATTACATACATAGGAGAACCAAGTGAAAAAGTTTCAAAACATTTGTCAAAATGTGGTTTAAAAATAGCTTTCAGAACTAACAACACAATAGGAAAGTTTAAAAACAATATAAAACGAAATGTACAAAATCTCAAAAATCAGGTGTCTACAGGTTGAAATGCGGATCTTGTTCTAAAATTTATATTGGACAAACAGGTAGATCCTTCAAGAAACGCATTAAGGAACATAAAATAGCGTTTAAAAACAATAGTCTAGATTCCAATTATGCTACACAGAAAAACACATATTTTACATACAGCCACAAAAAGTAGAAAATTAAATTTATTGGAAGCCATGGAGATTAACAAAATGAGACATTCAAATGTATTGCTTAACGATCAATTAGATTTAAATACGTCTCCTTTATTGAACTTAAATTCTCACAACAACCTTAATTAAGGGTTTATGGTCATTTTTCGGTATATATAGTGGCAGGTAGTTTGTAAATATTACATTTGATAAAGACACGGTGTTTTGGAAACAATTGTCACGTCAAAATATATAATTTCGTGGAAATTTGAACTTTTAGTTCTTATTTATTGTGTTAAATGGATTTTCATCAAGTAAAAGCCACCTCAGTTCAACTTATAGAAGAGAGTGAAGTTATTATTCTTGTATCTATGGGGTATGGGCCTTGGTGATAATACTTATTATAATTTTGCTCAGTGCCCATAATGATGCGTATGTGCGAGTCAAAACTCGCTTTCAACCAATAAGATCCATTATTTTAAATCTCCCTTTCAACCAACAAGCAGGGGTTTTTAATCAACGAGACCGTGAACAATTCTCAATTCAAAAGTTTTCAATTTGGATGTTCCATTTTTTCAGCAGTATTTTGTTAAAACATGCCATTAAAATGTAAGAAACAACGAGCTAAAAGTGTAAAGGTCAGTTTGTTTTTGTCAATTATAGGTAGACATTGCCAACACATAACTCACATGCATTATTGCATCTCATTTCAATTATTAGGAAGCACACTCTGAGTGTCCAAGCCTCCATCTCCGCGTGACTTGAAAATCTTTGTAAATCGTCGTCGAAAATATTGTTTTAAGCTAGTTCGATATCTATTGGAGCTAACCGACGTAAACAACTAACTTCTGTAAACGAAATTTAAGTTACGATGGGAACTGTGCCTTTCTAAAATGAGTAGTTAACTTAATTTGTTATTATTCTTTATTAACAAACAGTTTTAGGTATCGAACTTAGTATGCACTCTACGTTACAGGGTATTTTTTTAATTTAAAAGCATTTTTATATTGAAATATTTCAGATAACATGATGTGTTAAAAATTTTTTCAGAGACGCAACTGAACTTAAGAAACCAACAGCAACAAACTCAGCCGTCATCAGGTTCTACAAATACGTTCAATCAGCTCGAGATGGACAAGATGGTCGCGATTGTTTAAGACTTTATCCGGCCTGTAACATTAACACTGAGCTATAACCAAACTGTCTTCTGTGAAACTGGTTCGCAACTAAATCATAGCAACACTATTGGTGTATCGAGAATAATGTTTTCAATTGTTCGGCTGGTTCCTTTTTGCAGTATTCAAATTTGTAAATGATGTTTTCTCTCGAACATAACGTTGCAAAAAATAATACAAAAAATAAATGGCCCTACATTTTCGAAACTAACAGAAATTTGGCAACTTTTTTATAATTTTACTTTTATCGTAACTTGATCCCTGGCTGATCTAGCAATACTGTCTTCTGAATCAGTTTTGGTTAGTTTGGTTGGTCCCAATATGACGACACTAAATATCACGCCACTGGAAGAACTGTTTTGTATGCTCTTCTACTGTTTCGCTGTAAAATTTGCTTCCTTTATTTAACTTTATTGAAGACCATTTACTTTTCATTAAGTATAATTTAACTTTAGAACTAGTACCGATTCGCTTTAATTATAAAAATTATTTACGCACGTATTCATAGTTGTTATCTTTGCATATTCTTAATTTTTATTTATCGATGTGCCAAAAATTCCTATCTATAAATTGTACTAGTTAATTTAAGTGTTAGTGACGTGTACATTTGCTCAATAATTTAGAAATGTTTAATTGCCACCTAACGGTGGAGTCAATTGAGTTGTTCTAGTTCGCAAAAGTTGTATAGCAGTTTATGCACGTGAATTATTAGACAATAGAGGACTGCGGTGACGGGTTCGATTAGGATTTTTGCTCCTTTTGTTTAATAATTCATTCTATTAATATTTATTTACTGTCCGATCACCCGTTAATTTATTTATTTATTTATTTTGTATGTAGTGTTATTTATTGTAATAAATGAACGTTTTTGTTTAATAAAATAAAAAATAATTAAGTGTATCTGATTTGCCAACCTACGATTTTTCTATATAATACTTCCTACAGTATCTACGGCGATTTGCTAATGTATCTTCCAAATATATTAGCCAAAAATGAGTAATAACTTCTCTTTATAACACAGGAGAGCCCTGTAACCCTATACTTATACTTATCACACTTACAGTACTGTGCCTCAGTAGTAAAAGTAGCAATAATATGATTTACTACCATTTGAAAGATAAAATGCTTTTGGAATTTTAGCAATAAAACAGTTAAATGGATTTTGGTTTAAAGCAATCTCTATGGGTGGTGTGGCTCTTCGGCATATGCCAACTGAGTAGGAATAAGTAAGATCAGACCTACTGAACGCTGAGCATCACCTATAGTTACGTATTAGAAAAAGTGGTGCGATAAAGGGCATTTGACTCACGAGTTTTTAATAAACGAGTGAGTTAAAAAGTTTTTTTACTCCGGTCTGTAAAATACCTAATTACAAACCGATCTAGCATGCGGGAAGTGTCACTTTACCACGTCAGTTTCGTTTCCCACAGATCCGACCCACTTCGGACATTTCCGGGATTTTACCGCACGGGCTTGGGACCAATCGGATGTTTTCGAAGATATTTCCCACGCTCTGAAGTTTGACGTTTGTTTATTCTGACGGTAATGTCAGTAAATGTTTGTGTTGTTTCGCGAAAATGTACACAAAAATTAACGGTCGTAGAAAAAGTATAGTATGCAACACGTGCGGTAATAGTATATTATGCGAGTTTTTAATAAACGAGTGAGTTAAAAAGTTTTTCTACTTCCGTCTGTAAAATACCTAATTACACACCGATCTACCGTGCACGAAGTGTCACTTTACCACGTCAGTTTCTTTTCCCACCAGTCAAATGCCGAAACTGACGTGGTAAAGTGACGCTTCCCGTACGCTAGATCGGTGTGTAATTATAAATTTTACAGACGAGAGTAGAAAAAAAAAACTTAATTATTTCGAATATGGTTACGAATAGGTATAGGTAACCCTAATATAGTTTGATAGAGAAATAAGTTCTGGACTTGAGAATGCTTAAAGGTACCGCATATCCCGTTTGAAACAACCGAGTTTAGCCGAAAATGTAAATGTTACGGATGCGGTAACGGAAAGGAACTGACGTGGAAAAGTGACGCTTCCCGCACGCACAGACGCGAGTAGAAAAAATAGATAACAGTAATGTTGACTTGCACCTTGCATGGTGTTTTTTTGTCGAACCTAAGTTTTTAATTATGGAACTTTAGTTTTCGATAAGTATTTAATAACTTGTTGCGTATGTAGTTTCGAATCTTGCACTTTATCAAGACAGGTTCGCCGAATGAAGAGCAAAAATATTGAAATAGTGGAACAAGTATTAGAATCGTTTGTAACGAATTCAGAAATATATCCGCCACATCGGTACACAGAATCTCGCAAGGGCAATAATTAAAACGATACCACCACACACCTGTCCAAGAACCTTAACCACGAAATTTTGGTTTTTAAGTTCTTTGGAAAAATTCTCTCGTAGTGTTCATTTTACAGACGAAGCATCATTTCCCAGAAAGGGAATTTTAAATTTTCTTAACTTACATAGCCGGTCAAATTCGAAATTGTTCGTCACAATACTCGTATTTGTACCCGGATAAGAAGGAACGAGTTTAAATTAATTTTAAACTAAATTTTTAAACAACAACAAATGCATTTATTTGTTGACAAACGTTCAAAAGGTATCTTTGAATAATCATTAAATTTTGCTATGAAAGAAAAATGTCAGTGGGGCGCAGCTTATTTTAGAAAAGGATTGCGGCGATACCCCATACACTGGTCAAGTTGACCAACATTCTTTTTGTAGTAAAATGTGTACTGGTTTAAACAACTTTTACCATCCTAATTTTACTGGAATTGCTAGCTAGGGTTGTTTTGGATAAATTTGCAATAAATTAGAAAACTAAAAATTCTTTAACACCGCATAACCATATAGAGCCTATATAGAGCACTTTTTATTTATGAAGTTGTCGAGGAATATTTCAAAACACAAAAACATCTAAGCGTTTAAGAAGTTTATAATTTCCCCACCCTGCAGGCATTTTTTATAATATACTCTCCATTATGATTAATTCATTACTACTGTATTCTGTAAGAGTACCTAACTTATTTCAGTAATTTTAGATAGCTACATATAACTCACACATGTACCAGATGGGTTTTTAAAAATGCTAACCGCGCTGGTACCTAAAATATTCCATGTATTATTCAAATTAGTAAGATGTTTGGGCACTTTTCCATTTCTCGCAAATGACACCAGCCCATCCATAAACCATGACTCTAATTTCTTTTTTAATTACGATTCCGCCGACAAAAATTGCTCAGCGCGGCAAATTTTTTTAATGTAAATCGAATTTTCTTATAGTCGGATGCCATTCGGCTCACGTATACCCCAGATCCTTCGTTTGGTTTCCATTTCCTTCGCCGGTCGTCTATAAATTTAACTATACGACGCGGTTATTATCATTTATTTTTTCGATCGGTGACCGCAATGATGGCGTCGTTACGATTTTTGGCAATCGCGACAGTTATATCCGTGACGTCAGCGAGTCCTTCGGCAGTCGACGTCGTGCAGGACATTTACCGCGGCTGCCTGGACGACTTGTCAGTGAATTGCGTCAAACCGAAAGCCCTGCAGTGGATTAGTGACGTTGCCAACGAAAACGAGATCAAAATCACGGAAGATTTGTTCGTGGTCAAGAAAGATAACCCAGAAGTTGAGGTTGGTAGAATTGGTATTTCACACTTGATGGTTCTTCAGAAGAAAGTGTTAAACAGTGAATGTTTTTTTTTATTTTAGAAAGAGCGGTCGCTAGCGAGTGACGTGTTTGACAAGTTTGAAGATTTTATTCAAACTCACGAACTGGTGGCCAAACCTCCCTCCATTCTAAGCTCAGATGGACCCTTGGGGTCGCTCGTTCCGAGATCTTTCCATCCGGAGGAACTCAAAGTTCCATTAGCTGAAACCGGTACGCTTAAACCACCGCAATTACTTATATTTACTTAAAGCGGAGCTACAATTTTAGGAAGGTCTTCGAAAATCATCAAGAAGGTGATTCTTCCCTTTTTGCTGGGACTGAAGTTTAAAACGGCCATAGTGGTGCCTTTGGTTCTAGCTTTGATCGCTTTGAAAACCTGGAAAGCTTTGACGCTGGGTTTGCTATCGTTGGTGCTAACCGGTGCATTGTTGATTTTCAAACTAACTAAGCCGAAGGCAAGTCTTCCAGTTATGTGATAACTCGAAATGTAAATGATATGAATATTTTTCAGACCGTGAGCTACGAAGTTGTTCACTACCCGCAGCACATCGACCACCACGTAGATCACCCACCTACGTTTAGCGGTTTGGAGCATCCCGGGTACGGAAGACAAATGAGTGCAAATGAAATGGCTTACAATGCTTATTTAAGTTAAATAAGTTTCATGGATAGTAATTTATTTAAATCAAATTTCCAAAGAAAATCGTGTTTTATTCTTTAATGTCCCTTTCATGCATTAACGTTATGAAGTTATTATTTGGTGAACCATCACGAGAAAAACTTATTTATTTACACCAAATATGGAACGGAAAATGTTGACGAATATAAGATTGTTTTCTAAACCACACTTACGCGTCAATTGAAAAAATCCTGCAATTTGGACATTGATTTTCAATAAAAATATATTACCTACAGATGCAGTTTACTGCAAAAGACTTTACTTCTACAGTCTTTGAAATATTCTGAGCTTCAAATGTCTTATTTCATCTTTTAATTTGTATTCTGAGAAAATACTTTTTGCTTTTTATGTTAACCACCAGGTGCCTCTTCTCATCTTGCCAAGTTGCCAATAACTGCCGCACATTCTCCTCGCCTTTCTACTTTTCTATCCGGTGTTTCCATATTTTTCATCTTCTGCCTGGACCTCGCTTTCATTGAATTTTATCCTCGAAGATTAGTTTTAGTAGGTAGTACTTCTCAATTGTCAGAATATGCTAAAAGTATGCCGATTACCTTTTCCTAATTATGATTATGTAGCTTTCTTTCTCGGTTCATGGGCAGAAATTCGGATTCATTCGATATTCGAATTATAAATACAATACAAAAAATTTCATATAAATGAAAATAGAAAATAAAGTTCTAAACGTCCGAAAAGTTTTTCTAGAGTATATGAGACGGAACCTTTGTTAAAGAATGGAAAAATTTGATTTTTTTGCATAAATACATTTTTTATTAGAATAATTCCTGAAATTCTACTGATAAATTCTCTTCTAATGTGCTAATATTAACGACTCTATAAATTTTTAATAACGATAAATATTTCTGAGGACAGGTTAGCTTTCGAAAGGAAATCGCGACTTTCCTAAGGAACGAAGACGAAAATATTTTTTTAATTAGAAGATTCAAACTATTTTGGCCCCGGTTCATTCGATTTTAAGAAAAAAAAACTAAAACTGAAATAACTATTTGACCATCAACAATTGGAGCGTCTAGTTCACTTCAAATAAAAAAATTTACAATTGTATAAAAACTTTTATTATTATTTCAATTTCAACGCAACTTTTTGTGGCACCCTCTCAAAAGCATTTTAGCTTTCAACTTTCCGTTTACGAGCTTCTGATATAAAATTTTATTTTATTAGACTTAAATGTATGAAATATTGTATACGGGGATTTTCAATTATGCCGGATCCAATAGGCGATGTTGCAATAACGGTTTTTTCCCTGAAAATAGTTAACGATTTAATAAGTAAACTATAAATAAAATAAAAAAAAATTAAAAATAAAAATTAAACTAATGGAATTGGTAAACTTATTTAAGAACAAAGAAAAAGCACTATTTTAATAAAGCTCAAACTGATATGCTACTGCTACTTGACACTGTTTTAAGCAGTTTGTAAATTCCTGTATGGTGTTTTCATGAGCACTCCGTTATGACTCGAATTTCGGCCCTTATCCGCTCTAATAAGTCAACCAAGGTGTTCGACTTGGTTTGGTACACTTTACTTTTGAGGTGACAGCAAAGTAAAAAATCTAGTGGATTTGAATCTAGTGAAGGAGGCGGCCTCTCGATAGTCTTTTGCATTATGTGTATAATGGGGAGGTGTCCCATCTTGCTGAAACCATATGCGGTTATCATCGATTCCTATCTCATCATTTCGGAGGTTACAGGATTATAATATTTTTCATCAGCGAAAATGGGAGTTTCCAATCCAATCATCCAATGGAGATTTCCGTTTTATAAATATCGGCAATTATGTCGATTAACGATACCACTCACTTGGGAATTTGGATTTAAAATCGATTCACCCATACCAGTACCATAAAATTCCATCTGCTGATATCGATTATCTTCAGACAAATCCCGAGGGAGTTGTAAGGCTAACACCTATTTTTTGCCAAAATTCTCCTCACTGATAACTGACTAGAATTATCATTCGCCGCTAATTATTTTCGTTGTTTCGGTATTACTGCAAAAACGGTTGAATTTGGGTTTGAAAAACACTTATAATTTTGGAAAAATGCCCTCAAAGCGTGGGAAATATCTTCGAAAACATCCGATTGCTCCCAAATCCGTGCGATAAAATCCCGGAAATGTCCGAAGTGGCTCGGATTCGTGGCAATGGAAACTGACGTGGTAAAGTGACGCATCCCGCAGGCTAGATCGGTGGGTAATTAGGTATTTTACAAACTGGAGTAGAAAAAAATAATTTTTGTATTATATAATTGTTTAAAAATTAAAAATATGCCGTATACTTCACACGATGCAGTTTGTTTGGAGTGATTGAAAGATAGTAGCAGTCAATAGGTAGGTAGGTGTCAGTATCAGATTATATTCAAAACAAGGTCTACGAACATTACCCAAAATAATTTAAGAAAAACCTAAGTATAATTAAAATAAATAGAAAGGACAAGTACAACAACATAATAGTATATTATGCAACAAATACGGTAAACGGCATTTGACTCACGAGTTTTATTTGTCATGAGCGGAGCGAGTCTTTAATAATCGAGTGACTTAAAGAGTTTACCGAACGTGTTGCATACTATGCTTTTTCTACGACCATTAGTTTTTGGATACATTTTCGCAAAACAACACGAATACATTCACTGACAGGACCGTCAGATTTGACAGACGTTACAATTCAAGGCGTAGGAAATCATCCGATTGCTCCCAAACCCGTGCCGAAAAATCGCGGAAATATCCGAAGTGGCACGGATCCGTGGGAAACGAAATCGAAGTGGTAAAGTGACGCTTTCCGCACGCTAGATCGATGTGTAATTAGACATTTTACAGGCGGGAGTAGAAAAAATATTTTTTTCTACTCCCAAGTCTAAAATATCCAATCAGTTTGGTCATAGTATACAAGACGTTGATGAACTTCTTCATTCACTCCTGTTACATAATAAACTATTAACAATTTAACTAACTAAGACTTTTCAATTTCAGAGATATTGCTAAAACCCAATAACTGCCAAACGGTTGCCAATAGCAATTTTTGTGAAATACTGTGTTTCATTGTGTTTTTCATTAAATTACATGGTCGAAATCACTTCAGTGTTCTTCATCTTTGTCCCACCCTGCTACAACTATTTCGTAGACATGTTTATTAGTTCTAATTCTAATCCAGTTAAATTCTAATGCTACGTCAGCAATATTTTTTCGGCAACCGAACAACGACATTGCTCGAGCGGATTCACTTTTACTCTCGTCTACAAAATCGACGTAACCGAATAAGTTTGACACAATTAGACGCGCATTCCGTGTAACATCCTAATTCAGAAAATTGATTTCTACTTCCGTTATCCAAAGTCTATATAATCTACCCGATATCAAAACCGATGCCACACGTTATCGTTGTCAACGACCGGCGCTGACCGTAGAATTTAGATAGCTTTTAATTTTGCTTCGCGTCGACATGACTTCTTTAAGTTATTTGCTATTTTTCGCGACAACGGCTAGTGTTGTGGTCGCTGATCCTTCGGCAGTTGAAGTACTCGGCGATATTTACAAAACTTGTTTACGCGATTTTTCCGTGGCATGTGTCAAACCGAAAGCTCTGGGATGGATTAATCTAGTTTCTAAGAAACCTCAGATTAGACTCACAGAAGATTTGACGATCGTCAACAATGGTTACCAAGACGCTGAGGTAAAGTTTCCATGAACTGTGCAGGACTGTCAACCTAAGATATTTTTTGTCTCAGATGCAACGTGGATTAGACAGGGACGTCCTAGACAGCTTCGAAGATTTCTTGCAAAGTCACAACCTAGTAGCTAATGTTCCCGGACTTTTACGACCTGACGGACCCTTCGGCAAGTTAGTCCCCAGAACGTTCCAACCTGAACCCATCCAGGTTCCGCTTGCTGCCACTGGTAAACACCTGCCGTTTAAAATTGCGCTTTTGGTTTAGAATGATTTATTGCAGGAAGGTCCAAAGTGATCAAGAAAGTCATTTTCCCGTTCTTGTTGGGTCTTAAATTCAAGACAGCTATCCTGGTGCCCCTAGCGTTAGCCCTGATAGCTCTCAAAACTTGGAAGGCTATGACATTGGGCTTGATTTCATTGGTTCTCACAGGCGCCATTGCTATATTCTCCAAGTTCAATAAACAGCCCGTAAATATATACGACACTCGTATTTGGGAGGACCGCTTTCATTTATTTGCAGGCAGTTGAGGTGATCCACTACCCGCAACATTTGGACCACCACATAGACCCTCACCATATCGATGTCATCCCGTCTATAGTACCCAGCGTACCTGTAGGCGCGCCTGTACCTGTAGCTTGGCCTCATCCTGTTTATAGAAGTAAGAGGGCGGCAAACGAGCTTGCTTTTGGAGGCTATAAGCGCTGACGTATCGTCTGTGCTCTTTATTTATTTTATTTATTTGCAATACCTCAATAAATTGTTTCAAAAGAAAGTCGTTTTTGTTTTTGAATATTTGTCTTTATAAAGCAAATTAGCTGAACAACAGATATAAACCAAGCTGAGTTAGAAGCTTGAATTAAAACAATTACAAATCCTCTAAAAAAATATATCTCTAGGAGTAGAGTAGAAAACTCCAGATAAAAGAAACAACGTTTTCTTCTTCCACACTATTTTAATGTAAAATCTTCTTTTAATAAAAATTAAGTACGACAGTACATGTATCGATCACTAGAGCTGTAATAAAAAAATAATAAAAACAACATCCCACTGAACAGAAGCCGCAAACTAGTAAAGAAGTCAAAATCTCTTTATTGCTGATTAAATGAGAACATCTGTATTTCATCTTTTGGGTGCATTTTTACTAAGAAAAATTGCAATAATTTAATATAAATAAACGTTATTAAATATTTTCTAATATTTAGTATATAAAGTTTTAACCTAGCTCAAGTTTGCGATTTCCGCTCTGGGGTGATGTTTTTATTTTTTATATTACAAATGAAGACGAACACTTAAGTGCGCGAAATACGTATTGACGTTTGATTATTTTTTGTTTAAAAAATGATTTATTTATTAAATTGGTTTGGTGTTATGACGTGAAGACATTTTCGCAGTAGCAACAATTTCTGTTTTTTAATGCTTAAGTGCAGCAAAGAAGTGTAGATTTCCTTTGCTTTATTAAAGAACTTATAAATGGCAATCAAACAATACTAAGTATACTACGTATACTAAGTTTTGTGTTTTTAGATACCCTAAGCCCATCGATGTAAAAATGGATAATATTGTACATCAGCGATGATAAACAATCGATAAGTACTAAAGACATTTAATATTTTCCTCCCCACTTACCCGCACTCTTCAATCGGTTCAAACCCTAAAGAAGCATACGGGTCACCACAACAATGATTGAGTGACATCGTTATGTAGAAAATAATCCTCTATCCTCCTTCTTCTTTTTAAACAAAGTGATTTGGATTTTACTGGCTGCTGCTATAAATAATCTTAGTGTAGACTAGGAAAACCGAGTTCTAAGGTTTTTCAACTGGGAGACTCTACGTCTTTCAGGTCTTCTTCTGCCTAAGATATTTCTCTGGTGTATTAACTGAAGCATTATGTGTCCCAAATATTATAATTTGCATTTTTTTTTAAGGATTTTTAAAACGGTCTTTTTGGAAACATGATCAGCCCAAGAAATTCAAAGAATTCGTCGCTATAACAAATATAATTATTAGAGGTATAATGTTCCCGCCTATGCTAATAATATAGGAACTTATGAAGCAACAATGACCTTGGGCCATTCAACCACCAACATCGCCACAGACGAGCGTTTATTGGCAGTATTACCTCAAACTATGCCTATATTTCTTTAAATGTTCTGGGAAAATGAGTTAAGTGTGTGCAAATATCTGTTTGGAAACAAAATGGGGCAAAATATCAAAGCTAAAATCTCAATGCCGACTGCGGCGCATCAGTTTTTACCATAGTAGGCCCACTATATTATGTAATGGCTCAAAGGCTTCTAGTTTCTTTGTAGATGCTTGCTCCAATGTCGACTCAACACCATAGAAGAGCGGATTCCAGGGATAGCATTTAATTAGTCTTGGTTTGATTTGCAAAACGACTTCTAGCTAAAAGTTATTTTAATTCTTGAGTTTATGGGGGCTTCTCGAATGATTAAATTAAATCAGTTTTCGCTAGTATCCATTTAGGCATCCAAATAGCTAGGCAACGCCATATTTGTTTACTGGGGTTAAAACTATTTATATTGTTATTGGCTAAACATACAATACATTTAATTGAAATAATTCGATAAAAAATATTAGATTCGATTTTTTGTTTTATAATTTTGTTTTACTTTTTTTAATTTTATTTTATTTTTATTTTTAGCTACAACGCAATCAAAATTATCTCACTAATAAATGAGATTCGATTATTCTATTTCAATTCCAATTTAATTTTTAACTATTATCACTTCAGTTTGAGTTACAATATATCGTTCATATATCGTCAAAACATAAAACATTTTAAGAATCTAAAATAAAGAGAAATATAAAAAATATTAATAGAAGATAAAAATAAAGTGCATAAATCATTTAAAATAAAAAAAAATGATGACGTAAGGGGGTAATTAAATATATAATTGTAACAAATGACATAGAAATAAGAAAGGAAACAGTATAGTATCTGCAGCAGTGATAAAATTAAGTCTTATTTGTAGATGCATATTTCATATTTTATTGCTAGGTCAGTAACTAGAGCACATTTTTGATCTTTTTTGACAAAGCTGCTGTTGAATTTGATTACGCATGTTTTATTTGCATTTTTTGGTTTTAACTGGTAGCTGACTATGGACGTTTATGCAAAGGTACAGAAGGAATATTTGTCCAGGTGACGTTATGGTTTTAGCTCGGATGTCTATTCTTGCTTTGCTATACTTTGCATAAAAAGTTGACGAATATCGAAATCTTTATTGTTATTGTCTGTCAATTATATCCTTTCATTGTATGGTAGTACCCTGTGTTGTTAAGGCATATTCGTTTCACATTTTCCCCTAATTACTTTGTGATCTTTATCACTTTTTTTCCCTGGTGGTTTAATATCTTTTGCTACTTTTATTAGTTTATTTCTGGACCTTCGTGAAAAGGTAGAGAAAAACCATTTTTGCAGGTGACGTTATTGTTTTAGCTCGGATATCTATTCTTGCTTTGCTATACTGCACAAAATGTTGAATAATATCGAAAATTTTATTTTTATTGACTGTCAATTATATCCTAACTACTTTGTACCAATATTTTTGCTGTCTTTGTCACTTTTTCAAAGAAACTTCCACAGGCTACTGTAATGCTATTTACAAAACTTCTGGATTATTCCTGCGCATTTTTGTCACTTTTTTCCCTGTTGGTTTATAATTTTTTGCTACTTTTATTAGTCTGGTATCGTGTAGTCTTGGTAATTGAAATCATTCGATAAAAAATATTTGATTAGACTGGTTGTTTTATAAATTAAACTATACAAAGATTTTCTCCATCCCAAATTATCATGTTTTACTGGCCATGTTGGGCTCTATTTCACAAATTTATTAAAAAATAAAACAAAGTTTTCGCACCAATCTAATTAATTATTATTGTTTCGGGAAACGAAATCCTCGAAAAATAAATAAATACATGGAAATAATATGTAAAAATATACCGTAAGTCTACCAAATATGAAAATTTTACTGTGTTAATGTTAGTCATTTAATTTTTGAATTGGATGAGTTTCTGTTAACTAAAATATTGTAAATAATTGATTTTACAGCATTCTATGTTATTTTAAAATAATATTGCTCGTTAGCGCCTTCAGAATTAATGAATCATGCTAAAAAATCCAAAAACTTTTATTCGAAACTTTTTTTAATGGAACTTCTCATTTATTAATATTTTCTCGATAAAATATTACATTTGCATATCTGAAGAAAATGGAAGAAAATAAACCTAAAAGTTCAACGCAAACTTAGTCCACCTTTTCGATCAAGATAACAGAAAATTTCACCGAATCGAGTTCACAAAAAGTAAGATCGATACAAATACCTTCTCATACGGCACTTACCCCGAATACGAATCAGAGAATCTATTCCAATTCGAACAATACTGTTGTTCGTGCTCCAAGTTGGTATGCAAATCGGTGCGCCGAAAGAAGACATACCTCCGGTTTGAATACCCGAGACACTCGGTCCACCTGTTCCGAATTCGACAACTCTATTTTAGTTTGACTTCCGATTTAGCGCCGGTATATAACGTTAGTCTATATATACTAGATCGTCATTCGGTTATTCGTCTCTAAACGGTTTGTACGATGAAGGTTCTCTTCGCTATCGGGATTTGCCTAGTGACCTTGGCGTCTGCGACACCGATCAACGAACCAAAGGTTTTGAAGGTCGAGGACGATCCGATCGCATACTTTAAGGAAGAAATAGTCTCCTTTTTGGACGATTTTCTAGAGAAGGACGAACACGAAGTAAGTATAGCGCAATTGATGTTGACTCGATTGTTAGTGCCGGTCGCTTAGATTGGCGATGACGTCAAAGTGACAAAGAACTCCTACCGTTCGACCGAAGTGACCAGCAGGAGCGGCGGAGATTACGAAGATAAAATCGAAAACTACATCAAAAGTCACGACGTGACCTTCAACCTTCCGGTTGTCGGCTCCGTTACCATGGGAGCGAGAAATCTGGATGGCGACGAATTGGATTTTAAGTTTAATTTCGGTGGTGTCGAAGAAGGTAACCGCGTCGGCAAGAACTTTTGAATACCCCTCGACACGTTTTATTTTTAGCCAGGAAATCCAAGTTGAAGAAAATCTTCATCCCCATCTTGGTGTTCGTTTTGCTGAAGGCCATTACGTTGGTTCCCCTAGCGCTGGGTATCCTCAGTCTCAAAGCCTGGAACGCGTTGCAGCTGTCGTTCTTTTCGTTCGTAATATCGGTGGGACTCGCCATATTCCAATTATGCAAGAAGATCGCAGCTGATAGTGCCGCACCTCAAATTGCAGCTCACGCTCCTTGGGAACCCGCGCAGCAGTACTACGCAGCGAGGTCTTTAGACGCGCAGGATTTGGCTTACTCGGCGTACGGGCAGTAGACTGTTGATAAATTTTCGATGTAAATAATTAATTTATTAAATTGTTTTGCTTTAATAGTGCTGTATTGTTTTCATCCCAAGAAAAATGTGATTAGATACTTTCGGTCAAAGAATTATTGCTCAATAAATAAGCAAAATAGTTGGAAGATATATTAATTTGCTTGCTGAATATTTTTCTAGATTCCACTCATTTTGTATGTATTTCACTTATCTGGGTTAGAAAAACCATAAGCCCTACCTAATTATGGTCTGTTCATAGATATAAGAAAGTGACCAATTGTGGTCATTAACATACAATGCAAGAAGATTATTACCTGAAGTTTTGGAATTTAAATTCAGGTAAAATTGTGGTCCATAATAGAAAATAATTTTATACCTAACTGTGTTTAATATTCTTTGGTTTGGTATACTATTTAGTTTAAGTTTATTAGTAATCATTCTTGTTTCGCGTGTGTTTCATATGCAAATTATGCAAAATATGTGCGAGTCTAGTGTATCTCAGGAGATGCTAACGCAAAAATGAAGAAAATATTATTCTATTGAGACCAAGGAAGTTATAAACAATGTTTATTTGACTCTCATTGAACGTGGTGCCAGCAAGCAAGCATCTTTAGAAGAAACGGCCACATTGAAAAAAATTCCAACATCAACTGTATCGAAAATTGTGAATAATCCCATTTCAGCGAGGATAAAAAGAAGCGATGCTAACATTTTCTCGAGTGTGAGTGATGAAAGTGAACGAGATATAATACGGCGTAAAATTTACCAGTTATACGAAGAACAAAGCTTGCCTACATTAGATATCTTAATTAGGAGGCTTGAAAAAGAAAAACAAACTTTTTCTAAACATTCCTCCTAATAGCGTCATTGTAATGGACAAAGCTTGAAACTACAAAAGGAATACATCTGTGATTATTATGCAAAAAGTCTAGGGCATACAGTTTTAAGTCTTCCACCTTACCACTGTATATTTAATCCTATTGAACATGTTTGGCACCAACTGAAATCTGCCATTCGTCATGTCCTCAAACTTATAGAAACCGAAGTTTTTAATATCCCTCCACAAAGTTGGCAGATTCTGTTAAACATATAGAAAAAGCAGAACAATCGTATATCCATACTGCAAATAATATAGAACATATAATAATTAGAACAGGCGATGATAGCGATAGTTATACTGATATATTATGTTATTATAATTTTAAGTAATTTAAGTAGGTAAAAAAAAAATTTGTAATTTTATTTTAGATTTAAACATAAATACATACATAAATAAATAAATATTCTTTAGTATTTTTCCTAAAAAAACTACAAATAATTAACTTCTAAGCAAAGTACGGACCTGCTCGGCCATATTTCATTCTTACAGCTTGCCTGGATCTTTCCTTAATTCGTATCAGTTAGTCACTTTCTTATATCTATGAACAGACTTATCTAAATTTACAAATATCACATTATTCTAGTTATAGGTACTCGAAATAACATTCTTTTTGGTGGGTTTAAAAAATAATCAAAAGATAATTATTTCAAATAGATAATTCCCTTGAGGCACCAGATCTGGTATCGTTAAATGACAATCGAGTTTGCGTTTTTCTTGAAAGCTTTGTATTTCTTATTTTTTATTTATAATGTGCATAATAATGAAAGTAAAATTATAAAATTGATTTACTTTCTGCAGTGACTCGGAATATTCGTGGTCTAAAAACGTTTGAGTACATTCTGCAGAAAAAGGACAATATAGACTGGATTATTATTGTTTTAAGGGAATTAACTAAAAAAAGTTAAGTATTGAAGCATGTATTCTTACAGATTACAGTTCTACATTCCTGAGTCGCTAATTTCGATAACATATTCAGTCAATTTGAAATATTAATGAACGCTAGTGTATACTAAAATAGAGAATTTTCTTTTACTTTACTTTTTAATAGCTACTATTTAATGCTAATACTAATTTAATGATGAAATTGATAATTTTTAGCTACAACACAATCAAAATTATCTTACTAATAAATGAGATTATTCTATACCAATTCTAATTAAATTTTATTCTCTAATATTCATAATCACTATTATCACTTTACTTTGAGTTATAATTATATCGTTCATATATCGTGAAAACATAAAACATTTTTAAAATGTAAATTAAAGTGAAATATTAAAAATATTAATAAAATAAAAAATACAAACAAAGTGCATAAATCATTTACAATAAAAAAATAAGGTATTAACGTAAGGGTGTAATTAAATGTATAAGTGTAACAAATTACATAGAAATAAGAAAGGAAACAGTAAGCAGTGTTGTTGCATTATTGATCTCTTTTGACAAAGCTGCTGTTTCTTTATTGCAGATTTGGGTACGCATATTTCATTTGCATTTTTGATTTTAACTGGTAGCTGACTATAGACGTTCGTGCAATGCAATGTACAGAAGGAATATTTGCCTAGGTGACGTTATGGTTTTAGCTCGGATATCTATTCTTGCTTTGCTATACTTTGCACAAAAAGTTGACGAATATCGAAATCTTTATTGTTATTGTCTGTCAATTATATCCTTTCATTGTATGGTACCCTGTTTTGTTTAGGGGTATTCGTTTCACATTTTCCCCTAACTTCTCTGTACCATTTTTTTTTCTCTGGTAGTTTATAATCTTTTGCTACTTTTATTACCTTGGTATTGTGTGATCTTGGTAGCTGTCCATTCCATTATCTTCTTCTTTGTCTTTGCTCTGTTGCGCTGCCCTCTCTCTCTCTCTCTCCCTCTATTTTGTCTTTGTGTCGGCTCCAGTTTCTGCCCCAACTGTCAGTATTTGTTTTATCATAGATTTATATATTTTTACTTCCCTGTCCTACTTCACAATACATGTTATGTACCTCCTTGTATACATTGGAGACGCGACATTTATATTATAATGTATAATAATAACATATTCGTTAAATACAATTCACTTATGTCGTACATTACATTCAGTACCCATTGTGGTAAAATTTCTAATATTTCAAGATTAAGATTGAACTTACTCCCATCCCAACAGTGTGTTAAATGTGGTTCAATAAATGCAAAACAAAATGTTCTCAAAGTTTCAAAGTATTTTTTTAATTTACTAATTAGTTATATATTTAATTTTTTCGATCCTGTTTAATTGTTGAGCAAGTATAAGTATTATAAGTATAATAAATAGTATTATTAATTGTCTATTAATAATACTATTTATTATAAAAAAACTGAAAAAATCTTTTATTGGCGATTTGAAAGACCAATATTTCAAACTATTTCTTCATCTTTTTGAGCTTAGATTTATTACTACCTACTTAATAGATGACACCAAGGAATATTAATGCGACAATACGCGCATTCCTCCAATCCGTATTCGACGAGGAAGTTACCAAAAACGATACCACTTTCCATTTTTTACAGTTTATAAAAACTAATTATCCACACCGCCACTCACATTATAGCCGCCCACTGTTCGATCTAGTCAACCCTAGTTTTAGGTTAGAAACTTGGCACTAAATAATGTTGAAATTATATTGGTTATTTTGCTGCGTCGTCGCGATCGCGTATGGCGAACCTCAAAAACCGGAATTCTGGAAAGGGACTCCTCTAGATGCCACCGTCGAAAGAATGAGACATTCGTGCGCTGAGAATGACAACGTCGCCTGTTTTCAGTTCAAAGCCTTCTCATTTTTGGATAACGTGTTACGCGGCGGTTATTTCCAAGTAAGTACTCATTTAGACTAAACGTTTTCTGTTGGGAATAAACAACACATTTATTTCAGTTCTTCTCTGATAACGTACAAATAACCAGGAACGGATATGAAAACGAAATTTTTTCCAAACGTTCTTCAAATTCTGTAGAAGACTTAGTGGAGACTTACGTAAAATCGCATGATATCAGTCTCGGATTGCCAAGATTAGGAAGCCTCAAGTTGTCCTCTAGAAACGTGGACGATGGGGAAGTTGATTTAAAATTGAACTTTGGATCTGGCAGAGCAGCCGAAGGTGGGCATGTTGTCTCACATAGATGCTAAATTATTGTTAATCAATCTGCTTTTAGCTCGGAAGAAGTCCAAACTGAAAAAGGTATTCCTGCCCATCGTGTCATTTCTCATACTGAAAGCCATCACGTTGGTACCTTTCCTCATCGGATTGTTGGGTTTGAAAGCGTGGAATGGGCTGCAGCTTTCCATATTTTCGTTTGTGATCGCTTCCGGATTGGCTATATTCCAGCTGTGCCAGAAAATTGCTGCGGACGCTGCGCATGCGCCTGTAATCGTCGACCATCCACACCACGCGTCGAGGTCGCTTGGCGATGGACCCCATCAGCTGGCGTTTTCTGCATACGCCTGATGCAATTATGCTGGTGGCCGATGTCAGTTATTTATTTGAATAAAATTTATGAACACCGAAAAAGTTTCATTAATTGATGGAGCGGTTTTACAATAATGTAATCATTACCCTCAAAATTAGTTAACAGCATAATACTCACAAATTTATTATTGTCTTAATATTTGAGTTTTCGACTGGTACTGCCTAAACATTCAAACGTCTATTCAAAATAGAATTTTGGAAGGGTTTTCCAAATTCTGTGAATTCCAACCAAAGCAGTAGTTGTTTGTATAAATTAGTTTATAGTAATATATTGGCAATTTTATTGAAAACATATTTCTAGACTTTCTCTTCTGTCGAGGATGAATATTTTTATAGATATAAAAGTTATAATGTTAATGTAGGTTCTAACGGTGACTGAACAAGGGTTTACCTTCTTCTTTTCTTCTTCGCTCCCCTTAAAAATGCGTCTGAAAATGCCAATCCGTATATTTCAATCTCAAACATAATACGAAAAAAATTCCAATGAAAAACGTAAAAGATGTGTTTTTTAAATAACATATTAAGTGATATCGGTTATCAATAAATGTAAATGCTGTTAATGTTTACCACAATATTTGTATCAAAATGAAATATTTTAATTTAAATAGGTATAAAAAATGTATATAAAGCCAAAATTACGAAAAAAAACTTCTGCACCGATATGAAATATCTTGAGCAGTACATAATGATTGAAAAATACGAACAGTATGCGAGAATGAACTAATCCTTTATTTTGGAAAACATAGTCAACTGTTGCTTACAATTGAAAACTATTGTTATATATCCAATATGACCCATAAACTTTTCTGTATTAACATTGATATTTTTAGTTTACTAATAAACATTCATTTCGGATTAAATGGATCTCCCGTTTTTTTCTAAGATCTAACTAGCGATGTGATATTTGACACATATATATGGAACTCGTTAGAGCATTCTAGGATAAATATTAATCTGTAGGCGAAAATCATCACTAATCTATCTCACAGTAGCTTTTAATTATACTCAACTTTTCTTGTTATCCATTGGTGATGTTTCCAAAAATAAAAACACCTTACTCTTGGCCAAAAAATGTATTTTGCCAAACAACGTATCCTTGACTTAACTAATTTACATTTTACGTCATATGCTCAATAGCTTCCTAGCTAGTTAACTGTTTTTTGTTTAATCCAATTATTTTTGAAATTGTAAGACGTGTTCTATGAAGTACAAGAACCACTTATCTGCTATCTATATAGATGGATACAGTTTTAGCAATAACTTTGCGCTTAGTGATTTCTTTCGCGGCTACAGTAATGTCTGCCTCACACCGGACATTTGACCCATATCCAACATAATGTTCATTTTGAGGGATTTGAAGTACACTCCCCATCCAGATTATATATTCGCTCTCCCATGGGTATATAATAATAATAATAATAATAATAATAATAATACATTTATTCTGCAACGCTCAATTTACAATACAATAAACCCCTATAAAGTTCAACCCCTATAAAATAATATAGAGCAACTGTTTTAAAATTATTAGTTCACATGAGATAACTATAGCAAAAAAAGGAAATGTGTACGTGTATATAAAAATTAAAAATTGGATAGAAAATTTTTGGACTGAACTTACTCGAAAATCACTTGCAAATTACTTGTTGGCTGAACATTTTTTGTCTTTTTTTTTTTTTTTTGGTTGAAGTATAATGGTGAAAATGCTTTTAAAGAGAGAGGAACGGTATTGAAAAGTTTGTAAACGTTATATTAGAAGCTTTTTTGAGAAAGAGACGTCCTGTATGGTGGTGGAGAGATAAGACCCCTAAATCTAAGATTTAACCTGTCCGATATGTAATTTAAAATAATGTTGTGAAAAACTGTATTTTCTTTTACCATAAATTAACCGCAAACAGTTTTTTTGTACTCTCTCAATTCTATTTGTGTCAGTTTTATCTACGCATGGGCCATATAAAATGTGTGAGGCACTGAATTACCTCCAGAGCCTTGGTTTGTGTGGTTTTCATGGCCCCTGTATTAAAGATTCATGCCATCCTTTGAATTTGTTTCAATTTACGATTTCCAGTTTTCTGTTATGCCTTGTAACTCTAAACAATCGCATTGTATACAAGACCGAATTTATTTATGGTTTAGGCGCCGAAAAATGTGTGTGTAGTTTTATGAGCCAGACCAAAATATAAAATTAAATCTCGTCTTAAACAATACCCGTTACAATATTTACTGAAGTATATATTTTTAACTAAACAAAAAAGCTTACGTTAGGCGCTTTGGCGTTGCTTCTTGAACCTAACTGAAAGTAAAGTAAAATAGTTACTAAAATTGATAATTAAATAATTGATAATAAATAATAACGTTTGCAAAATGTAGTCCATTTTCGCAGAGTGGAGAGCAAGCATCACCCAAAAAAGTTTATGAAAACTACCACTGGCAACCCAAGCGCATAAGGTGTCGTCAAATCTTTGAAAACTTAAAAAATAAGTTCATAATTTTAAAAAATAAAGGGAGAAAAGGTAGAAGGAAAGTAAAAAGAAAAGAATAAATTTTTAGAAATAATCTCGATTACTGTCGACGCTTTTTATTTAGATTTTGAGTCTGGCGCCCAAGTCAAACACTCAACCCGCTGTGTGTTTTTCGCGGCACAGTGTTGTAAGGTTTTCTCTTATGCATTGTGTCGTATGGTGGTAGTAACTCTGCTGACCTGACGAACGTCTTGCGTATACATTGTTTTCGACGTGGGAAATTCATGTTAACTTGACAGCCAAGTGCAAATATATTTCTTCCAAGGATAGTACTAAACTATAAGGAGGAGGGAATTCTTTAAATGCATTTTCAAATTTTGTTTATTAAAGAGTGCAATTTGTGTGTGCTTTTTTAAACCTCTTTTATTACTTTTTTTCTTAGATCTTTATATTATTTTTTAATTGACAAATTCGCTATAGCAATTTTAGTCTTTGCTCTGCTGTTCTTTCATATTATTGCATTTTTCCTTATACTCAACTCAACTGAAACACGCGCTTCAATTAAAACGTAAAAAAATATCTCTTATGAAATATACAATTTTAATATTATAATATTATAAAATATATGGTACTTTTTAGTAAATCGCGTATCAACAGTAACCACTCTGATATTTTCTTAAGTTAAAGCTTAACTACAAACACTTGGCCTTCTAAAATGGACTTTGAAGAATACAAATTAGTTAAAAATAGAACTTTAGCCAACGAATTGTTCAAGCAGCCACAGAAGCATCGTTTGACCTATTACCATCCAAGTCCCGAACAAGTTTTTTCAAAAGTGGTGCCTGAAAATTTCAAATTAACAACGTTTGTGAAGAAAATATCCATAGGATATAAAGAAAAGAAATCTAGAGTATTAGATAAAACGGATATCGATAAATTCTTAGTAGAAGCACTACATAAACAGACAAATAACCTATGCTTATGGTTAACATTCCAAACACCAAAACAAATAATCCAAGATCATCCAGAATTAAATTACGCCAAGCCAACGGTCGTCATTAATATCTCTCCACAATGCCTTGTATATTCCAAATGGATACACAAGGCATTGTTTTCTTCGTAATTCAGTTCAGTTGATATAGCTTACAAAATATAAAAGGCAAGCAATTCAAACAAACTCACATCAACAAATAATTTTCAAATACCGGTGCGGTGAGCGGCATTTAAGTCACGAGTTTAGTTGAGCTCAGGTGAGCGAGTGTTTAATAAACGAGTGTCTTAAAAAACAAATGTTTAAAAAAGTGTTAAGAAAAGTTTCTCGTAAAACTTAAATATTTAAAAAAATATATATGTTGTACGTAACGTGTCAAACGTGCTTACTAGACTCGCAGTGTATTTGCAAATGGAACTTTCAAGTCTTGTTACGTAAACTAGTATTATAATTAAAACAACTTATCCGATTAAACTAAAAATAAATTTTCAATGTTTTGATGTTTGCTAAAATGACAATTCTCAAATGTATTCTGTAATAACAAATAAATATATAGCATCATTCCTTAGAAGTACATATTCGGTTATTTATAATTAAATCGGCATTTTCATGAAACGATCATTAACTACTTATTTGATAAAACGATTATGAAATACCCATTTACTTGCTCATCATGTATTTGCTTCTCATTCTATACCGGCTGTGTCACTGACTCGCCGCACACTACTGTAGTCGCTTTTAGTTTGTTTACAAAATTTGATCTTATCTCATTGCATTATTGATGCAAATAAGCAATATTATTATTATTACTAGACAGCCAAGTAGTAGTTCTAAGGTTCTAGGTTCTTCTTGATCTGTTTGTGAACTCGATACCAGATACAAATCGTAATTTTCTGTTTATTTATCTTATACTTAATATAAAATTGATAGAAGAAGATAAAGTGCAACATGTTGATAAACTTCTTCAGTCAGTTATCACTAACCAAAACACACTTATGATTGATTATTCATCGTTCATAATCGCATATACCATATTTCATTGTTCGAATCATGAAAATTACTGGAATATTAAAATCTGTGCAGCTATGAGATCAGCAACACCATAGATTTCCGCGACGACCCGTATACTTCGGGCCATCGCATGATAAGCAATATTTAACTAAGAATAACCAACCAAACAACCAAAAACATGCGATGTGAATAATCAGTAATCAGTGCGTTGGTGAAGATGGACGTTACTTTATTTTCTATTGGAGTCGGTGCTGTAGCTGTTATATTGTATTGCTGGTTGAAATGGCACTATTCATATTGGATGCGAAAGGGTCTTCAACAACTCGAGCCGGATCTATTTTACGGAAATTTCAGGGATACGGTGACCAACGACGAAAACGTAGGGGTGACTATGGAACGCCTCTACAATAAGATTAAAGAAAAGGGTTGGCAGTGTGCTGGAGCCTACATGATATTTAAAAAAATTGTTATTCCGGCACATCCCGCAATGCTCAAAGCGGTATTTCAGAAGGACTTTACCCATTTTCCGGGCACGGGTGCGTTTTACCACGAAAACGATTTGCTGGGTCAGCATTTACTCGTCATGGAAGGGGACAAATGGAAAAGTTTGCGGTCCAAGTTGACGCCCGCATTTACCACCGGCAAAATTAAGATTATGTTCGAGGGAATGACTAATAAGTCTGTGAGTATATTACAAGTATTAGTCTTAACGACGGAGAACTAGAAAGAAGGAAGTAGTTTTAGGGTAGAGTAGAGCAATTCAAGTTTTCGATGTACGCACGCGGAGCGACTGTCGCTTTTTATATTTACGAAATCATATACAAGTTTCATTAAAATAAAAAGTTCTAGGAGTAGCCGCAGAATTAATTTTGTTTCAATTTTAAATTATTTATATTTACTCTGCGCAGTTAGAATTTTGTTTACAGTGCACTTTGCGCTGATACAGGAATTTAGGCAGCAACTATTAAAAATATTCTAATATAAATATTCAACATGCGTATGAGCGAGAATTACAGTTTAGTTTTTAACTAATGTCCTTGGAGCATTCAACAACCAATATGGCCGCTGACACATTCTGAATAAGTTTGGATGCGGCATTTCGAAGTATATTCTCAAAATATGACTAAATCTAGAGAATGGAGCAAAGTGCAGGTTAGTGCGAGAAATGAAGAACACCCTCTGAAAATCAGTCCCTTCTTTACGAAAATATCAATGCCGCTTGATTATGGTCTGTTCATAGATATAAAAAAGTGACCGATTGCTTTTGAATGGGATTATCCAAGAGTGGCCATTAACATACAATGCAACTAGATTGTTACCTAAAGTTTCGGAATTTAAATTCAGGTAAAAATGTGGTCCGCAATAGAAAATAATTTTATACGTACCTGTGTTTAATATTCTTTAGTTTGGTATACTACTTAGTTTAAGTTTATTAGTAATCATTCTTATTTAGTGTGTGATGCAGCGTGTGTTGAATCGTGTGCGAAGTATGCAAAATATGCTAGTCTAGTGTATCTCAGGAGATGCTCCCTCCCAAATGTAGAAAACACTATTCTATTGAGACTAAGGAAGTTATAGACAATGTTTATTTGACTCTCATTGAACGTGGTGCCAGCAAGCAAGCATCTTTAGAAGAAACGACCAACAAAACGAAAATTCCATCAACTGTATGGAAAATTGTGAATAATTCCATTTCAGACATTTCTGATTTGTGATTTCTGACATTTTCTCGAGTGTAGATGAAAGTGATATAATACGGCGTAAAATTTACCAGTTATACGAGGAACAAAGCGTATCTACATTAGATATCTTAATTAGAAGGCTTGAAAGAGATGAAACCGGTGTTAAATGTGGCAGAACTACCTTATGGAAGTGGGTTTCACATTTAAAAAAATTGACAAAAGGCAAGTTTTAATGCAATCTTTGAGAATTCGGAAATGGCGACTGGAATATCTAGAAAAAATTAGGATTTATAGAGAACAACAAAGGCCAATTATTTACTTGGATGAAACCGCGTTCGACACTTATGATACCCCGGAAAAGGGGTGGGTTGACTCAACTGATAAGTGTAAAACAAACGCGCGATCAAAAAGAGGTAAAAGAATAATTATTTGGATTCTAGCTCCAAAGATGGTTGGATTCCAAATGGACTTTCTCTGTGTGCGAAAAATATTAAAGATTCTTCTCTGGATTACCATGAAGACACCACCGCTGATTTATTTGAAAGTTGGTTTAAAAACAAATTAGTTGACTAAAACGCCTTCCTCGTGTGACACAAAAGCAACAATCCAAAACTACATGTATAATAACGACATTTATTTTCACGAAGATTATACCAAAAAGCAATTAATTGAGGTTCTACAAAGCTTGAACCTACAAAAGGATAACTATGCAAAAAATCTAGGGCATCCGGTTTAAAGGCTTCCACCTTACCACTGTATATTTAATCCCCGTGAACATGTTTGGCACCACCTGAAATCTGCCATTCGTCGTAACAATGTTTTTCCCCGTCTTAACTCCAATGTCCTCAAATTTATAGAAACCGAAGTTTTTAACATACATCCACAAAGTTGGGCAAATTCTGTTAAATATATAGAAAAAGCAGAACAATCGTGTATCCATATTGCAAATAATATAGAACAAATAATGATTAGAACAGGCGATGATAGCGATAGTGGTACTGATATATTATGTGAATAATTTTAGTTAGTCAGTTTCTTATATCTATGAACAGACTTTACCACAGCAGTGCCATCATATTATGTAAGAGCTATATAATGTTAACTGATAAAATTTTATTTGCAGAAAATTTCGGTTTCTTATCAACTGTTTACAAGTCCGCCTATATTACGGTTTTGGCGCCAAAAAATTTGCATAGTTTTATCAGCCAGACGTAGATAGAAATTTAAATCTCGATTTAAACAATACTCGTAATAGTATTCGCTTACATTCAAACTAATTAAATAGAGCAGATGTTTGGCGACCGGCAAATGATTTGTGAGCCTACCATAAAGTAAAATAGTTCGTAACGGAACCGATAAACGAAACGAATTATAATGTAACTATTATGGTCTAATATCCTTAATTTTTCTTATAAATATGGGTATATAAACATTACATTACATAGTTAACATTTTTTGTTCTTGTTTCATAATGAAAGGAAAAAAAAGAGTAAAAGAGAAATAAGAAAGAATCAAAGCTTTTTATAAAACTTCTGGATTCCTCCTGCGTCGGTTTTTGTTGAGTCGAACTTGTTACTGTTTCGCCAATAATCGTGTTGGCTTCTTCAGAGCTTGACTGAAACTGGCTCGCATTTTACTCTGTACTTGCTTTTATATGGTTTGAGGGGGACGGAGTTAAATGAGGGGCACCGTCTCGGATGACTGATTCCCATATTGGTGATTGGCAGAGACCTGAGTTGCGGCTAAGATTGTTAAGTTGCTTATAAATTTCTATAGACTCTCAGATTTTTCGTTGGTAGAAGAATTGATTACAGGCAACAATTTTAGTTTTATCGAATAAAATTTTATGTCCGGTTTCGTGATTGTTTTCGGCAACTGCTAATGAGGTTATTTGTCTTAGTCTTCCATGCTCTTTCATGTTCAAACAACATTTAATCAATCAAAAAAGCTATTGGGCAAGGCAGTATTCGTTTTGTATGTAATTTATTTTTAGTGTATTTTATTTATTTATTATTTATGCGTTTAAAACTTTGCCTGCTTGTTCTGCGATAAGAACGTGAACAGTCTACGAATTAAATTAGCAGACTTTAATCTAGGATTAACTGAGTACAATTGTGCGTGTCTGTTCTTTTATACACACTGTTTTTTATTAAAATTGAAACTTGACCATGAAATACATTATTTTCATTTTGAAATAGTATTAGTTAATTTGAAGTCATTTTGAAAACAAATTTTATAATGGAAAAAAAAGCTAGAAATTGAATGAGCATATAAGTTAGCAGCGTTTTTTTTTTTTGGGACAAAATTATTTTATTCAGTCACAGTTGGTTTAGTTTAATTGGAATGTTAAAATTAAATATTTGCCGATATATAAGAAAGTGCTCAACAAAGTGCCAGCCAGTATAGATGCGCAGTTCGGGACCCGTGTAATGAATGAAAATGATAACTCAAAAAAACATTTTTAGTACTGGTCCAGATTGTGAAACACTGATAATTGACATCTATTAAAATATTATATATATGATATTAAGTAAAATATGTCTGCGTCTAACTGTGGAATAAAATAGCTTCTGCTATTTCAGGACAATTTGCTTAAAGTGGTAGAAACCTATGCAGGGTCCAAGTCTGTATTCGATGCAAAAGAGCTGGCTTCCAGATACACCACGGACGTGATAGTGACGACCGCGTTTGGGTTGGAATGCGATTCCCTTGAAAATCCCAACCATCATTTTCTAAAGAGTGTTGAAAATATACTCGAAAAAGGCAAGTTTACGTTTGCCGTGGAGGACATAGTACCGTGGTCAGTGCTAGGTGAGTGAATATTTAATGCCAAAACCAAGTTAACAACACTCTCCCCCCAGTATCTTTGAGTCTGGTTTCACCAAGAGCGTAGCTCCAACAACTGAACAGAATAGACTCAAACAATAAAAAAATTAAACCGTTAAGAAGGAAACCATGAAAGGAAAGTACAACAACCAACAATAAGCGAAACAAATAAAATAGAAATTTAGTGTCTTCCTTTCACGACACTTTTTGTATTACCAATTCGCTCACTTTAATTTCTATAAAATTCTTTTTTTGTTTCCTAAAAAAAGAGCCAAGCTTTTAACTTGTTTTGGTAGTACAATTAACTACAAATTTAGGTCCTACGACGATTAAAATTCTTAAATGTACCACACCGTCATATTTTATTTATCGGTTACAGGTATATACACACAATAATAGATTAAAAAATATTCGTATTATTCCAAAACATCGAATGGAACTTTTTAACGATAGGTGTCGCGCTGTGTTGTCTCGTATTGCAACAAATTTATTGTTATCATCATATTACCCCACATTTATTGTCATATATATTTTTTTCTAAATTTTATTGAGTCTATAACAGCACCTGAATTAATGTATTGATGTGTGTTTATTTATTTCAACTTTTTTTCACGATATTGGGTTAATATTATTAATTATTAATTTTATCGCTATTATTACCCTTGTTTGTTGAATTTTATTTTTTAGTGTTTTATTCTACTATCTAAATAAAAGAATAATAATTACTAAGATCATAGTTTCACTTTCACGGTAGTACTCATCAGCTGCACTGGTTGTTTCTTTTGTAGGTTTCTTTGGATGGAAATTTATTGGCACGAAGAAATTCGAAAATTATTTCGTCGATCTGATAACTCGAGCCGCGCAAGTGAGAGAAAAAATGAGCGTGATCCGGAAGGATTTTTTCCAGATGCTCCTGCAACTTAAAAATAAAGGAAACATTACGGATGACGGCGACATTACCGAAATTAAGAGTAAAGGTGCCAACACCTTGACGGAAACAGAAGTCATATCCCAGGCTTTTCTGTTCTACTTTGGAGGTTACGAAACAACGGCAACCACGATCTCATTTTCGCTGCTTAATCTCGCGCAGAACCCGGAAATGCAAGATAAAGTGAGAGAAGAAGTTCGGGAGGTATTAGAGCGTCATAATGGGAAGTTCACCTACGAAGCTGCGATGGAAATGGAGTATTTGGAAAAAGTCGTTTTAGGTAAATGATTTAAAATGATCCTTAGTGTCGTTTTCTTATAAAATTGCATGAAAATAATGCATGTGTACATGCATTCTTCCTGCCAGAGCAATACAACGCCAGCTATGATTATTTCAATCTTCAGGTCAATAATTAATAATTAAAGGTTAATGTCAAACTGTCCTTGACTTCAATTAAAAAATGATAAACCTGTTTTGATAGCAACTTGGTTCCATATCTTTGAATATTTTTATATTTATCTTCCTAAAATTATTTTCACTATTCCATGGCATCCTGCTTATTTAAAAAATATATACATTATGACAAGTTTTTACAGCTTAGTACGACAAATATTTCAGCGTTAAATCCTTTTGGCCCCAACAAATTAAATGGCGCTTCTTCATAAGTTAGTAAATGAAATCCTTAAAAATTATATTATGTCACACTCTGAATTACGCTTGTAATCTGGTCAGTCAGTTTGTCAACCAAAATTTGATTATATCTTTTGGTGTCAAAGTTAAAACTTCTTCAGGCAGCCACTTGAAGATCAATATGTTCTCCTCGCTTATAAACCGTTAGAAAGTGGTCACGTTTTCTTTAAAAATGCATTGTCATAATGCCCTCAAACAGCCAGAGTTCAATTATCAAACGTGGATTTAAATATTTTAGGAAAAGCAAATCCTTTGATTCTGTTATTTGCTTCCTATCACATTATTTTCACAAAAAAAAGGTTACATCAATGTTAATAATCAAAAAGAGATTCTTCGGAGTTCTCTTGATTTGCCCAATTTTGGACTATAACTACCAACGTTGAAACACACACAAAAACTAAGCTGATTCTATAATTAGTACTTCTTGTTATTCGTTTTCGAGAAAAAAACAAATTAAAATCGAAATTTTCTTAATTTCCAGTTAAAATCTCTGGAAATGGTGTGAGATTTTAGAAAACCATGCGTATTAGTTAATCAAACAATTTGATAACCGTAATCCGTAGATAAATTAGAGCAAATTACATAACCGAAACAAACAATTCAGAAAGGTACATTATTTACATAAATTAATGATAACTTAATTTTGGTGACTTCAGGGCATTAAGCATCTAAAAGCACAACTTTCATCCTATTACCCCTTTCATGGTTTAAAAGTTACCTATGCTAACCTACCATAAATGTGGCCATCCTGTATATTAGTACTTATTAACAAAAATTTTGGATTTTTGCTAATAACATTTATTTTAATATATTACAGAGACGTTGAGGATGTATCCGCCATTCCTAATGCTCTTCAGAAGATGCGCCAAAGATTACAAGATACCCGGCACCAACGCTACGATAAAAAAAGGCATTCAAGTGCTGTTGCCCATTGGTGGAGTACACTACGATCCAGATTATTATCCCAATCCAAAAGCTTTCAATCCTGAGAATTTCAGCAAAGAAAATAAAGCGAAAAGACCAGAATGTACTTTCCTCTCGTTCGGGGAAGGACCAAGGATGTGCATTGGTAGGTTTTATGTCAAACCAGCATTATGCAGGTTGTCCCGAATCTTATCCGCTACGCAGTTCACTAAATGTTATGACAAGTAATTCAGTGTGAACCTTTTTAGAAAACTACAATTCGAATACAAATATTGTACTCGAAATTAGAAGCTGAAACATTTTTAAAATCGATGATAATATTCATTTCACCAAAGAGGAGGTTTACAACTAGTCATACTTTGGAAGCATAAAAATTATGTAATCACCATATACTGCACGAACCTTAGTAATGCCAAGTAACCAAAAATATAATGCATTCATGTTGCAGTTGTCTATTTAACTTAAGAAAACATTCTTTTTTTATTCGTCCTTTTTACTGACACAAACTTTTGATGGCAGGAATGCGTTTCGGACTGCTGAATGCAAAAGTAGCGATAGCAACTGTTGTAAAAGACCACATCGTTACAGTAAACAAAAGGACTGAAGTACCAATAGTTATCGATAGCCGAAAGTTTGTAACATCTGCTAGGGGTGGAATATGGCTAGAATTAACCAAGACCAATTAAAACGTGTCAACATTATAGATTTTTTTGAAATAAATATTTACAAAACGAATTGTTTTTTATTGCAATTGACAATAATGATAATATTATCAAAGCTGGATTCTAGAAAATCGTGTATCGGTGGGCGTGGTCTGTCATCGACGCTACCAACGAACTTCTTATTCAATCCTATGCTGATGGCCCCGCTATACTCTTGAAAAATTCATTCACTTTGACAAATTGGTAGTTAATGTCGCAAAAACCAAAATTATTTCCTTCATTCTAAATAACATTCCTCTTGAAGTAATTAATCATTATACAAATTTGAGAGTTACATTAATACGAGTTTTTAATAGTTCCATAGTCAGTTATTTTGGAAGTAACATTGCTGTGTAGGGTTTTACTTTATTCTAATATTATTGAAAAAGCTCAATCTAATTTCTTCACACATTTCTTAACTTTATTTTTTCAATGGAACTTCCACAGGCTACTGGAATACTATATACAAATCTTATGGATTCATGCTGGGTAGGTTGTGTTTAGATTTTTCTGCTGTCGAGTTTATTTGTCGTAGTCTTAAGGCCTTTTGATGTTCTTTGAGCCTAATTGATATTTTTTGTTTTGTTTTGGAAGGTTGTGGTGAAGTATATTTTGTGATGTAACGCTTAACATCTGAATGTGAAAATAAAGTGTTTTAATTCTGAATGACCTAATGTTAGGTCTGATTTTCTATTGATAATAATATCTAAGAATTGGAGATTATTATGAGTTTTTATTTCAATCAACGTAGCATCTCCATAATTTTGTTATTAGATAGAAGGCGTCGAGGGTTTTCTCCTCAAAGGCGTATATATTCGGGATGATAATCGAGAACCCATAGCTGTTCCTCACGTGTGTTCAAAAATTTGACCGTTTTAAGAAAAATATGTTCCAGACAAGCATTTTTCAATTAATGATAACATTTGATTGCAGATTCTCGGATTTTAATATATCTGAAATAATGTTCAGAGTTTCTAATTGTTCAATGAAACAAAAGGAGTTAAATATGAAACTGTCAGTTTTCCCTGTAAAGGACTTTAATATAGAATTTAGAGTATATATTGGAGAACCAATAGCGCTGACAATAGGTATAAGGGTAATCCTGGTTTATGAATCTCATTGGGTCTGTAGAGACGAGGAATTTTAGACTCATAAGAGGTGACTTTTTCACGGATTCTGATAGAATGTTGAGACTAATGTTGCCGAAATGTACTCTCTGCTCTGCTTCCAGAGTACAAAAGTGTGATGGAACTCATTTAAAACTCAAAATATTTAAATTGTGTCTAAACTTTCTGTTCGAGTTACTTAGAATTGGCACCGATATACTTTCAAAGTAGTGGTTAGACGCTAAATATAATTGGTTTGCAGAGATGACTTGTGAACTGCGATTCTCCTGGAAAAATCTTAGTCCAAGCTCTGTAAAACGAACTTTGTCTAACATCCTTATTCAGGCTGACTCGAAATTCTCACTACACGTAGTATTACAACAGTTTAACTACCAACAGTGTTGTTGTCCATTCTAAAACCTAGGTAGTTCCTTATTAGTTTTTTTTGCCTTATTAACGGTCTTCGGAAAAAACTTTCACAAATCATATATACCGTTTTTTTTTCAAATAAAAAAAAATCTCAAACAATGCATAGGAGGTAAAAAAAATTATTAGAAAAAAAAATCTAGAGAGCTGCTGTCACTTGTCAAGACTTTTGTTATTATTGTTTGATTAGTTTATGAAAAGTTTATTGACAAATTATTTTTCAAATGTAATTTTTAGAAGAAAATTTTTTTTAGAAAACATTTTATTTTTTATTTGGAAATTGTAAGTTTTATAATAAAAAATTTTTAGTGCTTACGATCACTGCAAATCCACATAAATGTGTTTATTTCAAAATCGCGACATAACGAAAGTGCGCTTTGAAATTATGATATTATCAAATACGACATATATTAACTAAACACTTTCCGCAACCACCAGAAAATGTAAATAAAAATAAACAAGGAAATAAGCTTCTTAGCAAAAATCATACAAATTCGTTAATTTGTAAACAGTGGTCGTAAGAAGACACCCTGTTTGAATAAATTACATAAAAGAGAAAAAAGTTTTTGGAAAATTTATCTCACAGTAGATATGGCATGTCATTGTGTGTGTTGATTAAAGAGGCTGCTATGCTAATAGGCGATATACATTAAGACCGCAAATGCACTTTGCCGATATCGTACAAATTATGATACCCTTCACTAAGTAAAACTAATTTTTTACTTATTTATATGTACTGATAAATTTGCTCCGCCTGTCTATAATTTAACCATTGTTTCTTATCGTTTGTGATTATTTAATACGTTTGCCATTTAATGGTCGTAATTATATTACCGTTTTTTGAGTTGACAATTTAAATAATACCTTATGCTAGGAATTAACAATACAATATAAACTTCGATGACGGCGAACATTCACCGAATTTTGGCTATCTGCGCGTATAGGCTCTCAAGATATTAAGCAATAAACAATTACAAACTATTGATAACTCAAAGCGATAAAATAAAATTGCAAATTTTTCATGGTAGCTGTAAGGCAATAATTACATTTTACCTCCTGCTTGCAAAACAGTTTCATTTCAGACCATGTATCAGAAATTGCAGTTTTATTTCAACATCATCCTCAATTGGAAGCTGCTGGTATGCCTCGTTCTTCTCAAATACGTTTTAGTTTTATACAGAACTCGCAGATTATTGAAATTTTCATTCGACCACAACGGACCCGCATATTTTCCGCTGGTAGGAAATTGGTATTGGCTCATCGGAAAAGGTTGGTCATATTTTATAGTGAAATGGTATTGTTTAACACCAAACGTTTCTTTCAGCGAATTTGAGTGCGTTTATAGATCTGAAACGACGTTTTTCGTTGCCCTGCAATTTGTGGCTTTCGCAAACCTGTTACAACTACGTCACTGATGTGCCGCACGAAGTGAAAACCATCCTGACTCATCCGAACAGCTACGAGAAGGCGACGTTTTACAGCAATTTCGTCTCCGATCTGTTTGAGAACTCGCTGGCAGTTGACAAGTGTAATTCTCAGTTTATTTCTTTTACACCAACTGTAAAATTAACGGACTCATTTCGGACTGATATTGGACAAGATTTGAATCTAGAGGATAATCTGCGGATGAGAAAGTTAACTGGAGATGAAGTAAACTAAGAAATTGGCTAAGTTTGATTAAGTTCGACATTTCTATGCCGATTTTGGATTTTCAATCAGTAGCTCAAAGCATCAATCCTTCGTTATACAGGGTGAGTATTCGGAAAAGAAGACCAGATCCTGTAAGGTTCTTTATGATGCTGAATTACTTAACACCTCGGGACGTCTTTGCCATTTTCTGTTACATGGCGTTACTATGGAAATATATTTTTTTTATTTTAAGACTACATAATAACAGAGGTACCGCCAAACTGCATCGAGGATTAACCTTTTTTCATTTTTTTATAAAATAAGTAATCAACAGTCTTGCATCAAATGGTGTGTAAAGCAAACGGTCAACATATTTTTTAAAACTTTGTTGACAGATTCGCCTTACTGTTCAAAAGATGTCATACCTAAAATGAGTTTGCTTCTTCATTTATAACATTATACAGACGCAAATCTTACTTACATTAACCGCACGGTATCGCAAAAAGAGAAGAAAAAATGAAATTAACTTCCAACCAAAACTAATCAAAAAAACGCTAGCGTACAAGCAAAGACATACTCATTGAACTGAAATTTAGAGATAAAACTAAATACAATTTTTTTGGTTTTAAATGCTAATTTTTTAAAGTGGTTTTTGAGTTATTTGGTCCAAATGTCCATTTCGTTTTTTAGACTGTTTGCTAAACTACACATTGGGAATCTATTTGTAACTTTTGCTGCTTAGGACAAAAGAGCAATCAATTCCGTAATGAAGTAACTTATAAAGGAACGTCAATGTAAATTTCTTCCTTCTTGATTCTAACGTTTCATAACGAAATTCTTGAAGCAAAGTCTGATATGGTATGTCAAATATGTATAAAAATCATTAAAAAAAATTCTGAATTTTCCTTAGTATATTTATGGTAAAAGATGGACCAGACCAACAAAGCTTACAAGTACACTTCTGACTAGTCAGTTGTACAATGTTTCAGACGTTTTTATTTGTTGAAATTTTGATGCTGAGAATAAAACCCAACACTACATACGCCTTCTTCGTTAATTTGCGCTTTTGTAGTTAATATTATATTATTAAGTCGATAGTCATAATTTAATGGATATTTTTTCGTATAAACGTAAATTTACAACATTTTTGTACATTAAAGGATAATTTGTTTTCATTGGCCTCTTCTTGCGCTCTATGCATATCCTCTTGGAGTAGAAGACAGACTTCCAAATCCCTAAAAACTCTATAAAATCTAAAGTCGTCTGCGAATAATTGAATTCTGAAGAACATTTGGTAGGTTATTTATTAAACAAAGGAGAAAAAGTGAATCCAGATTCGACCCCTCCAGAACGCTTGAAAATAGGTCAAATTGATATGACTATACCATTTACCACCACGTACGTTATTCTTCCCTTTAAGTAGGATGTACATACCTTAAGAGACACTCGATCAAACGCTTTTCAGAAATCCGTAAATATAACGTCTATTGTTTTTATTGCTATCCATGGATTAATTTATTTTATGTGAAAACCTTGTTAAGTTGGTGTTTGCCGCTTTTCTCGGAATAGAGCCGTGCTTTATATAAAATGATTTCAAACATTTTACTTGGTGCGCAAATGATTGCCACAGGTCTACAATTATTAATTTCTGAGTTTTTCCCACGTTTATGGGCAAACTTTTGACATTTTCCATACAATTGGTTTTAAGAATAAGATTAAAAATTATTATTATTATATGTATAGAGGGATCTTTGGGCGTCATTTTTTAGTGGCATCTATTATGTCTTTATTTGAGATAGAATCAATTATCAAGATGTAATTAGTAAACATTATATTATTGCTGAGTTCTATAATATACGAAGATTTTGTATTCGTATATACACTCCGTCAATATGTTCCCCTGCAAAGAACATCGAGCCAGGCAGACCCATAGAGCCCGAGCGTAAGTTTTTAGAGATCAACCAGAATCTGTCGAGTCAACACGAACACCGTGCTCAACGCGCTGAATATATTGCGCATGCGGTACTCTAACTACTAAACTAAATAAATTTTAAAAAATCTGCTTTTTATAATAATTATTAATTATTCTCTGTAAAGTGGAATCTGAGTATCTAAGCTCAGAGGCATTCAGTGAAAAAACAGATTATATATATTTTTTACATTTGGAATAGTGTTTTCAGCTAGGGAATGCAATTTCATAAATTGGCCATATTTCCATAATAATGCAAAAACAAAAATGACAACGTGTTGACTCAAGATCGTAAAAGACTTTGCCACTTCTTTTCCAAGATCTTCTTCCATTCACTCCTTGTATAACGAGGAGGAATTTAGCTACCTTAGCCAACTTCTTAAGTGCCCCATTTCATTTGCAGTTCAGTTTATTTTCAAATACACAAGGATATGTTTTAGGGGAAAAAGCTAGGCTACAGAGAAGATTCGTATCAAAAACTTTTTCATTGAACTACCTAAGACAGTTTACTCACTCGTTTCACACAAACATTTCCACGCTACTTGAACGCGTATCTTCCATCAGTACCGTAGAGGAGCTTATCCAGGTTACCAGCGAAAGGACAGCGTGTAGTATTTTGGGTAAGCAGTTTTCTATGCACTATAAAACTAATCGTTCACGTTTATTTACTTTCTCAGTAAATATAATGGGCCTGAAATCGGAAAATTTTGTCAAAGAATTGGTCTACCACCTCACATGGTAAGTGACGCACTTAAAAAAAAAAGATAAGTCGAAAAGAAAAACTTTTAGCTACCAGAAGTGTTTTTATAATAAAACTTATTCGAGGGCGCTTCCTCCGCGGCTTTGGAGACGTTTTACGAGTCAAGGGCGCGAGGCTGTCCATCACTATTCGAGAATGAGAGATCTAATAAGAACTGTGAGTCTGCAATTGTTGAAATTCATTTAGCATGAGGCTACACAGTCTCCGAACATTTTCCTCGAAAAAAATCCTATTTGAATTTTAATATTGACTGGGAGAGATTATGAGTTACTGTTTAATGTTGATGGAAGGGTTTAAAATTATTTCAGGCGACCAAATTGAGGAAGCAACAGATAAAAGCGGCAGACGACGAAGACACCGAAAAAATGACATTTTTCGATTTGCATATTCTCGGACGAAGCCCATACACTGAAAATGAGTTTGAAGACGAACTCTTTCTCTTAATATTAGCGGTATGACATGACGATCACCTCGGCCGGATAGATGTAACGTCTACTTTTTTCAGGGTATTTCTACGACCGCCGTAACCATAAGTTTAGCACTTGCGCTTCTTGGAATGCATGCCAGTGTCCAGGTAAAACAAGGAACTAATAGTATTCAGCGAAAACTGGCCCAAATTCTAGGAGACGTTGTACGAAGAAGTGAAGAGATGCGTCGAATCAGAAACCGCGATTTTGCATGAAGACATCCAAGAGCTCAAATTTAACGAGCAAGTCATTCTCGAGACTTTAAGGTTATTTCCAGCACTTCCTTTCCTGGGTCGTTACGTTCGTAACGATATTGACTTGGGTAAGTGTACCGGATGCTTTTGGCAACTGATTCGGTTCTACATCTAAACCATAGTCTCAAAATTAACCAATAACAAAACGTCTTAAATATGTATTTGTTGATTATTTCTTGGTAAAAAGTTTTAAATATTAGAAACAAAATTTTGGATCTAGACTAGACGAATGTGAATTGTATGTAATAAACATCAATTTGAGCTGCGAAAAAAAGATTATTTGTAATTCTTACGATAGATTACATTTTTCTAAAGCCTGCAATGCAATAATTAATGATGAAATTAGTTTTATTCCTTGTAACGCTATATTGACATCCATTGATGTTGATCGTAACCTCACCTGTTTTTTTGAAAAATTTTCAGAAATTCTAGATACACATGTACCAAAAATTATTATAAAAACAAACGGAAATATCCCTTCTGGTTCTCCAAGCATACTACTGGATTGATAAAAGCAAGGAACGAGCGCACAGGGACTGGAAAAATAGGAGACAAATAGTAATAATAAAAGTAATAATAGTCTTTATTGAGAATTGAGATACATAATACACAGTATACAATACTAAATTCTCAAAGCAAGAAGTCTAGCTTACTAAGTCAGCTACTCAACAAAGTTTACGAAGATTTTTCAAATTTAAGAAAAACCGTTAAAATTAAAATGATATAACAGAACAAAATATTAAGCAAGATACAAAATATTTTTGGTCGTTTATTCGCAACAAAAAAAACACAAAAAGTTTGTCACAAAGAATCATCCTAAACCTTGGTATCTGTGAATTTTTCTCAAGCTTCTTTAGTAGTGTCTTTGAATCATCAGACACCTTTTCACTATTAAAACCAATTCCATCACAAGGAGGGACCTGGTTTTCCTTCGATATTTTTAAAATCATGCTCCGATCTTTGTGAGCCCCTCTTTTTACTATACAGTCAATCCACCTTAACTCGTAAATATTTTGGACTTTGGAAAATCGACCAAGTCGTGCCCATTTTGAAATCCGGTGATAAGGGTAATGTAGCCAACTACTGACCGATCTCCCTCTTAAGCCACATCGGCAAGTCGTTTGAGTTAATTGTTTTGGAGTTAATTGTTTTTTATTGTTAAGGGGCATATTAACCCGAATCAGCACCGATTTTTTCGTAAAAGATCAATCTTAACTAATTTGACAATATGGAGCGGGGGTTCGAGACTTGCGTTTTGCTCGCCCTCCTTAATAGTTACTTGTGCGGGCGATCTGATGGGATAAAATCAAAAAGTACAAATATAACTTCGGGGGTACCTGAAGGGTCGCATTTGGGTCCCTCACTGTTTGCTATTTTGCTGAATGATGTTGGCAACTACTTTTTACATAGTACTTACTCCTTGTAGGCAGATGATCTAAAAATTTTAACATCGTTTCATTTGGCGGCAGACTACGTATTATTGCAGAGAAATTTGTCAAATTTTGAAGAAAATTGTTTTCTGAACAGATTGTTTGTTAATCCTTAGAAATGTCACTTTGTTTTTTTTTTTGCTTACACAAAAATTACCGCAATTCCAAATTAAAAGTGATCTGTACCTAAATTTTCGGTTTAATAATACTCTTTTACAGTCTTGTCAGACAGGTGTTGGAATATGCTACGTCAGTCTAGAATCCAATGTATTTTAAATATATCTAACGGCTGTGTACACGGAGTGTACAACGAAAATTTGTAAATGCTATAAATTGTAGATTTAATAGGCAGAGACATTTTTTAAGTTGTGTTGCAAACTTTCATTTCTATTGTATGCGGTCTTTGGGAACTCGTAGAACAAATTTTGATTCACTATTTCTTTGCAAAGTTGGAAACAATTTGACTGAATCTCCTTTCGTTTTGGAAAAACGACCTATTTGCTGAGCGTTGAAGCCTTTAAACGACACTTAAGACGGTATACCAATTAACAATAAATGGCTGTAATTAGTTCTTAAGTAGATTTAGCTGGTAAAAAATAATTTAAAGTAGCCATTTTGTGCTTTCTTTTTATTTGACAGTTGCGTATGAAGGAAAGACTTGTTTAAAAATAAATACATAAATGCTTTCCACAATGTTACTGATCCGAGTCAAATCCGTATTGGCATTAAATAAAATTTTTAAAATGACTACAAGGCAACTTTCTCATTGATATATTGTTAACAATAATAATAAAATAATAATATTTATTTTCCCAAAGAATACTACAAAATTGTATAGAAATATTCAAAATACATAATAGATACAATATACATAGACATATAAAAAAAAATTAATCAAAAAAATTTGTCTAGACTACGCAATGTTTTGGATAACAAAAATATTTTTAATCGTTATTTAAATAAACAAGGTTTTAAACTTTTGTCTCTTAACTCCAATGGCAGATTGTGAAAAATACCAACACCTAAATAATCAGGTGACCTCGAAGTCGTCGACAGTAGGGAACATGCAGCTTACCGCTCGGTGTTGTATGTTTAGAACGTACGTCACCAACTAACTTAAAATTCGATAAATTGTTAAACACATATAATGCCATTTCAAAAATCAATAGACTCGCCAGTGTGAGAATTTTGTGCTGGGCAAATAAACCCCTACAAGATGTAAACTTGGAAATATGCGCATTACTCCTTAATACACGTTTTTGAGCCAAAAATAATTTATCGGCATTTTTCAGATGCTCCCAACAAATTGATCCCATAACGTAATCGGGTTATTTTCCAATATTTCCTAGAGGATTCTTCCTAGAGATTTGTGGAAGCAATATCGAAATTAAATTTTGGTTGGATTGTTTGTCTCTCTTTTATAGGCACGAAGATAATACCAAAAGGTTCTAACGTGATACTGCCTTTATATTTAATACATCGGAATGAAAAATTTTGGCCAAATCCAGAAAAATTCGACCCCGATCGATTTTCGTCACAGAATTTGGCAAACATTGTACCAGGGTCGTACGTTCCGTTTTCGATGGGCGGGAGAGACTGCATCGGTAAAAATTAATTTAATTCCGACGATTGCAATTGTACTGGCAATTGTTGCTTTACAGGGAAGACATACAGTATGATTTTTATGAAAATGGTTGTCGCTAACGTCGTCAAAACATTTAAAATCGAGTCCAACAATCAAAGTGTGGAGGACTTTAAAATTGCTTCGCACATAGACTTAAGACCGAACGGATATATAGAATGTAGATTTATCCCTCGCGATATGGGATATAACAAGTGAAATAAAAATATTGGAAAACCTTATTATTATTAATTATTAAATACTGCAAAGTGGTAAACAAATATTGTGGACGTTTTTCAAATGTCCGTATTTGGAGAGGAATATATAAATATAAATTAAGTTTCAGCTAATTTTACATTTATTTAAAGTCTTTAAAATTCCGCAAGGCTGTAATCAATTAGTGTGATATAATTGGTCAAATAAAATAACTCTTATATTTAATCGGTGTGAAGTTAGCAGCCAAAATTACGGGAAGAGCCGAACAACCAGTGGCGGCGGAGATTTCACAACCAGCTTAGGAGGAAACTGATTTATATTAAACAGATCTCTCGCTTTCGTTTGCAGAGAAAATGCTAAGTTGCGGTCTCGTATAGGGTGAAGCTAAAAAGTTTTGAAAATACATTTTTTCTAATTTAATCAATATTTGCGCACTTTCATTTCTGAGACGAAAATATGTCAAAAAAAGTTAGCATTCGTTTCCAGTAAAAATATTCTCTTGCACTCCCGTACGGGAGTTGCCATAGGCTGAAACAGAAAAGTATTAGATCATTTTTTCTATTTAATCGAAATTTACACAATTTCAATTCTTAATGAAAATGTGTACATAAAGGTTAGCTTTCGCACGGGGCCGCAGCCGATCATTTTCTCTGGAAACGAAAGCGAGAGATCTATTTAATTTAAATCAGTTGCTTACTAAACTGGTTTAGAAATCTCCGCCGCCACTGGTTGTTCGGCTCTTTCCGTAATTTTGGCTGCTAACTTCACAACGGTTTATATTTAGCCGACATTATAAGAAAGGGAATATTGACTGTTGACTATTGACACGTGGACTCTAAAGCCAATAATTACAGACTATTGATAACTTAAAGCGATAAAATAGAATAGCACATTTTACGTTGGTAGTAGTATTCCAGTAAGGGCTAAGCTTTTGCTACCAATACATGCTCATTTCAGACCATGTTTCAAAAAATACTGTTTTATTTCAACACCATCCTCACTTGGAAGCTACTGGTATATCTCGTTCTTCTCAAATACGTTCTGGTTTTATATAGAACTCGCAGATTATTGAAATTTTCATTCGACCACAACGGACCCGCATATTTTCCACTGGTAGGAAATTGGTATTGGCTCATCGGAAAAGGTTGGTCATATTTTATAGTGAAATGGTAACACCAAACGTCTCTTTCAGCGAATTTGAGTGCGTTTATAGATCTGAAACGATGTTTTTCGTTGCCCTGCAATTTGTGGCTTTCGCAAAGCTGTTACAACTACGTTACTGACGTGCCACACGAAGTGAAAACTATCTTGACTCATCCAAACAGCTACGAGAAGGCCACGTTTTACAGCAATTTCGTCGCTGATATGTTTGAGAATTCCCTAGGAGTTGACAAGTGTAATTCTTTTTTTTTTTCTTTTTTTTTTAAACAAAATTTCTTTTATTGGGATATTGGAAATGGCTTGAATATAGATTAAACTGCTGCTGATAATAAACTGAACTGTTAAATGTCTTGAAGGTGGATATGATTGGTTCAGACTTTTCAAGGCGTTTGATAGAGTTTATCAGGGTGTATTGATGGAAAAGTTAGTTCATTTTAGTTTTTCAAAAGGCACAGATAGTAGGGTATCATCTGATATTTCTCATTATACGCCTTTGCTCTTTGAAATTTTAATTAACGATGTTGCTGATTGCTTTAGAAACAATAAATACTACAGTTATTTAGAAGGATTACGTCCGTTTCCGTCACGACATTGGAGACAACGTCTCACTTTAACAATTTCAGTCGCTCTCGTATCTAAAGAAATTTTTTATAAAGCAAATTAAATAATTTGATTCTATTGGTTAAGAAATTGTTGTTCCCATACATTTGCTTTCAAATTCATTATTTTAATTTTTCATTTTAATTTTTTCATAATTTCGTCAGCATTTACTGTTTGAAAGGTGTTTAAAAAATGTTTATTCAATTGTTTACCATTGACCAGTTTAGAAGGAAAAACAGAAAGCCCATTTACAAAGACGACAGGAAAGGTTCAACTAAAAACAAAACGAGAAACAAAAATACACTTGGAATATCCTGTGGATTACTGAGAAGGAATTTGAATCCACCATTAACTCTGTTTTTGCGGAGGGCTATTCCGCAACAACTTAGCCAAGTGTCGCACTTCATCTGCAGTTCAGTTTATTTAGCAAATACGCTGTGCATTAATTTCAGTCAATAGTCTAGTCTGTAACAATCCAATTAATTTATGATTCAGGGGAAAAAGCTAGGCTGCATAGAAGATTCGTGTCAAAAACTTTTTCGCTGAACTGCCTAAGGCAGTTTACTCGTTCTTTTCACACACACATTTCGAGTCTAGTTGAACGCGTATCTTCTATCAGTAACGTGAAAGAACTTATCCAGGTTACCACCGAAACGACAGCGTGTAGTATTTTGGGTAAGTAGTTTTCTTTGAGCTGTTGTTGCAAAGATAATCGTGTAATTTTAACTATCACAGTAAGTATAATGGACCTGAAATCGGAAATTGTCGTCAAAGAGTTAGTCTACCACTTCATATGGTAAGTGATACTGTAAAAAAAACTATAAATAGAAAAGATACACTTTTAGCTACCAGAAGTGTTTTTATAATAAAACTTACTCAAGAGCCCTTCCTCCGTGGCTTTGGAAACATTTAACGAATCAAGGCCGTGATGCAATCTATCACTATTCAAGAATGAGAGATCTACTAAGAACTGTAAGTCGCCAAATCTTCAAAATCATTAATCGTTGAGTATTCCTTGACACATCCCATTGGGGAGAGAGTAATTGGTGACTGTTTTTGATTGATATTAACGCTGCCTTAGTTATGAAAGGCTTTAAATTTATTGAACACTTGTTTTCAGGCGATCCAATTAAGAAAGCAACAGATGAACCCAGCGGATGACGAAGATACAGAAAAATTGACTTTTTTCGATTTACACGTTCGTGGACGAAGCCCATGCACTGAAAATGAGTTTGAAGACGAACTATTTCTCCTAATAATAGCGGTATAGCATCACGATCACCTCCGCTGGATAGAGATGTAATGGCGGCTTTTTTCAGGGTCTTTCTACGACCGCCGTAACCATAAGTTTAGCACTTGCGCTTCTTGGAATGCATGCCAGTGTCCAGGTAAAACAAGGAACTAATAGTATTCAGCGAAAACTGGTCTATATTCTAGGAGACGTTGTACGAAGAAGTGAAGAGATGCGTCGAATCAGAAACCTCGTTTTTCAATGAAGACATCCAGGATCTAAAATACAACGAGCAAGTCATTCTCGAGACATTAAGATTATTTCCAGCCCTTCCGTTACTGGGACGTTACGTCCGTAACGATATTGACTTGGGTAAGTGTACCGGGTGCTTATAAATTATATCTCAATTTGACATAAAATTGAAGTTTTCCGTATTTAGAATTTGATTAAAGTATTCGTTAATTAGTAGACTGGTAAATGCTGCAATTGTAGTTAGAGCTTTCTTATTGGTATATTGATTTTATTTATTTATTTATTTTTTATACACTATTATTAACAATTTACAATTAGTGAATAACAATTACAGTGACAAAAAGGATTGCACCTCGATTATAAAAAAGATCGCTTGCACTAGCTTCAAGCATGCGCGACACAACCCTGCATTTTAGTTAAAAACCGATAAAATTATATTATAAATAAAAAAAACAAATATTTAAAAAAATAAAATAAATTACTATAAAACTAAGACAAATAATTAGCTCTCTTATATGGCCGGGCAAGGAATTCCACATTCGAACCTCAACAAAAATAAGGACTTTTGAAAAGCAGCCGTTCTGTGTTTAGGAACACTGAAGTCTTTAACATTTCTAGTGCCATGAGGATGGAAGAAAATATTGAACTGCTGCCTAAGATATGCGGGTTGGCCGGAGTTTAAAATTCTAAAAACAAAATTATACATTTGACACTCTCTGCCAGAAGTCATATTCATAATTTATATATTATTACTATTTAAATATGGCGTAACGTGAAGAGGAAAAGGGATATTGTTAGAAAAACGCATACAAGAGTTTTGAAATTTCTGTATAGCATGAACTGTGTAATTATCTAGTGAGCTCCCGTAGACAACATCCGCATAATCAAAGACAAGAGCAAAACTTTTTTAAAACCGTACAGTTCCACAAAATATGTTGAAATTTGATTCGACGTGATTCTTTTTTCATTCAGCAGCTCTGCAAATTCTAAACGATTTTACAGATTTCAACAAAATTACTCCATCAAACTAATTCTTAGTGATGCCGCTAGAGCGCGCTTTGTGATATTAAACTATAGTGAAATGATATCTAAAGAGTAAATACCGGGCTCTAGATATTCTATTCCGCTGTTGCATCGGTTTTTTCTTTTCTTTTTTCAAAATTCAAGATTCAAAATATTTAAATCATAATAGTGTTATTAGGGGCGGGCTTAATAATCAATATTCAAGTACATGGATACGCAGAATATGATAAGTAATCAAAATTAAAAATTTAAAATAAAATATATTTTTGTATATTTTTCTTTCCTTTTATAGGTACCAAGATAATACCAAAAGGTTCGAACGTGATACTGCCTTTATATTTAATACATCGGAATGAAAAATTTTGGCCTTACCCAGAACAATTCGACCCAGATCGATTTTCGTCACAGAATTTGGCAAACATTGTGCCAGGGTCGTACGTTCCGTTTTCGATGGGCGCGAGGGACTGCATCGGTAAAAATTAATTTAATTCCAACGACTTTAATTGCACTGGCAATTGTTGCTTTGCAGGGAAGACATACAGCATGATTTTTATAAAAATGGTGATCGCCAGTATCGTCAGAAAATTTAAAATTGAATCGAACAATGAAAGTGTGAAAGATTTTAATATTGCCTCTCACATAGACCTAAGACCAAACGGCCATGTAGACTGCAGATTTATCCCTCGCGATAATGGAATTAACAAGTGAAATAAATATTTTGGAAAATTTTATTTATTAACAATAATTACCAGACAATCGAAAGTAGAAGGCAACTATTGTGGACCTTCTTTTAAGTCAAAATTACTCGAAATATAAATGAATTTTTGAGCAGGAATGGGCATATAAAGTTTTAAGTTTCAGATAGCGTATTAAAATAAACAAACCTGTTTTACTAGCATCGCTGAAATCTACATTGATTAGTGGTAAAAAATAAATTTTGGAAATTTAATTTGGGCTACTTTCATTTGAATACTCTAGATCTCATCAGAAATGGTGTCTTCAATTATTTGCTCAACCCTTTGCTTCGTATAATTGGCCCATATTATAATAAAGCGTTATTACCTGATTAAGTGCAACAGATAGCTAAAATAGGTAACAAGAAACGTTTAAACCCACTAAAGATAATGTAAGTCTATGCTGAATTATCAACTTGTTTGTCGGCAAGGTACGTTTAGGTAGGTCACTTGCGTGACGTCTACAAAAAAATATTCTACGTCCATTTTGCTGTTATTATTTAATTATTTAAATCGAATTGTTTATTCACGGTAAGTTATATCGCTGACTGACAACAATGGACGGCATCATAAGCATAAGATCATACGGCGAAATAATCCTGAGTTGGAAGACAATGATTTTAATAATGCTGATCAAGTACGTCATGGCGTTAGTGAAAAATCGAAATATTCTTAAGTTTTCTTGGAGTCAAAATGGAGCTGCGTATTTGCCGTTCATCGGTAATTGGTATTGTATGGTTGGAAAAGGTTACGCATCCCAATTAATAAAATTATCTACTTCATATCACAACTTACAGGTACATTAGAAGGGTTTATAGCTCTTAAAGAGCGGCATTCCCTTCCCTGCAACTTATGGACCTCGCATAGTTGTTACAATTACGTGACGGATGATCCAGGTGAAGTAAAAATATTCCTAACTCATCCGAGCAGCTTCGAAAAAGCTACGTTTTACGATGATTTCATTACCGACCTAGTGTTCAAAGATTCCATACTAACCGACAAATGTGAGTAAAAATTATGTTGTAATTATGCCATTGGTGCCTTTTTAATTTTAAACCTTCACACTCTCACCCACCGTCTTTAAACTTTCCTGTTCACCTCACATAGGGGGGTGGGGTGTGTTCGCAGCACTAGGTAATTTTTGTTTTCTAGGGGAAAAAGCTAGACCAAATAGGAGATATATATTAAAAAGCTTTTCTTCACAACACTTAAAGAGATTCGTTACTTGCTTTTATGTTAATAGTTGCTGTCTAGTCAAACAGCTGAAACATGTTAGTAGTAGCGAAGAAATTAACCGAGTCATAACCGAAACAACTGTGAATACTTTTGCAGGTACTTAAGCATTTGTGATAATAAAAATAGTAATGTCGTCGAAACATCCTAACTTTCAGCAAATATTATGGGCCTGAAATCGATGCCATTTTCAAAACAACTGGCGCACCATTTAAGAAGGTACAGTTTTCTCAGCTACATGCTCGGATCAGATAATCAGATGCCAGAAACACATTCCCTTTTTAGCACTCAAAAATGTTTCTACGAAAGGCAGTGGACGAAGGCCCTGCCGAAATGGTTTTGGACGCGTATGACATCCGGAGGAGTCCAGGCTGTTCAACATGTCTCTTCCATGAAAAAACTTATAAGGACTGTAATTTTTGCTTTTGCTTTTTCTTTAAACTTCTGACAATTTACTAACATGTATTGTTTCAGGAGATCGAAATGAGGAAGAGAGAAACATCAAATCCCGTGAAGGATAAACGCTATGGAAAACAAACTTTTTTCGATATTCACGTTGGAGGAGATGGGCCGTATACTGACGAAGAAATGGCTAATCAACTGTTCTTCATTATGATGGCAGTACGATATAATAAATTTTTATTTTTGAATTATTTAACACACAAATTTTCTTAACTATACGAACATTTCAGAATGGAACTAATCGTTTTAGGGTACTAACACAACTGCTATAGCCCTCACGTTATGCTTAACTTTTCTCGGAATGCATATTAATGTACAGGTAAAATGGGGTAGATCTAGTAATGCTTTAATAATAAACCCTTACTTGTTCAACAGGAAAAATTGTACCAGGAAATTAAAACCATCGTTGGACTAGAAACTTTTCCAGAACAAGTCGGCGCGTTAAAATATACAGAACAAGTCATTCTTGAAACGTTACGTTTGGTACCAACGATTCCATTTATTGGTCGATATGTAGTTAACGATATAGACCTGGGTACGTTGAAAGCATCAGTTGCCTTACAACTTTGTGACACCCATTTTGAGGCCCATATGTAAATATCACTTCAAACATCCAGAATCTAGTGAAGTCATTACCTGACTCTCCTAGCATTTGTTTCAACTTTTCTAAATAATCTATTAGGTACACCTTCGCTTTGGAGCTCTGTATTATACATTCTTCTTTATTTATGGAGCTGTGCATCTTCTAATCCTAAAATTAGTTTTTCTATCCTTGTTCACCTTTATAAATTTTTCTGAAGCACTTCCTTTCCCAAATTTGTTAATCACTTTTACAGATTGTCCAGGTTTCCATTTTCTTCCTTAGTACTCTATTCTGTACCTACTTTTTCATGTTTATTTTGCCACTAAATGGTGAGCATACCTCTGGCAAGCAATATGATTGTCCCCTTACTAGCGTCACTCTTTATTTTGGATAACTTTTTAATCCGTTTATGTCATATATATAATATGCATCTAACAGGATCCAAAGTAATACCAAAAGGATGTAACGTGATACTGCCTATATATCTCATCCATCGAAATGAAAAATATTGGTCGGATCCATTAAAATTTGATCCAGATAGATTTTCACCGCAGAACGCGGTTAACATAGAACCGGGTTCTTTCATTCCATTTTCGTTTGGAGGTCGGGACTGCATAGGTACGTAATCGATTGGCAAGCACACATAAATTGACTTAAATCTTGCTGCGTTTTAGGAAAGAGTTATGGCATGATGTTTATGAAAATAACGCTGGCTAACATCATTAGAAATTACAAAATCGTATCGAATAATTGGAGCATCGATGAGCTGAAACTCGTTTCGCATATAGATGTAAAACCCACTGGAAATGTGGATTGTAGGTTAATCTCTCGTCAAGATGGAGGCACTGCTTGTTAGTGCACATTAAAGTAACTGCCATTTTCGAATAATTCGACATAAATAACGTAGCAAAACTGTCTTCTGAATATGTCAACATTGTTTCAAAAAATTGTTTTTGGGTTAATGGTTAGCACGAATACTAAACGAATATATACCAATTAACATTATACCAATATGTATCATATTATATTATTATTAAATTTGCTTTTTTAATAAAGTGAGCACCTATATTATTAGATTGGATTATGAGTACCAGGTCTTTATTGATTACTTAAGATTACTTAAGATTACAATAATAACATTATTTATTTTTTATTTTTTAAGAATGAGTGGACTACCCCTATTATTCCTCTTTACTAAATTTAAAGAAAAAAAAATTTATTCAGAAACTTTTGTCCAATTTTTTCATAATACTTAATGTTTGCAAAGAAACAAATAAAATCTATATCAATACGTAACGGCATAAAAAAAATATTACATAAAAAAATCGAGTGGGATGTCTAATCTAGTCATTTCTTAAAGGGTTTCCTTTTAATGCTTTATTTGATATTGTTCGGTTAGTTTTCACACAAAATGCACCTAAAAAATTAATATCTGATCATTTAAATATTCGATAACAAAAATTACACTATTCCACGAATGGCGCAAAGAAATATATTTTTTTAATTAACTGACAGAGAGAAAAACAATGGTATTTTTGTTCTAATATTGCTCGCCAAACAACTTACTAAAGAGGGCATTTCTAAAAGATGCTTTAGTATTTAAGCTTCAAATGATCTTTACTTATTTTTTCACATTATTTATTAGTTTCACACATTGGCAAGTAAAAGATCACTTGGAAAGTTCCGTTGCACGCGGAGGTGGCGTAAAGACGCCCCTAAAATGAACATTAACTTTGTGTAGATCCGTTCACAAAATTGTTTCCTCCTGGTTGAACTACAGTATTGTATAAAAAAGTATACTCATGTCAAGATATTTTCTGGTAGACATATTAAATCAATTGTTGAGTTTCAAAGTGTGATTGATGGAATGATACCTTCTTGTTGGATAAACTAATCGTTAACAAGAATTCTGCAACTACAGAATTCATCGACCATCAATGCATCGCATACACCGGTACATACCGTGACAGCCATAACAATAATTAGGGTCTTTAAAAATTTTATACATTATTATTGGAGTAATTTAACTGCAAATTATGTAGTTAATTTCGGGAATGCTTTGGGTAATGTCATTGGACTTTGCAGATGGTCATAATTTGTAAAAAGCTTAAAGTATTTCCATCATAAGTAACTAGCAAGTAGTAGAAAACTATAAAACTATAGCACTTTGTCCAAAGCCCAGAAATCAACATTGATTGTGTCTAAAGTGTAGTCCAGCAGTACTAGAACTGTAATGTTGGAAATGTTTATTTTTATTATTTATTATCTTGTTTGATTTGTTTGATTTTAAATATATGTATATGTTTTTTTTTGCTTTATAAGTAAATATATTATGTAATATGAATTTAATTGGAAGTCAAGTACATTAACATTTTTTTTTATATTCAAACTGGACACTGCTTTTGCGTCTATGAAGTTCACTCGGTAAATTGGTTAGTGGTTCGTAGATATAGGTCATTGTTGTTTCTTTATACATACCTGTACCGTTAATTAAATAAATAAATAAATAATATAGCCTTAATTTTATGCTTAGTGAAGGCCAGCTGAGCTATTCACATAACAAAATATACATCAAATTTTGGTATCCCAATTTTATATATAAATATCAAATAATATAATCAATCAAGCACAAGAAACAAAAAAGGAAAGACACATAATAATAACATTATATAAAGGAAAATTCATAGACAAAAGTATAGCAATTGAGATGAACCAATGGCTTTACAGAAAGGGAAGACCGGGAAAAAGAAATTTGTATTTGGTTGTTGAACTCAACAAAGCAACTCGACATATCTGCTGTTACACAATAGTCCTGAGACTTCTATCGCATATTGTCTATCGAAAATAGCTGATATTTATCATCCAGTATTAGATTTGAATCCCTACTATTCCAACTCGACACAGACACATGATTGAGGGTATCGAAAGTTTTATTATGTCTAATAAAACCAAATCCGGCGTTTCTCACTTATCTGTTGCTGAGAGAATGTCATCCAAAACTCTGAGCAAATCCGTAGCCGTACTACACCTTTGGCGAATTCCCGACTGCAATTTAGTTGTTATGGTCACTCATTTTTGGTAAGGGTGTAACCTGTGCTATCTTCCACTAGTTAATAGATTGAAAAAATAAGCAGTATTGTTGGACAGTAAAATTTTAGCATTTCTTGTGCGCCATGTGCATTGGATTTTGATCCCGAGATAGCCCTAACAACCTTCTTCTCGTTTATTTGTCCGAGCACAAATTTTGCTGATGTACATGTTGTATGGAGGTATTTGGCAATAGTATCAAAATCAACAGTCTTAGGAATCTGACGTACAGGGTCTATAAAAGAATTATTACTAAGCTCACTATTTTTCAGATAGTTAGGCCTATCTAAGTTCTTTTTTGATCTGCTGTAGATGTTCAGATGGATAATAGTTTCAAAAATCTATTTAGATTTACATAGTCAACATCATTTTCCTCTATCAATTCGTTTGTTTCAGTAGGAAAATTCGATTAATATTAAAAATGCATTTCCCGTCAGTCGCCCTAAAAAATTTTCAAATTTTAACCTAGTGCCTTCGTTGCTGAACGAAATCAACAACAAATACTTTCGTGTAGCGGTCGCTCTAGCGGCTGCATACTAATTCCACGTCAAGCAAATCGTTGGAGCCATTTTTGGATTTCCGCTAAATCAAACGCGTTATCCTTTACGAGATCAAAAATTATTACCGGCATATTTCGGCCACCTTAATAGCGGTATAAATATTAAAGGGGGCTCGAACATTTTTCATTTACCGATCGTCCGCCATATTGTCCAGCGCGATGCTGAAGTACTGTGCCATCGTGTTTTTGTTCGTTCCACTGTGCAGTGCGGCCCCGAAAATTGACAGCTCCGCGCGGGATAACCTCCAAGTACTGTACATGTACCTACAACATTTAAACGTTGATCCTTTTTCTAAAATTTGATTATGTTTTTTATTTAATTTTTTTAGAGCTATGTATTATTTACAATTGTTCATTTTTGTTATTAATTAATGGATCCTCTATTTATATTACAAAACAAAATCGTTAATGCAAATGCAAAATTATAAAAAAAAAAATACTGTAAAATTCAATTCGCTTTTATTTTAAATTTGCTTTTTGCGTCTTCTGAGAAAACTTGGTCTTCACCAACCAATCATTGTTTCTCTGCTTAAGGTCACGGATGACCTCTCTGTCATCCCGCACTCTGGTAGAAGTAGCGCTGAAGAACCGACCTTCGAAACATACCTGGAGGATTACATCAAGTCCAAAGAGGTGTCTTTCGATATTCCCCTGATAGGTTCCACTGTCACACTCGCCGGAAGAAACTTGGACAATGAAGAACTTGATTTCAAACTTAAATTTGACGCGGACAGCGAAGTTCAAGGTAAATTAACCACTTTGCCGATATAATCAATTTTATCGATTCTTTTTCAGCACGCAAAAAGTCTAAAATCAAGAAGATCTTCATCCCGATCTTGGTATTCATCCTCATCAAAGCGATGACGCTCATCCCTCTAGCCTTGGGTATTCTCGCGATCAAGGCGTGGAACGCTATCCAACTCTCGTTCATCTCCTTCGTAACGACATTGGCGATGGCGGTGTGGAAGTTGTGTTCCAAGGTTAGCGGTGATCATCCGCCACCACCTCAAATCATCCACGAACATTGGGATCCTCATCACTACGCAGCCGCGAGATCCGATGACATTGAGGGCATGCAGATGGCCTACAGTGGATATGCGCCCAATAAACAATGAGCGATATTCCAGCTGTGATTGTTGATTATTTATTTCGTTACAATAAAAATGGTTTTAAAAATGCAGTTTTTCTAGTACTCCTATCCTCGAGCTTGTGCTTGGAAAAATTAATCTTTCATCAAGGACACGCGAGATGTATCATAAGATTTACATGGAGCTTTCATTTCTACCTACATTTTTTGTTGTTGTCTTTTACAATAAACCTCCAACAAGGACACCTCAAAACAGCTTAAGAAAGGATCTAACTAAAAAAATTAAATAGCATATTAAAAAACAACAATCAACAACAACTTTCACTTTTTTGCATACCTAATTTTATTACGTTGTTGATGGTGTATATTAATTTCATGCATTTTTGATTTGATTAAAGAAAAATTGGAGACTATCGACACCTTTTTTGCGAAAATACATTTCCTCGATGAACGATTTCAGCGCTCCAAATTCTAGCCTCGCACGTGTGCGTGCAATCCGCATGTAAATAAAGCACTCGTTTAATATTCAGTCAGGGTGATCGGAAAAGAATTCGGAATCTCACTCTCTACGGCCAAAGTATACCACCACTACATTTAAGGAAGACGTTGATATAAATAATTAGGTTTTGACCATATCGTAGTATTAGCGAAAATGGCCATTGTGATCGCAGCAACACTCGTAGTAGTTTTCACCTGCGGCTTTGCTTTAGGAGTTGAACGTTTGACTACCAGCGACATTCAAGAAATCTTGCAGGTACTTGTTTTTGTATCTTTCATTTTATTTGATATCAAAAAAATGTTTGTAATTCCAGATCGGAGGAAATGTGAGCGTGATAGAAATACCTACCAAATCCGCTCGACAACTAGACGGTTCGCCAGAAGATAGTATCGAAAACTTTTTTAAATCTCACGAAATATCCCTGGAAGTTCCTCTAATAGCGTCGACGGTGACTTTGGACGGCAGGAGCTTGGACAACGATGAATTTGGTGTAAAATTGCGAATGGTTTCCGATGAAGACGTCGACGGTTAGAAATGATAGGTAAAATAGCAGAATATGTCACAGAGAGTCCAATTTTAGGTCGAAGCAAGAAAAAACGCATACGAAGGATTTTAACTCCGATCCTTGTGGTTCTGGTACTCAAAGCGATCACATTTATCCCTCTAGCTTTGGGTGTTCTCGGTATTAAAACATGGAACGCTTTGCAACTGTCGTTTGTTTCTTTCGTGGTATCAGTCGTACTGGCTGTTTGGAAATTCTGCCATAAAGTAAGTAGTAAACAAAAAATGCTGGACGGATTATATCTGCACTGCTATTTTGGTAGGTTGCGGATTACCATCCACCTACTATAATTCACGAGGCTATTCACGACGTTCATCCCCACCTGTACCACGATCACCACGACCATCACGTGGTACACCACGACCACGACTATGACCACGTCCACCATGGCCATCACGACCACTGGGATCCACACTACAGGTCCGATCAAGCCCAAAATCTAGCCTACAGTGCTTACACGCCGGAGAAGTGATATGTTTGTTGATAAATATTTATTGTAAATTATGTACGTATTAAAACATTTTTGTTTGACTGAAGTGCAGCATTATTCTTAAAACTGCCCTACCCTTGACGACTTCTCAAAAATTTGTTGTTTGTTGGTGTATAAGTTGGTAAATTTGAAAGTAAGGAAGAAAAAAATACATAGAACAAGAAATCGAAAAAGGGTAAATTAGGGAAACTCATAAACAATTTAAAAAAAAAGATAATATCAAATCGGTAAATAATATTTTATGATTTGTTTTATCATGTTAGAAAAACAGTAACACGACAAAAACTCATTCAATAACATTTCACGTTCTCAATGTCCAAAGTATAAATTTTCAGACTAAAGTATATTTAGTTAAATCAATATGTTTTCAATGGCATGTACGTAGGTAGATAGCTTCGCAGATCAAGGATTGGGAAAGTTCAAAAAAGGAAATTTTTATGAGCCGTAATAAAAACTGGATTTAGTTGTGCCAATAGTTTTTTTAGGACATCGAGCCGGAATGATCTAAGCTAAAAAAATTCGAACGTAATTTCTAACCCGTTTCGGTTAAACAAAGCTGTTTTCAACGACAAATACTAAGAGTTCCTTGTTTATGTAAAATAAAGACGATAGGTCTGACTTGTCAAATGTGACATACAGTGGGACACGCAAAGTTGTGGTTAATTAAACTCAAGAACGACATCGTACGTGGCGCCCTCTAAAATTAAAAAAAAAAAGGTTTCTCGTCATCAATACGCACAATATCTCGAATTTCGTCTAATTGACACGTTATTGAACAAAACTAGAATGAAAAAAGCAAATTAGCCATTGCGGGCCGATGTACATATGAACTTTGTATCTTAAAATTAGTCAAAATTTCATCTTTAAAAGTTTGAGTAGTATATGACATCTTAATTGTAGATAGATTACATATTTGCCGATAAACAAGTTTTTAAACTTTGTTTATTAAGCATTTATATGGCATTTTGTTTTATTTAATTTATGTATTATGGCCTAAGTCAATGGCTATGGAAATAGTCACAAAAATACTCTTAGAGGGACGTTCTATAGAAAACGTGGAGGCTACTAAGTTTCTCGGTCTGCACATTGACAACAAACTCACATGGAATCATCACATCGACAACATATTGCCCAAATTAAGCTCCTGCTCATACTTAATAATATTGGAGAAGTTGAAGTTTTAAAGCTAGCGTATTATGGGCTTTTCCAATCAGTGATAGGTTAAGGTATAATCTATTGGGGTCTAGCCACTAGTGCACAACGGGTCTTCCAAGCACAAAAACGTGCTCTTCGTTACGTGATGCGTGTAACTAGTAAACATTCACGTAGGGATTCATTTAAGGAAATTCAGATCATGATACTTCTGTCATTATATATTTATTCCGTTTTGATTTACGTCAAAAGTAACATGAAAAGGTGGAATAGGAGATGTGACGAACATGACACACGGCAAAGAGATTACTTGGATGTTCCATTCTCTAGACTGCATATCGGGCAACAAAACCCAAGCTATTTTGGCTCGAAAATATATAACAGAGTTTTAAATTTCTATAAACGCTTCGAAGAAACTGATAGTTTATCTGTGTTTAAGAAAATAATTAAGAGCTTTTTAACTGATAGGTGTCTCTACTCAGTAGATGATTTGTTTTAAATGTATTGTTTAAACACTGTATTGTAATGTGATGTTACGTGCTTAATATCCTAATTATGTGTTATATGTAGTATCGAAAAGCGAAATAAATATCTATCTATCTGTCTATCTACAGTTTTGTTTAAACAACAAATTGAAGAAAGGCTGCGAGTAGAGATGCAACAGTCTAATTTAGATAGCCATTAATTTGTCATTATTTGTGACATAACCTTGACATTTGCGCCTCGTTTTCGTTGAAGGGCAAGAGTAACTTAGTGGCGCAAAAAAGAAGCACTATTTTCTCATACGCAGTAAATAACATTATTGAATGCTGACACAATTCATCTTCAATATTTGAATGTCTTCTGTTCTGGTAACATATTCCATGATGCCCTGAAAAAATATTTTAAAATGGATTGTAAATTAAAATTATTGTGATAGCTATAAAAGTGTTGTAAAAGTGGTAAAACGTGAGGCACAGAAACGAAAGTCTTTTTGAAGTTAGACATGCGCTGAATATTATGTCTAAAAAATAATGAAATCTATCGCCGGGTGTAAAAATATATATGGTGGAATTAGTTCATGTATGTATGAAGTCATATTTTATTCTCTATTATGTTTTCTGTATGTATTTGGATCCATTCTGCTTTTTACCATTTCTCCGACGCCTCAATTATCTTAATGTGGAAAGGGTCAACCACTTTAGAGAAATTCTAGTTTGAAGAAATCGAAATAAAGCAACTTTTTTTAATCAACATAAATTAGTTTTAAACGGCATTAAAGGGACCAAAACGTGGCGAAAAACCAAATCAAAAGAGCAAGAAGTGTTGGATTTGCCACCTCCTGAAGTTGTTATAATGGTCTTTCAGAAATCGACACTATTATATAGAAAAAAACGAGACATTGGAGACCACGTGTTTATATCTGTTCGTATCTTAAAAATACATGCTTCTATGGACGAATTTCCTGCATACAGCTACAGAAGGCCATTTAATTCGATCCTACTGAACGGTACCATTTAAAAACGGACCACTTTTAGGTGATCCTTAAAAAAAAAATGAAGAAAATTAAATTTCTTTTCAGGTATTCGAAACGGAGATTCAATTTTCTTAATAAGACCTTGTTGGCATTCAAAGCGTCTGCCCGATTTATCTGAGTCCGTAGAACGTAAATCAAAAATAACAGACGCGGACAAATTTTAATTTGACGTACCCGAAAAATTCGGAACATATTTAAAAAGCGAACATCGGACGCATACGGAATCCCAATCGATACACCGGATCCGCGTAGCGGAACCAAACCATAAATTCGATTTCATCTATTTGGGTATCCTAGCCTAATCAGTATACGGAGCGCAATGCGAAATTGACCCCGTAAAAAATGTCGTATAAAACTGCACCCATACAATTAAAGTGTCATTGAATAGTGATTTTTCAATCGGTGAACAACGATGTGGAGGCTCGTGGCGGTTTTAGCTGTTATAGGGACGATAGGGGCGCAAGACTTTGGTCCCCGTTCCGGAGACGAACTCGTCTCCAAAGTGTTGGGCACGTGCGGAGATATGATGTGCGTCAAACGGAACGTTCTGGAATACCTGGATAACGTTTTGGATATCCAGAGCGATGCCAGAAACGCGAAGGTAGCGATCGCGAAGACCTTTAAGTCGATACGTCAGGGTTTGTTTTTTCAGAACATCGACGCCGCCATATTTAAAAGGGCCGCCAGAGTTTTGCAAACTCAGGAGTTCAGGTTGAGGGTACCGCACGCCATTGCAGATAGTACGGACATTGTGTACAATCCCGTCACCGGACTGGATGTCGCCGTAGATGGAAATGCTAACGAATGTAAGTAGACGTTTGACGTTTGAAGAAGATGGGGATTTCTATTTGGAGCTCTGTACAACGAATTACAACTTCGATTAGGAATTACCAATGGAATTACCACTAAAGACCACATAAATAATAAGTAAATAACAATAGACAAAGAAAACTTTTTTAAATTTTTTATTTATTTACCTATATTTTAAGAATGTCAAAATGACACTTACATTATCTCTTTTTTGCTGTGGTTGGCATAAATTCTGGAACATATTCATCACACGCATATTAAAGAACATTTAATCTAATAATAATAATAATAGACACCAATAGACAAACTTATCTTGAAATGTAATGAAGCCATTTCAGTCATATTAGTATACTACTAATAGTACTACAATCGGTGGAAAATGAATTCAACTTCCCAAATCTAATTTATTGAAATAAATTAGTAAAGGCTCATAAAAGGTTATAAAGACTCTTTCAGACCTTTATAGTTGTTGGGTAAATTTTATTAATTACTTTCTTATGAACTCTTCCAATATTAGAACGTAAATTCAACAACCCTAATCTAATTTAATGAAATAAATTAGTAGAAACACTGTTTATTGATTGTTTGCACAATGAAGTCTCAAAAAAAGTTATAAAGACTCTTTCAGACCTTTACAGTTTTTGGGTAAATTTTATCAGTCCAACAATTTACATTTCAGAGATATTTCATTAATAACTTTCTCATGAACTCTTTACAATATTAGAACATGAATACAACAACCCTAATCTAATTTATTTAAATAAATTAGTAAAAACACAGTTTATTGATTCTTTGCATAATAAAGTCCAAAAAAGGGTTATAAAGACTCTTTCAGACCTTTACAGTTTTTGGGTAAATTTTATCAGTTCAACAATTTACACTTCGAAGATATTTCATTAATAACTTTTTTATGAACTCTTCCAATATTAGAACGTGAATTCAACAACCCTAATCTAATTTATTGAAATAAATTAGTAAAAACACAGTTTATTGATTCTTTGCATAATGAAGTCCAAAAAAGGGTTATAAAGACTCTTTCAGACCTTTACAGTTTTTGGGTAAATTTTATCAGTTTAACCCTTTACATTTCAGAGATATTTCATAAAAAATTTTCTTATGAACTCTTCCCATATTAGAACATGAATTTAACAACCCTAATCTAATTTAGTGAAATGAATTAGTAAAAACACAGTTTATTGATTCTTTGCATAATGAAGTCTCAAAAAAGGTTATAAAGACTCTTTCAGACCTTTATAGTTTTTGGGTAAATTTTATCATTTCAACCCTTTACATTTCTGAGATATTTCATTAAAACTTTCTTGTGAACATCTTATAGTAGTACATAGGATATGACATATTTCAATGTTACTACAGAACCTAAGTTCAGGATATTTCTCAACCTATCTTCAGAGTAAGACGATTACCACACAATTTCCCCTAAATACATCCAAAATACATTTCTACCACAGTTCCTCTGATTACTCTTTCCGACATTTATAGTTTTTGTTTATATTTAATAAGTTCAACTATATTAAGTGAAAACGATTCATCTTCTAGCTACTTCACTTGTTTTTGCACATTAATCATATCAAACTGCTGACCCTTAAAAAGAGATATTAACAACATCTTATAGTACGATATATTTTAATATTACTACAGAACCCATCTTCAGAGTCAGAAGTGTTTTGCACGACCAATTAACACAAAGTATTCCCATCTACAATTTCCTTTCCACTGATTACCACTATATTTTCACAAATTATCAGTAATTAGTATTCATTTCCCCTAAAATGGACACTAATAACCACGACTGTGTACTTTAAATGAAACCTCTTCGTTTGAAGCGGTCAACGATTTTCAGCTGCTCAAAACCAGTTCCGTGATATAGAGATACGCCTACCTAACATTCTTATTGATATATAACAGAGCAGAAAAGAATTAAAGATATAGTTTTCAAAGTCTCTCGTGCAACACACCTCTCATCACTTCTTCCTGTATCGCAGCACGTGGACTTTTGAAGAAGAAACTTTTGCTGCCGTTCCTGTTGCTGTTGAAGTTGAAAATGAAACTGCTTATGCCCATATTCGTTGCTCTCGCCAGTTTGAAAGCGATGAAGGCTCTGATTTTGTCAAAACTGGCGATCGTTCTAGTATTAGGGTTCATCATTTACCAGCTCTGCGCGAAATCCGGTAAGAACCAAAGGGGTTTCCTCATCATCCATCTGAAACTAGGATGGTTTGGTTTTAGGAATGCCGATGCCTATGATGACTATGGCACCAGCTGAGCCTCCAAATCCACTCTACGGACCACCCGCTCCGACTACTGCACCACCAAGTTCGTACGAACCTTCCGGATGGGAACCCAATAGTGGAGGACCGTACTCCAGGATCTGGACCGGATCCAATAGCGACGCCCAAAGTTTGGCTTATTCCGCGTATTATCCGGGATCTTCTACGGTGGGTTCATCTACTAGTCGGCCGTAACTGGAAATAATACGACTGAGTGCTGTTAAAGATTTATTTATTATTGTCATTTGATTTTCTTTTCAAATAAATTATTTGTTTTCTACGTAATGACTTTCACACTTACCACCAAGATTTGTCTGTAATAGATGAATTAATCAATATACTACGGTTATAAAGTCAAAATCATCTACAGAGATAAAAAGAAATAATGTACGTCAAAGCATATATGGAAAAAAAGTTTTGAATCATGTCTAATCTACTTACAAATAAATAATAAAATTCGAAAAATAGGTAACAATATTTTAAATTATCTGTCAAAGCTACAATTAAATCTAAGTATTAAGGAAAAACAATATTCTTGAAAACTTTATAGTCGAACTTATAAAATGTTCTCAATCCTTTTTTAATTTCAAATTGGGCATTATAAACCCTGTACGCATGTTTTATATCAAATTGTGGTATTAAGCAAGTTTTGTAACCATTTAGTCACCATTTTGCGTACTTTGCATACTTTACTTTTTTACAGGCGTACTGCGGTCGGATTTCGCAAAAATATGGCAAAAAGACATGCTGACCCAAATCACAACAAAACATTTTTTTACAGTCTATACTGCGTAAATTATAGATAAGATCACAAAATGAAAATATAAAGAATTACATTAAAGTAAGTATTAAATGAAGTATTAAAAACATTATGTGTATTTGAGTTATTAATGACAATTATGTACACTAGGTATCCCCACACAAATTAAAATTCGTGCGCACTACAGGGTTAATCAAACTTTAAACAAAATAAAATCAAAATGCATCTCGTAGGGAGGGAAAAACCAAAGAAAAAGCAGAAACACTATTATTGAAAAGTAGGGTTCTTCAGGTCCACCGAGTTAGAAATATGGTTCTACAATAAACTAAATAATGAAAAATACCGCCCAATTTGTAGCCACTTTTTATTTTATCGTGCTTGACGTAAATAATCACAAAAATGAAGACAACACAATCGAACAGCACCATCTGCCCCAAGACACTGTAAGTTTCAGTTTAAGATGATGGTAAATTATTTATCTATTGCAGAGAACACGCTCGTGTTAGGCTAGCATCCGCGAGATGGAGACACAAGACACGGAACGGCTATAAAAAAGCGGACGTTGATTTGAAGGATTCAAACAATACAACGTTGCCGGATATCCGTGTCTCGTAACTCATAATAATGATCTGAGGCTGATAGAGTATCAAATTTAGTTATAACTATTTATACCTTTGCTGAATTTATTAAAATGTCAAACTCGATTTGATTATTCGTAATTTGCAGATGAACGGTTGCCGATTGTAGTAGTAAATTTAGGGAAAATGCGTCTTATCGATTGTAGGAACCGACAAATAATTTACCAGCATGTACAACAGTGTAATCCGTATTGCAGGAAAGCGAAAACGTGGTGTACATTTTTAGCAGCTATTTGCAATCCTCGACGTTTTATACCGTAACGTGACTTCACAATTCAAATCCCGAATCCAAACCAGACGACACGTCTTATCGAGTTTACAAATTTAGTAGATACCCATTGGCTGATACTCCCACTTATTATTTACAATAATTTTTAAAGTAAAGTCCATATCAGAGTGATTACTTTAATCGTAGCCGAAAGGAAACAAAGAACGCGACATCAGTTGTTTTTCGATCAGCGTAGAAGTGGGATTTACAAAATGGATTATAGGTAAATAAACTTTGTAAATGATTTTTATATTCATATTATATATATTTTTGAAACTCAATTTTATAGCTTGTTATATTCTAAAAAAACGAGCTTATAGGTTGGCAGTTTTAACGAATTAAAGCCCTCTCCACGTTTTTTGATTAGACTGTAACTGTTAATCTTTCTAAAATTAGCACTAATCCCATAAATCCCCTCCATGTAAACCTTAAGATTAATTTTGAGAAAATATACATTAGATTTATCATATATGAGAAAATATTATATACTGGTTGGTTAGGTCTCGTATATAAGCTTCCAAGAATATTCGCCAACATTTTTTGTCTTTATTGCCTAAAACTTGACGCACTTGTCATTGTCACTGTGTGTCGAAATAATTCATCCATAAATATTTTAATCTACGAAATTATCGCCAATGGAACAATCTAAAGAACCATGCCCATGCCAGGCCGCTAATATAAAGAGCGACTATGACCGGTAGCATTTCCTATTTTTATTTTAGTTATTTATTTCATTACTAATTTATCTTTCGATGTACTGCATCACTTGAGCGTATGTTTAATTTTTGATAAATGTATATTTTCATTTGTTTCGGATAAACGATGGGGATTGAAAAGAAAAATCGATAAACAGTCCTAAGAAATTTTTGTTTATTTTTAGGAGAATTGTTTCTGAACATGTCGACGCAAGTGGCTAAATTAAACAATAATAAAAGATAAACAAACTTATAATTATTCCAAAGGTTCACTGCCCTTTATCTCAAAATTATACATTTATTATTGACCTTCGGTTAAGTGATTGTTGATTTTAATACTATGATCAATTTTCTGCAACAAAATTCCTGCATGGGGATGTCCCTATAAAATAGAGCGTGATACTATACTGGGTCTCATCCGGCATAGCAAATTGTAGTTGTACAGATTTTTTCAAATTTGCCGCCATGACATTGTTCAAGTGACTAACGTCAAAATGTACAAAAACTGTAAGTTAAATATAACATATATACATTATTTCATGAGAAAATGCAAAAAAGTTAACAATCTGTTTAACTTCTCTTTTGAAGACTCATCACTCATCACTGTCCTATTCTAGTTCCAACCCTCCTGTAACGAAATTATTAACGGCAACTAATTCGGAAATCGTCAACTACGATTCCATCGTGTTGCTATCGGCACCCAGCCAAAAGTTACCCGAATTTGTGGCACCCGTAGTAAATGAGGCGAAGAAATACGACCAAGCGTTTGAATCCGAGGTGTCAGTAGTACCACTACTAAAAAGTTCGCAAAGGCTGATTTATTATCCAATTGGCTCTTTCGACCCAGATTACGATGACGTGAGAAAGTTCAAAGAGGGTTCCGCCAAAGCAATTAAGCGAGCCCTTAAAGCTGGCAGTCGGAAACCGCTTCTGCTCCTTAATGATCATCCACGCTTCGAGAAAGCTGCTTTGGTTACTCTACTGGGCGTATTGGAAGCACTATACACGGTGCGGTTTGAACAAATTAATTAAAAACTAACTTACCTAATGTTCATTCTAGCCAATTCAAGTTCGAGAGCATGACGCGTCGAAAGCAAATAAGGTAGACCATCTGGGCATTTGGTCGGAAACCAGCGACTCGAATATATTAGCCAATTTAGCAACAATTATAGAAAGTGGCAGAAGAGTGGCATGTGACATTGGGGATGCAGACCCAGAAAGGTAATAATGATATTATAAACCTGCCATATTTGATTTATCCTTTATTAAAATAACTAATATGCGCGCCATCTGGGCGACAGGGGCTGCACTACAAGGGCCACCTATTGAATGGTGCTTCAGACATCCGGTTTGTTTAAGGCGAAACCAGTCAAGAAGACTTGACTGGTTTCGCTATAGACCAAAAGATGTCTCTACTACACGCGAACTAATTAAACAAGTATTAAACATGAATGTTTATTAAATACAAATTTCCGAAAAACGCAAATTTTATTTGACGATTGTTCTACCTACCTCCAAAAATTAAATCTAGAAAAATGAGTTTTTTAATGATGTTTAGCTACCAAAAGTGGACCTTATTTTTCGTTAATTTTCACTTTACTCTGAAATAATTACACACATCTGTTTAATTCCCAGAATGTCTCCGCCAAGGATTGAAGAATACATCAGGAAAATTTTCGCAAATTCGTCAATTAAGCTTAGTACCGTAAGCGATTTGAAAGAGTTTTCCAAAGATTATCCGTTATTCGAAGCTGTCAATCGCGCAGCGCATCAAAACGAGCGACACAGAGGCAGAATCGTATATCTGGAGTACAATCCACCTGAGACTCCAAGAGAAACCATTTTCTTGGTTGGGAAAGGTAGGGTTTCGTTGGTTTATTTTTCCGACGATCATGAAATTATTTTGTTTAGATTATTTTATTCATATTTTTTTTTATTTAGGTGTTACTTATGACACCGGCGGAGCTAACGTCAAAGTGGGCGGAGGAATGCTGGGCATGTCCAGAGATAAATGCGGGGCTGCTGCAGCAGTTGGTTTTATGCGGGTGGTAGACCTTCTGAGACCGAAGCATTTGAAAGTGGTGGTCGGTGTTGGCTTGGTGAGGTAATTTCGCATTTTTTTGGCAATAAGAAAAACGTAGGAGGCCTTACTGTGCGAAGTGTTTGATTTTTAGGAATAGCATAGGATCCAACAGCTATGTGCCTGACGAAGTTATAACTGCGAGATCAGGAGCTAGAGTTCGGGTGATCAATACAGATGCTGAAGGTCGTATGATCATGGCTGACATTCTCTGCAAGGTAAGAAGATTTTTAAGACGAATCACTCCATCCGATTAGATAGTTAAAATGTGTATTGCTATTGGTACTGCCTTTGTTTTTTTGTCAATACCGCAACCAACATGGCCGCTGACGGATCGTGAATAACTGTGCATGCGGCATTTTTACGGCAATATTTTTTAAAAATATGCTCAGACTTCGTTAAATGTTTTGGGAAAACGAGTTAACTGTATGGAGATGGCTGTTTAGAAGGAAAATGGAGAGTGAAATTAAGAGGCGTAAGATCATTCCCGTTTCAACGAAAATATCATAGCCACCTGAGGAGTATCAATTTTTACCGTAGTAGTTATATAGTTTTTATGGCGGATGTTTTTCGTTCGAGACAGATCTAGAACGGGCGGAAAGGCGTAAAAATAAAAGTCCGTGGAGCGTTAATGCAGATTTGCATCAGCCGCGCTTGGTTTTGAAATTCGCTACGCGTACGAGGGTGTGATCGCTATGTAATTGTGGTTTACAATTGATCATAATTAATAACAACGAAATGAAAATGCATTAAATTGTTGGCATTGACCCATTTGAAAGGCTTCCAATCCGGCGATTGTTGAATAGTCGAGTCGACGCATAATTTTACCTTTTGATCGATATATTCTTAGACGTTTCCGTTTCGGTTCACTACGAAAATCGGTGAAAAAAGTAGTTTTTGTGTCAGATGTTGATAGAAGTCGACCAGAAAAAGTGGTGTTTTATTGACTTTTTGAGGTAGTTTAAATGAATTTCAGCAAGAAATTTCATTTAGGGCCATTTGACAGAGTTCTTATATACAGCTATACATTTTTGTTGTTGCTAAAATTGAGGATTCGTGGTCACATTGGGGAACTTTAACGGCTTTGCACTAAAACAATGATGATATTGACTTTGACAAAAAATTAGTCAAAATCGACTAGAAAAAAAGTTTTGACTTTTTTTTTTAAATAAAAATAATACGGCTTTATAATAATAAATTAGATTGTTGATTGTGTTTCCCTGACTAGTACAAATTAGACCTGTCTATTTCCAGCGTTTTTTTGGATCTCATTAAGACGATAAAATGTATATAAATGGAAATATCTCAATAGACGTTGAAGTGATCCAATAAAAACTGACACATATTTACAATTTGCTTTGCGTGCGGTGAATACGATTTTATGCTGTTCAATTTATAGTATTTCCTTTTTCTTCTTGATTCTAACACGGCTTTAGTGCCACCATACGCATCGTATATACTGAGTATTACATTAAATGTTACAAATCAAAATTCTCCCTAAACCCCTTAAGTTTTGCGGAAACACATTTCATAAATTTAGCCCGCCAAATATTGCGGAAAGTGACTAATGGCAATTAATGGTAGAAAATGTAATTTTTTTAAACAAACAAATATCGCTTTAAATTTGACATTGCAAACAAACACATCTTGCAGACTTGCATGTAGACTTTAGTTAGATTTTTTATTTTTAACGTTCACTATCATTTCAAAGTTCAAAAATATTTTTTAAAATGGGCATTAAAAAAGTACCAATACCAACTATTAAACAAATATTGACAATTATAAGAATAGTGCAGGAGGTGCAACCTCTAAAATTCAATATTGCCCTTTATGACGTAAGTACTGAATTAAATTTGTATTTTTTATGTCCTTACTTTTTTTACTTTTAATTTTTTTATACATAAAAATTCATATAATGAAATTATATTTAATTACTTATAAACGCCTATAAATGTGACGTTAAGGGGTTTATTAATTGCTGGATAGTTATCAAAGCAAATGGAACACAGTGGTTATTCATAACAATGATCTAGATATTGCTGCTTTGGAGTGGAGGAATTTCGAAAACAAGTAAACAAAACAGTTTTTGAGTCAATAGGCACTTATGGATCAGAGTTAGCAAAAGAGAAGAAGCTACGAATGTTGCCTCTATAAATAGATTAATAGAAGAACTTCAAGGATGAAGCACCTAAAAACCAACAAATAACAGAGCAAATGAGTATAACTGCCCCAGTTTCGGATACCTAAATGGTTCACTTGCCAAAGGCATCTCCAGAGAATGAAACGTTATAGAGGGCCAAAGAAAATCTGGAATTGCTTTCCCCCCGAGAAGGAAACAAGCGTGGAAAAATCACCAAAAAGCTGGAAAGGATTAGGAAAGGAAAGGAGTATACAGGATTAGCAAAAAACTTAATTGCTATGGCTGAAATGTCCAGTATATTTGTAAAATTGCATGCATCAATATAGCTGGCAGACATGTAGTTGTGATACTTCATAGATCATGTTTTAATTGGAAACTATGTGGTGATGCTTAGATGGTTTGAGGAGCACACGCTTTTCGTAGGAAAACATGTCGCTAACTCCCTTGGCAGGAGGGCTGGATGATGTCAGTTATTAAAGAGTTTATAAAGGAGAAAATGGCTAACCGAACCATCAACCAAAAAATACCTGAGTATGTCCAAAAAAAAGCTATAAATGGCCACAGGCATTGGCTACAAGTCATTGCTTACATATCAAACACAAAATGTTATGTTGTTTGGTTTTGTTTAAATAGCACCCCCGTGCACAGGGTGTACGAACAGGAATACTGGCAGTAGGAGACATTCTGGACGAATGTCCTAACCTCTCGTTTAGACGTAAAGCTATACATGGCGAATTATGTCTAAAGAGACGACTCTTGGTGCTAGCATCGCCTACGTTGAGTATCCAGGCTTGATCTAAAGCTGAGTGTTCTGTCCAGGAGGAAGCACAATCGGCCTGCTGAGGCCCAAGTGCTGTGGTGTACACTTCATATTCTACAATTAGAGATGCAGATACAGAATTGCTCGGTTAACATAATATTCGGCTAATTCCTGGAATAGACAAATAGTAATGAGAGATATAACCAATCGTATTTTATAATAACCTCAGAGTTTGCAATTTTTTAAAAAATGTTTGTGTTTCTTTTATTACTGTGTCGGTTGATTCGTTTATTAACCGATTTGATCACGGGATTAATTAATTTCGCGTATTACCCGTGACAAATTTATATATATCGTTTAAACCTGGAATGCGGTGAAGAGTCCTGTAGCCATGACATTGCGTTTTAATATTATGCATTTTCCTTTCAAATAATAATTAAAACCGGCGTTCGATTCAAAGCCGACCCAAGAAAAGTACCGTTTCGCGATCATAATGGTCGTTCTACAAGCCGACCGCGAGTAATTATTCCGTATTTTTATTATTTTTCCAGTTAAATGTCACACGTGATTTCGGTCTTCAGATTACGTAACTGAAACGTGAATTGCAGTTACACCTTGGAATCGTCTGACAAACGTCGGCACGTGACCCTACGCCTCTGCACAGGAATTTTTTTCGCGACGAACTACGACACAGGGTCGGCTTCTAGACTCTATAACCGTAACCCTTTTTTGCAGACGAAAAAATAACGTACGAGGTTGTGGAATAGTATCTCCCTTACGTCTTTTAGATTTCATATTGGTTAAGCTTTTCCCTGACCACAAAACGTTACTAGTAAATGTATGTAACCTGTAACTAATAACAAAATATAACAATAAAATACACAAAGCAATATAACTCTACAGGAACTTTTGTTTTTATCATATTGGATTAAAACGGATTTCAAAAGGATCAAGTTATTACGGCCTCTACAAACTGTGTATGTGATTTAAAAAAGCTGGGCAATAATACAAACAATCCAAAGTTTTTATAGAGAATTAGAATTACTTTTGTTCCCGTCATACATTACAATGTATGGAAAAAGTCAAAGAAACAAAAAGAATAACACATTTGACACATGTATAATAATAAATAAAAAGAATAATATTATAAAAACAGTGATTCGTTAGTTTGATTTTAAAATTAATAACTATCTCTTGGTTCTTTATTTTCATAGGCAGCAGAATACAAATTTTTATTCAGGAAACTTCTGTCCACAGTCTAGGCGGGACTCTGAGGTTATGATTACTTTTTTACTATTTAATGTAAATGGGTGTTTGTTTCTAAAAATATGAACACTAATTTAGGGAATAAGAATACCGGCCAAAATCAGCTTTGCTGCTCTTAAAGTGCTGCTCATTCTATCTCGGCCTGAGCATGCTCCTGATCTAACTTAACTACTTCTATAAGAGACTATGCCACTATTGCATACTCAATTGCAGAGCGCACTGAATAAAAATAAAGCAGCATCAAACAAAATTCAAAGGTTTCGCATACCTATATTTATAATTATTGCAAATGGTTTTCAAAAGTAAGGAAACAACTATATCTTTAATGCTTGTAACTAACTAGATGTTATTATAATTGTCACCAAAATTTTTTGAAGTTTAAATCAAGGTGACCTCAGGACTGGATCACCTTGAACATTTTTGATTAATTGACAATGTGATCCCAAAATTAAATCGATGACACTAAATTATTTGGAAATCCTTTAAGATGTGCGAACGCATTGCAGAAACGCTATCCCGACTGGTGCCATTGCATGTTCAAAAGTGCTCCATAATTTAACCTAGCAATATCAATTCTGGCATGGATTATTATTATGTATTATATATCAATGGAAATCTTTTGTCTAGTAGAAGATCTCAGATGTATCTCGATATTACACAGCCAAGAAATAAAACCAATCGCCCACCCTCAAAGAGACCTGTTTTCAGAAAACTATAAAGGTTCGGTCAAACTCCGAAGTCAAGGTCTCAAATTGATTCCAATTTTTGTCTGTGTGTGTGTGTAACATTGTATATTTCTATTCTATTCTATATTATTATTTTTGTTAAAATTGGCTTTCGCGTGATCGTGATATCCTCGAAAGAGTGAAGCGAGCCGCCACTTAGAAACACGTGCCATGAAGACCGCCTCAAAATACTTAACCATGATTAAGTCAACTATGGCTACGAGGGGATCTTACTTACGCTTGATTATGATTATGAAGTGCGTCGTTCATCATCAACAATTCAGTACATCACATCTGCTATATTTTTCTTCAAAGTTGACTCTGTAA